GTGGTAATTGGGAAGGAGCTCATCATGATCCGAACGTTGAGGGAAGGTGCTGTGCCCAATCATGTCCACGTATCGCTTACTATTTCGGGACTAGCGTACGGACTCCGGTACGTACAGCTCTCACTCCTTCAGTTCACCCTACCCTTCCCCTCCACGAACATTCCGACACACCACTCAGCCCGAAAGAGAAAATGGGGGACCATGCGGAACGGAAAAAGAAACGCGAAAAAAAAAAAGTCGAACAAGCAGGTGTGATGACTCATCCGGTTGGCTACCTTTTCTGGGCCCTGCCACTCTCCTGCAGCCTCGTTGTGAACGATGAACGCCAAGTCAGCTACGGAGTAGTCAAGTTACTAACTAGCCAGACACTCAATCGCTGTGCTTTAAGATCAAAGACCTGAGCTGATTGAGGATGGATTCCCTTCCAGCAAGTGGCAGCAACAACCAATGGATGATGAATCGTAAGTTCATCCTTGGGGCCACGACTCCCGTTATCAGTTTCAGACTACGTAGAGTGCTTACGATCAATGTTGATGTTTAGTGCCCATTGACATGCAGCCTTCTTCATCTCTACGTAATATGCCGCCGTAAGTCGTTGGCTTGCTGATGATGACCGTGCTGGTCCGGGTCGAAACTACCCCCCGACGCTCCGCTCAGCGAATGATGTTTAGGATCTTCCTGTTTTGAGATCCTCCCTTGATGCCCCGCCTAGTGCCGTCACTAAAGTCTAAAAGAGAATGGGCTCAGAGCAGGAAAGTGAGAAAAAAAAAAAAGCAAAAGCGACCTCCGTTCAGACCCAAGACATTGACAATCACTATCTTATTTGATGGCTCCGCCCCGGATCCAACCGAATCTTGAAATGCTACGGCGCTTCCTCGGCCATGTACGTAGTTGGACGGACGTACGTACTAGCCGGTTCAAACCTTTATTTTTCGTCCAAAAATGCATCCCGGTATCGCTTAGTCGCGCCCAATCACGTCGCGGTCCCTGATCGTTGTCTCAAACTCAAGATCATCATTGTCTGGAAAGAGTCAAGGCCACATGCAATAATTACTTAAAAGCCACCCTAGCAAGATTAGCAGCACACCTGGACTCCGCCACGAGTGCGTTGCCAAGCGGCCCCAAACGAGACATAGAGCCACATGGTTTTGCACCAGCTGAAAGAAGGGCCTTTGGCTGTGGAGATTCCAGCCTGTGGGCAATGGGCTTCTTCGTCGAATGACAATGGCCCAAGCAATTCGGCCGTAGGCGGTACTATCCTGGCCTTGCGAGCGCCTGGCACGAGGTTAGTCATAACCGATTACTCACCTGCTAGGCTGCTATATACGCATTGGAACTCAATTTGGCCCTGGAATGAATGGAAACACTAAGGCTGTATTGATCCGCCCAAGCGCATAGACATTTTGGTAGCACACTTGACCCGGATTCCATCATGGGCCATTCAAGTGTATCTACTTCTTGGCCCTACATGCTGTAGTATAAGGTTAAACTAGTACTATATAGTATTGATATGTCCAATCGTCTAAGCCAACGAGAACGAGCGAGGGGAAACTAGAGTTCAGCACTCTTCATCCTGTTTCAGGGTCGACATCCCATTACCACTGCCATCACCGTCATCATCATCAGCTGCTCTGCACATCCAATTCAACTGTCTTGGCGACCATTCACTTCAACGACGCCCAGAATCTTTCTTTTCTCCGGACATATGCAACGTACAACAGTTGAGGCACCAAAATACAGCCGTCAGCCTGAGAGGCTTCAAACCTCGCCAAACACACCCTACCGATTAACCCAGTCATCACAATTGAATCGCTCAACAACTTAATCTCCTCGAAGATTTTTTGAAGCAGCCCTCGCATTATTTGCCTTTCTGGACTTTGACTACACTCTTACATAATCATATCAACCTGCGACATACATAGTCATAAGTAGTGAAGGATATCTCGAAGCTTTTCAAAGCCATCACCGTGCGAATCTGGACCATTAAACATTGACGGATTTGCGCAACATCGACCTTTCAAAATTAATCTAAAGCAAGAGTAATGCCTGGCCCTGGAGGAGGTCCGCCCCGAAAAAGCCATACCAAGTCGCGAAATGGGTGCCGGACCTGCAAGCGAAGGCATATCCGTTGCGACGAAACATTCCCTCAATGGTGAGTCTTTCGGCAACAGGAACAACCCAGTTTCAGCTGATTGATATATCTAAAGTCGCAACTGTACCAAACATAACTGCAGATGCGACTACATGGACATACAAGCAGCTCGTGATGAATCAACACCAACAGCAGCAACCACCCCTCCGAATCTTATGCTAACGCCAGAGATCGATGCCGAGATTGAGCAATGGCGAACGACAGGAGTTCCTCCATTTCCAGAGCTAAATTTCACCCCTCGCAGTGATTGGCATCGTTTCTCAAAGTCTACTTTGCGACTCATTTATCACGTTGCAGGGTTGTCGATTGACTTTCATCGTCGAGGTCTTGGTGAGACGACTGTTTGGTCCCCCCATATTGTACGGTTAGTACCAAACCTCGTTTTGAGATAACAAGTAAGCGGATGGATTTGATAACAATCTTTACTGTCTAATAGACTGCTCACCATTGCCGTTTCGAGTGATTTTGTCATGAGCTCGATTCTCGCCCTTTCTGCATTACACATGGCATATGTAACTGGAAGCCAGGAGACCTTGAATCTTTCTTATCATCATCGGAAAACTGCCTCTAAAGGTTTACAAGCCGCGCTAGGGACGTTTTCGAAAGAAAATTCTGACGCGATACTGGCTGCTTCGCTTGTCCTGTCATGGCAGGCGACTGATTKGTAAGTTTCCATACTATCTTGACGAGCTGGTACTAATCTCGAATTTCCAGGGCCTCCGTGTCTACTCTACAGAAGGGAATATTATTTGTAAGGATTAATCTACCACGCGGACGAGAATGTTATTTGCTAATGCTGATTTTATAGGTTCTCGATTCGATGCACCCATCCTGGAAAGAGACGTCAGAAATAGCCCAAATTCTGGAAAGCCAAAGAATATTACGAACACGAGGCTTGACAGCAAACTCCGAAAATCCTGCAAATGGAACGTTTCAACCAGGAAAAATCGATAGCACAATTGCTGATCTACATCGATCCCAGGAACGTCTACAGCATATTCCAGAATTTTACGATACAATAACAGAGTTGATTGGTTTTGTGAAGCAAGTACGCAGCGAAGTACCATTTCAACCCAAAGTCGCATTTTCACGATTACAGTCTTTGCGAGCATGGATATTCTGGCTGCCCACCAAACTACTCCGAGGCGGCGAAGGGGATCTGGGCGCGCTTGCTGTTTTGTCGCATTTTTATTCGGCTGCACTTGTCTTGGAGCCATTTTTTTCAGGTCTGGAAGGCTCGTATCTTGGTTGTATGGCTTTGAACTTGATAGAGACTATCGATGTTATCTTACATTCCCGACAATCCAGGTTTCCAGCGTCTCATATAGCACAATTAGCAACTGCACTGATGGACGCACCTCGACATACAGTCAACGACTACAAAACGGCTATTCAATGGACGCCTCTGATACCCAATCACGGCATGAATCATATGATGCCGACGCCGCCTACTCCTTATCGTCAATTCGATGAATATCCATCTTCTTCATCTTTCGTGACCAGCACACCGTACACACCAACCACCATCTCCTCTTTTGGGCATGCAGTCACGAGCCCACCAACTTTCCAACAACCTTCCCATTCATATAGATCCAGCGTCAATCTCTCGTCGTTTTATATGAATCCCACAGTGCCGCAGTCGACGGAGTATTATGATGATTCGCTCTCGGACTATAGTCGACCGGGGACAATTGAACATTCACCTGCGTTTTCGTCGTATGGGAATGAGTATATTCATGGCTTGCCGACGACGGAGGCTCCGGGTTCGTTTCATCCGGGTATGATTCATGATGGGAATTCGGGTTCTGTGCCTCCTGAGCTTTGGACCTAATACAACGACAGGCCATTTATGAGATTACATCATGACAATGAACATGCAGTTTGAGAAAAACCCTATGGCTCTTGATACGTGGGAAGACTAGCTCCGGGAACCCTGATCTGTCCTGATAGCCCAGGACGACGAACCACCTGCGACACTCACCATTTTTGAACAACTTTGAAAAGAATTTTATTCATTTCCTTTGACTATATTACAACAAGAAAAACGACTTTAACCGTTAGATTACTTGTTTCCTTAGCTCGGGCGTTCACAACAGGTTGATGGTGCTTTAAACGGACGGACGGACGGACGGCGATGGGATAAATAGGCGAACAAAAAATACTGTGGCAAAGGCGCATCGCATCGCATCAAGCATTTGACTGGGAAAGACTTTTTACGCTTTATGATTATCCTTTCAGTGTCACTTAAAGATATTCCGGGATACGACTTTTCTTCTCCCTTTTCATGTCATTTTTACATGTCAAATATATAGTTTCAAGACTGGTACATGGTTACCAGAATGAACTTTCTTCGCTTCAATAAGGCAGTATTTCTGAGGACCCATCAATGATCATGAATATATCGATACTCAATGTCATCTTCAAATGAGTATATACTATGTACATAAGTAGGTGTGTTTGTATTGTTTGCATGATCATCAAGCTGTACGACCCATTCGGTCTAGCGCTATACATCATTCGGAAACTAAACAAAGCTCTGGAACTTTAATCAAGGCGAGCTTCCATCTGTCATCTTGCTCTCTTACACTGATTCATAGGATCTGCAAAAATAAGTTAATCGCCCTAAAAGACAGCCTGCTATCATATCTACTCATTTGCTAGACTAGCATCTACGCCGGAATTTCGGGGATCAGAAACAGCTACCGTTTTCAAACTCGGCGATAATACATTATTACCAAGCAACGAGCTTGCACGTGACAGCGTAACCAGTCGCAACTACCGCTCCGTCGATAGTCTGGTGCATTGAAAGAAAAAGAAGTGAAAAGATTATCACAAAGAGATTACAAATATGGCCGACGGTGGAGGTTGGAGTACCATCGAGTCTGACGAGGTGAGCGCCAATCCCACTTTGCCCCGACGCACGGCATCTAACTTACTCCTCATCTAGGGCGTCTTCACATCCTTGATCGAAAATCTAGGCGTCAAAGGCGTACAATTTGAAGAGCTCATCTCTCTCGATGCGGACACGATACGTTCACTGAGGTTCGTCGCCCCGCTTCCCTGCTAATTGACAGGGTTCTGTCTGACCGAAACAGCCCCGTATACGGCGTCATCTTCCTCTTCAAATGGATCGGCGGCCCAAGCCACAACAGCACCTCCCCGGCCGACGGCACATACGACCAAACCGCCTCCTCGGAACAAGGCCTCTTCTTCGCGGCGCAAACCATCCAGAACGCATGCGGAACCCAAGCCATCTTATCCGTGATCCTGAACCAAGACACACCAGCATCAGGAACATCATACCCAATAGAAATCGGATCCGATTTATCCGATTTCAAAAGTTTCACACAAGGATTTCCATCGGATTTGTTAGGTGAAGCGCTCTCGAACTCAGAGCCGATTCGCACCGCGCACAACGCGTTTGCGCGCGCAAGCCCGTTTGTAGATGAGACGCAGAGAACGGCGCAGGATGAGGAAGGGGATGTCTATCATTTCATTGCATATACGCCCGTAAATGGGAAATTGTACGAACTAGACGGCCTACAACCCTTCCCCATTAGCCATGGCGAATGCGATAATGAGTCGTTTCCTGAGAAGGTTATCGAGGTTCTGCAGCGTCGGATTGCGCGGTACCCGGCTGGTGAGGTACGGTTTAACCTCATGGCTGCGGTCAGGGATCTGAGGATCAGAGCGCGGGAGTTTGGGGATGCGGAGTTATTGGAGCGCGAGAATGCGAAAAGGAGGGCGTGGGCTTGGGAGAATACATTACGGAGGTCGAATTTTGTAGGATTTATAGGTGAGGTTGCTAAGGGAGTGGTGCAGAAGCAAGTCAAGGATGGGAAGTATGAGGAGTGGATTGAGGGGGCGAAGAAGGAGACATTACGCAGGGCGGAGGCGAGGAGGAAGGGGTATTAGAGTTGGTTCTCTATGTAGTGAATGGCCTCTTTGTATTATATGATCGACATGAATGATTGATAATGATCGTATATATGTTCCACGACACGCCTTGGTAGTTTGCTAGAATCTACATAAGCAATAAGGTGAGGACAAACCTAACACATATGTAAAACTGGGTATATACGCTCTGTACAACATACAAATCCGTGCAATGAGTGAGTATGTAAACGCAAACACGGAATAAAATATCAGTAATTGATCATTCGCGGCTTGACAACCTCCAACAGCTCATCAGGTAACTCATTCTCACGAATGAGGCCCAGAGAGAGCACATCAGCCCAAAAGAAAAGCGCGCGGTCCTGCGAGTACGCTAGATAATCGAATTCGCTTTCTTCGGCTTCTTCGACAATTTTTTGCAAAAATTCTTGGCTGGCTGATGGATCAGGGGTTGACTCCACTGCAGAAGTAGAAGCATTATCAGCAGCAGCTTGGGCCGCCTCCTCTTCTTCCAATGCGGCCACTTTAGCCTGTACGATGCCCCATGCAACCCATTGAGCCGAATTGGCAACCCGCCACAACCGCGTTTGCCGCATGTATTGCTGTACTTCAGCTTCGGAGGTTTCTTCGTACAACTGTCTGTCCTGTGGGCCGTCAGAGGTCGTCGCTGATAGGCTCATGGCTGGTGCATCGAGGGAAAATGGCGCCAATCGCGGCGTGGGAATGGATGATGGTGCAATATCTGGCGTGGCTAGTGGAGAAGTCCCCATGCCTTGTTGCTGAGGTCGATGGTGGTAGACGTATGCGGAGATGAATCGGTATTGCTCTTCTGGCGTTGGATATGCACGTGTGTTGCAAGCCCAAGACCGTTCGGCGTCGTGATAGTTATAACACCATTCAGTGAAATGATTTGCAAATTCTAGGGCAGGTACATTGGCTGCCGAATATTCAAAATCTATTACAACTAGTTGTTTGTGGGAATTAGCCGGCAGTAATAATGGAGATTGTTCCTCAGGTTCGAGTCGAAGAAGGTTGCCATATTGGGTCTGAAACAGAAGTCAGCATTGATTGCACACAAAAATCAGGGGGGACCGTACATCGTTATGAGCAAAAATCAACTGTCGCTTGACCTCTTTGATACCACCGAGATGATCAAACAACCAAAGTCGATAATTTTCTACAGCTTTTCGGAAAGTCGCCCACGGTACACCACATATCAAACCACGTTTGCGCCATGGCTCTGATCGATCTTGACGGTCTAGCAGAATTTCCTTGTCCAGCCAAGAAATCACTTGCTCGCAGCGATCGACCCATTTGTCCCAGTTCCGGAACACAGCTGGTCCATTCAGACGTTCGTTTTCGAGCAGTTCAATCCCATCATGAAGCTCTCTCATACGTTTCGCTATGTGTCTTGAAGTCTGAGGGTTGCGTAACTCTTGAGGTGTTAACGGATGAGCGTTGAAGAACTCTTCGAATCTTCCATTTTTAAATGTGCCGAGTACTCGTGGTCCAATATTCTTCTTTCCCAGTCGACGAAGGATCTGAAGTTCTCCATCTCGATCGATGAGATGTTCTACTTGCGGTCCGTATATACGGAGAAGGAGTTTGCTAAGACACTGTTAGCCTAACGAAGATCAGTCTGTGAAAGAGGGTAGCATACGGAGGAGGCCTTCTAGGAGCCAGCTTTTCAGTCCCATCAGCATTGGGTGTCGGAGGCGAAGGTGGCGGCGGCTTCACAACGTAGACCGCATTGGTAAGTGCGCCACTGAGACGAGTAATTTCAAGATCCGCACTATCGTCCATAGAAACTCTGCGCCATCCCTTGAGCCGCAAAGTATGAATCAAACGTAAAATCTCCGCCTTGAATACCAACCAATGATGTTGGTCTTTCATATACCGATTACGATGATCGGAAGTGAGCGTGAGCTGATCCGTCGACACTGCACCGCCAGTATATGCCAACGTTTTGGAATTGTCCAGTACGGCATCGACACCAGGCACAACTGCATCATCAAAATAGTCCGAGTCGGAACCTGATCCTCTCCTTAGCCCTTTTGGTCTAGAACGATGTTTCTTCAACCGTCTGTGCTGAAGCGGACTCGTCTGATCCTTTGTCGCTGCGGCGTAGTGTTGAAGAATCGTCTCTAGCTGATCTAGCGCAAGTCCCTTTTCGGAACCAACCGAATGCCGTTTGCCCTCGAGATGGAGCGAGCCATTGCTGCTTGCAGCAACGGTTCCATCGATACTACCTCTCTGCCTACTCTGCTCCTGCTGGAGCCAGGTCAGGACTTGGCTAAACAGGGCTTGCTCAGAGGGCCGGCTGGCGGGTGTAATCTCTGTCTCATCATCGTCCTCATGCGCATCTAATCGGAGGCTAGAGACTTGGCTCTGAAGAGAATAGACAGGGGATGGTTGCAGAATAGGCGATCTAGCCGAAATCCTTTTGGCGATAGGTGCCCTGAACTGTTTTGTTGCCACTAAACCAGTGTTGTCTCCGGGATCAGTTGGAGAAATGCCTCGGTGAGACACGGACACAGTATTATCATTCGTACGAGATTCTGTGAGAGCGGTTAGCCTGGTAAAATGGGGTTGGTGAGTTCGCAAAAAAATAGCAAAATCATGTACAAATCTTACATCCTTCAGGTCCATACACAAACCAGGACCTTGGGACACATTCATAACGTACCAGACGAGATATTGTCAACGCTCTTATCAGTCTCGTGACCGGTTGCCTCAGGGGCAGGACTCGGCATTCTTTATGGATTGATAGAGAAGAGATTTTTGATGTTATTCGGGCAATCCATTCACATGCAGACGTTACACCAGTACATAAACCTCCAAGGGATCGATTTATCGATAGACCAGGGGTGCAACGAGTGCAAGAAGATAGGCAGTTAAACGAGGAGAAAGAGCTAGAGCCGATCCAGTGTTAGACGAGGGAACGAATTCACAAGCAAACCCCGCGGATTCAGGCTGGAAAAGTATTAGTGTTTGTAGTGGATACCCTAGACCAGATAACAAGCAAATATGGAAATGGCGCCGATGGCCGCGTGAGGACACAAGACTTTCACAATCGAAATGATAGAAAGATTAAAATGGTGTAGAAGCGTATAATAAACGGCGGGCTTTTTTAAAGAGAAGAAAAATGAAGATGAAAAAAAACACATAAAAGAAGCAAGTGCGTCTGTAAGCCCAGCAGGAACAGGCTCAGCGTCATCGAGGATCCGTATATGCAGCTCTGATTGGCCGTGTTTGCCGCTGATAGATTCGTGTGGCTAGTGATTGGCTGGGGTAGTACTGGACTGAACATGGCTTAGCGCTGTATCTATCACATGCAAGTACAGAGAAATACATAAATTACAACATCGTCACTTTACTCGAAGAATGAGGCCGAAGAGGTTAATGAAAACTTGCTTGAATTTCGATTCTCTGAGCTGCTCATCAGTTACCAATATCATGGCGATCCATCCAGCTCAATCTTGGGGATAAGACATCAAAGGATTGCTCCGATAAACCCAGAGACCTCATCCCACCCCTTACTACACACCACTGTGACATTAAACATATACTTGGAAGCAGTGACACTAACTACCTCCTCAAAGACACCTGCCTCCACTACACGCGCAAAATCCACCAATATGCGTTCCATGGGCCCATCTGATTTCTTACGAAAGGCGGTGAAATCAGAGTCTGCGTGGAGATTGTGCCAGATTATGTCGATGTCAGTGTCGTCGTGGACTGTGGAGCGCTGAAGGGGTTGATCAGTGTCGTATGGTGCTGGTGGGTTATGTTCTTTTTGTACCAAGGCTATATTAGCATAGACCGTAGGTGAAAGATATTTAAAGAGGGGGAAGAGCATACCGTTGACATCCACACATTTTTCGGCACTGCTTGTCACCGCAGATGAAGGTGCCGATGGAGTCGCAGCGGCAGTTTGCTGCACCGCCAGGCTCGCATCGTCTTTGGTTTCCACCATTGCAAACAATACGATACTTGGCGAGGGGTCCTTCGTTAGCAGGGCTGGTAGCGATGTTTTCTGTGGGGGCAGCCAGAGCTGTCAGAGTAAAAGAACTGAAGAGCGTTAAAGCAGTGAAGATGACGGGGGAGAAATGCATCTTGATGGATGAGTTGATGGTGGTGGTCAAAGTGCAGAAGGCAAGATGAAAAGGTTTATCTTTGGATGTTCGAGAACGTACTTGAAATGATGCAATCTGAGGAGGAGACGATGGGCCCTCTTTATAGACGGGCTCTAGATGAATGGAATGTCTTTCAAGTTGATTAATTGATGGAAGACGCTTTCATGTGAAGAAGGATAAAGTGAAGAGATGGAAGGACGATGAAGATGGATGGCAGACCAAACGAAACCCTAATGTGTCACCTGATTCCTACCATTCGTGAAACCAATATTGGAGGCCTGAGGTCTCAATCTTGACAAGCTGAGTCATGCAAGTAACCCTATTCAAAATCGAAGCACGATAAGAACAGATATACTGTCATGTGCCTATACAGACACATACAGCATGAGCCTTTTTAGTTACACTGCTACTGCAACCAGATCAAGTTTTAGTCAAAAGTAGCTTCTATGTACTCGGATATGTAACAGTCTCCCTCCTTTACGAGAATATAAGAAGACCTCTCGTCTGAGTCAGTGCTGTATCACAATCTTACGTAACTCGTAGTAGGGCGTTGCATTACTCACTTGCGAATATATACTCGCGTTGCGAAGCTGGAAGAATCATACAGTCGGAGACTATAAGTGCAGAAACATGTTACGTTCACTCGGCATGTCTGACAACCGTCCCTCTCATCAGGGGTATAAAGTAGAATCCGGGGTAGATTCGGGCTTGTGGTACGGTTGCTTCGGCGAGACATGGTATGGTTAGACAATTATCTAGTAAGGCATCGAAAGCGTTAAGAATATGCATTCAATGTAATTCAGCTATGGTACAACATCCAGAATGGCAAATATTGCGCCAGCCAGTCTTTATACTTCTTGTGCGTTATTTCGAAGGGACGACAAGGGGGAGAACAATGGGCAACCAAACGCCTGCCCGGGATATCACGTTAAAATATGCAAGTTGAAATAAATATGCAAGCGCCGAATGCATGCAGCAAAGGAAAAAAGCGACTGTATAGAGAGCGAAGTAGAGTGATATAAACGTAGAGGAATCTGTTCAGTTCAGTTACCACCTGTTGCCCATTCGACTACCTCAAGAGCTGTCATCACAAGCATCAAGGTCGATGGAAGAATCCTAGAAGTATACAGTTAGTATGTAATCCTTCATCAAGTCGGGCTTAACTTACCAGACAACATAACTCTGGAACAACAATTTAGACATTGCTCCCATATACACGTTGTTGATTTGACAGATTTGCGCCAGCTGGAGAGCGGATGGTGCTCCCGTGAGTAGGAAGCAAACAATGATAAAGATCGGGTCGTCGAGTATGCTAACCGGAGCATACTTCGCGAGGAGAGCTAGCAGAGGTGCCATTATCAACGTCGGTAGAAGCATTCTAGCAACTAGCGATGCAATGATGAGATTACGTTCCTCTTTGGAATTCTCTACCCCGTCCTCTAAATGCTCTTTAGGTAAGGTGTTCCTAGCTAGGTTGGCGCCGAGAACAACCAGGATCAAAGGGACCGCGACCTGTCCGTTTTGATCGATCGCCCGTGTGATGGAATTACGCACGAACGTTCCCTCATTGAAGAACAAGTGTTGCAAATCAGGAATTGATGCAACGATAACCGCGACAAGCATGGCCCACAAAGGGGGGTTCATGAACTCCCAAGCTCCACGTAGGAACCGACCTGCCCAGGTAGCAGTCACGGTCAGGAATTTCTGTAACCAGGGCGGAAGGTGTTCAAAGATTTGATTGCGCTTGGTGTCCACATACTTGCCCATACGAGCATATGACCTGTTGAGGGATCGTCTCCATCTAAAGAAGAAACCACGAATGCCAGTGGCTACAGGCGTGGAAGAGCGGCGCACCTCAACATCCGGAAACGTCAAAATATGCCCCTGGGAGCTCTGTCGTGGTAGAAATGGTCCATTGGGTGGGAGGCCAATAACGGGTAGTGAGCGGTCCTCGTCTGACTCGTCGTCCGAATCACTGTCGACGATGTCGCGATGCCGCGGAGATTGATCGGAACCGTGGCTAGGTAATTTGGTATAAGAGAGATTGCGATCAGTCACTGGAGTTTGAGCGCCAGACTCAAAGGTAACAGAGTTCGAAGTTGTGTGGACAATATCGTGTTCGCTATCACCGGTTCGGGTACGGAGCAAAGGCTCGTCAGGGTCCGTCTGTTGCGGATTGTCTAAATAATGTTCTTGTCCATGTTGAACGGTGTGCACATCGCCTTCCTCAATATATCGCTCCTTGGGTGCTAACAAGACATGGTAGCCCCAGCTCCAGCGGACTAGTTGACCGAGTTGTTGGAAAATTAGTAGATACAGAATTCCTCGCGCGGCAACTTCGTCGTCGTTATCGTTCGGAACGCGGTCCCAGTGAAGGCCTTGCAGAGTTTGCGATAGAGAAACAACGAGGGATATTGGTAAAGAGTTCGAGTTGCCAAAGACCTAATTTTGTCAGCTCCCACTGCTTTTCACCACCACAACGGGGGGAATGTCTTACTGCCATTGCAGTCACGAAATTGGCTTGACGTTTTTTGAATCGAAATAGTCGTGAAATAATGTATGAGCACATGTATGACACAGCGGTCATCACGACGAAGATAGCAGGTATGATCGCGAGGTCGGTGAATTTCTCAGCCGTAAGCTGGGATGCTAGTTTTGTGAAGACTATCGACATACGAAAACCATTAACAACCACCTCTATAAACAGCGAATGTTCAACTTACCTAGACATGGTGTGAAAAGAGCTACGTTCAGATTAGCGACCAGCTTCTGTGCATCGGCATCGAACATGCCCGATCTGGCCGCAATGTACCCTGGTAAACTGACGCAGACGACCTCAAGGACGGCTTCAAGAACTAAAAGAAGAAGATTGCCAAAGCTGGGATGGCTTGAGTGCGTCGCGGCACTGGCGACGATTTGAGGAATGCCATCGTTCGAGAGATAGCGACGTTCGAGGGCGGAGCGAAACGACGTTGGCGCCGTGAAAATGGCCATGCCGATTGTCCAGGGATATGTCCAAGTGGCCTGGGGAACGGATAGAGGCCTGATCAGAATGAAAATAAGAGACGATGAAAGTCTACTATGTGGTGTTTGTTAAACGAGGTCAAAAAGAGTGTGGCGACTTTCAAGGAAGGAGTGACCGATGATGGAAGAAAAGCATTGTAGCACGAGCATCGCCAGGCCCGTAACGGCACTGCCTGTTTACTACTCCGGTATGGTCTTTCTGTATCAGCCCGTATCGCTGACGTCTCGGTGATCTAGGCCAGTGGCTGAGGAGCGGCAATTGGCTGCAGATAGCGCCAAGAAAGCCTTTATCTAGTGAGTTGTAGCCAATCATGAATGATTATTCGACACGTCGTCGTAAACTATTCCCTTTTTGGCGCGGGAGAACAGTTTCTCCGGCTTTTACCATCGGAACGGGCGACTAATGGGGACGTGGCTTGCCTTGGACCCTGTATCACCAGCGTTTGATAAGACTACTTGGGGGACGCCAGGAATTACTGTGTATTCTACCGATTGCTTACTACGGAGTGATACCTATCAGCCATAAGTAGTCCTACAAACACTAATTCGATGATGTACACAGATCTGTGGGAGAGAGAATCAACAAGCGTGCATAAGCACTTCCAGCACGCAGGTTTGACTAAATACAAGCCAAGGATAGTGATGCTCATCTCAAAGCTACCTACATAGTAAACCAGTTATATCGAACTTTCTCCTTGCCTAACCCTGGGGAACACGATTGCTCACAGCCTCACACCAAGGGCCTATTTGTGGGTCTATGATAAGCGCAACGGCTCCAAATGCAGATTTGGCTTCAGTTACATGGGAAAGGATCGAGTCATAAAAGACAGTATGCTATGAGAGAGCAGTTTTTCTCTGGTGATATATTGTATACATAATAAGTGTTCGGCTCTTCATTAGGCGCCCGAGGATTATAGAAGTGCTAGCTGCTACAAAAATTGTTTTTTTCAGCAATAGTCATCCATAGTGATTCCAAACCCAGGTATCTTTCAATGCGCGTAAGTAGCGTAAGACACGAGTAGAGAACCAGTGCTATTCTCCAGCAGCAATTAATGGTGAGCTTGACATAGTGATCAAAATAGATGTCGAGGCGAGGCCTCCACGCTGAGCTTGCTCGTACCACTCTGGAGGGTACTCTAGCATGGGAGGAGCAGGTACGGGGAAACGGCCTACCGGTTTCCTTGACCATCACTGGCGAGGATTTGCAATCTGTTCTCGATCGAAAAACCATGAGTAATGAATGAAGTAGCCGGGATTTTCTACACTTACGAAGGATATTTCTTAATATTTCTCCAAGCACACGTGATAGCCTCTTTTTGAGCCATTTCTTGATCCGGTAGTGAATTGATCGACTTCAAGAGAAGAGAAATGAAGTCCCCGTCTATTCCTGCGATTATCCACTGCGTGCAGAACTCAAACAATCGTGGATAATAGCCGGCAGATGTCCAATCAATAGACACAGAGATCCGTCTTCCTGCCACAGGTTTTTTCGAGGCGCTGTGTCTAAATGACACAAATATTCAAGCATCTCCGCAATTCTTCGAACAGAACCCGTTTCGCCCAATGGTTCAATAGTCTTTTCGTCAATGAACTTCATCACAATATAGCCACAGCCTCTCTCGTCAGCAAGAAAGCATACACACGCGGGATGCGCACTATGCGACTATCAACAAGCTCATAGGGTATCTGCTGATTTTCGGCTTCTTTTGTCACATCTGGGCCGCATTTGACTTTCGTGACTGGACATTCTGATGACGCGCTAACTAAAAGAACTAACAATACTTCCAGGCGATAAATCCTCACAATAAGCGATCATCGAGGCTAGTTGGAGGTGTTGCACAGACGTTATGCCTTTACTTTGCTAAAGCTTGGCGGGGTAACTTTCATGGTGAAAGCCACTTTTCTTTTCGAATAACATGTAATGTGGCGCAATTCAGGATACCGCCACATCTGCCAGTGCCTTTGACCGCCACACATTAATCCAAGAATGTCCAACAGCTACGTACGTCGTTGCACAACGCTATCAGTAGAACAGCTGTGTAAGTCGAGCTTATCAAAGTCTCAATGACGTCATCAATATGCCAGGTGATGGATCCGCAAGGAGCTCTGGGCATCCTTTGATATACTGACGACGTCTGTTGATGGGAAATGAAACTCCAAGTTCGCTTAATGGTGGCTGGAATGAAGCGTATCACACAATCAAGTTTGAATTTTACATAGTAGAGATGTGACAGATATGGTAGGCGGGGKCGGCGMCCCGCCAATCAGCMCCCGCCGGCCTCATCTTGCCCTTTCGTCGTGATTCAGCGAAGGTAGTTTGTACGACCTGATGACTCATGGAAATGATAGGCCAGTGATCTTGATCTGGTATCTCAGCGGAGAAGAACGGAGATAGATATATTGCCTGTCATCTGGTACAGGCCGAGCCATGGAATAGGTGCTGACTACTTGTGTACGTATCTATGTACGTGGTAGGTATGGATGTTGCAATTGAAGCCACAAAGCCACGGCGTGCTCTTGGCCTCTGCCTAGTCATCATCCGGCAATCCTTGAGAAGCGTGGTGGGAGCATCAACGACGTTATACAGCGGATCCGTTGTTTGACAATGCCTTGGAACTCGAGCATTAAACATCGACTAGTGTTGTCGGGCTGACTCCCGAGCTCCGCAGGATGATCAAATCAAGATAGTAGGCTGGCCGTGACGACCATGTGCGTTGTTCGTTGACCTACTACGTATATACGTATGTTATCGCTTCACAATTCGACTACTACGTAGTCGACTCGCGAGTGCTCGATCACCAACCCCGATTCTGACGCCTAGTCCTAGTTTCACTATGATGTCCTAGGAATTGGTCACTGACAAGTACCTAGTACGTGGTTGGGCTTCCTTTTTCACTGACGATCTGTGGCTGATAGAAACCTGCTTTCGTCATTTCGTGCCGAGCTGTAGGAATAATTGGACGGGCAAAAATCGCCGTTATTAATATAACTTGGCGATGTTTTCTTTTTGCCTTTTGTGTATGCGTGGCCCCTTGCGAGATTTATATTGATAATCCATTGCATCCTTGGTGTATCGAACGATGAAGATGAAAAGATATGATTTAGTTCACTCCTACGTAGTAGTCTTCCTGCACGATGACTCCAAGCGGCGGAATGGCTGTCGACGCGATCTTCCCATTGGAGCAAGGCCCCCGCTGCGCTTGCAGTTTCATTCGCCACTTTCCTTGCTCTGAGTACTGTGGACAATGTACTATGTAGAAGACTATGCTGTGATTCGCTTGTTTACTACGTACTGTGTAGTAATAGTCTTAACGGTAGACGGAGAACTTCTACGACGTATGTAATGATCACAACTCATCATGCTGAGATATGCGATCAGCAGAAATGCAGTAATACCGTAGTGATTGACTCAAGGCACCGTTGTATCTCTAACCAATCCAACCGCGCTCTCGAAGCATCCTTCCGGGCGAGGAAAAACTCGTCCAGGCTGAACCACGGGCGTGCAGCGGCAACGGAACTCTGTCTGTCTCTGCTACACACTCCATACAACACGGAAGTAGAGAATTGGCCTCTGCCAGCCCGAGCCCGCTACGAACAGCCCGGCTCGTTTTGCCCCTCCGCGTCCTCTGCTTCCTTCCTTCCCTGCCAACCAAGGTCGCGGCTATACCATCTCCGTGTCGATAATTCTTCAACTCTCTCTCTGCTCTTACCATCTCTTACATATCTCTACCTGATCAATACCCCACCTCACATAGTGTGTGCGTGCGTGCATGTGCGTATGTCTTTCGTGCTTTGATTATACTTCTTGGAATGTCTCTCCTTCTGGCGTGATATTTTAATTGCATTTCCTTCACTATCAAATCCACTCGTTGCCCGCTCCATCCCTATCGCGAACCTGGGACTCTGGGACCACATTGTTGCTTGTGAACTTTTGAGTATCATCACTTCTTTTTTTTCAACCTGACGGATTTGCCTAAACCGCCTCGTTTTTGCGCTTCCCGCCTATCGGCATTTTTCCTGCTCCGCCAACATTTGCTCGAAAACCAAGCTTATACCGTTCGACGCCTGATAGCTGAGACCCCGCATTGGCAATCACGAACCGCGTTCTTCGCACCAAGTCGCAATCTTTGACACACACACACACACACACACACGCCGTCGACCGTTGTTCGAACCGTTCATCGAATTATATGTAGACTACGAGCGACCAAAAAACTGCATACTGTTTGACTAGCTCGTGCCAGTGGTTTCAATTCAGCATTCCACTCGGCTGCCGTAACGCTATCGAGGCTTCTTGCCGTTGAGAACACCTCGAATATTGGTGTATCCATCTATACCAGTTAAGATGGAAGAAAATCAGAAGATGCCGGTCGTGGAGGACGTGCCGATTTCACCTGCCTCCGAAAAAGAACCAGGCTCCCCGGTATCACCCTCAGAGAGGTCGCCTGCCAAATCACTACCGTCATACCGACCCGGCTCGAAAGGAAACATGACCGAATCATCGACTCCTCTCGGCCAGGTGAACGCCGCTCGACGCGGAGTCGTACCGCCTCCGCGACCACTTGCATCCTTAGGTGGCCAGTCCGGTGGTCTCAATCAAGATATAATGGCTAGGATGAAGGCGTTTTCTCTGTCAAGACAAGGCGCTCCGGCGGGACTCGCACATACTACGTCTACTGGGGGTATACCATCATCGTCGCCGGGAACAGTTCCCACCAACGGTGTTGGTAGCCCCGTTCACGGTTCTCCTCACGCGGTACCGGTTGGTGCCTTTGCTGGAGGGCTGGCAGGACGGCTACCTCCCACCGCACGTCCGCAGGCTCCGAACTGGTCATCTTCCCCTGTGGTTCCTTCCACAAGTCCTAGGCCGGGCGGATTGGCTGCTAAACGACTCAAGCCGGGCCTGAAACTCTCAGACGCTACCGCATCGTCGCCAATTACCAGAACATCGCCGGCAGCAAGCGAGAGCGGTGCTCAGGGATCTGACGGCGCAACCGAGTCTGCATTTAGCAAGTACTCTGAGTTCATCGACACCAAAGCAGGTACTCTCAGTTTCAAGAACAAAGCGGTCATTCACGGTAATGGCATTGAGTTTTCGTCAGGCCAGAGTTTCAGCATATCGTTAGATGAAGTAGATCGACTAGATGAACTAGGAAAGGGCAACTACGGTACCGTATATAAAGTGCGACACAGTCGGCCGCACCTACGAAAACCAGGCCTTGGTCTGTCTGGTATCGTGAGCCGAGCGACCGCACCAAACGATGGGTCATCCCCCGTCTTACGGCCCAACGACAATCTCACTGGAGTCGTCATGGCCATGAAAGAGATTCGATTGGAACTAGACGAGAAAAAATTGACGCAGATCATCATGGAGCTGGACATTCTTCATAGATGCGTTTCTCCTTTTATAATTGACTTTTATGGCGCCTTCTTCCAAGAAGGTGCGGTCTACATGTGTGTGGAATATATGGATGGAGGATCCGTCGACAGGTTATACGACGGTGGTGTTCCTGAGGATGTGCTACGGAAAGTGACTCTTTCCACTATTATGGGTTTGAAGAGCCTCAAAGATGATCACAACATCATCCATCGTGATGTCAAGCCGACCAATATTCTTGCCAACACAAGAGGGCAAGTCAAGATTTGCGACTTTGGAGTGAGTGGAAATCTGGTAGCGAGTATTGCGAAGACGAACATTGGATGCCAAAGTTACATGGCCCCGGAGCGAATCGCTGGCGGAGGCATGCAGCAGGCTGGTGCTACCGGTGGCGGAACATACAGTGTGCAGAGCGATATCTGGAGTTTAGGTTTGTCGGTGATTGAGTGCGCAAAAGGAAGATACCCGTATCCTCCTGAGACATACAACAACATCTTCAGTCAACTACATGTATGTGATGAGACCTTTTATAAAACAGATGAAACAGATTTGCTGACAGGATTAGGAAATTGTACATGGCGAGCCACCCACTTTACCTGACGAGTTCTCCGACAACGCAAAATCATTTGTCCGCGCTTGTTTAGACAAGAACCCCAGCAATCGACCGAACTATGCGCAACTGCTTCGGCACCCTTGGTTAACTTCATTGATGGAGCCACCTACCTCTACTCCACCCGCCGACGATGACCAAAGCGTCTCGTCCGATCAATCCGCCGAACCTTCTCCCCAGCCATCGCCGAATGAAACCGAAGATACCGAAGTGGCTGCATGGGTATCTGGTGCTCTCGAACGACGTCTACACAATCTTATGGGCTCCCCGGAAAAGCCAGCGCTGCATGCAGTGGCGCTGGATGCTGTTGGTGGCAGTCCTCTGCTAGAAGAACCATCAACGATCTCGCCCGCTGTCTGATCCCCTTCCAACCATAGATTGAGGCGCCGGCGCCGTTATCACTCAACTATTCAACATGGAATTTTATATCGGTTGGCACTCTCGATGAATTACACCAAGAAACATTGTCGTTCTATTTCTCTGTGGGGAATGTGTGGTACAACCGTTCCGCGCATACCAATCAACATCTATCGTTTGGTTAGCATTTGCCTTTTGCATTTTGCTCGTGCTGTTCTTTTCATTGGGCTCATCTGCCCTTTCCTTGTCATATGTTAACCAATACTCTCTCTGAGCATGTTCATTATTGATACCTCTCATGATTGATTAAGTGTTTAACCTCTTGTTACGAATGGTCACGGTTATATGGGTTTATGTAAATACACTACTACATTATAGAGACGAAGCAGCAATCGTATACGAAGCGAGTCAGGATCGGAAGTATTGCAACTGTACGTACGTATAGGAACAATAAGTAAGAAAATGGTCTAGAATTACCAAAATTACAAAGCCGACCGCTTAGTAATATAGTCCGTAAGCCGTTACGTTACTTACCGTACGTACACCAAATGTCCGCCTGGCAAAGAGAAAAAAGTCGACTGAAACCAGAGCAAACGCTGTACAATTACTAAACTCCGTTACTCCGTACGACAACCCCTCCTCGAATGACGAATTCTGGAGCTGATAATTAGCAGCATCGCCCCTCTTCTCCGTTCCTGTTGTTGTATATAACCTCCCCCCTTGACTTCGCATCGGCATCAATGCTTGTCCGCTTACCCCACGTCACTCCGAGTCGTCCGTCGCAAGCATATTCACTTATCCGGAAAACGACAACACGAAGAACATTTACGTGTGCGGCACAGATCTATTCAACCCTGGATTCTTCTACATCTACTCTCAGACCTTCCGCAGCTCGACAGATTTCTGCTGCTTCATCAGTATCCTCGCGTCTCGCTTCTTTGTCTAGACAGGTCCCCTCGTCCGCGCCGTATTCCACCATGGCGCCCATCGAGACCAAAACGTACGATTACATTGTGATTGGAGGTGGCAGCGGTGGCAGTGGTAGCGCCCGACGAGCTTCGGGGTGGTATGGCGCAAAGACCCTGATTGTCGAGAGTGGTCGTTCAGGCGGTACCTGTGTCAATGTTGGGTATGCCATCCCTTCCTTGAATTTTCACCATGCATCGATACTGACCTCTGGTTAGATGTGTCCCCAAGAAAATGACATGGAATTTCGCCTCCATCAACGAAAACCTCCACGCCGCTCGTCACTACGGTTACGATGTCCAAGACAACATAAAATTCGACTATGCCCACTTCAAGAGTATCCGCGACTCCAGAATCCAGCGGTTAAACGGCGCTTACGAGAATAATTGGGGCAAGGAAGGGATCGATCTGGTCCATGGCCGCGCTCGCTTTGTTGAGCCCAAGGTCATTGAAGTTACTTCCAACGATGGCTCGGAGACCAAAACTCGCTATACTGCCAAACATATCCTGATTGCCGTCGGTGGACACCCCGTCATTCCGGGTATTGAGGGCGCCGAGCACGGTATTAGCAGCGACGGATTTTTCGAGATCGAGGAGCTGCCCAAGAAGTGGGCCGTTGTCGGTGCTGGATACATTGCGGTTGAATTGGCTGGTGTTTTGGCTGCGGTCGGTGTTGAGACGCACATGTTTATCCGTGGTGATACCTTTCTGCGTAAATTCGACCCTATGATCCAGGAAACTATGACGGCGCGATATGAGGCTGCTGGTATCAAAATTCACAAGCAACACAAGGGTTTCCAGCAGATCCAGCTGCTCAAGGAAGGAAAGGGCGCCGAGAAGGTGTTGAAATTGATTGGTGTTGAGGGAGATGAGATTGAGGTTAATGAGTTGCTATGGGCTGTTGGACGTGCTCCAGAGGTTGAGGATCTTCAGCTGCATATTCCGGGAGTCAAGCAGGCCCATAGCGGACATATTATTGTGGACGAGTTCCAGAACACCAGTGCCGAGGGTATCTACGCGTTGGGTGATGTTACTGGTCAGGCTGAGCTGACGCCTGGTAAGTCTTTCACTCTGATCACCTTGTAAAAGTACGTACTAACAAGGAAAAGTCGCCATTGCCGCCGGCCGTAAACTCGGTAGCCGTCTCTTCGGACCCCCTGAATTCAAAACCGCCAAACTGTCCTACGAAAACATCCCCACCGTCGTCTTCTCCCACCCTGAAGTAGGCACAATCGGCCTCACAGAACCGCAAGCCCGCCAGCGCTTCGGCGACGACAAAATCAAAGTCTACAAGACCCGCTTCACCAACATGTTCTACGACTTCTTCCCGGACGAAGAGAAGAAACAGAACCCAACGCAGATGAAGATTATTTGTGCGGGACCCGAAGAGAAGGTTGTTGGACTTCACATCCTGGGGTTGGGAGTCGGGGAGATGTTGCAAGGGTTTGGAGTTGCGATTAAGATGGGTGCTACGAAGGAAGATTTTGATAGTTGTGTTGCTATTCACCCGACCGCTTCGGAGGAGTTGGTAAGTTTTTTTTCTCTTTCGATCAAATGAACAAAAAGAGTTGCTAATGACGTTTTAGGTGACGATGCGATAAATGTACATAACCGCGTTTGTTGTATTTGAGTCCGTAGATGGAGGCGGATCCGACAAAGTTCCGGTATGTGTGATTAGAATTGGTGGGTTGACTGCAGACTCGAAACGATATATCAAGTATACCTAGTTGTCCTTCATCCTCCCAAGAGCTCAACGGTGAAGTTCGTTCGGCCGAATGACCATCATGCCGAAGTACGGAGTAGAAAGTGTGTAGCTAGTACAAGAGTAGATAAGATAAGCTTATCTCTGGTGACCCTTCGGCTTTGCGCTTGTCCAGCCGAGGGCTCGCTCCTCCATCTCTTTCGCTATTGATGTGGCTCAATTCAGACATGAAACACACTACACGCGCTGATGTAATTCGGGAGCGACTACAACCGTCCGACTGCTCAAAGTCAGCCTCATTCACAACCACAGCCACAGCCTCACAGCTTTCACGGCTTTCTGCACTCTAACAACTATCCGACTGCAGGCAGGGTACATGACTGTGTGGCCAATTGCAGTCCACTTCTGTAGCGAATCACTGCCTATCATCGAGGCAGATAAGTGCGGCACTAATCTAGCACTAAACAAGGAAGGTGTTCGTCCCCTCACAATGAAGTTTGAGCACTGAATGCTACCACCCCACAGTCACCGGTGCATATCAGTGGAGTCGCATACACTCCGAGTACGAATGACCATCGGCATTTCAGTATGCATATCCACTGTAGCCTGATCTTCGTGTAGTGTGATTCGCTGGGTAGATTGTTGATGGAGTGACGTTGATAGCTAGGAACTTGGGTGTGGGTTTCAGAGATAGGTACTTAGCCTGCTTATCTAGAATGGGTAACTTACGTAGGGAGTACCTAGCTGGTTACCAATAGGCATAGTATGATCCGAGGCCTGCTGCTTCGCTTACTTTCTTCTTTCCGTTGTCCGCCTTTCTGTGTCTTCTGTCTTGCGTCGTCACTTGTTCGGCCACGTTTTTGTCAGATCCGATGCGAGTCAGGTACCTCATCTGCTGCTCTTAGTGGGACGTGATAAGCTGAGGTACCTTCGGCTGGGCTTAATTATTCATGCCGGTTTAGCTACCTGCTACATTTGAGCTTGACTACAGTTAATGTCTCGTGAGGCTTGTAGCTGTGACTTTTGGAAGAACATCGTAGCCCTGAAAGGCTCTGAGATATAAAGACAAAGGTCCCCATCAATCTTTGCCATTCCAAGGTTGTTGACAAGAGCGGTCAATATTCTGATACTCAAGGTCATAATCAGGGTTTATTAAGGACTATTCGAAGCAATCGAATATCCTTGTACTGTTGCTACTTCAGCAATGGCCGACAACCAAAAGACAGAGGACCTCGAGTCCAACAACCTCGCAACAACGCCCACCTACGAAACAAAGAAACAGCCCGCACAAGACCTCTCCAATGAGGATTTGAGCATTCAATCACCTTCGGATCTAGTCAATGTGCAACTCGACTCCGCCAAGGAGAAGAAGTTGCTGGCGGCGTTAGATCTACACTTCGTCCCGATTATCATGTTTGCGTATTTGACTTGTTTCCTTGATAGAGGGAATATCGGTACATCCCTATACTTCTTATTTTGAGGATAAAATGAGGTATACTGATGATTGGTAGGAAATGTCAAAGTAGCAGGTATGCCAGAAGACATTGGTGCCTCCAACGCACAGTACTCCACCGCCGTCTCAATCTTCTACGCAACATACGTCACATTCGAAACGCCCCTTGCCATGTTAATGAAGAAAATTACTCCACGCAATCTCCTCTGCGGGCTTTGCGTGGTATGGTCACTCACCACCATTTTCACGGGTTTCGTGACTAGTGTTGGCGGTTTGTATGCCAGTCGCCTTGTGCTTGGTTGTTGCGAGGCGGGGCTGTTCCCATGTCTGAATTTGTATATTTCCATGGTGTATAAGCGAGAAGAGCAGGCGAAGAGAGTCTCGTATCTGATGAGTTGTGCGGCGCTTTCAGGGGCTGTGGGTGGTTTGTTGGCTTATGGGTTGTTGCAAATGGATGGTGTGGCTGGGRAAGCTGGTTGGAGGKTTGTCTCTTTTCTTGAAGAACGTTCGGTATGGAATCTGACAGTTACAGGTGGGTGTATATTATTGAAGGTATCTTCAGCATAATCGTGGCTGTGTGGATTTGGTTCGGGCTACCCAATGACCCTACAAACGCCTACTTTTTGACTCCGGAGCAAAAATGGATGATGCAAGTCCGAAACGAGCAGTCGAGACATTATCTTGGTCCTGAAAAGTTTACCTGGGATCAGTTCTGGATCGAAGTGCGCGATCCCAAGTTATACTTCAGGTTCGTATTCTCTTCTCTATCATTTGAGGGAAGAAGACTGACAAAACAGTGCCGCGACACAATTCTGCCAGGACATCCTACTCTACGGCTTTAGTACTTTCTTACCCGCCATCCTCAAAAGCTCAGGCTACGACACCCTCCGAAGCAATGCCTTGACCGTCCCCGTCTACATCTGGGGCGTTATCAGCTTCACTCTTCTTGCTTGGTGGGCAGACCGCATCACACGCTTCGCCCCCTTTATTCTCGGCGCAAACGCCGTTTCCATGATCGGCTACATCCTCTTGCTAGCTGTTAAAACCAACAACGCAGTCCGCTACTTCGCCACTTACCTCTGTGTAGTAGCCTGCTACCTTGGTCCCGGTCTCAATTTGGCCTGGTTGAATGTCAATGTTGCGCCTCATCATCGCCGTGCAGCGGCTGTTGGGTTGCAGCAGACTATCGGCAATACAGCCGGCATCGTTGCGGGTCAGGTTTATCGTACTTCGCCGTATGTTTTGGGCAATTCTTTCTCGTTGGGTGCGGTCTGTCTTGCGCAGTTGTTGGTTGTAGGTCATACGTTGTATATTCGACGAGAGATAGCGCTTAAGGAGAGTATTGCGGAGGGCAAGGTAGAAGATAAGAGGAACGTCACTACTGGTGATGGAGCTGTTGACTACAAGTATTTTTATTGAGGGATGATTATCTTCTGGCTGTCTGTTTGGCTCGAAACATAAATTTGAGGGAAGCTAGCTTTCAACATGTTTTGGTGTGTATTGATATAGCCATCTAGGTACAAAGTTACTGGTATTATTGCTTAAAGTAAGCTAGTGGTCACTAAAAGCATCTACAGCTGTCATCTAGCATGTAGAAAAATCAATGTTATATGTTAAAAGTTGGATACCGTCATACATCCTCACAAACGCGACTTTCGCATCCACTTCTCAAAGCTAACCGGAGTCCACCACGGCCATGCCGCCGGTATTTCCCCATTATTATTGAAACTCGCCTTGAAATCAGGCTTGCGTTTCTCAAAGAAGCTCAGAACACCCTCCATGTTATCGCCCTTGCCAAACATATCCCAGATCAAGCGCGAGTCCAAGAGATGCGTTTCTTCGGCGCTGTGGGGGGTTCGCCACAACAAATCTCGCATGATAGCTGTGGACACGGTGGATGTGTTTTCTGCTATATCAGTGGCGAGTTCCAGGGCACGCGCAACGGTTGCCTCTGGTGAAGGGAGGGTTTCCGAAAACAGGTTTGATAGTAATGGGTGCGAGGCAGGGTAGACACTACCGGTAGTGACTAAATGCATCGCACGCGAATGGCCAACCAATTTCGGTAGGAAGAATGCAGATGCACCCTCCGCAATCAACCCACGACGAGCAAACACGAAGCCAATCTTGGCATCCTTGTACGCTACTCGAATAGCAGCCGGAAGCGTACAGGTGATACCCACACCAACCGCCGAACCATTGATAGCCACGACAGTGGGCTTTCGACAACGGTGCATCGCCATGGTCACCCACCCGGCACCGTCGCGATGATCCCTTGCACCACCTGGTTCGATCTCATCCTTGGAACCATTTGCCGCAAATCCAACTTCGAGATCTGCTCCAGCGCAAAACATCTTGCCGGAACCGGTCAGGACGATGGCGCGCACTCGGTCGTCAACATCAAAGAGGTTGTACACTGTTCTGAGTTCCTGTGCCATTTCGCTGGTCCATGCGTTGTGTTTTGTGGGGCGGTAGAGCGTTACTACGACCACCTTTGTGACGGTGGGTGAGTCGGCGGGGACATGGCTGAGTTTGATGCTTTTGGTTGGAAGGGCGGCATAGGAGGTAGGGAGTTCTGGTGAGTCTGCCATTCTTGTGACTTGAAGATGTCTTGTTCTAAGTAGTCGGAGTGTGTCTAATTGATGGAATGGGACGATTTCAGGGGCAATACAGAGTAGAGATATATACCAGTCCTTGAGAACTACGTACCTAGGTAGTCTCAGTGCTAACGGACAATGAAGAAGACAAAAACAACAAAGGCACAAAGGCACAAAGACAGAAAGACACAAAGGCGAGGGCCGAGAAACCGAGGCAGCGGGCCCACTTCTATACAAAGGATGAGATAAGGTGCTTGCGGGGAGGCATTGATGCGGGGAAAGCTGTCTTATTGGCTGCATTAAGCTTAAAGTATAAACTGTAAATAACCTCGAACTTTTGATTCATTCAATCTTGTTCCTATTGAGATTCATTCTGGAAATTCTGAGTAGCAATGTTGGAAATGAATGTATATAGCCCCCGACTGGTTGAGATGTTTTAATCTGCGAAATTCGCTTCCCGATCATGTCGTGAAAACCCCCGAAATTTTCCTTTATATCAAGCCTATTCCTCGACGCAAATAATATTCTAGATCCGTCCGCTCTTTTCCCTCTTCCTGTCAGAAAACTGCTCTATCGCGCGAATATCACATCAAAAATCGTCGAGACTCAACCCCGGAAAGTTTTCCAACAAGTGATCAAATCGATCAACGAAAATAATGTTGTACCCCGTATAAGGCACTCGCGGAAGATTCGACAAGTCACTCAGACCTAGCAGCATTCTCACGTACCGGGCCGATGCTGCAAATCCAAGCAAGGAAGTACGTGGATTTTGCTGAAGAGCATACAGGCTATATCTCGCAAGATTGCGAATCTCGGTCTTCAGAGGTTCAATGACCATACCAAGCATCCTCTCTCGCTCAATGTTGAGGGCGCCTAAAACGAGAAGTCAGGGATTTTGTACCAGAAGACAGATCAAATAATGTAGAACTAACCAACTATGTATTCATCAATAGATGCTCTAGGATCGTGGATAGGGGCTTGAGCCCATAATATCAGAAATTTGGTTGCCAGGCGGAATTCCCCGCGCAGACGCAATTTCCACGAAATAAAAGTGCACAAAAGTCCATCTCTCACGACGGTATCGTCATCGATACCGAACGCTATATGGCGTCGATACTGGCTCAAAGCATCGAGGCCCCATAATCTCAGAAAACCGCTGAGAAAATCAATGCATTTCAAGTACTCCGCAATCACGACCATCTTTCCGAGGAGGCTTAGATCAATGATCTCCGGTATGTCGCACAGCTGGTGGTGCATAATACGAAGGAGAATAAGGAGGGCCACAGGATCCCATTTTTCCTCCCACAGGTATAGTCTGATTCCTCCGTCGCGCTGGAAGTGTGCGTTCTCGAACCATGGCCCCGTGAACAAATTCTTAAAGTATCTGGAGACAAGACAGAGCTGTTGCCCTTTGAGCCTGTACGAAACTGAAGCTGCTTCTGCTTTCTCGCTGTCCGCGGTTTGGGTGTTTGATGGGGGTACTCCCTCCCCTCCATGCTCTTCTGACCCTGAAGGTTGTTCACAGCAGACCACCATTGAACTGCTTGAATGCACATCGATCTTTGCACTATCGATGCCATTATGCTTGGCATGATCAGTCTCTGGGTTGACCAAGACTAGGATTGTGTTTCCGTGGGGATCGAGGTCATGATCCACAAGCATGCTGCGGACTTCCTGTAGAGATAATGGTGTCATATCGGTGAGATGGAAAATTCACTCAATCTGATAGACAGTTAGAAAGAATGCAATATTTAGTCAAGTGGGTTGTACTTGAGAAAATAGTGAATATTGGGTGATTCACTTGCCAGACTCAATGTCTCAATGAGGTTGATGCGAGTAATACTAGTAAAATGAGATATTGGTGGGTGTAATGGAAGTAAGGTCAAAGTAAGTTGAAAGTGAGGATGTAGGGTGTCGGTTGACTTCCGTTGGTGAGTTTTGAAGAGCCTCGTAGCAATAGTGAGAGAGGTTGGTGATTCAGAAGAGTCATTTGATGAATAGATGTCAAGAGAAGCCTAGTCTATCACCAGATTCTTCATCAAGTCATAGGTCGATTGTAGTTGACAGTTGATATTTCTCAAGATAGATGGATGGTATTAGCAAGATTGATTCCAGGAGGCTGTCATTCATTCCCAGTAGACCAAATCTCAAACACAGATGAGAGATCAGTTCAGACTCACTTCTGATCTCAGCATGCTTCACGTAAACAGTCACTCGCGGTCCTGTTTCAAGCTTCTGGTAGAGATGACCTCAAGGTGAGATATTGAAAATTGGATGAGATTCTCAGGGAGCCTTGATAACACATTATATAGAAGAAGTTCGTAGCTGCATTGAGGGGACTTTGGCTGTTCATGAAAAATGTATGGGAAGGTCAACTTTATTCCATCAAATATGAACTGTACGATAGTGGCATTGCGAGTTTTCTGGATGCATGGTAATCGAGAATATGGGATGACCTGAATCCGGAAAGTCGAAAAATACTTCTCGCACAATCTTGAGCTGGCTGTAGAGAATCACCTTCTGGAGCATATCGCTAGCTTGAATAACGACGACACTTATATCTTCAGACTGAATGTCGACAGCTAGGGAAGATGCATTCGTTGCTACGTGTTTGATATCTCTTACCCGCGCTATCAGAACTAGTAGACGTGATTGATGTCATTCGTGCTTGTGACCATTATCCTCTTCGTGATCATGTATCTGAAAAGACAAAATTCGCCTAACACTATTCTATCGTTGGACTGGTTGCTGTCTCTGAGCTTAATGCGGCGATAGAATGAATGAGAGGTTCAAAGTCACATAAAAAGTCTCATAATTTTGGGCAAATGACCACACAGACCAGTTCTGTAAGTCTTGAAGGTCGCTGTTCTTGGTTTGTGCGACAAAAATCATTTATCGTTGGACAACAGGTGAGGAATGATGCTTGGAATGATGGCTTCTTATCCACCGAATTCATTCAGAGGGTATCCGATGTGGGCCATGAAAACCGAGAAAGATTTTGTTTTGAATTCCATCATCATAATGGTCGTCGCTCAATGAAGTCTTTGTTATCGGATAATAAAGCTGGCACTTGAGCTTCCGGGATGTTATCAGTCGGTAACATGCCTTGTCTTAAATCTCCCTGGTCAATGCTAACACCAGGAAGCTGCAGACTGTCTGTCAAAATGCCTGATTCTATTTGGCTCTGACTATCGTCACCCAGGTGCGGTGACTTCCATAAATGTAGATGGAAATTTTTTATTGCAATGACGGTCGCGGTGAGTAAAAGAGATGCAAGGGAAGCAATAATGAGTCGAAGAGTGATTCTTATCGACATTTCGAATATCTGTAGGATAAATTGTATTAGTGTTCTTGCAAAAGAAGAAATTTTCAAAGTTATATTTTGCTTCCCTGAGATGAAATACAAACGCAAGAGATGCCGAGGTATGCATTCACAGAATGGTGGGCAGCAGACATCATAAGGTTGCACATCGGATGAGATTTCTGGGTTTGTGCTACAAAAACTGGAATTGATGCAATGAATATCCATGGGTATGAGAATTATTGCTGAAAAATTCTGAAAATACCTAGGCAGATAGAAAACTCTTGCTAGAAGTGGAGTGTTACCTAAATGTACATGTTTTAAATTACCTTTTTCGGTCATTTAGGGCTTCTGTCACCGTTATGGCTTCTTCGCACGTACGTTGCTCACTTTCGGGCAAGTAGGGTATTTTTATCATGCTTACCATTCAAAAATTTATACTTAATTATCGATCTTTTAATCTTAGTCCGAGTACGCCTGATATAAAAGAGAAAGGACCTTGGGTTTGGTTGCAATCCTACACGGACTATTAAACTTGAGATGACACTGTTCTCATTAACCAACAGTACCTTCAAAAAATCTGCGATCCAAGTTCCATGACATTCACAGTCGCCAGTGTCAGCATTTATTGCCAATGTCTTGGGAATTGTGTGTGCCGAAAGATGCAAGACAGAACTTAACAACTAATCTACAGCTAGGCGCACCTTGGAGGGGTTAGGTGGCATGAAAACCATTATCACCTACTTTCTTATCATGGGATTATATAAAGTCTAATTAAGATATAGTAGTAGTTACGCCCACGTGCCGAAATATGGATGCATCTTAACTCTTCGCCGTATCTAGTCCTTATCAATCTTTGACCCAACAATGTAACGTCAATCCATCCATGCTAATCTAGTCCATTCCTGTTCATATACTCCAAATGGTATTATACTTTAGACCTCAAAGACTGGTCGTTAATGATGGTCTCTTCTTTTTCTTCTCGCCTATTGAATCGTGGAAGTTCATTCCACAGATCCTGCAATGTAACCTTCACTTTTTCCATGGATTTCTTGTACATCTCGACCGTTTCATCCAACATGGCCCACAGTAGCACCGTGAAGATGGTGACAGGAATTGTAATAGCCCAGTAGATCCAGAACTTATCTGACATCATCCAGTCTGCAGAGCTACTGTTGTTTGGCGGGTTGTAGTTGAAGAAGGTCATCCCGAAGATTCCAGATATAAATGTACCGGGTAGGTATAGCACGCCAATCAACGCGAGAGCCTTCATCGTGGCGTTGTCGCGTCGTGCAATTGAGGCAAGGTTGATCGATAGTTGATTACTCTTTTGGGTGACGACATGGTAGGCCTTTAGGGCAATAATTTCATCATTAGCAAAGCAGTTGAATACTTCAAAAGATTTCATGACTAGGTGGAAGGAAATACTCACTAGGTTGATTTCATTGTGGAGTCGCTCATTCAAGCTGGTGGCTCTGGCCTTTTTGGCTGCCATGTCCTTGTCCGAAATATACAGCTTCTCTTGAATAATCCTAAATAACTTCTGTCGAGGTTTTTGCTCTTCGGTTGTTATCAATCCCATCGTCTCGAATTCGCTATAGAGACTCTGGTGATGATATACTATACTGTCGATTGTGTTTGTGGCTACTTCAAATATCTCTTTGGCATGAATCAAGTGCCTACCAAGGTCGTGAAGCAGTGGAAAGTCGGGTTCCTCATGTCTTTCCTGTAGGGACGTTAGTCGCGCATGCCTCGAGATAGCAAGTAATGTCTTTCACAAGAGCAAAGAGAAGTAGTTGAAAATATTGCATACTCTTTCCCATTTGCGTACAATATCACGCAGTCTCCAATAGTCACTCTCATATTCAGACTCTAACCCTCCAATCAATAACGCATGCCAAATAAATGGATCGCGACAAGCCGATACCACATGCCCGGCGAGACCAACAGGACGAGAAGGGCCAGATAGACAATTTCGTACAATTTGATCCACAACAGCTTTCGGACAGTCAACAAACAGGACAAATTGTTTATTCTTCGATTGGCGAGTAAAGACTGAGACCTGTGACCAATGATATTTGATTCCCGCGATCCCATTGCCCTGATAGACATGTTTCATCTTGAATGTGCTCCATGTGTCTATTGTTCTATCAGTTTCAATTTCTCTTCAGCATTAGAAGGGAGCGGACCGTATGTAAAGTCAGATTCCTCCTCGTAGCGCTCCAGCCCAAATGCACCATTCAGATCTTCCTCCACGATACGCCAGAAGCTTGGTGGGAAAAATGAATCAAGCTCGGCAGAATGTGGTGAGCCATCAGACACTGATCTCTCTGCAAACCTTGTACAACGTTAGTATAGGATTATACATGTCCAGAAAGGGATACAAACATTACAAGTCGCCGACAGCTCTTTTCGGGCTATATTGGTAAAGCCAAATCAGTCTGACACGAACCGGAAAGAAGGAGCTACGTATTTTGCATACATAGTTCTGTAGCACCTGTTCAAGGCTACTATTGTACTTGCGGTACCGATTTTTTTCTGTCCAATGTGTTAGCCTAGTCTGTGAAAGTATTCGCGTTGATGCTGATATCAGATGAAGGGTGGAGACAGAGGCTTAGTGCAAATCTCAGTCATGAACAAGGAAAGATGTCAGAATTACCGTATTCTTCATAGTACTGAACGTCAGAGTGATCAGAAAGCCCGATTCTCTGCATGCTTCTAATAGTTCGACGACTAGCGTGCATGAATAATAATAATAGAGTCAACACTTATTTCGACTTATTGACTGGGATGATGGAAAGGCAGAAATGACTATGTAAGCTTTATCAGTATCAATTTCCCAAGTGTTTCGAGACAGTCGTTATGGAGTATTGTATATAAAAGAGATTATAGTTGAGCTTCCGAAGAATAGCGGTTAATGAAGTACAAAACAGTGTTGATGAGGCTGAACTTCGTATATCATAATAGGCACATTCGGATGGCTGTGCATATGCGCCTAGTGCAAGCTGGCCAGCACAGCCCAGATGATCACCCCATACAAATATCGCAGATATGCCGCATCTCGCCACCTGCGGAATGTCTATTCTTGAACTTTGATTTCTTCTCAATATGTGACGAATGAAATAAGATGTCCGAGTCTTATATCGCGCAAGGCAAATCTGTCATTACTTACCCTAACCCTTGTCAAAATACCCAAACCCTAAAGTCGATTAACATCGAAATCAATCTCAATGTACACACATACAGGAATCCTAATATTGAGACCTGCTTTTGTCTACCTCTATAACGTTTGAACTTGATACGAGTGATATAGTTCTTATGTGGTCGTGATTCATGCTATTTGATTGGCACGCCACTTTCAGCATTTAATCTCTGAGGTGAACCGTTATGTACATAATTAGTGTATACCTAGGTACCTCTTCACTCCGTGCCATCGAAAAACCCAGGCATGAGTCAGATTTTAGATGTAATAACGTCAATCTGGTCACACTAGAAAAGACAGCTCTCCTTGGTACTAAACTCGGTGTAATCAGTCACAATGTTAGTATAGTTACCCTTGAACGACGTATCCGGCTTCTTAGGGCCATTGACAATGGCGGCAGCAGCAGCACTGCTTGTAGAGACAGTCTCAGAATTGATAAGATGGCGATCGCAGGTTCCTCCAGGAAGAATCTGATCTCCGGCTTTCCACTGCAATGTTGCGTACTGGTGGAAGATGTCGTTCCAGTTGGGCTGGACGGAGCCGAAGCCGCCGGGGACGACCTTGTCATAGACACCCACTACAGTGTTTTGCGCGACGTTCTGTAAGAACGTGAGATGAGAATTTTAGAAGACAAGGGATGGGATGAAGCCTTACCTCGATCTGGTTAGTCTGAGCATAATCGTCAGGGACATTGGGGTCCTGGTTGTAGTTATCAAGCCAGTCTTGGCTGGCTGTATGCGAGGTTAGAGAAGCAGTCGATGCACTTGGTTGGAGAAAGGTTCGTACCGGACAATTGCTCTCCATAAGCACCGAGCAAGTCGAGACTGTGTCCGGTCTCGTGAATCGCGACATCCATATTTCCGCTGGTCGTTCCGAAAAAGGCAATATTGCCATTGGAGTTGTAAGCGTAGTTTGAACTGGCCGGGATGGTTATGACATGTCTAACCTATGCAGTGGAAAGCGATACGTAAATAGGCTGTTTGCTAGGGGTATAGTTGAAAGATTTCTCAACATACCCAGCTACGCATAGCGACAGGAAGTCGTCCGAAGATATCGATTGTCGAGACTAGGTCAAGTGGTGTATCCTTGTGACGGCAGAATACCCATGCATCACCGCACTGAATAGTCCGAACTCTGTCAGTCAAACTTGTCTTTCCACCGGCTACTTCTTTCAATCCTTCCTGTGGTAATCACCCCTTACATCTGTGTAGTGAACATTGTAGATCTCAAAGTCATCAGGACTCTTTCCTTCGTTGTTGGCAATGTTCTTGCAATCTAGAGGAATCCAACCGGCTCCCCATTGATCCCATGTGCTTTGCGTGGGAGCAAGGTTGTCCAGACTTCCCTGTTCCAAGTAGTCAAGGTTGGAAGTGAGGGCAGGCTTATCTAGCGCTTGGCCACTGGCGAGAAAGGGACCAGTTGCAGCCAAAATAGCACCTATGAGAATCGAGGATGGAGACATTATTCTTGTTTCGTTGAAAAATTTGAGTTTGGATCGAGTCTAGGCAATAATTCAGGGAGACCTGTTCAATTTATATTCCTGTCTCTCAAAATCGATCGGAATTTTCACCTCAGTTCTCGCACTAGTATCAACTCAAGCTTCAGCAAGGGTACGAATGGTTACAGGAAAGGGTAGTAAGTATGTACAATGTACTGACTGCCCACCCTTAAAGTTCCCCATTCTACGGCACAACCTCGTTTAGACGTTCTTGGCTCTCTCAGAGATATATCTGTCGACTTTTATCTAATTCAGACCTCCAAAGGCTGCACAGGTGGTCAAATGGCCGGCTTCGCCTCGTATACTTAAGAGGTAGCATCGTGCAATGCCAAGGACTGCTAGCCAGCACGCGTGGCTGTCTTCGGTCCAAGATAGGTAGGTAGGTGCGCAAATTGTCTGATCGTGGCTTTCTGTACAGGCAAGATGAGGATTTGTTGAGTTGTTAATTGCTGACTTCCAGCTTTTGATCGAATGGATTTCTAGACGTAGATAAGCTGTGCAGATACCAGCATTGAGCTAGACATGCCAAGACTGATTATTTCTCAGAGAACGAATGAACTTCAACTTTTAATATAGAAAACTCTTGGCAATCTATTAAGCACCTTGTGGTAATAAAGGACGAAGAGCCTCTATCAATATCAAAGTCTGGTGGGCTCGTGTATGGTGGCGGATGATCAGTCGCTTGAATACAGAGTCATAACATGTATCGCTAAGGAAGCGCTTTTTTCGATTGAGGAAATAATTCAACTCCGTTTTCCATTCCTCTCACCGATCGAATGTCGTCTCTTCTGATCATCTTCAGGTTTTTTCCCAGGTACGTACTAAGCATGTGCTCCATGTCAATACTTACCGCTATTACAGGGTAACATTGTGAGGCTCTGCCGCTTATACCGAATGGGGAATCTTCTACAGACCAGATGACCAAACTATGGAGACAATGCTGTATCGAACAGAATTCCCCGCTGTATGACTGCAGAAAGTGCAGATGACAATTGTACAATCATTTTTCCCCAGGTCTATATTGGAGGATTTCCGACTCTATGATAAACTAGGGCTAATCATTAGATGTTCGAATTCAGAGAACGATCGAATCAATTAGAACATCTGAACACGAACTAGGGCATGTTCATCTTTCACTGGCTGATTATTCGGATTAGGGAAATTAGACTTACTCAAGTCATGTTGCAATGTGCAAACGCTAGCCAGCGCTAAAATTGTCTGAATCTCGAATGGTTTGAGCACTATGCCGGTTTTAGACCAGCTGCTTCGGCTTCACAAAAGACGAAAATTGGGGTCCACCGATGATCACTCACAAGGTCAATACAGCAAACAGCGTATTGAAGAGTGAAGGTCTGAACACTACGGAGTACACACAGGAATTTCTTAGGCCGAGGCATCCGAATATGCCGGATCAGCAAACATGCTCTTCATTGCAACGTACTCCATGATTAGGAGCAAGAAAGTGACTAAAGTTGAGCGCGATTCAATCGAATTCCAGAGTCTTGTTTATCCGGCTAGTGTTTCTTTGCGAATTGACCTGAGAACACTGAGCGGAGCTGAAAATTGTCACTTTAGGAAAGTAGTATTTAGTTTTACATCAGATGGCTCCGTTGATTGGTCCGGAAGAGTTATGTTGCTATTCTTGTACTCTCATACTCGCTCCCCTAATATGAAACGCCCTTTATCGAATGGGTTGAAGCCTGTTTTGTCTCCATGTTTATGTACTGTTTTGTGTAATTTGCAGCTCATAAACAAAGCCACAAACAGGTACTGGATGTACTGGACATTAGAGGAAAATTTCCATTGTCTGAATATTTGATCTAGCTTGACTCGTGTTACAAGATAAAGCTTGGCTAAGGATCCCGGAGATTTACATGACCAATAACTGCGATCATTCGTTGCTGATAGGTACGATTCCATGGGTACGTAGTATCTAGCGACGACATCACATAATCTAGAATCGGAGCTGGTCCCCTTTTTCTCCGTCCGTACCGGTAAAACTAGATACTCACAAACATAAAACAAAACAGACACGAGAACAGCCTTGAATCTGTAGTGCTGATGCATCACTCTTCAACAATGCGCTATTCCTGAAATCCTACTTCGATGCTGACATCCGGCGCCAACCACAAGGAGCGCCACCAAACAATCATCCTCAATTATCCCGACCCTTGGTTGCTATCCGTGGCGTTCGTAGCGCAGCCACCATGTAACGCGGGGTGGACTCCGGTCGAGACCAACTGTTGCGCTAAGTGCTTAGAGTGTATGAGAGGACGGCTAAAGTAAGATTTTAGGGACAAATCGAAGCTAATATTTTGGGTGACTGTTGACTTTGGATGTAGCATTTAGTACTGCCACGAAGTCGCTGCGCAGAGCTAATCGTTAGTTTAATTTTCCGGATCGAGTGTGCCTCGCATTTTGGATGTGAACCGGATACGTAATCAGGCGCCATGTCGTTTTCTCGCCTGGGTTGAACCGTTCATCTCAGCTATTCACTGACAGGCATCTCATCCATGGATTCGGAATAGGCCCGAGGCCATTCCGTTCACATGGATGGCTTTGTTGTTTACACTGTACCCCAGAAAACTCTGTTCCAGCCACGTTTTGTCTTTGTCTCTCACGGCTTTTGAAAGTAAACAATCCAAAGAAGCATTCACATTTACCGACATATAATGCTACTATCCCGTACATTAAGAAACGCACTAGTCGAGCTAGATCTGTGTGATAGCGCCATTCAGCATGGGCACATGCTATGGATAATACAAAAGTAACAAAACCATGCAGGAACCGTGTGGATCCCTTTGGCGCAAGTTTGATCTAACCAACGATGCGACCCTGCACGGAAAATAAGGGTTCCTATACCCAAAAAGACTGTTAGAGAAGAATACTAAGGCCAAGCGGCCTATCTGCCGAACCTGAAGTGCCCATAATAGCCCAGTCTAGTGAACCAGTAGGTAAGCGTGACTGACCGATTTCCTGAGTGAGGACCCCCATCCCCCTCAGCAAATGACGGAGCAAAGGACAGAATCAGGATAGTCCATACCGTTTGTTCTTTGCTTGACTGCTTTTAGTGAAAGGATAGTGGGTTCTGAAAGCGTTCCAGGCTTTTTTGGGAGACCAATCCTGTAGTTACATGCATATGGCTAAGGACCTGTCATAGTAAAGCCTGCTGATGACTCGACTGTAACCTGAGGATGACGTTAAGGGCGTGATTGAAAAGGGTTGCTATTCCAATGGAAACGAGTATATAACAATCTCAATCCATCCTTTCTGGAACGTCTTTTTTCTTGGAACAGCACATCCCACCAAGCTGCCAATTTCATTCCTTTTTCATCCTTCCACTCCTTCTGACAGATATCAGTCATTCCTTCACCAAAGGCACTTTGGGATTGTGCATATTTGTACAAATCTATACACATACTTATACACGCATATACATATCCCTCAAGTTTGATATAAAAAATTTATAATGCGTGGTTTCGCTCAGTTGGCAGCGGCACTTGCCGCCTTCATGGTTGGTCAGACTTTGGCCAGTCCAGTCGCCAGAAGCCTCCCCGGACCTGTTCAGGTCACCCCCAAGAAGGGCGATGTTGTCATCACGCCCCAGAACTTCCTCAACGGTACTTGGAAGGGCAATGAAACAGCCAAAAGCGACGCTTTGAATACTGCTGCCATTTCCGGCACTCTGCCTATTGAGATTGTCAACAACTTGGCAGGGTCAGCCTCTGGTTCCATCAACGCCTACATTCAGGGACAAGACACCACCGGAGCTATTGTTTTCGTGCTAGCCGACGGCTCCTTTTACTACCCTCCTGGTACTTCATCTGGCGTTCCTGTTCAGATCAGCGAGAACCTTGCCATTCCTTTGGGCGCTCAAGGAACTACCACCACCCTCACCATTCCAAATTATCTCATCTCTGGTCGTGTCTATTTGGCTGTCGGTGATCTTGCCTTCTACATGGTGTCGGGCGGTCTTGTCCAGCCCTCTGCCACCAACCCATCTGATGCCAGTGCTAATGTCAACTGGGGCTTCATTGAATTAACCAACAGCCCTACCGCTGGCCTATTCACCAACATCAGTTACGTTGACTTTATCGGCTTGATCCTTGGTATGTCTGTGACATCCAGTGATGGCACTGTCCAGACTGCTCTCGGTTTGACATCCAGCGCCGTGCAAGACATCTGCACAAAACTTGCTTCCCAGACTGCTTCTGATGGTTACCCATGGGCAAGTCTCTGCCAGACCGACACCTCTGGTGCCTATCTCCGTGTGCTGTCCCCCAATGACTATATCAGCACTGACGGATCTGCCTTTTCCGACTACTGGACTTCTTACATCTCCCAGGTCTACTCCACATACGCCTCCAGCCCCTTGACCATCAACACTCAGAATACCCCCGGCGACGTTACCTGCACCACTGGAGGATCCGCCATCCTGACCTGCGAAGGAAGTGATGTTACCTTTGCCGAGCCCACTGCTGGCGATATCTTCGGCTGCAACAGCGGCCCCTTCGCTGTTACCGGAAACGCTGTCGACACTGCCATCGTGCCCCGTCTCTGCGCTGCTTTCAACCGTGGAACTCTTTTGTTGTCAGGTGGCAATGTCCAGCCTAGCCTTAGCGCTGACAGCTACTACACCACTTCTCCTTGCAACTACTACAGCAAGTTTGTACACCAGAACGAGGTCGATGGCAAGGGTTACGCTTTCTCTTATGACGATGTCAACCCTGATGGAGAGAACGCCTCTGGTGAGCTCACTTCGACTGACGCCAGTCTCTTGTCCATCACTGTTGGTGGCCCATCCACCTAAATTTAGCAGTTGTGCTACACTGGGTGAGTAAATGCAAAACATATTTTTCTTCTAGTACATACTTTTCATTGCTTTTGACTGGGCTATACCGGTCAACTTTTTTAAGTTCGGGACATGTAAATAGCTGCATCGTGCTCGTGATATGTAGGAATCTTTCGTATATAGCAGAGATTACTTTGTGTTGTGAGATACTTCTGAAGCAGATTAAGTCAATATATGATGTATTTCAACCCTGACTCTTGTCTCATAGCTAGCAACAAGAATCGGCAACCGTCAAGACTATTTGTCTATCAACTTAAAAAGATCAGATAATTGTCGTTGGCATTCATCACGATCGAACGCATCTGGCCAGCCGTTTTGAGTATATATCGAGTAAGCTTCCTATGAGACATGTTAGCAGGGAAAGTCGTCCAGAAACGAGCGAAGCAACGAACATTCACTGCTCTTTCTAGTGTAGGCTTATCGGCAGCTAGAACCTTTCCGTCCCCAGACCGAACCTCATGTTCAAGTCTTTCAGTCGTGCTGCTGAGTTTCGTGGATTCATCATCATTCATTTTCAGTTCCTGGACTGCCGACTCCAGTGCATCGTGCTCCAGTGGGATGTCATCCAGATCATCACTCTCATACTCGCTATCGTACTCATATGGATCATCTTCGCTGTCATAGTCATCACTATCGTAGTCATCGTCATCGTCATCCGACTCCTCGGAACTAGGCTCATAGCTTTCATCGGAATCTTCCGAATAATCGTCATCGGATACATTTTCGTTTCGGGCGGAGTTGATGAACCATATCGATGTCCCCGGTTCTCCTTCTTTCTTCAGAAAAGGCATCCACTCCAGCTTCTTGTATTTGTTGGTCCAGGTGCGGATAAATTCAGTAGCCGGCAATGTGGAGTGGGCCATCCAGCGATCTTCGAGTGGCAGAGAATCGTACTCATCTGCATCGAGGCAGACGTTTCGATTGTTGCGTACAGAATACTCTGTTATAGTGCCTAGGGATAAGTCAGTAAGATCGCGATAATATTCATTCATTCATTGCACAAAAACGCACTGTTTTCAACATCCAAAAGTAGTGCCGCTCCATCTTCCGTTTCGGCTGCATTAGCCAGCCAGATACAATGTCCCGGCGTTGGTTGAATCCTATCCAGATCTTCATCATAAATTTCACCATCGCAGTAAGCAATTGCATGGGTATCTGGCCCTATCATCCATCCTTTCTTGCTCTTTCCGGAATCAGGACGTCGTAAATAAGGAAGATGACGAAGAAGACTAATGACTTCCTCCGTCCTGCTACGTTTGCGCAGTTCCTCTGCGTTGATATCAGGCCAACCTCGGTCTGACGGGTGGACCAATGCGTTTGGAGGGATGAATGGAAGCTTGGTGACAAGCTTGTAGAAGTCGGTGATAGCAGAGATGAGCTCTCTGCTAGAGGAACTCATAGCGAACTTTAACCGCGGAGATGATCCCAAGTCGCAAAGAGATGGATATAGCTGACGTCACCCAAGGCAGTATCAAGTAATATACGCGATAAAATGACCTCGTAGTGCTGGACAATATGAACAGTTATATAGAGGGAATAATGTCCTTCGAAAACGCGTTGTTTTTACTTATTTCACAAGTTGAGAGAGTTGATGCAACAATTATCCCTTCATCAGGGCTAAACGCGAAAGGTTTGTCATTTAACGGCCTGAGGCTGAGATCTACAGGGCCCACTTGTCCCCCGCATGGAACTAGACTGGAAGAGGAAATGAGCTCTGAGATTTCGCGGATTTGTAGCTGACAAGTTTCATATACAACACGATAAGAATATTAGAGACCGATTATTAATGGTACAGAGTTTACTCAAAAGAAATGACGTGCTTCCCAATACCTCCCTTGGCCTTAAACACCACATCACAAGCTTCCTTGACAGCATCCACATCCTTGTAATGCACCGTATTACCCACCACAGCTCTCAACTTTCCATTCTCAACGTGTTTCTTCAACTCCTCCAAATCCTTGCCATCAGGATGCATAAAGACATATCTATATTTCACATTCCAGCGCTTGGCCCGCCATACGCGAACACTGTCGACGAGGTTGAGAATGTGTCGGAACGGGAATCCGATTTGCATGTTTCCGGCTTCGACGAGATAATCTCCACTGGGTGTGGTGGAGATAGATACCAAGTAGCCGGTGTTGGGACGCATGAGGTGGAGGCAGTCCATGGCTATGCCAACGGTATCGAACATGAAATCGACCGACCCGGCGGGGATCTCGGTCTTGGGGTCTGACTTGGTGTAATCAATGACTATGCGGGTTTGGTGTCAGCTCAATAACACTTTAGGTGAATCGAAATATTTCCAAAAATGTACGTACTCTCATCAACCACCCCTTCACCAAGCAACTCAGGGACCTTGGGGATCTTTCCAGTCGAAACCGTTGTAATCACTTTTCCAGCTTTGAAAACGTTCTTTGCAAGTTGGCAACAATATGCGCCAGTACCGCTCACTATACCTCCCAATCAGAAACTCGACCTAATCGATTATATTGTGAGGGGAACAGTATGCTCACATCCAGCAGGAACAAAAACTGTCTTGCCGGTCAAATCGCCAGCAAGTTTCAGCGACTGATAGGCTGTCAAGCCCGTCAAAGGAATGGACGCGGCTTCTTGAAATGTAGCGTTCTTCGGTTTGAGGGAAATCGTATCTTCAGGTGCTTTGCAGTATTCGCTCCAGGAGCCTATTATTGAATTGAGCGACAAGTCAGTCCTTACCGGCCTTCATCAAGGTTGTTAGAAAGAGTAGCAATCGCCATACCTCGCGTGCTTTCCGGAAGACGGACGTATACCTCGTCCCCGACCTTGAAGCGCGTAACTCGTGCACCAATCTCTGCCACTGTTCCGGCGCAGTCATATCCAAGCTTATACGGGAATCTGATGAGGTCGTAGTCAATAAATCGAACTAAATCCAAAATCAATTCGCAATAAAAAGAACGTAGCTAGGCTTACTTGAACGAAGTCATCATTTTGACCGCACCACTGGCCATCTTGACATCAATTGGGTTCACACTGGCCGCATGGACCTTGATCAGGACCTCCGCCGCATTTTCAATTTCCGGTCGTGGCAGTTGCCCCAACTCATAGCCCTGAGGTGGTGCATAATCTTTGATATGATAGGACTGCATGTTGTCTTGATGGCGTATATATATATCCAGTATAATGTGCAATTGGTGAAGAGAAACAGGTTATAGAGGGCAAGTAATTGATTCAAGAAGAAGGAAAAAAGTTGGCAAGTGGATCTCTCACATGCAGAATGATGTTATGCGATCATCGACTCGATCGATATCTGCAGAAGCCTTGGCACAGATCGAATGGCTTTACCCTAACCCTGATAACCCTGAAATGATATATGTACGACATTCTACATGTGTAAGACCGACTAATGCGACAAACTTGCAGCCTGCTGCTGTGTCTATACCTTACCGACATAAAGGAGCGCAATGAATACCGATGGGAGCAGCAAGAAAATTGCCCCGCGCAATGCAATAGACTTTGAATCCCCCCACATCCAATATGGAAGCACAATTTGATTGACGAATTATTCTGAAGAATACAACACACGCGCAAGATAGACAATAAACGTACTGTGCTTTCTTGAACACTTTTTCGGGCATCATGGGAGCCTCTCGAGAAGATATCGCCCTGGAGCCTATCACAAACCCCGAGGATTTCTATCACGCCTTCGAAATATGCGCCAAGGCATTCGGCGAACAGACTGCCGACGGCATCTGGACAGCAATGAACCCAGGTTGGGACACGCCTGAGGGTAAACTTCAGGGCGCCGCTCGCATGGAAGCACGCTGGCGCGCAACCAAAGACGCAAAGAACACACACTTCCTCAAAGCCAGCGTATCGTCTACCAAAGGCGGCGGCGGGCCCCCGCTCATAGTTGGCGTCGCTATCTGGGTCCACGCTTCTTTAATACCCGGCCAAGGCGATGCTCCGAGTCCTCTTGAATTTGGGGATCTGTATCCCAATGATGAGCGGATGACGAGGTTTCTAACTCAACTTATCGGGTCGATGCAGACGCGGCGTCGCCAGGTTCTACAGGAAAAGGCCGGACCTCAATCGGCGCAAAAGTCGGTTATGATTCTGGATCTCTGTGCTATGGATCCGGAGTTTCAGCGTCGTGGTATTGCTAGTAGGTTGGTCGAATGGGGTCTAGGAGAGGCACGGCGGCTGGGCGATATTGAGGCTATCACTGAGGCATCGCGCATGGGCCGATCTGTGTATAAGCGTCTGGGTTTTCAGGAAATTGAGGAGATTCAATATGAAGTTGATGCAGAGTTTCGGGGTCGGAGTTTGCCGTCGAATGTGTTTTTGCGGACAAGACCTCCCCCATCAAGTAGTTGAATGTGATTTGAAGCTTATCGTCCAGGGAGAAAAATGTGTTGGAGGATGTGCAATCATAGGGTACACTTGCATGTAAATTTACTGAATATACAAATCATATTCATTCCTTCTTGACTGATAGCATAAGGTACAGGGGTATGATAGGGAATAAATCATGAATCGTGAATGAAGGAAAAACCAAGGACATGTATGTGGTATCATTATGCATTGATGGAAAGGACGCAAAATTGGGGGAACGAAGAGTTCAGGCTTATGATCTCGTATTGGAACGCATCATGTACGGATAGAGCGAATCTTTTGCAAAGCCTTCAGCTCTCTATCCAGCTTCCCGACAACATCCGCCATAAGACTGTGATAAGAAGCGACTTGCTGTAACTGCTCAAGCATAGTCCTCGCTTGCTCGCCATTGTTTGTCGATTCAGGTATCTTCGCCCCTTGAATGAATTCGTTTAAGGCACTCCATATGTTTTGTTTCTGATCTTTAGTTGGTCTTGAATTGAGACGATCTTCTTCGCGAACAGTCAGTTGCTCAATTGATTGAAGATGATCGTCTAATCTAGCCAGCTGTACCAAAAGTGTGTCTGTCTTATGAGCGAGACGGGCAATAGCTAAATCTAGCTCCTGGCTGAGACGATCGAATTGATTCATGGCAAGTATGCCGGAGTCCTCTTCGCTATCGCTTTTCATTCTTTTACGACCAGTGAGTCGACCAAAAATACTGTCTGCATTTTTGCGACTAGTTCTTGCTGCTCCTTTGAGGTATTCTAGTCGACGTGCTGGCGCCTGAAACCCGTCGACAGTGGACCTCATATCCACTTTAAGATTCATCAGGGTACGACTGATGGAACGTGAGGCAGCCCAGGCGCCTTCAAACTCAAGTTCAATCTCGTGACGGGCACTGCCGTACTCTCTGCGAATGTTGGTGTACACCGCGCGGAGGCTTGTATCAGTGTCCTTCAATGAAGCATCGAGTGGAGCCATGTCTTGAATCGTTTGATTGAGGTAATTCTGCAGTTGATTCTGTGTTCGGATGGCTGACTGATAGCTGGTAGAAAGACTTGATATCCCAGACATAGTGCTGTTGGACTTTGTACATGTTTGACTGTAAACCTTGGAAATACCTGGGATTTTGCAAAAGATTGGGACTTGATGGACCAGTTCTGGAAATATGAGTAGGTGCATGGTCATGAGCACCAAAAGAGAGTTGAGAATCAGTCTGAAGAAGTGATATCGGTTGATGTCTTCAGAGAAGTAGTCTTTGACTTGCGCAAAGTGATGGCGCATACTAGTGTCAGTGGTTGGGGCAGCGGGGGGATCATCTTGTTTCTGCGCACGATACACTTGCCGTTCTCGGCTTGTAGTTTGACTGCGCGGTTTAGGAATTCTTGGTGCTTTACGGCTCTCATATAGAGACTGCCTGCTTCGTTTGCGTGGAATAACCCAAGAGCCATGCTCTGAGTGGCGTGTTTCAAACATTATGGATGGCATAATCAGTTCTGGACCTGATGAAACTGATGATGCTAACGTGGCGGTAGACTCTGTAGGATTTGGTAAATCTGCAGTAGAGATGGAGATGGGAGGATCCTCTTCCTCATAGTCCTTAATAAGGTCACTTTCCGAGAACGAGGATACTGGTGACAGGTCCTCGGTTGGAAAAGATGCAGGTGCCGACTCCGTGCCTTCGACAATAACTGGTTGACTGTAGCTTGATGCTTCGAGTTCAGATACCACCCAGGAGTCTTCCAAGGGGTTACCGGCTTGTTGAGACGCCATCTATGATTCGGAGCCCTCTTTGTTATGGTTGTTTCAGAAGATGTAGAATTTTGTTTCGAAACCCTTCAGACTTGCGAAACGATAAAATCACGGCATGCGCTTAATACTCCATGATCAAATGACACTGTGGTCTCATTAGCGTAAAATCATTAGTCGTTAGGTGTCTCTTGAACATGTCCTGGGGATCATGTAAATAAATAAAAGTAAATTGGTTGAAGATCACATGCGGGATATTGTTGACATGGCCGCCTGATCTAGCCGCGGACTGTCCAATCAAGGGCGCGCAACATAAGCTGGGGATGCCCCAGGCTCCACATCAAAAATAATCCTTAACGGCAAGCGCCAACGTGAAGCTTGAGAGACAACGAAAACGCGCCATGCGCCCTACATCCTTTCTCTGCCGTAGGCAGCATCTCAGAATCAATATATTGCGGCCTAGAGCTCGGATATTACCAGATGCAGCCTCTATCCGTCATTGTTCATGTCATGCCAGTCCTTTGACTCCGAAACGACCTGCTTCCTCCGCACCCTCCTCGTTGAACCGACCCAAGAGCACAGATGCGTCAAACATACACTCTAACACACCTGCGGCAGACCACCGTATACTCGGCACGGCACAAGAACTCTTCACATCCTCTCCTTATAGCCCCGGATCACCTCTATTTCTACCGAACGGTACACACATAATCAACAAGCTAATCGACTTTCTCCGCGCGCAATATCGACAATATGGATTCCGCGAGGTCCTCACCCCGAATATCTATAAAAAGTCGCTATGGGAAATATCCGGGCACTGGCAGAATTACAAGGATGATATGTACGAGGTACGAGGTCGGGGAGCAACTGGTGTAACAGAAGGTGAATTGGGCGAGGATGAACAATATGGATTGAAACCGATGAATTGTCCCGGGCACTGTTTACTATTCAAATCGCAAAACCATTCCTTTCGTGATCTACCGGTACGCTACGCAGATTTCAGTCCTCTACACCGCAATGAGATCTCCGGTTCTTTGAGCGGGCTTACCCGAGTGCGGCGGTTCCACCAAGACGATGGCCACATATTCTGTCGGCCGCAACAGATCGGAAAGGAAATTGATCTAGCATTAGCGTTTGTGAATATGGTTATGAAGACGTTTGGACTGCCCAAGTACAATCTTGTTTTGTCGACTCGCCCCGAAAAGGATTTTATTGGAAGTCTGGAGCTATGGGACAGTGCCGAGGATCAATTGCGGCAAGCATTAGATAAAAGCGGTCTCCCATGGGAGTTGAATGAGGGCGATGGTGCATTCTACGGGCCGAAGATTGATATTCAATTGCAAGATTCGGATGGAAAATACCATCAGTTGTCCACCATTCAGCTTGACCTCAATCTTCCTCAGCGATTCGAGCTTGAATATCAGGTTGCAGAGGGGGAGCCCGATTATGACCCAAATACACCTGGGAAAGCCACACCTGTCTTGATTCATCGAGCTATCTTTGGCTCATTGGAGCGTTTCTTGGCACTTTTGATTGAGCAGTATGCTGGCCGATGGCCGTTCTGGCTTTCTCCACGGCAGGGCATTATCCTTACTGTGCAGAATGACGAGCCAGTATTGCGTCTAGCTGAAGAAGCGGCCGCGAAACTCTCCGGATACGACACGATTGTACCGAGACTACACTCGGAAGATGCGGATTTGCAACAACCAGCGCCTCTCACACCTGATCCGACATTCCTCATTGACATTGACAGCAGCAGCCGGTCGTTATCCAAGAAGATCCAACGTGCCAAGTCAATGAAGTACAACCTGATTTTTGTTGTAGGATCAAAAAATCTTGCAGATCAAACTATTGATGTCGACATCTCCGGCCAGCTTCAGGGCAGCACCGAGGATAATGCATCGAAGTTCCAAAGTGTCCTAACGGAGGTCGTCGGAGCTTCATCTCAGGGCAACTCGAGGGCGCTGAAAATGAAGATTGACGACGTCCGCGACCTTCTGCTTGAGATGGAACGGAAGTTTGTATGATTATTTGTTGTATCAACATTGTACACTACCATATACCATGTACCATAATGCAAATCGAACGTGTATCATGCAATCTACGCTCTTTCTGTCCTAGTCAAGCCCTCGTGAAGTGGGACCCCTCGACCGTACTTTCCGATTGGGACAAGGCCCGTGTCAGCGGGAAGGTACATCCCTGTTATTCGTCCGGGTGGGTCTTTCCCCTTGATCTTTCGGTGGATATGGGAAGTCACGATGGCTTACTTCCCTTTGTTATCTTTCTTCTCATCTACAGCCCTCTCCTACTTCCATCTTAATTGTATTTACATCTGCTATCAACATCAAGAGCTGCGCTCTAAGTCGTCTATCGTCGCAACAATGTACGAATGCGATAATTGCTCAGATCGCTTCCATAGTCGGGATGATCTAGATGAACATATGGATGTCTGGGCTCATTGGGAGTGCGAGACGTGCTCCCGAACCTTTGGTTCACAGCACTCGCGGAACCAACACATGAACGCTATCGATCATTGGGCGAAACGATACGGTTGTGAGACTTGCGCCATGCAGTTCCGCTCGGAGATTGCCGCTGAGCAGCACATGGAAGTGAATGGTCATTATGAGAACTACTGCAAGGATTGTAAGAGGTGGTTCACTAACGACAATAATTTGAGAATGGTACCCCTTTCCTACTCTTCACATGTCATGTACTGCAAATAATGAAGCATATAGCACTTGAATTCGAGGATCCACCGAGGTTCACAACTGCCTTGCCCATTCTGCAAAGGCATCTATACCAGTGCAAGCGGATTAACGCATCATCTTGAGCGAGGCTCTTGCCCAGACGCACCATTTCTTAATCGCGAGAAGATTTTGAGAATCGTTCGTCGTCAGGATCCGAATGGTCTGATCACCAACAAACAGATTGAGTGGCACAAGGAGCAGACATCCGAATATGAGGTCACGGATCAGGCATACAACGGGAACGCTTGGGAGTGCTATCTATGTCATCGTCAATTTCAGATGCGACAGGGCCTGACTCAGCATTTGAACTCGCCGGTCCACAAACAACAGGTTTACCATTGCCCGAACTTCAAATGCCCGAAGCAGTTCGTTACATTAGCGGCTTTGTTCAACCACCTCGAAAGTGAACAGTGCGAATTTATGAAGTTTCAGAGCGTTCAGAAACATGTTCATGGTATCGTAACAGGGCAGAGACTCATCAGCTTCTAGCGGATGTGATACACTACGGACTCGGGACAGTTAGTTATCCACATATGCCGAATTCACAATCAGTAACTTGAATACCAACTTGAGCTCCGGTCTCAGATCTACTCTCGAGTTGCTATTTGGCTTTATTTCGTTTCGGGCTCACTATTCTCTGTTTCAGTTCGCTGCGCCGCCATTGTTTTCTTTGCAGCACGACAATCAATATAATCTTTATGAGACTCACATCCGCCCACTTTACGCCACGTGTGAATGGATCTGCAATACATGCAAGCATGTATATCATGATATATCACCTTGGCAACCAGTTGGATCGAGCTCCGAGCATCCGACCAGATAGTGTTCACATTATCCGGCTGAGCCTTCACTGTCCTCTATATCATCTTATGGTTATCAAAGTACCTATACTATTCCTATTGGATTAAACCCTCTTTCGGTTTCCGGGAATTCAATACCATGGGATATTCATGTCGTCAATACAGTGATATGAATATGTATCTTTTAATTATGTCATATTATATCAATGACAGACATAGCATAAGCACTACCTTCACCCAAACTCCATATCCACGAGCGATATGACACACAAATGACTCCCTTGACCATCATTCTGATACACACAACAAGGCTTCTCCATAAGTAGCACTAGTATTCACAATAATAGTGGTACGCTATCTAAATTTGGGACATTTCCAGATTTTTAAGTTTGGTAGGCTACAAATTCAAAACCTTAGTATCACCTCCTTGTATCGACATTATCAAGATAGTAGAAATCAGATTCTCGTAAACACTAACTATCGCCAATCTATCTCAAAGAAACCATAAAAAACAACCGATTTCGAAGCCTTTCAAACATCCACTACTTTCATAGCGGCGATATCGTCCGTCCATACTCAAGGCTTATAAACAACTCGCACATTCAGATCGCCGACCTTTGTCCCATCTTCACTCGGGAAGACCTTATGTATACAAAGCTTAAGTAATTCCAATTCACCTGATGCTCCCTGCTTCTTTTTCATTTCTGTCTTCTGCTTCGTATCCAGTAAGATCCGAAGATCTGCCGGGTCAAAAGCAACACTATATTGATGCAATTCATTTCCCCAGCTAGATTGCTTTGTTGAGATGGCCTGGCCACGATCAAGCATCTTTCGGTTTGTAATTGCATACACCGTCTGGTCATAGCCGTAGTAGCCAGCGCCGCTGGTGTAAGTCTCGAAACTTTCATTGTTTACCTTCACACAATAAGTTACTAATCAGCATTTTTAAAAAGTCTTTTTTTCCACTTCTAGGTAAAGAAAAAGGGGCATGTAGAATCAAGTGAATTAAAGGGTAGATACTCACAGACAGAAACCGAACCCTAAGATCTCCTTTTCCGAATTCAGGGTGCTCATCACCAAGACCCCGAAACATGTACTCAATTCCAGTCTGAACTAAACCCCGAAAGTTCAGTTCGTGCACTATCAATTTTTCTTTCCCATCTTGGATAATTGATTGCTCCACATAGATCTTAGGATCGAGTTTTTCCTTGTCATCTTCCCGCATGAAGACCGTCAGTCCGACGAACTGTTTCTGTTGAAGGGACTCTATGGCTTCGCCTTCGTCTATCGTTTTCCCGTTAGAGTACTGTAACTTGCCACGCATCAGGATATATTTATTTACCTGTGCCAAAAAATTTCCGGAATTTACATCCCGGAACCTCGTTTCTCTCCCGGCTCCGATCTTGGCTGCGAGTGTATATTGTCATTGGAACATTCCATCCATAAGTCTGGTATATCTTCGCCATTTCATCAACTGGCAAGCTGTGGCTACATTCTCCATAGATGACTGCAGTCGGCGTTTGTCGCTCAAATTGGAAGGCGTACGGCGTCCTTGTCCTCTGTGACATTGGGGAATTAGAGTTCGTTGCTTTTGAGATTCGATTCGCCGATTTTGTGCTGTGAAGAGTAGGGTGGGCTTTCTGGTCGAGCCCATGAACGGTTGCTGGGTGAGCTTTGGTTTTCATTTCTTCTTCAAAATTCCTATGACCTGCTTAAAAGCAAAAAAGTGATTATCAAGAAGTGTAGATTAAATCTTGGAAGACTCCAAATGTCCGACTTTATATAGATACCTTTCTCCTAGTATACATGTATTTTGTTAACTATTCTAAAAATTCCTCCTTACATTGTAACTTAGGGCAAGGCTGAGGCACTCCGGATTTTCAGATAACTACGCTTAGTATTTCCAGTCCAGTAAGATAATAAAAACAGCTCAGCCTGATACAGTCCAGGTACCTGCATGGGCGCCAAGATGAAGTAGCTTGTTCCAAGGAGTACATTTTGCCATGCGCACAGCCACTCATTGCACGCTTCTATCAAGAAACCCATAGGTCAGTGAATTCGATCACTTTTGATCATGGATAATGGGTAGAATATGATGTGCAATGGATTGCGCAAGTTTTGGCAACTTTTGTAACAGTTGTTGATTCATGGGTCCAAAAACTGACGCCAGCAAGGTTCTACGATACAATCCTGGAACGGAAGCATGGCAATATACCTCTAGCTACATATTGATATTATCTAGCCGATTATAATTATTTTCATGATAAGTCGTACCAGGTAAAGAGGTGGTAACATGCCTGTCAAGGCAGACACCCATGTGTCTCTGCTAAATTGAATGACAGCTCAAGAAATTATTGGCCCCCAAGCACAGAACGACACAGCCACAAATCATTAATGTGACCTATCTCTTGTACCGGTATTAATTTTCGAGAGAAATCAGGAGGTACAGGCATGAATACCTACAAGGCCTGGCCCAATGCACGGGTAACACCATCGTGGTAACGTCTTATTTTGGGCGATGTTGGTTCTGGCACGACGAATTGCCACAAATGATCTACAGTCGGTGTGTGAATATGTGCTGGAGTAAATTCTTCAAGTTTATCGCTCTTTATAGCTCCTTGGAGCTACGAGGCTTTATATCACCAGGGGTTAGGGTTCGGTTATTAGGGCTTTTTTTCACTCTGACTCTGGAGATAACAATAATATGAGCGCAAACCTGAACAGCTCCTAGAAATGGACACGGGATTGTTACGACTTGCTGCATATGCCTTTCCGTTCTCCATGATTAGGAGATCTGGCCATGATAAGCATCTAGCCAGCCTTTAATTCGCTCATTAGACCGTCAGGGAGGCGGTGTTTTACCAAAAGAAGTCCTCTAGGGAACTAAATTTGCAGTGCACCCGTACACAAAATCAGTGGTGGAAGGGTTGATGGTAAACCAATGTGAAGACATTCTACAATACAAAGGCAAAACAACTCCCCAGGTCCTTTAGCCGTGAGCACATTATCGAAGTAGGCAAAACGCCTGAGCCTGAGCCTGAGGTTATTTATCATAGGACTAGGGCCTACAAAATGAATTTGAAGATCTAAAATTTCAGTGCCGAAAGTTGCCCAACGTACTTGATTTTCCCTGACGCTTCGAGGCATTCGCGTTCCATTTCAGTGCTCTTCTCGTCGCCACTTTTACTCCCTGAGTCTAAGTAAGCACGGCCCTGACGATATGCCAAGCGCCTGCTAGAACTGATATAGTAATCTTTTAACCAACGAGAAACGCGCCTAGCAGTAGCGACCCAGCTTACAATCCCAGAGTGTGCTAGCGGACGCGCGCAGGGCCGAGTTGACTATTCCCTCTCTCTCCCTTCGGTCGTTACAAGTCATTATATCAAACATACTACGTACATAAAGATTCCAGTCAAGTTCTAAAATAAGTCACAGGTATCTCTACCTAGGTAGATTTGAGAAACAAGACGTGATTTGCCAGAAAAGGGAATTCGAAAAGACAGCACGCAGATTATGCACCGTCGTCATAAAGCTACTGTTCCTTTCTTAAACATAGCCAATTTCCACAAATGCCGTACAATGCTATAAGGTATCACGGAGGTGCAATCAGCGGGAAGTCGCATGATCGGATATACATATAGGGGAGCAATAACGTTCATCCAAAACATAACCCAGAGATACCCAAGCCTTCTCCCCCATATACCCTGCTCCAAGCCCCGTAGAAAAATCACTCTTTTCGATAGACGGAAAACAATGTCTTCCATTATCACGAAAGATCCCGATAAGACGAAAAACAAGATCGCATGTGACTCGGTCCTCGGAATGCCCATAGTTAGATTGCCCATATGATGGATTATTCCGGATACAGTGAAAACGATCAACACCGCAACTATTCTGGCCAGATTTGACACTGGCACTAAATGTGAGATGTTCTGCGCAGGTACAGAGAGCGGCCAGCGGAAGGTTTGGTGCCAAAATTTCCTGTAGGGATTGAATGTCCTCGTTAGTTTTGAGAAGCTGCAAAGGGAGAAAATCAATGAGCCATGGTTATATCTTACCCCCAAAAACGTCGCATGGTCCACGCTTCAGAAATGGAGCCGAACAATGGAGGCCAGTCCTCGGGCGCAGAGAGACTAAACCCCACCGCAACCAAGGAGACGCTATCATAAAGAAAAGACAGAGTAAACTTTGTCCAGAGCGTAAAGAGAATCTGCAATACAGTTCGGACACAGAGCTCCTTCAGACCCATACCAAAATGTAAAACATGCACGTCAGGGCCAATGAACGACAGATAATCCTTTCCTCTCCCAGAGTGTTGGTAGAACACCGCAACCGCGCTTAGGGCATCAAGTAAGAGATAGCGCCAAACAAAATCACGGCTTCGGCTCCATAGAAACTGTCGGCGCGTTGGAAGCATGTTGCCGAAATCAGAGAAGCGAGGGATGTTTGCGATCTGGAGCTTAGTTCCAATTCCTCTCGGACTCAATACCAGGCGAAATGACTGCCGAATTCGATCAGAAAATGTAGATTGGCTCGTTGATGCCTTCATCCAGTTGATATTGGAAAGTAACATCAAATTCGCCCCATGTATTCCATGTAATAGAGAGTCCGTTGCAATGAATATCCGGACCAGGGGGTGACTGCTGATGGAGTGCGCCAAAATATATTGCCGATAGCACAAGAAAATATTACAGCAGCTACTTATATATCTGAGAAATGAACTGTCAGTAGTCGTACTAAGTACGATAGCTGTTTGGCTTGCGCGAAGAAGTTGCATCGCACTCAAGTAGATAAACGCAGACATCGTGGTGTGTAGCTTTACTTTGTGACTCAGTACATACAGAGCAAAGCCTAAGATCGAGCCTAGTGTAAAATTAATATAGTTCATTGATTGTCGATGGCTCAATTGGCAGATTTGTTCGAGACAATCATAGCCATGTGATCTTCAAATGAAATGAAATATGATTAATATTACTAAAGATGAAAGAAAACAGCAATTGTGTTATATATTAGATAGACTAAGCCTGGGCTTTCTAAATTGAATCAAAGTAGTCTCTATTTTTCGAATAGTGCAGCCTATAAGTGAAAACTCTATATTCAATAATTGAAATCAAAGGTTTCGCTTGGAATTTCTGCGGAGTAAAGATTCGGCCAAATATTTCTATAAAAAATTCTAGATAGATCTTTTCAAGAAAAGAAGGAAACCAAATTAAAATACTGAATTTACATCATTTCATCAGATAGCTCTAAGTAAAAAATATAGTACAGCCAAGTCAAGGGTTGCTAATTCTAAAATATTTTTCTTAGCCTTTCTACGCTTCTCCTTGCACTCTCTATGAAAGGCTTTGAAGAGGATAGCTTCATGGTCAATCAACACTCGCTATGTCTCTCAATCTTTATTATCACATCGTGCTTCTGTTGCTGTCTGGCTTTCTATTTTTCGCTGTCTGGCAAAGCAGGAAGTCATCCTCGAAACTGCCGCCGGGGCCACGAGGTCTTCCGCTTATCGGTAACATACACCAAGCTCCCAGACGCGATCCCTGGAAAACGTTCAACTTATGGGCAGAAGAATATGGTCCTATCTTCAGCTTGAAGTACGGTCAGAGGATTGTGATCGTTCTTGGTTCTCATAAAACCGCTTCGGATCTCTTCTCCGCGCGGACGAAAATCTACAGCTCACGCCCTATTATCAGAATACAAGAGTACCTCACCAAGGGCATGCATATGGGCGTAATGCAGTATACTCCGGAGTGGATGAAGCTGCGTAAAACACACACCTTCCTTCTTAGTCCACATTACTGCGCTCGTTACCGGCAATTGCAGGATCTTGAGAGTATGCAGTTGATTTATGATATGCTCGAAACGGACTCGTTTAGCAAGCAATTCCGTCGCTATACGGCGAGTTTGGGTTTTGCACTGGCCTACGGCACGAGAATACAACGGGATGATGCGGAAGAAATAGATCAGATCGAGAGAATCGCAAAAGTCACTGACAGATTTTTCAGCCACGGGATCAGTCTAGTTCTTGAGATGTTTCCTTGTGTTCATGACTTGTGGCCTGTTATGCTTCCTCTGCAAAAAATCTGCGACGCTTTTCACCAATCTACAGTCGAGTATTTCACAACATGCATGCGTGCTGCGCTGCAAAAAGGGTCCTGGAATTGGATAAACGCGGCCCTAGAATTTCCCGATACTCAAACCATGTCAGAAATTACTCGCGTCTACAACATCGGCGTTCTTCAGGAAGCCGCTCTGGAAACGACACAATCTGCGTTGAATGCGTTTGTGCTAGCAAGTGTGCTTAATCCAGCAGCCGTCTGTAAAGTGCAAGAAGAATTAGACAAAGAAGTTGGAGATTCGCGTTTACCGGGATTTGACGATATGACCAGCCTACCTTATACCCAAGCATTTATAAAGGAAACACTGCGCTGGTGCCCAGTGGCCCCTCTGGGGGCTCCACACTCCAATACTGAGGTCGATGAGTACATGGGCTATGAGATCCCCAAGGGTGCGGTCATCGTTCCCAACATCTGGGGAATGCATAGAGATCCTGAGATTTATCATCGCCCTAACGACTTTCTTCCTGAGAGATGGCTCGAACAGCCAGACCTTCCATTGAGCGTGTTTGGATTCGGAAAGAGAATCTGTGTCGGACAGGAGCTCGCCATGAATTCGCTCTTCATTATCGTCTCTCGGATGCTTTGGGCTTTTCAGATATCCCCTGCCTCCGTTGGCGGCAGAAATGTCGCGATAGATCCGGAAAACATGATTCAAAGTATAATATCCGGACCATCGCCTTTTGAAGCCTCTTTCACTGTCCGAGACTCTCTCCGCGCCCAAATCATAAGAGTGAAATGGATTTCAAGCACAGCAGCCCTTGATGTACCAAATTTCCCACTTATGGATTAAAATTTAGATAAGACATACACCCACTATCCGCGACATTATTAAACGCGAGCAAGAACGTACAAATCAATGTTCAATGCCTTCTTCTGGTATCCTAGCAAAACTAACGGAGAGGATAAACAGAGGCTTATTGATCTTATGATTCAGTATCCTTATATTAGATATATAAAGCTTCAGATTGCGGCCGATCATAAAGTCTCTATCTGTACTATGCAACTTATTTTCAATAAATCTATGATACGTATTAGTAAAAGCATTGAAAAGATATTCTAGGGAGGGTTTGTATTGAATAAAGAAGATTATTGGTGTTATTAACCTCTGATGGCTTATCAGCCACGGAGGTATCACTGCAACTATTACTCAGTAGCTCTATATAGATCAGCTTCTGGAGTTATTTTTTCAAGGAGATATCTTCATGTAAGGTAATACGTACACCGGTTCACCGAGCTCATATAAGACGTCATCTTTTACGAGAACTAGGACTAAGTACTATGGAATGGCCTCCATATTCTTTAAATCTTACTTCTACCGAGAATATTTGGGTAATTTTTGGAAACAATTATAACTAGAGATCATCCTGAGCTATAGAATGTTCTGGATAATGATAAAACGTTATATTCCTTTTCATAGGCTGCAAAAGAGACATGGGACTCAATTGAAGAGCGTACATTAAAAAATCCGAGCAACACCGTGCCAAATGCAAGGCCGTATTTCTAGAGTCCTTACTTAGCGCCGTACGTGCTCGCTGTACGCTCGCTGGTACAGATTAATAGTTGCTCCGCTCCGAGGAGTGCACTACGTGTTACATAGCTTCACCCTCCGTCATACGAATTCCTAGTCTTCAGGCGTATTCGCAGCTACGAATCGTACCATATTGTTGATCCCACCTACGAGCTCTCTTCCGCACCAAATCTAGCAACCCTTCCTTACACCAAATAGGGTACGTGCGGTTATAGAGGCGGATGGGTGGTATACAAAGTATTAGGGCTTTTTAGAGGTTGCGGGTGTCTAATCTATTACTATATCAAGAAGGTGGTGAACGTTCGGGTAGCGCTCCGATAATATGGGTGGTACATATTTAGCTATTGATTTTAATGGTTTTATTAGAAAATATATTGAATATAGAGTTTTCACTTATAGACTGCACTATTTGAAAAGGTATAGACTAGCTTGATTAACTTAATTTGGAAAGCCCAGGGCCCAGGCTTAGTTCGTCTATTGCATATAAAGTAATCATCTTTTCCTGTTCCTTCAAGTTATTTTAATCATATTTGTTTGCTTATAACGAACCTTAGCAATGTCTGGGCTGTCTGTAAATTTCAGTATTATGGACAATACTTCATTCAAGCAAGACTATATCCTCCACCTCTTGCGAGATCGCTTCGTAGAAATACCGGATCTATGGCCATTCTTGTCCCATTGGCCATTAGGGTTTCATCCAGCCCGAGATAGATTGAGATCGGAACTCAATAGTAGAGTCGAAAGGTAAGCCTCTTTTAAAAGGGCTGTATCGGTCCAAAAAGCAACTGGACAAAAATCGTATACAGTATCGCAACTGATTAATTTGCAATCTCCAGCGTGTACCAGGGACGAGACGCAGCAAAATCTGCAAAGTTCAAAAGTGCCGACCTTTCACTCTTCGCCGTGGCGTGGTGGCCCCATGCTGACTTCGACCATCTGCGCATATTGTCCTTTTTTATACTCTGGCTTTTCATGTGGGACGATGAAGTTGACGAAACTTCTGGTGTATTTTACAGCAGTATGACAGAAGCTCAGGCTTTTCGAAGAGGCACAGTACGATACGTCGCAAAATGTCTCTGTCTAGATGCAGTTAATGAGCATGGGCCGGAGCCGGAAAACTATATAATCCAAAGTTTCCAGGAGATTGGACACTCGATTTGCCGCGAGTATAGCCACGGTTCGCTTCTCCCAATCCATGTTTATATACAATGCTAATAGAGACAGCGCAACGGACACGGTTCTTCCGGGAACTTTGCTTCTATATTGAAATGTCAGAACGCGAGCAGGAAGTCAAGCTTAGCGGGGATATTCCGTCTTTCGATAGTTATATCAGGGTTCGATTAGGAACTAGCGCGATGGGAGCTATCATTGCATTGAATGAGTGAGGAAAACCTGACAAAGTCCGTGTGAAGATCTTACTCTCGGGCTAATAAAAACTTACCATAGGTACGGTGCCGAAATGCGTCTTCCGGAAGTCGCAGTGTCCTCCTCAGAGATGCAGAATCTTTGGGATCAGACGAACTTGATCGTATCATTGTGAGCAGATCGCTTGGTTCAACGATGTTCTCTGTTCTTGATTCTGACTGCAAATCTGGTATTTAGCGTAAATGATATTCTATCACTCCAAAAGGAGGTTGTAAGTAGTCCCTTGTTATATGTAAAAATCGACTTGGATGGACATCGACTGACAGTGTCCAAACTCGACAGGCAAAAGGAATGGTCGATAGCTTGATTCCAGTGCTACTAGTGACCTCCGGCGGCCTTGAACAGGCCGTCCGTACTTCTGTGAATATTTTAGAACAGTCTATTGAGTCGTTTGAAATGTCAGCCCGGCGCTTGGTTGGGGAACAGTATCCTTCTTCCCTTGATGCGCTTAAAGTTGTTGAGTTTATCCGGAACTGTCAACACATGTGCACAGGAAACTTATATTGGAGGTAAGAAAAAGTCATATGTTTTTTAGGAATGCCTTGATTTGGCTAATATACACGGCTTCCAGCTTACAAACAGAAAGATATAGCCTGAAAGGACACGCGAAGAACAATCGTGAAGCTTATACGCTGAGGCTTCCATGAGCAAGGTATAGTAATCTTTGACTATCTCCTCGCCAGCAAAGGAAGGAGGTTGGGAGACTGAGAACTTTTGTTTTGTGAAGCCACGCAACCTCAAGGTCCTAGTATACGGGAGATCCTAAGAGTAGTTTAAATGAAATATATGTAGCATTGATAATAATTAACGAATAGACATGTACGAATATTTTTGATGAAAGATGAAAAGTACAACTACGTGATTCCCAAGGCTACCTGAGCCTTGCGATTGAGCCCTCAACTCCAGACCCCAAGTCAAAATACATTATAAACCCGTATTTCATGAAGGCTTCCACTCAGCCACGCTCGTACACACCCATTCAGCACCCTGATTCGGATCGCTAGCGTTCTACAACACACAAGAAAGTCAGCACACATCCACCCCGAATATCAAGCTGAAGAAAACATACCAACGAGTAGCAACACCACACATTCGCCGCCGCCGCACACTGCACATTCTGATCCGCCGGGACAGCAGTACCTATCACCATCTAGTCAGCCTACACCCACTACCTCAATCTCGCTTTCCCGGACAGAATTGGGAGACATACAGTCAGTAACCCCCAAGATCCGCCCATCCTGATACCGACTCTTGACCGACTTCTCATCGCAACAATACGGTTGTTGCGGCAGACCAGATCCATCTTGAGCGAGGTCGCATTTCCAGGGTCCGATTTTGGATTGTTTGGATGGTGCGTGGGAGGGGGATGCGGTTATGCCGGGGAGGAGTTGGCAAGAGGCGGTGGTTAGGAGGATGGTTAAGGGGAGGAGGAGGGAGAGGTTTGACGGGAGTTGCATGTTGATTGGTTTGGAATGATATTGTCGTTGATGGTTGAAGGATTTGGGATGCCGGTTTTGATGTGTAAAGCTATCAGTCGTGAGAGCGCTGGATTAAATGTGGCGTTGACTCTTCTAAACTGTTCTTAACTAGCATCGTCTGCAAATAAGGCATCTACTAGTCTTATAAGAATCCCTCAACAAGATATCCGACATCCCTTGTTACGCGCCGCTTACGCGTGCTAATTAGGGCTGGAATGTCGACCTTCGTGCTCTGACTACAATTTGCCGGGTATCCCTTTTGTGAGGGAAATTTCTCACATTTCGCACTGTTTCAAGGGATTATTGACATTGAACTATAATTACTCTTGATTTACGACGCGTACACTTCGGAGTGAGGAGTAAAGACTTAATCATATATCATTCATTATTCATTCAAAGGGTATCGTATACATATATCTAACTCAAACATCATCATATCATCCAAAGCGTAGCTATAATTCCAAAGCTTTCTCCTGCTTTGCTTCTTGTTGCTCTTGTTGTCGTCGCTGCTGCTCAGCTTCCGCCAAACTTTGGCGTTTGACGTATTCCATAATGATGTCCATTTCCTCCTTCTCGCGCTGCTCGCGTCGTAGGTTATCGTCGTAACTTCTTTGTGACTCATTTATAGCATTTTGTAACTCGGTCTCGTGATCCGTGGGTATAGGGATAGGACTACGCGGTGGCAGGGTCGGTGGCCGTCTTGGTTTGTTTTGGTCTGTTTGATCGACAGAGTATGGCGGGGGKTGACCTTGTGGCTGATGGATGTAGTAATTCGATTTTTCGTCGTGGCCGACGGCAGATCGTTCATCGTGCTCTCGCTTCTTCTCCTCAATCACACGCTCAGCCTCTCGGATACTGGCTTCCACTGCAAGGTCGTAAGCTCGGTCCTCTTCCTCGCCAGCCGCTTTCGCATTTTTCAACTCCGTCATGCTAGCACGCAAAGCACGTTCAATCATTTCATCTTCGGCATCATTTCCCTGCGACGTTGCGAGTACCGAGTGCCGAATGGCATGCTCATACTCATCTGGAAGCGCTGAATCAACTGTCGACTTTTTCGGGGGTGGAGAGGAGCTAGCACGGCCACGGAACAATTGGCGTAGCGATTCACGGCGGTTTGCTCGTTCTGCTGCCTTTATTGATTCTGCATTTTGCTCTTCCTGAGTTTTTCCGGCGTCTTTACTCCTCTCGCTCACAGTTCTTGTTCTGACTCTCTTCCCGTCACCGTCCACTTTGTAACGGTTGCGCCGTGCATTCCTCTTTGCTTCAACGTCTGCCTCAAACAATGACCAGTTCGTCAATATGTTCTCCTTCTCCTCAGTTGTACAGGTCGACAGGTCGTTCAATCCTTGAGCGCATCGTGACGCCATAATGTAGTTCTCTACACTCTCACCAAACCGTTTTTGAATCTCTTGGTAGATACCACTCATCGTGTAACCGGTCAAAGACCAGACAGCTATAGTCCTATTTAGCACAAGTACCACCACTTTATATGACAATTACTCACCTGCCGCAGGCTTCAAGATCAGACCACCGATCCCTTTGCTAAAACCTTTGATAGCGCCGACGGCCCCTTCTTTTCTAGCACCTTGAACCGGTTGAGTTGCTAGGCCAGAGATACCGTCGAAGAAACCATATCCGAATTCCTGCTTGAAATTAGTTACTATACGACTCAATGGCACGGGTCAAAATACCTTCCCAGCCGCTTTCAAACCACTTTTGATACCTGTTACTTTCGACTGCTCGCGAACAGTATCGTCCCCGTAAAGCAACGGCATATTATGGAAGCCTTTAGCCACTGCCATTGAAAAGCTTGCCGGAGCTCTCAGACCAACATTCACAACCTTGGCCGCAGATTTCCCAGCAGTGAGGAATCCGTCGAAGTCGAAGTCGCGAATGTCATTGATTGTACGCGCGTGTTTCCTCGTTCGAGTCTCTTCTGCCGTGGAGGCCAACGTTGGTGCCTTCAACTGGGTAGAGTCTTCAGTCACCTCGTCGGCAGCTGGTAATGAAGTCACTGCATCACCTGCAAGAGGCATAGAAACAGACTCTTTTGTCGATATAGAGCTCGTCTCTGTGGAATGCTTCAATGACGAGTCATCATCACTCAGTATTTTAGCACGCGCTGCAGCAGTCGGTGAACCTGTTCGACTTTGACTTCCAGATTTGCGATTCGTGCTTGACCGAGAGCTGGATCTTGAAATTCTCGAGTTCAGACTACGTTTGACGTCCATTGACAGATCTGCAAACCCCATGAGGAATTCTTCGATGCTGTCTAACATGGCGGCGCCACCCCCAATGACCGGATCTGTAGGATCGGGTTCTGTCATATACTCTTGTGACCGATATCTTGAAAGTCAGTACCGCTAGCAGATCAAATATCAAAGAACGCTTACAGTTTCACATCGTCCACTCCCAACTTCCCTTCCGCGTTTAGCACAGCAAAAGCCAAAGCACTTAACCGAATCTGAGTACGTTTGATTCGAAAGACGGCAACACGATCAACATCTAAAGAGCACCGCATCTTGTCCACATTGAGATGATTCTGAAAGGAAATAGCACCATCGTCAGCACCATGCTCTGCTTCTATGATAGCCGCCAGCGACGCCGCTTTCTCCGATGTTGCTGGCTCTAGAGCAAATTTGATCGCGTCGGCTAGCTTCTCTGCTGTCAATTCTTTGTAGGGAATCGGCTGAGGCCCCGCACCAGCTTTAGCAACCATAGCGCCCCAGAAAGGTTGGTCACCAAAGAATGGTACGATAACGGTGGAACGGCCCGCTGCAATACCGGCTGCAGTTGTTCCAGCACCTCCATGATGAACAACGCACGAGACATGATGGAACAACCAGTCATGAGGACAGTTACCAAGCATGAAAACACCTTCAGGAACACCAAGCTGTTCAGCTCCAAGTCCACCCCATCCTTTGGATACGAGAGCCCTTTGACCGGTTAGACGAACAGCATCAAATATTAGTTGCGTCATGTGGTTAGGATCGTCGACTACAATCGATCCAAAACCGATGTATATTGGAGGTGGACCAGCGGCTAGGAAGGCCGCCAGGTCATCTGGGGGAGTATAGTCTGACGCCAAAGATAGAAAGTAGAAGCCGGAAATATCGATATGACGACCCCAATCATTGGGTTTGGGAATCAAAGCGGGTGACCTATTAAGTCAGTAGGCATTTCTCTGAATATCAAGTACTTGAAACACACCAACAATACGTCTGCGGTATCTTAAGACGCGAAACCAATGAAGGTGCCCACATAATACTAATCGGCGCAAGTCCTAAACTCCGTTCACGAAAGCGATTGATAATATCACCCAATCCTTGCCAAGTCATCATCTCCACAATCGCATAGCTAACATAGTTCGTAATGCCGATATCTGCCTTTGAGCGATTGATAGTGGCAAGCGGATGCGGAAATGCTTGTGTGGGCGACCACGGCATACTACGCAAGATTAGCCATCAAGTAGAAGCCTGAATTAAGGAGGATGACATACGTAAACATCATATGAAGCGGTATGCCCAACTTCTCCGCACAATGCACGTGCGCAAAACTCGGAGGATTCGCAATAATCGCATCAGCAACAAACGGAATATGCCCCTCTTTGAAGTTGTCCAAATCTGCTGTTCGATCAGAAACAGGCACGCCAGTACCATCTCCGGCCTCGAAACACGACCTCCAACAGCCCGAGATGATGGCTGCAATCTCGACGCGACGTCTATGTATATCGCCGTTCTTGAGCGCATCAAAGCCCGGCATAAGGCCCGGGTTCTTGACCATGAACGCCATGAGCTCCATGGGGTCACCTCCGATGCAGAAGAATTCCAGTCCATTCTCCTCGACAAAGCCTTGGAAACTTGCGTGTGTTGCCAGTCTGACCCGATGGCCATGCGAGAATTTCAAGACTCGTCCGAGTGCGATGAATGGTTGGACATCGCCACGGGATCCCACCACCTGTATCACAATGTTCAATGGAGGGGGCTTCTGGTCTCGTCTTCTGTCTAGCGATGGGGGGATCGGTGCGCTGGTCGTAGTTGCTCTTGAACGAGGTCCGAATGCGGGTAGTTTGAACATGGACCGTAGTCGCGATGTAGGCTCGGCAATATCGATATCAACTCGTCCATCGGCTGGRTATTGTTAGCATCCAAATGCTTTCTCAGAAAGACGATCAACAAGCTCACCGGTTATCGATGCCTGCGTATTTAGGCCCTCATTCGCAAGATCCATGCGTCCGTAAACATTACTATAAAATGGCTTGGGAACACCCTCGCCCACCGAAAAGTCTTCATGGGTAAATATTCGCGACAAAGCATCGCGATCCTCGGCGGCGGTCGTGCCGGTGTTTCCACCGGAATCTTGCGGCAGAGCCATGGCTGGTCAAGTGATGTTTTTCTCCGGCATCTCACGGCATATATCGTCTATATAGGAGTCTAAGTCAGGTGCGATACCAGAATTAGTTTTATACGTAGAATCAAATGTTTATGCACCGGCCGTGGATTCCAGCATCGATCATAAACGGGGGCCGCCACTCACCCACCATAGAACAGCACATATGTGCAATGATGTCAAGAAGTATTTGCCAATCATATGTCAAGCATATCCGACTCGAATCATACGAGATAGATACTACTATGATAAAGTGCAAACTAACGGCCGTAAGCTGTGGCAGAGGGAGGATCGTCCGTGGATGACATCGGCGGTCGGCAGAGGAATGGACGGTAGAATGTTCTCCACTGACGGTGGACAGAATGAACGATGAAAGGAATGGGATGTCGAATAGAGCGAATAGAGCGATTAATACGTACTAAGGAATGATTATATGCTATGACCGCGAAGTATCAAGAAATTAATCCTGCTGTCTGAACTTGGTTGATTGTTTGTTGCGTCACAGTGGCTGACAGGCTTTATTGCTGTGGCGGGAGCTGCCTCCGTGTGGCGCAGCAATCGCCTCATTCTGATTGGCTGAATAGAGGAGTATACATTTATCGATGGACTTTGCATCAGTGCTCAAGGTCTGTACTCTTCCATCGTCAATCGGCACTAACTGCTCGACACGGATAATTCTTCAAAAGATGAATAGTCTTTTGAGTAATTCGATATTAAGATGGTGGTGGAGAGGGTTCCGGTTAAATAAACTATTAGACTTTCTAGTTGAATTAGGGCTAATCGCCCGTTATGGGACTAAGTATCTGTCGTAATCGCATTGAAAATCTGTCTATACACATGTCTCCCAGAGTAGAAACTACTGGGATATTATAACTCATCATCAATCAGAGGTTCTTAGCAGCCTCCGTGGCAGCGGCAACCTCCTCCTCCGAACTCATAATCTGAACCTTGATCGCACCCGTCTTCGGGTTCGCAGCTGTCTCAAATGCTTTCAGGGCCTCCTCAATCGGGTATCTGTGCGTCACCAACTTGCGCAAATCAATCACTCCATTCTTGATCAGACGAATAGCCTTGGGCCATGTGTTGCAGTATCGGTACTGGTATTGCAGGTCGATTTCCCAGGTGCTCAAGCGCATAAAGGGAACTTGCATTTCGTTCTTGCCGACGCCAATGACAAATACTTTGCCGCCGAATTTGACACTCCAGATCGCAGAGGCAACGCTACTCTCGACGCCGGTGCACTCGACTGCGACGCGGGGGCGAATAGCGTCTACAGCATCTGCATCGCCGTCGTTCAATGCAGCCAGTATTCCAGCTGCATTCTCTTCGGCGTTCTTGCCAAACTGAACCTTATATGTGCGCACATCTGGTACTAACTCTTTGGCAAATGCCAATCGGCCCTCATCAATATCGGTAATGACTATCGGCGACGCACCGGCAGCGCGCACACAGAGCAGCGACACCAATCCAATCGGGCCAGCGCCAGCGACAAGCACGGGATCACCCAACCGCACACCAGCACGATCTATGCCGGCCAACGCAACACTGAGTGGCTCCAACAACGCGCCATTCTCAAAGCTCATATTTCCGATCTTGTGGCACCAGACAGCCGGGTGGTTGACATATCGACGGAGCAAGCCATCAATGGGGGGTGTAGATAAAAATTCGACGGACTCGCAACCGTTGTAGCGACCCGTGAGGCAGGGTTCGCATTTGTTGCAGATCACGTTCGGCTCTACAGCGACGCGGTCGCCGACTTTCAGGGTTTTGACGTCGTCTGCAACGGCGATGATGACGCCGGCGGATTCGTGGCCGAGGATGTGGTCGTCTGTGACAATCATGGGGCCGATGCAGCCGGCATGCCAGAAATGGACATCTGATCTGTGTCCAGTCAATACTGATAATATTCACTCGCGACGATGAACCTACCCGCAAATACCCGTGCTCCTGATCTCAACCGTGACTTCACCCGGGTTTAACCCCTCGCCTTTCTGGACTTCTTCTAAAGTAGGCTTTGCATCGGCGATCCAGAGATCATGTTTGGGATTGGTGTAAACACCAATATTCGGTTTTGAGACGGTAGTAGTGCCGACAGCCATTTTTATTAATCAAATATGTTACAGAAGAGAATAGCCGGACGGAACAGGGAGGGAGTCGAAGGATTTATACAGGAGAATAAACAGCGAAGAAAAAAAAAAATGAAGGACAAAAAATGTGGAGTGTATCAGGTGAGCACACTCGGAGCTACGCAGAAAAAAGGCAGCTTCCCCATGATTGGAGATGGTTGATCTCGTACGTCGCTGAGATTAAGAGGTGGGATGCAATTATCCGCTGGCGACGGACTCCCGCGCGGGGAAAGCCCCTCCATAAGCTTTCCGCTGTCCAGGCACCGGATAATTACTACGACACTGATTGTGATGATCCTTGTCACCTACGTCTCAGCAATATATCAATTGAGCCTCGTTTCACATCTCTACCAGTGCATACGTACTACCTACGGCGTACTACTCATGCACGCAATCGCGACTGCAGTATGATCTCAGCATGTATTATTCCAGCGGCTATGTATGGTCGTTAAAATAGACAAGGCCCGTTACGCTCAAACATGGCCCGCCCGCCTCTTAGGTCTCAACGCGTACGTACTCAACTCCACAATCAACCCATCGGGCCTTTCTGTTCAGTGTTCAGTCCTTTTCGTTTCGTCCGATAAAACCGGTCTGGATATGTGTCCACTGTCCAGTCCGCACTGCAAAGTGCAACGGTGGATACAGATACGGAAAGAAAGCAGACTCGCAGAGGGTTGACTCGGGTAAATTCCCGGTGGAGCATCCCTACTGCGTGGGAAAAAGTCAAGATTGAACCGGACTGTATGCCGACGAAGCACCGGACATGATTGGCGGATGATTTTATTTTTATTACTCCCTCCACATACAAAATGGCAGTGCCTGGATAGAAATGCTTACTATGTAGGTATGCTCAATAGCACTGGACAATACACGTACATAGACGTTTGAGGCTTAGCCGTCGCATGGCATTACATGTTAGTGTGTGAAACATTGATCGGTCGAAAAGATCGAATCTAGATCGCGACAATCAAAGCTGTAAATCCAGGAATCAAGTCCGATAGCCTCCGTGAAGGAAATAATCAAGGTAAAAGATTTGATGGTTATTTATTAGTCGGTGTCTATCTAAACTACCTAGGTATAAACCCATGGAAAATCCTATAGGTCCATGAATATGAAAACGCTAAATTGAAAATCTGAAAGCCCAAAAAACCCTTCCCAAAGAGGTCATAATAAAAACGAGATACACTTGGTCGTGTACCAATTGTTGTACAAACGTTCCAAAGTCATAACTCCAGTGTCGACATAGCCGATGTTCGTGGTGAAAAGTCGGCTAGTCGGCACGAAACAAATGCTCATTGCGCCATGATCATGATGTATTGTATGTTTTTTGAATGTACAGAGAATAAGCCAGAAATGAAAGCCCGAATGAGAAAGCCTCAGAGCTTACAGGACGTAGGCAACAATGGCGAAGAGGAAGCAGTACAGGGCAACCACGGAGCTGGTCACGCTGGTTTGGGAAGCAGCGCCTGCCTTGGGAGCAATGGTAGAGGTGGAAGAAGGGGATGTGGGATGTGTGCTGCCGCTAGGAGTGGTCGAATTGCTTCCAGGGAGAGTAGAGTTGCTGGAGGTAATGCCGGAAATGGGGTTGGTGACGGCGCTGGGGTTGCTGGAAGAGATGGAGGAAAAGGTGCTCGAGGGAGCGGTGGACTTGGTGGAGCTGACGGTGCTAGAAGGAGCGCTAGTGGTGTCGGCACCAGTGCTAGAAGCTGGGCTGGTGGAGGTGAGGGTGGTGGAAGTGGAGGAAGAAGAGGACGAGGAAGAGGAAGAGGAAGACGAGGATGAAGAGGTAGAAGTGTGAGTAGAGGTAGGAGCAACAGTGGAGGTGGTGCTAACAGCAGCAGAGGCACCGTCGATCTTGATGCTGTCGGCCGAGCCGCTGTTGTCGCCGTAGGTGTAGGAAGAGCCAGGGTTGGCGTTGGTGATCTTGACAGACTTCAAGTACATGGTGAAAGGTCCGGCAGAGTAGTCGGTCTGACCGCCAGCCCACTCAATAGTACCAGGGGCGTTGGATGGATCACCGCCAGCCCAGATACCGATACGAAGACGCATAGGAGTCTGAGGGAAGTAGTCGCCAGCCTCAGCAGCAGTCAAGGTGCGAACAACGCTTCCGTCAATCAACCACTGGATGCTGTCCCGTTGCCAGTTGACAGTGTAGGTGTGGAACGTTGTCTGGGGAGTGCTGACACCGACGTAGGTAGCACGGTTGTAGCTACCAGTGTAGCCTTTGCCGAAGTAGTTGGTTTCGATCTGGGTGGTGTCGCCGCCGAGAGCCTCCCAGTCGACCTCGTCCAAGTCGTCGGACTCAAGCACAATGGAGCTCACAATACCAGTGCCGGGAGCAGCCTGCAATGTCACCTCGACAGTACCGAAAAAGAAGTAGTCAGAAGTCTGGATCGTGGGAGCATCGCCCTCCTTGGCGACGGTGAATCCGGCACCATTGCCGCTGTAGCTAATTGAGCCCGCAGCGACGGTCCAGTCTTTGGAAGCGCCAGCAGTGAAGTCGGTGTCGACGGTTGCGCCCATTCCAGGATCAGAGGGGCAGGCTGACTTATTAGTCGCAGTTCTCACAGCAGTATTATGACAGAAAACTTACAAGAGGTGAGGGGGTTGCAGGTGGTGTAGGTCTGGGCAGATGCCAAGGGCATCGCTGCGGCAAGCAGCAGAGCCGCAGAGCTGGTCAAGAACGAATGCATTGTGTGGAACTCAGCGAGTGTGTTTGTTGTTGTAAAAAATAAAACAGAACAATATGCACGAAGGGCAGGTTGATCTTTGACTCTTTTTTAAAGAAGTGAGTCAAGAATGTGTGGGAGGCTATTACGTAGTGAGGAGAGAATGACGGACCAGATATTCTGACGGGGCTGAGGTCGATTCTTATATTGCGAGGCAGGCACCCCAGAGTCTCCACCACACGATAAGAACAAATGGCAGGGCACCACAATTGTCCTAATTAGTCTTTGTTTCTCGTCTATAATGTCTCGGAAGAGTAACGAGGCGTGGATCTATTGTTTTTTTTTGTGATCGATGAACCTCTGTCTAAGCTCAGGGTTTTGACTCGTTTGAGACATGGGAGCTGCTTGTTCCCACTGTGTCGACCAATGGCGATGCAGTGGTGGCTGGCCCACTGCGAGGTTTTTTATCAAGGGCGAATCAGCGGGCAATAGGGGGTTGGCGTTAGCGGCGCGGTGGAGATTATGGTGACTCGGTAGCCGCTGTGCCAGCCTCCATCAGCCTCTCTTTACGACCACCGTGTACATAGCACTATACTACGTACAGTACTATGTACATAGTACGTAGGAGTAACCTAGTCATAGCGTGCCTGCCTTCGATCCGCCTAACCGCTTTCTATTTCCAGCACGGCGCGCCTTCCTCGACACAGCTAGACCCGGTCGCTGCCTGAGGTGCCATCGCGCGATTGTCAGGGGAACCACCCTGCCATCCTCTTTCTCTTTCGTTCCTTCCACTTACTCCATAGTACCGTACACCGCAACGATTGTCGCGATTTGTATGCAACCCACCGTAGGTCATCTCGTCGTTTCAGCCAGCATCGTCCCTTGCATGGCTCTACCAACGCTGAACTCCTTCATTGTGGCCTCGCTTGTACTCCGTTGTCTGACTCTGACTCTGCCGTGTCTGACTGCCAACCACGCTATCGCCGCCATGTCTCAATCCCATGCATCATGTGATTTGAGTTATGTCTCACTACCTTTGCGACGCTACTTCTTAGCTTCTTATTGAGGTACTAGTACACTTGAATTGCTAGTGCATCTTAGTCGGTGAGCTAAGTCCAAGCTCGACCCTTGAAAGTTAACGCTTGTGCAGTGGGGTCCAGTGGGCTGACCTCGGTAGCATTCGGCACTTTATTCGTCCACGCGTCTCGTCGGCAGCCCGCCAATCACCACCGTCACCCGGACGATACAACACCTCAATATTCACAATCATGACACGATGACTGTTGCTGTCGCCGGCGGTGGACTAGTCGAGTCACACTGTTACACTTGACTCGCCCAACCCCAACTTGCAGTTTTGCACCCATGCATATCCATGGGTGCGGCGTGGCTGGKGCTCCACGTTGGTCCATGTTTGTTGCCATCTGTGTTTCCATAATTCCACTCTATTTTGGTGTATATTTATGGGTCCGATCATCATAGAGTACGTACGTACTCGTCCTGCGCTCCTTTAGACTGTTACTGACCGATCACTTGTTTCAGAAGTCATCCTCAGACCCGGAATACGAATTGATTGACTGCAAATCGTGCTCACATGGAGAAATGAGTGGACGTGATGTGCACGAGTGAGACATTAACTGATGTTCTCTTGATATCATGTCACGCCCAACGTTTCGCTTTCTAGGTAAGATCCCAGTCGGTCCAAGTCATACTTATGTCAATATTATCTATGTCTATGATGTACATCCACATATTTTGCATATCGTACATTATATTGGTCGTCGAGACAAGTCGAACGTCACGTCTTCAAATGTGCCCTCGGTGAAATCATAATACCCACAAGCCTTCGCTGGCCACTGCATTAACCTGAGTATGTCGGGGTTTGTACTGGTGCTTTCAAGATATTGACAGATAGCTTTGCACTCCGGTACAATCCTGCCATATATCCAGACTTGAAATGATGAAACTGCACACATGAGCGCCATCCACCAACTCAATATCAACAACGCACGCTCGTCTTTGGCCCGCAGCAGCGTGATGAATTCGGGCTCAATTTGACCCATCCAGGTCACGAATATTGAATAGTTCTCCAGTCGGTTGTACGGTTTGAGAGCCAACATTCTACTCAATAACTGTGCAGGCCAGTGATATGGATTTGTTTCCGCTGTCGAGTGATCGTCAATGTCACACAGATCGGCTAAATCATGATGTAATCCACTGCGACCGGATTGCTCTCCTTGGAAGGGTTTCAATTCATCACCAGCTTCTTGGAAAGCAGGTCCCCAAATACTGGCATTGATGAAAGACCCAGTGATCTCGAGGATACATCTTAAGCCCCCCTGTAGAGCGAGCCAATTGAGGTCCGCGGGGTTGGAGGTGAAGACCCAAGAATGCTCTGGTTTGAATCCAGGTGGACAGAACTCATTGATGGCTAGCAGTAAACAGCTTCCGATCAACGAAGTCGTGCTTTCGGCATTGATATTCTTATCATTGGTGCACGCAAGCTCTGCTTGGTATAGTTGAACGGCGCGTTGGAAGTGGTATATCTCGAGGATCTCCCGATTCTTGTCTCCTGGGTGCATACGATTTAAATGGAGACACGCTGCACCCAAGATGGTGTGCATCAGATGGGCACTCTAGAAAATCAGACCTGTCTATTTCGTAACCCCCTCGAAAGGTAAGACATACCGTAAAGGCACTCCTGATCATCCCAGTCTGCATAATCACTTTTATCTTTGGGTTAAGTATTGATTCCGTACTCCCTTTTACAAAATGATTCAGGATTCCTAGATTCGTCAAATTCGACCCGTCTGTACATTGCATTACAGTATCCTTCGACCCAATGAGATGAGCGATCGACCTTTCGATCGCGACAAGAGACATGTTGATGCCAGCCGTATCCGGTGGCATATTAGCAACATCATCAACCGTATACGGCGCCGTCTTTGATTGACATCTCGCTTGTTGAGGCTGCGAAAACACGTAATCGCATTTTATACCGATTTTCATACAGCGCGTACATTGTGGTTTTGTCTCGTCGCACTGTGATTCACAAAGTATTAATCGATGTATTCACATATCGTAAGAGTGGAGAGGTACCTTGAGTCTCCTGTTCTTGCAATTCCGACATCCATACCGAGATTTGCGATGACTTCTGCGCGAGTGTGCAACTTTGGTTGACTCGTTTGGTCTGTCATTTGAGGATGACGACGATACGTATGGTATTTGTGCCACTCCTGTCGTTCTTGCTGGGTTCCTGATGCGGATTACGTGCTGAAGTTGCACCTGGACGTTGTTCAAACTACCCTTCAGTTCGCGGTGACCTATCATTTTCTCCTGTATCGTTGCGCATTTAGAATCAGAATTTACAAAAAGTCGAAAGAAAAAAACATAAGTCAGCCAACGTCATGAGACGACAGAGATGGAGTGAAATGCGTCCATCCAATCAGACTGCATCTCCGCGCTGAGCCTCAGCGGTGATCTTCCAAGATACGCTAGTCCTGAAACAGCAGTTATGCCAAGACTGCGTATTCCTCGCCTATCGGTTGGCTGTCGGCGATAATAACCAATCAGATTGTCGATTGATTTTTGTAAGACTCACCAATAGAAGGGCTAAGATATCGCGATATTTTTATCGTTTGGCTATAGCGATGCCGATATACATGGTGGATTGTTGATTACTTATCACTTCTAGAGCTACCGCATATAACACTGTAGGGTCTATCCACAGCGGAAGGGGAGAGGGGCATTCGACCGCACTCAAGCAGAACCTCTTCGTCTACCACCACTGTATAAAATGTCAGACCTAATCGTCCTCCCTCGTCCTGGGACAACAAAATCCAACGATAATCCAAAACCAATCCAAGCACCATCCGAAGTAGCCTTTATCGAAACATTCGGCCAGTTACTACCACCAGCCTCATACTTCCAAACCCCAATCGGCAGAGTAGCCTATTATTCACTGCCGCCTTCGTCAACCCCAACCAACTCGAAGGTTGAACGTGTCGTGCTGGTCCATGGCGTCCAAACTCCCGCCCTGGGACTACACCCCTTAGCAACCGCACTTAAATCCAGGTTTCCGAGCGCACACATCGTGCTCATCGATCTCTGGGGCCATGGCCTAACCGACACCCCATTCGTGCCACATGAGCCGTCTCTATTCCACTCCCTACTTGACTCACTCCTGGTGCATCTAAACTGGCCCAATGCGCATTTCGTAGGTTACTCGTTTGGTGGCGCAACAGTTGCGCCCTTTGCGAGCGCGTATCCGCACCGCGTCGAGTCGTTTGCTCTTGTTGCGCCTGCAGGATTGATCAGGGCGGCGAGTTTCGGTGAGCTTGGGAACAGCTACCTTCGTGGTGGAGATGGTGTCTCAGAAGAGAAAGTGCAGGAATGGGTTCTTGAGACCCTTGAAGGGGGCCCATTAACCGTGCCGGCGGACTGGAAGGAAAAAGTCTCGCGAGGGGAAGTTGTCGCTGAAGCTATTAAGGACTGGGAAATTAGGCATCACGAGGGTCATATGGCGAGTGTGGTAGGTATTTTTAGGGATGGGGGTGTGCTGGATCGACAGAATGAGTTTGTGAAAGCGGCGAGGTCGGGGGTCAGGAATGTGAGTGTTGTGGGTGAATACGATGATTGGAGTACGGAGAAGGATTTGAGGGAGGTGGGATTTGAGGATGTGGTTGTTGTGTTGGGAGTCGGACATGGCGTTGTGAGGGAGCGGGTGCCTGAGGTTGCGGATGTTATTGAGAGGTTTTGGAGGGGGCTCTGAAATTATCATAACATACCAATGTACATAGACAACGTATTGAAATAGAAAGATTCACTCGATCGACGTAACGTAAGCAATGAAGGTAAGAAAGAATTGTCGTTCATACCGAGGATTTATTGTTGTAACATGTTATATCTGACATTGATACCATCCCATTGTTTTTGAGATACCGATGGACGCTCAAGGGGGGCTCAGAACGTAGAATTTGAGGGCAGTCGTTCTACGTGGAAACATCGAATCAACATGATAACTTTATCGAAGCTAGACCTACTGAAGAAACTGTTCAAAAACTTTGATTGTCAATTCGATGTAACGAACTGAAGAGAACAAATGAATTACGTTGTGATATTCCGAAATCACAAGAAAACGCCCTCCCGTTGAAATGCATCACCCGGATAAAACTGCTGTGGCTTTCTGTATGATGTTACATGAATGAAGAGCAAATATTCTGATCTAATTTCCCAAACTCCAAAACAAGTACTGTCTCTCCCAGAAGATTGCATAACCATGCTAATGTTTGAAAAGTGTTTCGTGCATGACCAACGTCAATTCTCAGAAAATTCTATCAGCGCTATCGCCGGACTCAGAGATGAGCATTTCTACGCCGTAGCATTTCCGAATATGTTCCAAGAAACCAACCTTTGATCTAGCCCGATATTGCAGTCCGCGGAGATAGTGCCATGATCCTACATTTGGAGGGATCAGACGAGATAGCGTCCCAAAGTCAAGATATCGATAGAACCGAGAGAGGTGCTCACAACCACAACACCACAGTCCACTTTCAAGAACTTTCTGAGGAGATATGGATGGAAAGTGGACGGATGCTGTACCAAGCCATACATTTTCGGGCTCATCTGGGTCCTTTGGTATTGTCAATGGATCACAAGGGACGGGATCCAATGGCGTCTCTATCAGCCACTTGGATAAGCGATATGGTTCCTCCTGCTTCCAATGCAAAGGCAATCCTGGGGTTGAGCGCGGTCGGGGTAAGACAAACTCTCCCAGAGTCTCCACTGACCCATGAACCATGATGGCCAGCTTCTTAGCGTCCTTTACACTGATAAGGCGTACCCGTCGACGTCGTGATCCACACAAGTAGAGGACAGGTATATTGCGCATAATTGGTCCAAAATTTATTTGTCTTTCTGTCAGATCGAAGTACTTTCTTGCCTGGCGCGTCGATACAACCCAAAAGGATGCATTTTGCTTTAGACACTGATAACAAATTCGCTCACACGCTGGCAGGAACAAGAATGCGCCATACTCTCCGCAAGAGACACACTTATCAGAACATAGTGCTGCGTGAAGCGTAGCGGATGAATGCACACTGATAAGTCCTGTCTTGCCTAGAGCGTTCAGAGTGCCCGGGGCATATTTCATGAGATCCCGGTAGGCTGGAAGCGACTCCACGATAGATTTGCTTCGAAGTGATGTGCATGAGAGTCTGGAGAGCGACTGAAAGTCCAATGATGCGCAGATTGAGTGTAAAAGCTCGAGCGGTAGACTGTCCAAGGCGCCTGCCGAAGATGTACCATCATCGCGTTGGATATGTGAAATTTCCGCAGGCTTAGAAATGGAGACCATTCCATTTGCCAGGAATTTTGGTTGATATGAGAAGCGATCGATGAGCTCCTCTGGGGAATTTTGATCGAGAGACATTGTTCAAGTGTATGAGAGCATTGGCTCGGTTTTCCCTTAGATTTGAAAGGTTGAAAGTCAGCGAGGTTGATGTGAGTAAGTGAGGCGAGTAAAGTCGTGTCCGTAGTTGTAGAATGAGATTTGGATGATCTCTATCATTGACTTGGTTCTTAAAAGTGAAGGTTGACGGAATTATCCGTGGGTAGTTGAGAAATGAAAGTGAAGGAACTTCTCGTCTGGCCTTGATGTATAGACGTAGTGAGAGCTTCTCAGACTTAAATACTTACGAAAGACGCAGAGCTCCAGCCATTACTTATTTTCTTCATATTATGTTGGTCGTCTACAGCAACTGGCCAAGGATAATGTCAACCAGGGGAGCATGTTGGAGAACATCACTGTTGTGGTGTCAGTGGTGTGAAGTCTAGGACTTCAGGCATTAAAATGGGTATATGCAAGTTATGGGACATCTTGAATGATCTTCTATCATGTCCAAATTCACAACATTGGTTGTGTATAGGAGGTGAGTTCACACTTGTTGTGTCCCAAAAAGGAAGGAACATCACGTGACCACAGACCAAGTTTTTCCCTAGATTTTCCGAGCCGAACGGACGAGGTTTGATTATTCAATCTCAGGTACCGACAGGAACATCACAGGTCGCTGCATCACCACATCCGGGCCCATTGGACCTTGTCTCATCCTCCAAGACCTTCTTTGCTCACCAGAAGATCTTGCTGTCACTTTTTCCTCGCTTTCGGTAATAATATAGACAAAATGTCCCCCATGGCAACTCGCGCCGCCCTCCGGCAATCACGGTTCCTCATCCGCAGAACCGCCATCAGACACAACTCGTCCACCACCGAGGCGGCCAACAAAGCCAAGCAAGCAACTGAGCAGGCTACATCCAAGGCTTCCGAAGGTCTGTCCAAGGTTTCATCCAGCGCTGGCCCAGCAATTGCCGGTGCTGCCCAGAATGTCGGCAATGCTTTGCGCAAGGTCGGCGGCCCTGTCGGCAAGGTCGTTACTTTCGTTGAGCGTGAGTCATTCTCCTACGGCAATATACGATTTATTTGCTTTATCTGGATTGCCAATTCAATAGCAACCGAACAATCGGGAAACTGGAAGATCATACAGAATACCAAAGACATTGAAAGCTGACGCATCTCAGGCATGATCCCTCCTACCGTTTACTACGCCCGTGTCGGTCTCGAACTCGGAAAGATCGTCTTCCACGGCCAGAAGATGGCTCCTCCGTAAGTCTCAACCACGATCAATCGTCTACTCTGTTCCTCGGCCCTGACAATCTACTAGTAACCTCGCTACCTTCCAATCATACTTCCAACCTCTGATCAACGCTTTCCGCAMCCCTGCCACAATCAAGAACCTCAAATTTTCCCCACAGAGCCTGATCGGCCGCGCACGAAACCTCAGCACCAAGGAATGGGCCTTAGTCGGTGTCACCACAGCAGAGGTTATCGGATTCTTCACCGTTGGTGAAATCATTGGCCGTCGTCAGATCGTTGGATACCAGGGAGAGCCTGCGCACGCCCATGGTCATTAGAGAACAAAACAAAATTTTTTAGAATATTTGCAACCTATTTTCCCTCGCATCATCATCCCGTTTCTCTACCCATGCTACATTTCCTTTGTTGATTGATTTGTATGGCAGCGCTTTGTACTATTGTATGATAGACGATGGAATATAGCTGCATTCTGTCATTTTCTGAGCTGTAATTGTTCAGTTCAAATTCTACGTATTACCTAAACAACAAGTTGCAACTTGATCAATTGTACACCATTGTTGGGTAGGGCATCGGCCACTTGGGCAGTCTGCAGACACCTGAATTTGGACTTAGACCGAAATATATGAATAAGCTGTTTCGCCAATGATTATGCTGGGGCTGATATCCCTTCGTGGTTCGTAAAGAATGTGCTAGATGTCTTCGACATGTTAAAACAATCTCCGAGTTCTGAGCTTCTGATTGGCTGCTTGATATAAACTTAGCGGCCGAACTTTTTTTTCTTCATCTTCTCCATCACATGCAACAGTTCGGATACCTCTTGTGCATTTAAAGTTCTCGAAATAATTTCAATGTGCTCCTGATTTAGCAGAGCTAAGGGATTATACTGGGTGCAACGACATGGACGCCTTCAAGTTGTTGACCAGGTCAACAAAACTAAAGCCTTCAACATCAAATACGACTAGCCGGTTACCTTCCGCAGGCAAAGCAGCGAATCCGCAACTCTTTGGTTCTGCAGAAGATGCTCAGTCCAGCAAGAAAAGAAAGAGACAGAATGAAGCTGCAGAAGAGACTGGCGAGAAAAACGATGATTTTGATGCTACACAACGCCTCTTGTTTGGTGGTGGGCATTCGACATCTGTCACTGCTACGACGGCAGTAAAAGAATCTAAAAAATCTCGGAAATCCAAGAAGGCATCTATACAGATCGACGACACGCAGGCCGAGAATGAATCCGATTCGGAACAGCAAGCGCAAGGCGATGCTATGGATGAGTCTGAGCGTCGAACAATTCTCAAAACTCACAAAATCAAAGTCGTCGATTTGAGAGATCTGGAAGATATTCTAGCAGAAAAGGTTGAAGATCAAGACGATGACTCCAAAAGCAAAAAGAAAAAGAAACGGAAAATCAGCAAGGAGATCGCCCTCCTCAGCAAAAAGAGGCAAAAAGAAGCCCGACAACTGTATCCAGAGCCCTTGACTTCCTTTCAAGATTTGCGGAAGAAGTATCAGATCTCTAGAAAACTGGCAGACAATATTTCTGAGCAAGGATTTACGGTTCCAACTGAAGTGCAGATGGGTAGTTTGCCTCTCCTTCTTGGAAATACCTCGTCTGCGAAAGATGAACAAGAGCCGGATCTCTTAGCTGTGGCACCTACAGGTAGTGGGAAGACACTTGCCTTCCTTATTCCCTTGATCAACAAGACTGTTGGATATCACCGAGAGAATCCAGGACAACGCGAGATTTCGTCGATTGTTGTTGCACCTACCAAAGAGCTGGTAGGTCAGATTGTCAACGAGGGACGCAAATTGGCGGTCGGAACAGGCGTGACGATTACAGCAATGAGGAAAGGAATGCAGGTTGTGGCTCGGGCTGAGCATGATGATGCGGACGAAGATTCAGAAAATTCGGCGTCGGGCTCCGAGTCTGATGGGGATGAAGATGCAGACAAGTCGGCCAAGTCAAAGGACAGTAAAAATACGGACGCTCTGACGAAAAGTGATATCCTGGTTACGACACCGCTTGCATTAGTCAATGCTCTATCTAAAAAGAATGCAGAAGAAAAGGAGTCGCTCCCTTCGGTACGATATCTTGTATTGGACGAGGCAGATGTTCTACTTGATCCATTATTCCGCGACCAAACACTAGCAATCTGGACTGCATGTACCAACACCCACCTCAGAATATCTTTCTGGTCCGCCACAATGGGCTCTAGTATCGAAGAACTTACAAAATCGACACTGGAATCGCGTCATGAGTTGCTTGACGCAGAAAAGAGACCTCTACTACGCGTGGTCATTGGCCTGAAGGATTCGGCTGTGCCAAATATTCAACACAAACTTATTTACGCTGCTACCGAGCAAGGAAAGTTGCTTGGATTGCGACAGTTACTTCACCCTACTGCTGCTATCGCTCCTAATGAAGTTCGACTTCGACCACCGTTCCTCGTTTTTACTCAAACCATCACTCGAGCTGTTGCCTTGCACTCGGAGTTGCTATACGACATCCCAGTTGAAGCCGGTGGTTCATCTCGAATCGCTGTTCTTCACTCTGATTTATCCGAAACGCGTAGATCCGAAATCATGAAGGGGTTCAGAAAAGGCGAGATTTGGATCATCATCACAACTGACTTGTTGGCCCGTGGTGTCGACTTCCGTGGCATTAATGGTGTTGTCAACTACGATATTCCGACGTCGAGTGCTGCCTACGTCCACCGAGTAGGCCGAACGGGTAGGGCTGGCCGTGAAGGTGGTGTTGCGGTAACATATTACACGAAAGAAGACATTCCATACGTCAAGAGTATTGCCAACCTCATCCACACCAGTGAGAAACTTCAAGGCAAAGAGCAATCTGTACAGAAATGGCTTCTCGATTCTCTTCCGGACCTAAGCAAGAAAGACCGACAGGACCTGAAAAGACATGGCGTCAAAGCTCGCGCGGCTTCTGCTAAGCTCAAGCATGATACTGAGAAGGGAGGAAAGGCTCGCATCAGTACAAAGAGTGGATACGATCGTCGCATGGAAAATAAGAGGAAGGGCGCTATATCTGCAAGTCGCAACAGGACTCAGCAACCTTCGACCGCAAAAGATGCTGCGGATAGTGGCGACGATGAGTGGAATGGGCTAGATGATTAGAAGAGTATATGCAAATATGTCACGTTTTATTTTCACCTCCATTCTCACTAGGTTTCTCAATGAGATCTCTATCTATACTAATATCAATCACGGTCTTACTGGGATCGACGACGCCTTCCAGTCCATCTTCATTTTTGTCAAAATATAACGCCCAAACATCCTCCTCTTCCTCGACAGCGGCCCACAACTCTTTGTTCTTCAACAAAACTCCTGACTCGTCTTCCGTCCAATCCCAATGGCCGACGATATGCGGTAAACTCTGAGTCCGATTTCCATATCTCAGTTCCAATGTATCTTTATCAACATATATCCAATTCAGCATAGGCGGGTTATCAGATATCGTGCTGACGAGGCCGTCTCCAGGCTTATTGTCGTCATCTGGGTATGCAATGAAAAACGCGCCAACTGTATGCGACGGTATTTTCCGAAGGGCTGGATCCGCATGATCAAGATACACCTACACCCATTAGCACGAGACTCAAAAGAGCCTAATGTATATGTTCAGAGGATATACCTTATTATCCCTCAACACAGCTCTCCGCCCATTCAAACTCTGCGCTTTCTCTGAATCTCCTTCGCAATATACCTGCATGTAGAATTTGGCCATTCGTTTCTCGTCTTGCATTCGCGTGTTGGCTTTACGTTGTTCGCTGACGCCGAACGCGACGCCCGCGACTGTGGGGATGGCTGTTATGGCGAGAAGGCCTATGACCATGATTGCGTCTTCGTCTCGTTTAAGTTCGTTTCTATTTGGTCTGATTTTTCGTGAATATTAAATGTTATGTCAGGTATGTAATCAAAGATGCGATATATGACTGGACATGTGTATGTGCTGTAGAATATGGAGAGTATAAAAAAGCTTGTCCAGCTTTGCATGTTGATCCCCGCTGATGTCATTAATAGACCCCATTAATATGCCAAGATGCCAAGCCTTGAGGCGCAAAGTCACGTGAATCATGCCCGTCAGCGCCAAGGCACGCCAATCATATTGCGTGAACTATAGCTCTCAGCCACCCTTTTTGAGACCTCACAACTTGACGTCTGACTTTTGTCAGTAGGTGTATTTGCTGTAATATGGACTGTTTGATAATCTAGAGCATTATATCGTTCATGGTAGCTCTGGTTACATCCAATCTGGCACATCACTGGTCCAGTGTTAGCCAGACCACAACAACAATGGCAGCATCAGACGAAAACGAGAAATACATCGACCCTCGCATGGGAAAGACTGACCTTACAAATGGCCAGTATGCTCGATACCAGATCCTGCTCAAATCTTTGGGCGGCCTTAAGTCACTCTTCTCACCAAAACGGTTCCAAATAATAAGGTGGCTATGGGAGAACCAGTACCTCAACTCTATCGAGCCCAACGCATTTGCATCGATCAGAGGAGATATGTTCGAGACCTTCCTTGTTGCTGCCGAAAAGGTTATGTCGCTGCGAAAGGAGAAAGGGTCTTCGAACCAAATCATCAATATAGCGAGTGAATATATTATCACTGATAAATTCATTTGGTCAGACTACAACGTCTGGGAAAATGGATTTGTGAATTATTTTCTAGGCCAGGTACTTTGGTGCTTTTATGAGGCGTATCCAAAGTTTTTTCCTGTCAAGACATCGGATAAGGAGCCCTTGGAACATGCCGTGACGTGCATGCTGGCTCTCCCAAACTCGGACATCGAAAATTTGACTACGAGTATTGCTATATTGGTATCGAATGTGAGAAATAAAGGAATTGATGACCTATTCGGTACGTGGGTTGATGGAAAATTGGTGTACCTGTCTCGAAGGATACTCAATTTTAGGATGCATGACAGAAAGGAAAGTAAAAAGCTGTTGGACGCTGGGAGAGAGAATGGAAATACGATCAATCTACGCCTAGAGCTGGCAAGGTATGTTGATGGATCGAGTAGAAGGAAGCTATTGGCGAATTCTTTGGATATGGCGAAAGCGCTTTATGGTGAATGTCATGCGGTTACCTGGCACTGCACGGAGCAGCTAGGGGATTTCTATCTCAAATATGCGGATGAGTATACATTACAGTACTATTTCTCGAAACTTGACGGCGACAAAGTACGTTCAGTGCAAGATATATACGAAGACTTTCTAAATCGCGCAGATGTACTTGGACGTTCTAAGTCGCTCGGCGGATCTGAACGTGAAGCTCTCTCTGCATTGCTACGAGAAAAAGTCGTCCCTACTGTGGTTAATATATACAAACGAAATGGCAAAGAGTCAGAGGCGAGAAGACTACTTTGGAAAACAGTCAAAGACTCGAGCTCCCAAATTTACCATGCCAACTGGGTACCGTTCGGTCGTGGATCGGGAAAGATGAGACGTCTAATGACCGAAATTCACTCCCTTGAAAACCTCGAAGAGTTCACCGGCTACTCAGACCTGAAATATAGCAGCCTGGAACTGGTCGTTTTTCCATTTGACGAGATATCTTTGAAATCTGTGACACCTTCGGATGAAGAGAAGGCCAGGAAATGGCACTTTGTATTTGAAAGATTACCGAATGGTGATATCCACGCTAGAGAAATCACTGATTGGTCTCCGGGCCTCGAGGGAGGGTATGAGCCGAAAACAATACAAAAGACTGACGAGGCTGAGAACAAGGAAAAGATGATCCTTGAACTTCCATACATCCCATACGCCCATTTTAAAACCTCAAAGGCATACCGAGAAGGAAGTACATATGATTTCTACCGTAAGGGATCATTCAACCAACAGATTCTGGACTGGATGAAGAAAAATGAGGGACATTATATTCTCAGTTTTGGGCATGATGATTACTCGGATTATATTGCTTATGCTGATCTATGGCCGAGCGTTGGGGGTGCCTTGGTGGACTCTGAGAAAGGGCAGGTTGAGAGGTTTCTGTATGATCGAGAGACGGGATCCGTGAAGATGACGAATGAGACAACGGCCGCTCCAAAGGAGCTTGAGGTACGTTCGTACAGTGAAACTCTCTTAAACAACAGCTGACTTTATGATACACAGAATCCCCCCAGCTACAAAACTCTTGACATCGGTCAATGCAAAACACAAATACCCGGATTCTTCAACAGCACGCCCGGCGACAAAGCTGCAATAGATGACACCGGTACGGTCACTCAAGGTTTCAATCTAGTCTCCGCGGAGTGGTACGACTGGAAACGATTCATTCTTCATCCATGTTCATCTTCAACGGAGAAACAGCCTGAATTGGTATCTACAGACGGATCACCTATACCCGTACTTGGATACATATACGGAACTTGGACGGACGATAAACTCCACAAACAATGGAGAGGGTTGCAAATCTGGATTGTCCAAGCGACATTCAAGCTCACCCCAGATTCTTCGCAAGTTGAAAGATCGTGTCATTTCGTCCTTAACGCGAATGATATCTGCAAGAGTAGAGAGCATGAATGTGAGACCCCCCGGGTAAATCTCTTCCCTAATGAAGAGCTATTCATTCTAATACGTCGGATAGTATCCCTCAGCGAGACCCGAGCAATATGCACACTCCTCAATCCATCACTTCTCCGAGTCATGAACCATTCCATGTTTACACCATTTATGTGCACCATGGGTGAAGGAATACCTGATGATTTTGCGGGAGTCACTAAGAGTAACTCCTCTCTTCCCCTTCTTTCAAAGTAGCCACCTTCTTACTGATAAATGTTGGAATAGAAATAGACCCGAGCATGCAAAGAGATTTAATCGCAGAACTCTCATTTCGTGATGCGTGGGATACGGAGTTCGCCTACAAGTGGTGGAATCGTACTTGGGGGGATGCTCGGAAGAAGATTATGTGTAGGCAGTTAAAGGAAGAGACGGCGAGACGGAGGGAGTGGGATGCAGAGAGTGTGCCGGTGTTTAAGCAGTGGGTTAATTCGCATAAGTGACACCTTGGTAGGACACCTTATAGATACCCACTTAAAGTCTGTAAATATGCATTATTTTTTGAGAAAAGCTGAGAAGAATCTATGAAATATAGTCTAACTATGGTCTAATCTAGTCTATTAAAAATATATCGGAACTGTCGTAAATCGTAAACGAAAATCAAATCTTCTCACTCCATCCCCAAATGGACCACCAACAGTGCACTTCCATGGATTGACCGTCGGCATCTTCCCAGTCATCGTAGCCCGTTTCGTCACCCTGTTCGACAATAGCTAGACCAATGTTCTCCATTCTTCGTCGAAATTCTTCGACTTGCGGTAGATATGCATCTCGTAGTGGTAACTCAACTACGACACGCGCGTCAAGGCCCTTGCTTAACCATGTGTTAATCGTTTCAACGAGCCACTTGGGATGGTCGGGAGAATAAAGCGGATCGGCGGCAAGAATGACATCGAATAGGTCGTCTTTCGTGGGATGCGGAGCGGGAGGTACAGACCAATCCAACATTCCCGTCGTGACCTTGGCATTGACCTTGTTCAGTAGCTCGGAATTCAGCTCAACATTTTTTGCCAGATTAGGAACGATAACCGACAGATCGGTTAAATGTATTGAGGCGGATGCACCTCGTAGGGCAGCAAAAGATAGACCGACAAGGCCGGTCCCTGAGCCTAATTCCAATGCCCTAAGCCGAGTACTCGTTGATGATGTTGTTGACTCAGATCGCACTAGTTCTGGTACGGCTTCAAAGATGGAGTCCAGGCGACGCGAGAGTAAGTACGAAGATACCCAAGTTTTCATCCCAAGGTTGTCCGAGGTGAGGGAGGGTTCGTGTAAGTTGAGAGTGAATTCTTCTCCGGATGACGTAGGAATATTGAAAAGTCTAGTAAAAGCAGGCATAGCTATGATTGTGTAAGTACACCGCTCGAAAACACGACAGTAATGGTTCTGGGACCAACCTGTTCGGCCTGCTCGCTCACTCAGCCTGGCAGCAGCAACATCCCATATTTGTTCTCGCAGGTCATCGGACTCTAGCCACTTCAGAGAACTAGAGATTATGGTCGTGAGGTACTCTGTCACACCGGTAGGGTCTATTTTTCGTCTTGTCGCATCTCGGACGCCAAGACCAAAGCTCTTCGGTTGGATAGCTAAGTGATCAAGGGCCTTCAGAATTTCAATAGCCGAGGGTTTCGTATATAATTGCGGCAAATCGAGGACTGCGATGTCACTTGAATATTAGCTTATCAGGTCGGCGCACTCGAGTCAGACAGGCAAAAGAGGGGCAGAGTCGCTGGTAAAAGAATCATACCATGAAGAGGTTCATCTTCGTCAGCGGTTATCATCTCGATCAATAAGCCCCAGCGAGAGCCAATAAATAGCCTAACTACACAAAAACCCTGGGAACGACCGTGAAGACCAGCGATAGACAAAAGATCCGCCCTTATCTTGTCGGACGAGGAAGATAGCGCGGGCTGGGCTGGCGGAGAAAAAAAAGTCGCTATTTCCTAAATAGGAAAGGTAGCGTTATCGGCGTGGGTCTGTTGCCGCTCAGGATTCGTGGATTCGGTCCGATGGCGGATCCAGGCGGTCAGTCTCAGGCACAACCACAATGACGACCACGATCTATACAAGAAGCGTGCTGGTCAACGGTATCCTTTCAATCTCTGCTTCTAGTTGTGATCAATGTATGCCGTCGATGCAGATCAATTCAGCGTCGCTTTGAAGCCTTGATACGCTTGCTCGATGTCAAAAGACAATTCGCGGGCTTGGTCGTCGCTCAGTTCCTCCGTTGCGCGCATTTGATTGAGAGTGATGAGCCATTGTATGATTTTTCCCCGTGATTCGAAATCCCGATCTGTGACCTTATTGACCGATTGAATAACCTCGGATAAAAGCGGATGCAGGGCGTCTTTCGAGACCATGTTCAGCTTCAAGGCATCCAAGAAGGTGATGAAGTTTTCCGTTGCAGTGAGAATGAGACTTCCGGAAGCACCGGCAGCAGGAGCGTTGGTTGGCAGGCCGCCGCTTGGAGTGTGGGCGCCGTGGGATGCTTGTTCGACGGTGGCCGGCAAACCGATGCGTAGACGTTCGGTAGCTCGAGGGCATTCCAACTAAAGAGATCAGTCACAATCGATGTTGATTCTTTGAGATTGAGATTGATGACACACCTGCCATGTGCGCTTGAATGTCTCCAAGTCGACAAATTCTCGCGCTACCGTGTCGTCACCCAACGTCGACTTATATTGCTTCAATAAGCGAGCACATGTCTCTGTATACTCGGACTCTGAAATAGCATCGCGAATGTATGCTTTTTCCAATCCATCCAAGGTAACGATAATGCTGTATATTTCGGCGAGCGACTCGTAGAGGTCGCGCTCGGCGGAGCTCGATGCGAGCTTGACTTCCTTATTGATGTCAGCTTGATTATGCGAAAGCGAGCGGGCGCAACTTACTTCATCGAGGTTAATCGTGGCGGATAACGCTGGGTTTGGCGTATAGCTATAAGGCGTAGGGGCATATGATAGTGGTCGTTGAGAATGCATCGTGCGATGATTTGTCTTGCTAATGTCGATGTTGATGTACCGACGCAAGAGGAGTCCGCGATCCGTGCAATTGGAGAGGAGGAAGGCGGGAAGCAACTGTGTGGTCCGTGCACCGCTTTCTGCCAGCCAAATCGATTTTTTTTTCGTCCTCCCGCAAGACCGACTACAAGCTCATTATCTAACCTATAAGTCCAGCCATTGAATCATTTCGCACAGCCGCTTGGATCGCGCTGTGATAATAATTCAGTCGCAATGGCTATGAAGAAATCCACCAAGAAGTTCCAGCAACGGAAACTGGGAGATGTGCTCGAGAGACGTAAAGAGTTCGCCAAAATCAAGCAGCGACATCAAGTGAACGACAAGAGAAAAGCACGAAATGCTGAACGACGCGAGAAAGCGGAAGCCGAGAAGGTGGTCGACCCCGAGGAACAAGCCAAGGAACAAGCCTTTGCGGAAATGAACGTCGACGATTTCTTCGCTGGAGCATTTGACATTGCGGACCCCAAGAATGATAAAGGAACAAAGGCACAAAAGAAGAACGTGACCCCTAAGATCGGCAAACGGAAGCGTGTGGACGAGAGTGCCAAAGATGACGAGGAGGAAGCTGCGTCCGATTCAGACGAACAGTCAGATGCCAGCAGCGTCGGAGATTTCGAAGATCACAAAGGACAGTTAGAGTCGCTGAAAGAGAAAGACCCAGAGTTTTACAAATACCTCAAAGAAAACGATGCCGAACTTTTGGACTTCGAAGACCACGGCGACCTGGCTGAAGTCGATGAACTGAGCGAGACGGAAGAAGGGCCAGCCAAGAAAAAGAAGAAATCGAAGGGTTTGGAATCTGAAGCTATGAAGGACAACATCGTCACCATATCCGAGGTCAAAAAGTGGCAAAAATCTTTGCAAGAGCAAAACTCCATGAGAGCTCTCCGACAAGTCGTACTTGCTTTCCGATCAGCAGCATACGTGAATGACGCCGACAACCAGGATACTAAATACACCATTTCGGATCCGGATGTCTACCACCAAGTACTTATCACAGCATTGGAAATGGTACCCAAGGTACTGGCCCACCATTTGCCAGTAAAAGAAACCGCAGGGGGCAGAATCAAACTGGCGGCAGAATCGCAAAAGTTCAAGACACTTAGTCCACTCATCAAATCACACACGTCATCTGTTCATCAACTACTCACGAATCTATCGGATGCGTCTACTCTTAAGTTGACGCTCGCATCTATTGAGCCCATGTTGCCATATCTTCTGCAGTTCCGCAAAGTGCTGAAGGTTATTGTGAAAATGGTGGTTAGCATCTGGTCTGACAACACCAACTCTGAGGCTGTTCGCGTTACTGGTTTCTTGATCATGCGTCGCCTGATGAAGATCGGGGATGCGGGAATCAGGGAGGCTGTTCTCAAAGCGACATATGAAGGTGTTGTCAAAGGCAGCCGCAATACAAATGTCCATACCCTTGCTGGTGTCAACCTGACCAAGAATTCAGCAGCAGAGATCTGGGGCATTGATCAAAATGTCTCTTATACTACAGGATTCAGCTTCATCCGCCAACTGGCCATTCACCTCCGGGGCAGTATCACGAATAAGACCAAAGACTCTTACAAAACGATCTACAACTGGCAATACGTGCACTCGCTTGATTTCTGGTCCCGTGTGCTCTCTCAGCACTGCAATGCTTTAGTCGAGGCAGAGGCAGGGAAACAATCTGCTTTGCGACCTTTGATCTATCCCGTTGTACAAATTACCCTGGGTGCTATGCGCCTTATCCCCACCCCTCAATACTTTCCTCTACGCTTCCAGCTCGCTCGTGCTCTGCTACGAATTTCCCGTGCTACAGGTACTTATATTCCTTTGGCCCCAGCTCTTATGGAAGTACTCAACTCGACCGAAATGAGGAAATCTCCTAAGTCAAGTACATTACGACCATTGGAATTCAATACATCTATCCGGGCAGCCAAGTCCTACCTCCGCACCCGCGTCTACCAAGACGGTGTAGGTGGACAGGTTGTCGAGCTGTTGTCGGAATTCTTTGTTCTTTGGACTAAACACATTGCTTTCCCCGAGCTCGCACTGCCAGTTGTTGTCATGTTGAAACGGTGGCTTAAGGAGGCAGGATCGCGCACAGGCGGCAACAAGAATTCCAAGATCAACCATTTGGTTCTACTCCTTGTGCAAAAGGTCGAACTCAATGCCCGTTGGATTGAAGAGCGTCGGGCCAAAGTCAACTTTGCTCCGAAGGATAGAGCGAATGTGGAAAACTTCCTCAAGGAGACCGAGTGGGAGACCACTCCTTTGGGCGCATTTGTTAAGACTCAACGTAAACTACGTGAGGAGAAGGCAGCCATTCTCGAACAAGGTAGACAAGATGAAGAAAAACAGCGACAAAGAGAACGTGATAACGCCGACGAAGATGTCCTCTCAGAAATCGAAAGTGAAGACGACAGTGACTTGATTGAAGACGAGGATGACGAGGAGTGAAGCATCCGCATGAGGTGATTTGCAGCATGATATAGCATTTCAAGGATATCCTAGATTTTCCGGCGTTGGTTCGGGTACGTAGTCTTAGACCACAAAAGTCATATCATTGTCCTTTATCCTCTAGTCCGATCTTGAAACTCGCTTAGATGTAGCTGCATGCAATAGCGACCGCTTCTTTGTGGCGGGGCTCCYGATAGCCGTTTTTCTAGACGTTCCGATACTCGGAATTGTTGGTATTTCTAAGCTGCCAGGCACTTCTAATAGAGGAAATTACTCGGTTAGCAGTCTGTAGAACGACCGAGGACAATCACTTGCATTTGACAGCTCATCATAGATGAGTTTGTTAAGATCATCCTGGTATTATTAAGTAGTAGTATAAGTAGTATAAGTAGTAGTAGAACTAAGTGGAGCCGCCGTTTGGCCTCAGGCAGGACTGCCAATTTTTCGGCTCAACAAGATTTGCTTCATCTTGCATTTTCTTGCAACACAACATAATCCTTGCTTCCTTCACAATACCAGACATTGCTCAATAAATACCGGCTACAGCTTTCTCCCACAGACTTTTAATATTTTACCCATCGACTGTATTCCAATGGCCTTCCAGGCTGTTTTCTAACACAGGCTAGAACTTTTACAGACCGCCACATCGATTCATTCTACCCAGGACATTATGCTAATAGAAGATATTGTATCGCCCTTCGAACATACAGGATCTTACGGCTAGGCATTACCTAAAGGATAGGATATTTTAGTGGTGATTTTTTTTTGAGATCATTATCTTCTTCATACGGCCATTCTAGCTTCAAGCAGAGTCGGATGACCAAAATGACCGGTAGGCAGCCAGCCCAATACTTTGTTCTAGAAACCCTAGAGGGGGCTTGACCTCTTCCTGATCAATCAATTTACGAGCCTAGACTAACTCATTCCATCAGTGTTGTGGAGGATGCCCGTTCGTAGAATGGGTAATCTACTTCCGCCTCTCAACTTCCTTACACTGCATCACTCCTATTTCATCGCTATGGGCCTTGTATGGAGCTTGATATTCTGGGGTTCCGCTAGTCCGGCTCAGAGTGTTAGCTACACTGACTCACTCTTTCTCTGCGTGAGTGCAATGACTGGGGCCGGCTTGAATACTGTATGTTTTTCTTAACTTTTTGATTTAGCGTATTTCAAGCTAATATTCCCAGGTCAATCTCTCTACTGTCAATTCTTTCCAACAAGCAATCCTCTTCGGTCTCATTGTTCTGGGTCATCCGATTCTTATCTCAAGCACTGTCCTCTTCGTCCGGAAGCGTGCTTTTGAAACCAGGTTTCGCAGCATTGTTCAGGCAGTTGCACGAAATCGCTCAACTTCCCATCAGGGGATCCACCTATCCAGGATTGCAAAGAAGGCTTTAGCAACAGGCGATAACGGACATGCATCTGGGAATAAAGATTCAGCAGCGGACGGCGCGACAGTGGACCACCCAGCCCCAACAGCTTCTGGAATTACTTCCTTGAATAATGAGACACGCTCCCACAGTAACTTGAATGATATCGATGCTATCAGATGGGTTGATGACGATCAAATCACCGTTCAATCACATACGCGGAACAAAACCAGACATCGCGTATTTCCCATGGCCGGCGTAGGTGCACGTCCAGACGCTAGAGACCCTAAAGACGCCGCGCCTAGCTTTGTTGCTGATGAGGAACGAAGACCATCCTTAATTGAAAGCATTACCAAAGGCTCTCAAAGATTTTTTCTTTCAAAAGGCTTGGTATCTCGCAACTCGCAGTTTCATGGTCTCACCGCTGGCGAGCGCGAGAAGCTCGGCGGTGTGGAATACAAAGCGATTTGTTTGCTTTCAGTTATTGTTCCTTTGTACTTTGTCCTATTCAATATGCTTGGATTTCTAGGACTGGGTACTTGGCTTGCTGTCAACAGACCTAGCACTGCTCGTGAAAACGGACTGAGCCCTTTTTGGACTGGCTCATTCCTGGCCATATCTGCCTTCGGAAATAACGGCATGTCTTTACTTGATCTGAATATGACAGCACTGCAGACTTGGTAAGACCAACTGTCCGGAACCACCGAGTGTTCGACTGTACTGACAATATTCATTTCAGTTCTTATGTGCTGCTCACTATGGGATTCCTAATCCTCGCTGGAAACACACTATATCCTTGTTTCCTGCGATTTAGTATATGGACTATGAGACATATTCTACCACGAACAAAGTGGTGCGAAGAGTGGAAAATCGTTCTCGACTTCATTTTGGATCATCCACGCCGAGTATATACTCATCTTTTCCCGAAACGGCATACTTGGTATCTCCTTGCTACAATCATCCTCTTCAACGGCATTGATTGGGCCGGCTTCGAACTCTTGTCTATAGGCAACACAGCCGTACAGAGTCTTGGTGGATATCGCATATTGGACGGACTGTTCCAGGCTTTGGCTGTTCGTTCCGGCGGTTTCTATGTTGTCAATATCGCCGAATTGCATCAAGGCCTGCTCGTTCTTTATGTGCTTATGATGTATGTTTCCGCGTTTCCAGTCTTGGTGACCATACGAAACACGAATGTCTACGAAGAGCGATCTCTCGGAATATACGCGAACGATCATCTCGCTGAAGATCAGCGACATCACGCTTCTTTGGGCAGTTTTGTCAGCCACATCAAAGCCATAATATCGCCACCATCAATTGAGAAGCAGGACCAGCACCGTGGCACATCCCAAAGCGATGAAAATAATACCTCGCGAAGCTACTTCGTTCGACAACAGCTACGTTCCCAGCTTAGCCATGATATATGGTGGATCTGCCTGGCGGTATTGTTCATCACAATCGCAGAAGCACCCCACTTCACAGATGATCCGGTCTCATACTCTACTTTCAACATCATCTTTGAGGTAGTCTCGGGCTACGGTTGTGTTGGTATATCTGTCGGTCTTCCGGACCAAAATTACTCATTCTGTGGTGGTTGGTACACCATCAGCAAATTAATATTGATTGCGGTGATGCTACGGGGTCGTCATCGAGGTTTGCCTGTTGCCATTGACAAGGCTGTTATGTTACCCGATGAGTCTTTGGCTTGGGCGGAGGAAGAGGATGCTGCGATGAGATTGGAGGGGGCTAGGTCGTGGAATGCTGCCCACGGAAGTGCTTATGATGGAAAGAATGATAATATCGTTTGATTCTGCTTGTACCTCGTTTAGCTTATATAGACTGCCTTGCTTGATTATTTCCACTCTTTTTATCCTGTTCCCGAGTTCCATATTCTCATGTTGCAAAGTTTCAAGCCTACCGATCAGACCTAAATGTGAAAAACCTAAATGCGGATCCTCCCTTGTGTCTTCATTAAATCTTGCTCCAAACCTCTTAATCATACGGCAAAGCTCATCCATGTCTGGCTCACACTTCCAAGCGCTGGCCAGAATGTTCTCAAGTCCATTGGAGGACCCTTCGGAGCTTACGAATGTCGCATTGTACTAGGTGATGAAGTTTAGCTCGACTTCTGGCTCCTCTTCCGTAAAGGTAGATATATGCGATGTGACCAATCGGAAACATCCGATCACTCACCTGATTGGGTCCACCTCTTGATCGAGGTATAAATCAAACAGCTCGCCAGCACTTCTTCTTTTCAATTAACTCACTGCTTTGGCGCAAAATTCTATTACAGATATTTCGACAGACTGGCAGGATGGTTCGCATCGAACAATTTGCTGTTGAGCGAGTAAGGTTAATCCAATTGTCAAGTATATTGTATACGGCTAATGTTGTCAGTGGATGGATGATTACGAGAACGATGCAAAATATAACCTAGCAGAGACCTGCTGCGCATCAATTTCACTTAACGACCTTATTGCCTTTGCAGGGAAATCGGACCAATCATGCAACATACTCGATTTCTCTCAGAAACAGGTTTATGGCGCAATTCGTGGAAGCAATGCTCTACGTTCCAATATTGCAGCCCTGTATGCGGACAAATCATCAGAACAACTATCCTCTGAAAATGTTCTGGTGACAAACGGAGCCATTTCAGCTAATTTTCTGGGACTGTATGTGAACGTAGGCCCGGGAGACCACGTCATCTGCCAGTTCCCTACTTATCAGCAGTTGTACTCGGTACCAAAATCCTTCGGTGCCGAGGTTAGTTTGTGGAAATCCAAGGAGAATGACAATTGGAAGCTTGACATTGAGGAGCTCAAATCATTGATTCGTCCAAACACCAAGATGATCATTATCAAGTTAGATGAGCCCTACCAGCACCCTTTGAGAATTTATAAGTTAACATTAATACAGCAATCCCCAGAACCCGACTGGAGCCGTGTTGTCCCGTGAGAACTTACAAGATATTGTTAATGTTGCTCGAGACCATGGTTTAATTGTACATAGTGATGAGGTCTATCGCCCTTTGTTCCACTCTTGGTCTGGGGATGAGGCGCCGCCTTCCATTCTCTCAATGGGCTATGAAAAGGCCGTTGCAACTGGATCAATGAGCAAAGCGTTCAGTTTGGCAGGCATTAGGCTGGGATGGATAGCTTCTCGCAGCTCGGAAATTATTGAAGCTTGTGCTTCTGCTCGCGACTACACTCTCATCTCGGTCAGTCAGTTGGATGACCAAGTCGCGTCTTTTGCTTTGAGCAAGCCTACTGTGCAAAATATCCTCCAAAGGAACACGGATCTCGCTCAGCAAAACCTAAAGTTGCTAGACGCGTTTGTCATGGAGTATAGTTGGGCATGTCGATGGGTTCGACCTACGGCTGGAACTACCGCGTTTATCCAGTTTTGTGACAGAAGCGGACGAGCAATTGACGCGGTAGAGTTCTGCAAACAATTGCAGGCAGGTACCGGCGTCATGTTTGTTCCTGGTAGCCGGTGCTTCGGTAATGATGTCGAGTACAAGGGCTTTGTCCGCATTGGTTATGTTCCCGAACACAAAGTATTTGCCGATGGTCTCCAACAGTTAATGAAGTTCATGGAAACGAATTATGCACAATTGCCTCCTGCGTGAGGATTTTAGAATAGAGTTAATTTATGGGATCTATCGTTCGAAAGAGTCATTTCAAGATTACCAACCAAAAGAACAGACAACTAGAGCTTCGGAGCCATGACTAATTGATAACGTAAGTTTCAATGAAGATCAGACCGCTGTACTGCACTTCTAAGTAGAATGTTGAAAGATGCAATCTAATGTTCATTTCATATGGAAAAATCAGATATAGTCATGAATATAAAAAGACTGTACACCGTATGTCCGCGAATGTCCACATGCAACAATCAATCAATGATTGAAGATATAAGCGAAGGTAAAAAAGTCAAAAATATGTTACAACGAAGGTATAGGGGTAAAGTAAAAGTAAACGAGCACAGGTATTCACTCCCGCTTTGCATTTCGAATCAGAATCTTGTCAGGGTTTCGATTCAATTAGCAGGCGCTGCCAGTGGTGAGAATGCTGTGCGCTTCCTGAGCATAAGTACAGCCGTTGTTGACATTGCCGTCAGAGAAACCAGCGTCCCACATCATGATACCGCCGAAAGCAGTGTTGTTGCTATACTGTTTGACGAGAGTAGCAAGGTCTTCAGGCGCAAGGTAGTACTTGGCACCAGAGGCAGTACCTGTGGCACCGTCCTCAGAAGCAGGGACACCAAGGAAGATCTTAGCACCCGAAGAAGGGGTTCCCGCGATGTTGGTGATCCAGTCGTTCAAGTTAGTGCCGGTGTCGGTGGAGCAGCCCTCATTGTTGTAGAACTGGACCCAGAGATAGTCGAACTGAGAGTTGGTGATGACTTCCTGCATATTGGGTTCCGGGATAGGACATTGAGGCGCGCCGGTGATGTAGTAGGTGTTCGATGGGTCCTTGGCGAAGTTGGTCCGGAGTGTGGAAATCATGTATTGGTAGTACTCGTTTCCGGAGTTGGCCTCCAAGTCAAAGTCGAATCCATTAACGAAGGTTTTGCCGAAGGGACGGGGAACGGTGGTAGAGGTAGAGCTAGTTGCGTTGGGGCTACCGTAAGCTGCCCACAAGTTCTGTCCGATGGTTGTAGCCTCATCCTGAGAGCTGAGAGAGTAAGCACCAGAAGCACCACCCAGAGACAAGATGACCTTGATGCCGTTGGACTGGCAAGTTGAGATGGCGGTGGCCAAGTCATCGCAGTTTTGGCCAGTGCCATCAGTGCCGATGTAGCAGGACTGGCCGATGGTACCAGAGGGGATTGTGACACCGTTACCCCATTCGTACAAAAAAGCGAGGACGATGATGTCAATTCCAGAATCAGCGGTACAGTAAGTAGAGAGATCGTTGTTCTCGACCGCGCTTCCGCCATTCTGGCCCCAGTAGACAACATTCTGGGCACCGCTAGCTTGACGCTTAGCGGCGCTGAAGCGGTTCAAGACGTGAGGGTAGGCCATGGCAGTGGTAGCCATGAGACCGGCGCTGACAAGAGTGGAGAAATGCATTTTGATGTGAGCGAACAGACTCAAGTTTGGTTTTAATATGTGCAAAGAATAGTATGAAGAACAAGACCACGATCAATCGGGTTGAAAAGCTAGGTTCAGCAGGGAGTGACGGTTTAAAAAAAAAAAGAAGGAATGGACAGATCCGTCAAGGACCTTTGAATCTTCGTTAAGATTGTTGTGGTGGTGCTTGGTGATGATAGAAAAAATCTTCTTTGAAGGAAACCCGAGGCCTATTTATGTTCGTTTCTTGACGAAGAATCAAGCAAACGCTACATCGATGGTGGCGTTGCATTCTTACCACTACTAGTCAAGCTTGTAGATCTATGTTGCAACATCAGATAGCCCCATCGATCCCCTGCCTACCTTGTCCACAGTGGTCTATGCATCGTGATCAGGTTGGTTCGCAGGGCAGATGATGACCTAATAGCTCGAACAATTCAAGGCGGAACACCATTGGGCCAAACTCACACCAGAGATTCGCTACTGTGCCGTGTCATTCCGGGGAATATTTCTTTGCTCAAGACTGAAATTTTTACCTTGTAAGCCTGGGTTAACCCTTTTTGGCAACAGTTAAGACTGGTTGCGTCCTGCTTGTAAACCTGCGGGAAATGGAAAGCTCCAATGGGAGCCAAGTTTCGTTCCAGGAACTTTGATACAAGGCATATAAATGTTGGACGGATCAGATCATTCGAATTTCAGATGCGAAAAACGTGCCTGGCCTAGTCATCCCGGCCCCGTGGTTGAATGCAAGCCACCCGTCAGCCATGTTAATAGGAAGAATGTGCCATCCGATTAGTGTACGTAGCATGTATTTTTAGGACTGGGTAGGGCTAGTATTGTCAAATTGGCGTGACTTGTGAGCAGCCATTAGTGGGTCCATTGGAACATGTAACACAAATTACCAAAATATGCATTGGGAAGCTCAGAAGACCTCGCGGTACGTAGTCGCGAGATCTAGGCATAAGACCAATGAAGCCAGCCGCACGTTTCGAGGTTGCGCCACCAGCGTTTCAACTCGCGGGGCAGTCTTTAGTCTGTGATGCTAGAACAAGACGAGTAAATTAGCTAATCTAGTAGAAGGAAGCATCAAAACTGCATTATTACGTATTTATCATGATCCTAGGCATATGTGACTTGGGAATGTGAGGAAATGTGACGCATACTGTACTACGTCAAACGTCGAGAACGAGGCTTTTCTTTGAATCTGTGCGGCATTCAGTGCACGCGGGAAGCAGGAATGCAATGCGCATGCCGCTCAATGCTGTGCTCTGGCGTGTAAGTGCTGCTGACAGGAGACGTGGTCTGGCATTCCAGAGATCCCAGGGGATCGGCAGGGTCATTCGCAACTTGGCAGGCTGCCCGATGTCACCATGCCGGAGGCGCTTAGGGCTCAACCCTACCAAAATGCCCTATCTGAGGCTCTCTTTGGGGCTATTCTTCGACCATTTGCTGACCAACGCCAATTTCAGCAGCGAGTTCAACAATTAGTAAGTAGCCTGTAACTCCACTTCCTGCCGTTGTAGCATAACAATCTCATTTAGGGCTTAGGATATACTACAACTTGCAATAAATCATTGATCATTGCGGATGCTAACTTTAAGTACCAGACTTGAAAATATTAAGCACAACCATATCCCAATGACAATTGCGAACTCGAAATTACTTGCTCCATACTACAAAAAGTACAAAGGGGCCAGACCCTTGGTATCATTAATCAATCCATGGATGCAGGTCGCTCTAAACGAGCAAATGCCCCCACGAGTCACTAATCACTAGTCAAGTCAGACTAATGTCAGAAATGACATCGAATCGATCAATTATATGCTCCAACGAAAGCTAAAACGTGGAGCTTCGATCAGGAAAACAAGCAAATTCTACGCAAATTATTCATTTACCAGAATCTCGAACTTTTCCTATAGAGTACCTGCAGTAGGTACTTGGCAACTACACTCAAGCACGGCATTTGTTCCGAGTGGGGAATTCGTTTTGTAGGGTTTGACGACGTTGCATGCAATTCTCTTCTTCAATCTACGTATATAAGCACTAAATAGTGATCGGCAATGTAGGAGATAGATGTTTACCAACAGTAGCATTATATAGGTACATAGCATGTATCTTAAGATGGTAGATCTGCACTTCGGTGACAAGACAGGTGTAAATACTACGCAGTGACTGAATACCTAATTGGTAATTCATGGGCGGCTCACTTCTTTAACGAGATCTGCATTGTGATGCTCATGAAGGTAAAGTACAGCTGTTTATGTGCTTGACTGTCCAAAAATAGTAACTCAACTCGCTGAAACAATACTGAGACTTCCCCAAAAACCACGACTACCTCGTTTTCGGATAGCTTCAATATCGCAACGGGACCCGATTCGGCGCCCCCAAAGGGTCCAAAAGCCTGAATTAAGAAATCAATTTGTTTGATAATGATTGCATGTACTACCTCGCTATCGTAGGGCATCAATGCTAAGAAATGTGAACGATAATACCCATACTTTAGTATAATCTTTTAAGAACTCATGTCATACAAAAAATGTAGCTATTATTGGTATACCTGCTTGATCAACTGTCTTACTTGTCTGATTTACTTAAGTGAGAAAATACAGGTATCATTCGGAAATAGACTCAACAAGGATGAGTCTCATATCAGATCTGTTAAGGAAAGACGCTTGCATAGACTCGTTTCGGTATTGAGAAAAAATATATTATCTAAGAAAGGCACCTGCAATTGCTCGTTGGCATCTAGATGTCAACTAAACATCTAAATGTTCAGTTACAAGAGACTGTCACTGTAGAGAGCAATACATGCTGTATACATGTGGAGTTGGAGACGACACAATCAAGATTAGGCTAAGGACGAAAGCCGAAATCCCCGGAGAGAGAGCATTTGGTCGACAAGCACGCGGAATGGGTAAAAGCCAGAAGCATGATGGAACTCGACAGTAGATATTAAGCAGTGAGTACAGCGAGCCGTTGAAAGGAGAACGGAGAATGGCCGGGGATCGTAGGTATAAGCGGCAAATGGCCGTAACTCGCTGCGAGAGTAAACGTCTGAAATCGTACGGGGTATGACACTTATTATTGATATAATTCAAATATCTATGATATAAAAATTAGTTTGAGGGTATTTTATTCTTTTATCTATATCCCAGCTTCTCGTTCTCGCTTCATTGCCGTGCATTCGACTGGGACACACATATTCATCCAGATAAAACCTTCGTAACCTTGGAACCCTCGATCGTCGGCCAGAGACTCCGAAACATCAGAAATCCCCCCTCAATTACAGTCAAATAGATTCATCATGCGTCTTCCATACGCCCCGTCAACTGCAGATAATCAGACACTGGAGGTGCAGGACATATATGCCCGTATAGCAGCGAGACGTCTTCCCCGGCCCCTTATTCCTCTCGACTTAACCCTCCTACATGCGCCACCTGTGGCTGATGGCTATAATAGCTTTGTTGGAGCACTTCGAACAAAGACAGTGATTGATGCCGGTCTTCTGGAATTATCCATCAGCCGGGTAGCAATTTTGAATCAGGCCGTCTACGAATGGAACATTCATGCACCACTAGCCCTCAAAGCTGGTATCAAACCTGCCGAATTAAACGAGGTCCAAAAACTTCCTTCATATGCCGAATTGAGTAACGTTGAGGATGTGTGGAAAGCTTGGCAGGAAACATGTCTCGACGTGAGACAACGGGCGGTTGTGGCATACACCGATGAGATGACCCAGAATGTTGCGGTCAAAGACGAAACTTTCAAGCTTCTTAGGGATGTCGAATTCTCAGATCGTGAGATCCTCGAGTTGACCACGACTATTGCGGGATACAATTGTGTTAGTCGAATTCTTGTTTCTTTGGATGTAGGGGAGAACAACGGGAAGGAGATGAAGAGCGTGGAAAGTATGGTGAATTGAGAGCATGGCTCTTTGGGGGAAAAGAGAAACAACTATTACCTGGGTATCTCAAAAAGTACTTCATGCCCGATATTCAATGTTATCTTATGCACAGTTATGTGGAAAAGGTCTACATATATGTATGGCAAGATTCTTATTAAAATTATCGATTACATATCTATCATCCATTCAAATGTTCGAGTGCGCGACTAGTCCAAGTAAAACACAAAGTTCAGTTCTATTTCAACTCATGGTATGCTTAAATTTTACGATGACTGGTTTGGCACACCAGTAATCTTCTCTGCCAGGGTATCTGCTTTTAAAGCTGGTCGGTCTGCCTTGCCAGCGGTGGTCTAAAAATGTATCGTGTCAGTAATGGTATCGAAGAATCATCTCATGAAATAGCGAGGTGACTACTTACACCCCCATCAACAGGCATAACCAATCCAGTGATCCATTTTGCTTCCTTACTGGCAAGAAACAGAATTGCTGCAACGTCCTCAATAAACACGCTAATTCTGATGAAATTTGATAGGTAGAATGCACCTACCGTAGCCAACATCCCAACCCGTTCCTTCTTGTTTGAGCAGATTCTGGTTGATACGGGCCTGGCGCATGTCATCGGTCATGCCTCGGCCGCGCACCATGGGTGTGAAAACCATTCCCGGGCAAACACAATTAACTCGGATGTTCTCAGGACCGTGCTGAGCAGCCATGGCACGAGTCATTTGGATAATTGCACCCTTGGTGGTGGGATAGAGGAGGCTAGGGTTACCGCCCAAAACTGGAAAAAGCAAACATCAGCGAATTGTTATTTGGGCAAGAAAAGAGTAGGAACATTACGTACGACCACTGACTGATGACATATTAACAATCGCGCCGCGGCCATTCTTGCGCATCTCTGGTATCACATGCCGGCTCATTAGGACCATGCTTGTGACATTAATACGGAAATCACGTTCCCAGGCACTTAGGTCTAACGTTGTAGCATCTCCCATCGCACCGCCAACGCCGACTAGTTCCAACCACAACGTTAGCAGACTTCAACCGACAAGTTCCAAGAGCTCCGTTATTTACCGATGTTAACGAGAATGTGCACTGTTCCAAAGAGTTCCACTGTCTTTGCGACCGCTTGCTTGCAGCTCTCTTCATCTGTGACATCCGCCTGAATGACTTCCGAAACACCGCCCTCTTCGTCAATCATGCGCTTGGTCTCCTGTGCCCATTCAACATTGAAGTCTAACAGCGCAACCTTGGCGCCCTGACGAGCAAGGAGGATGGCTGTAGCACGGCCGTTGCCGATTTCACCTAAGTCCATAGGAACAAATATTAGCCGTGCAGTTCCTGGAAGCATTCATAGAGATCCTACCAGCCATGCGCGAGCCAGCACCCGTAACGATAGCAACTTCGCCATCGAAGTCAAATGCTTTTCCTGCATGTGCCATTCTGATCTTGATTATGAATGATAATGAGTACTATCGATGTGTCAAAACCGTAGCAAACGTGAGTTTTGGTAGCGCAAAAAAGTTTGTCAATGCATATTGAAGGCAAGATGGTTCATATACCACAGCTTTAGGGCTGTATAAATCCTATTACATGGAGCTTCGGTCCGATTGGTAGAAAGGTTGATCTATAAGAACAGGTCGGACGACCGGCGAGTGGCCGATGTGGAGAGAAACTATGGAGCAGGCGTGGCGTCCCCAGTTTCTTACGTACAGCTGAGGGGTCAAGCCGGGGAAAATGCCGAAGATCAATCGTACTGACTGTATGGTAGTTAAAAACTCATCTCATTTTCAGACCGCGGCGGTCATGTCCGGTATTCGGAAAGTTGAAGCATCTGGTGCTATCTTGCGCAATGTTGAATGGACATGTCCTTTCTTCCGCGCTCGCGCTCAAATCGTCCCATTACCCTTAAATAAAGCAAATTTAGAAATTTAAAGCATATTTTAGATTGCTGGAGAGCTCTAGCACCGGCGCAATCAAGAAGGTCGATGGCTTCGAGGATTGTCGTCTTCACTCGTTGTGATATACAAATATGGCATTGAAATGTGTATGGCCTTAAATTAGCAATGAACAGATAATAATATCTCAATGTGTCTAGATTCCAAGATTTTAATGTATAGACATGGTGAAACACGAAATCTTACGTCGTAATTATAAGCCAAATATGGACTTTAAACGATACTGGGGTACAACTGGAATAACTATCGCTGAGAATGGTAAAATCAAAATGCACAATTATTTATTGCGACAACCAGAAATCAAACCATTCAATAATGCCCTTGAGACTTTGCTCTTTAACGTATCCTAGATACAAGCATGTTAGAACACATGTTCGATGTATAAGAAGAGGCCAGGAATCCTCACGCTCATATGGAACATCCATGTTGCCACGAAGAGCAAACCCGTGCTCGACTCCAGCAAAGAGCTGAAGCTGATATATTTTGTTATCCGTTTGCATAATTCTCATAGCCTTGTGACGTGCTTCGTTGTTGAAAGTATGATCTGTTTCCGAGCAGGAGAGAAATAGTGGTTCTATAACGAAGAAGGTACTGTTAGAGGGAATACAGGAGCTCTTTAGAAGGTATCTTGGATAAAAGAAGAAGCCAAACCTACTGGTAAGGTTCTTGAAATGATGTTCTTTCAGAAAAGCTGGGTGGCCGAATGCGCCAGCAGTGACGGTTTTCCCGTGAGCAAGTTCGTCGCAAACATATGGGGCGCCGAAGCAGTACCTTTCTCATATCGATCATGTATTAGATTGAGGACTTTCCAGGGCTTGTGTCGATGGGTATTTGCTTACCCTACACATGCGTATTTTGTATTCGGCTTTCCGTACTCTTTCTTGACCTCTTCAATCCAACCTGGAACATGTTCACCTGCAAACGCCATGTGCTTCTTCTTCCAAGCTTCATAGTCAAAATTTGGATTTGAGTGATCATGACGGTTCTTGCGATGTTTCCATACTGGATCCTGAATTTCAAATACACGAAGCATTAGCACTTCATGTTTCTCATGATTCTCGGTATATGCTCCTTGTAAGATATGGGGTCTAGTCATGCACGACGTACGCCGCGAAAATAGTCCAAACCCAGTACTAAGTAGCCAGCATCTGCAAAAGCGTCCATCACAAGCAAGCCATTGGGAAACATGCCCCATACATCTGGGAAATATAGAAGAATATGACCGTTCGCAGTGCCTGTTGCGGGTTGTGAGATGTATGTTTCTACACCTGCAATATCCCTATAAGTCCCCCTAGGTTTTCCCTTGTGAATAGTACCCTTAAGGCAGCATGCACCTGATGGTTTGGCAAGCCATTTGTCTTTTGTCTCGTTGATGATTGTCATGATGCTTTTTATTGAAGCAATGGTACCGGTGGGATGGTTTGTGAAGGAACCACGCAAATTGACTTGAAGATAAAGCCAACAACGAAGATTCAACTCCGGCGCTTTTTGATAATTTCTGATGCACTGTTCTGTAAGTTCTGGACGAAATGCACAATGTCTAATAATGGATACATCCTAACCGGCGAGTGGCCGCTCCACTTTCCCAAATGCATCCGGCGGATGGCCGATATAAACCCTAATTGTACTATTTCTCCGCACCAGCTGACGAAAAAAGTGTCCGGGGTTTAGTGCATCTACCCCTGCTTTCCCCATATATCTATCGGCATGCTTACCTCTCTCCGGTCTCTTTCTTTCCATTCATCCTCAAACTAGCTTAGACTTATGCTGCTGTTCAACCCCATTTATGATAAGACAATATGCATATTGAAAAGCAAACCCGCCACCTCGAGAGTTTAGACGAAGTCAGGAGAGTCGATAACAAGACTGAGACGGACGACAATGTTGACCTCAAAAGTGAGCTAGTTAGCGAGGTGAGTCCTTCATCTTCCTTTGAGACAACCGCCGGACTGACAAACATGATTCTAGACTGCCGCCAATGCTACAGGATATCAAGAGTATCTGGAGGGCTTGAACTTGGAGCTAACCCCAAAGGAGGTCAGTAGATTTTTTGTTTAAACCATACCTCTTCATGCTAATCGCTTCTTCTACCTACACAGAATGCTAAGATCCGGTGGAAAATCGATTTGATTGTCCTTCCAATTTTCCTGGTCATCCAAGCTTTACAGTTCATGGACAAGACAGCTTTAAACTATGCAAATCTCTTCGGATACCAACAAGCACTAGGCTTGAAAGGCCAGGAATTCAACTATTTATCTGCAAGTATGTCCAAGAGAGACCGTCCTGACAAGCTGCTAGTAGAAAATGGAAGCTGACATTTCTCTGTTTAGTGATCTATGCCGGCTATTTCTTCGGACAGTACCCCTGCAGTTTGTTGATCGCAAGGTTTCCGGCCCAGCGTGTCCTTGGTGTCACTGCATTCATTTGGGGTCTCACGGTCATTATCCTGACACAGTGCAAGACATACTCCAGCGCATTGGGCGTTAGATTCGTTATGGGAATGTTCGAAGCCTCCGTTACGCCTGGCCTGACTCTTATGACAGGATTTTGGTACACCAGAAACGAGATCCCTCTCCGACAATGTATCTGGTATTCTGCTCTTGGATGGGGTGGTATTGCCGGCGACTATATCTCGCTCGGTATCAATACACTTCCTGTGGAATTTACTCCCGCTCGCTGGCAATTGTTGTTTTACATCCTTGGAGCCGCCACCTGTTTCTGGTCCTTGGTGGTGTTCTTCGTTTTGCCTGATTCCCCGGCTTCGGCTTTCTTTTTAACCAAGCGTGAGCGTGTGCTGGCTGTCAAGCGAGTAGCGCAGAACCAAATGGGTATCAAGAACAAGGCCTTCAACAAGAAGCAAGCTCTAAGCACATTCAAAGACCCCAAAGCAATCCTTCTTTTCATATCCGTGTTTGCAGCTGCAATCCCGAATGGCGTCGTGAACTCATTCTCTACAGTCATTATCCAAGATATAGGATTCAATACTGCGAAAACCACCGAGATGAAGTCCGTCGGCGACGCCATGGTTATTATATCACTGTTCATCGGGGGTGCTATCACCTTGAACGTCCCTAATTCTCGGTTGGCTACTGCGACACTTGCTAATGTTCTGTGCACAATCTGTGCTGCTACCATGGCCTACCTTCCCCAACACAACAAATGGGGCAGACTTGTTAGCTTCTGGATGGTAAACACACAATCTGTGGGTTTCACAATCTCCTTGGTCACTATTACATCAAACATGGCTGGTTATAGTCACAAAGCTGCGGCTAGTCTGCTAGTTTTGTAAGGGTTTCCTCATCAAGTGTCCCTCCCAACAGACTGCTAACAATTTATATAGTACCGCCTATTGCTGGGGTAATTTTGCCGGGCCGTTTGTAGTCAAAGCATCCCAGGCACCCGAGTATCGAGGCGCCACGATTGGTCTTCTCATCGGTTATTTGATCAAAATGATCACCCACCTACTATTATGGGGTAAGGTAGTTCCTCTATCACAATGAACAATTGATCATACCATTTGAGACAATTAGCTGACCTTTCCCAGCATATCTGGTATATATGAACCGTTCTCGCGATAAGAGATATGGCCCTGCGAATAAGACTCGCAGTAACGAAGCTGGAATGCAAGACAAGACCGAATTCGAGAATAAGGATTTCCGATTTGTGTACTGAGATGTTCATTATCCGTCGCCAGGCATCATCGCGAGTTATACATCGATGGCCCAGATTGGAAAAACACTTGCACAAAGTTTGATATCCAGAAAATGGTCTTGACCTCTTGTCGGGATAGTATTTAATCTCAAATCAAGCCATTAAAGAGAGCCGGTTGTTTTGTTCAGATGCCAATTTTATCATTACTGAAATAAAACATTGCCCCGGAAAGGGAGCATCACACGTTTCCTGACTGATTCATTGGTCAACGATATAATCGTTATTTGTATAAGACCCGTAATTGGGATCCATATCGTAGGTTAGTGAAGTGTCGAGACGCATATACGAGTCAAGGTTCGATCCGATGAACATGGGAGCCTCGATACTAGGCATGTCGTGTAAATCTAGCATAATCTTGGCACCTTGAGAAGTGTCCTGTCCTGGAAAAGCGGGGAGCCAGGGTTCTAGCGACCACAACTCATTTGTCTGGCCCGCATGTTGATTTATGGCAGAAGAATCGATAGATGGAATTCCCGTCTGGTTGTGATTGGGAACAAATTGACTGTCAGGAACTGCAAAGGGTGTCATTGTATTCGTATCTTGATTCGTACTGCCTTTGTCCTTTCTGCTTGGCGTATTGGCATTCATCCCGAATAGCGATTTGAGCTGCGTTTGGACTTGACGATCAAATATCTTTTTGACCCTCGTATGGATTATTTGTATACTCCGCTGGAGGCCTGGCATGGCGGTTGCCGAGCGTTGGAGAATATCAAGGAAGAATCTGAGTTCTGTCCACGTGACATCTTCAGAGGGGGGTGGCCAACTTGTCTTCTGAGATGTTTCCAGTTGATAAACTGCAGTCGTGGCAGCTGTATAAGTGCAGTAGCTGTTCATGTATGTGATGTACTGGAAACCGAAAGTATTTACATATAGTCTGAGTATTCTGTAGATTGCAGTGGTCGCATTCCGGCAGGTTTCCCAGCTCTGCCGCACTGCAGGTTGGACGGATTGCGAATCACCACCTACCCGCGGCCGATGTAGAAGAATGAGTGTGGTATTATACATCAGATTCAAGGAGGTTATATGTGGTGGAGGGCTCAGCGGAGGTAGTTCATTGGTCAAAATCCGCAAAGAGGGCGGTAGTACAGACCACCAAATTTCAACTGCATCTTTGATTGATACGAATGAAAGTTCTTTGGCTTTGGAGACTTGCGGCGCCGATTTATCGTTGTTCGTCGGAAAGCTGTACAGTTCTAACATTATACGAGCTAGAATCTTGCATAATGTACACAACGACTTGAAACAAGACATTACCTGACCAGGGACTGGCGGATACGCGGGAAGCTCAGAAGCTTCTGGGACGCCCCAGTAGAAAGGTGTCCATGGCTCTTGTTCAGAGAAGTCGTCTAAAAAGTCGCGAGACATTGTATCGGCTCCGAGGAGGAAATTCGGCATCCTACCCAAGTATAAGCTCATATTCTTGTCCCAAGTGTAAAGACTCCAAAAGAGTCGCTTTCGAATCTCTACGTCCTCCGGAGAAAATGAACTGGTGTGACTTTGTAGAATATCGGGAGATACGTGGATACCCAGGTCGATAGCCATACGAAATGCCATACCCGAATATAGCCAAGCTGCCGAAGAGTTTCCGCAAGCTATCTCTCGAGCGGACTGTTGGAGTAGGGCTTGGATGGTGGGGATACATGGCTGATTCAGTGTCTCCATAGCGAGTGCAACCTTGGCCTCCGACGTCAGACGATCGACAACTTGTCGAAACGTTTCACCATGGTGATCTAAGCTCCAGACGGTGTCTGTATCTCGAAGAAAACGGCAGCTGTGCGCATAAAGAACTTTGATCAAGGTAGCAGTGCAGTAAGGGGCGGCTTGCTGATTGAGGAGTGACATGTGCCGTGTAAAGGCTGGTCGATAGACGAACAGGAATGATGGATGTAACCAACACCAATGTAAGCGCATTAAGTTCTCAGCGAGTTTTTTAGGGATCCTAGCATATGCAAGGGACATTTCCAGATGGAGCGATTCGACTGTTTTCTGCGTTGCCGCATCAAGCACGAGAGCTCGTCTGATTTCCGCCGTGTTTGGTTCGTTAGCCACTGATAGAGAACCACTGTAAGACTGGTCTTCAGTAGATGCCTCTATTGTAGTCTCATGTATAGCAGATGTGGAATTATGATAGCTCACTTGCCCTCCTGCATTGAGGCTAATGGGTTGATCGTCTACATCGGCCGCGGGTTCGACGGGTGAGGATGACACGGGCAGAGAGGTCGATGCTGCTACTCTACTCTCTAATTCCTCAATCCGCTTCTCAAGTGTCCGTACATAGGCAACCGATGGAGCTTTATCATATTGGCAGGGCGAATTGGCCGCTACACAAGCGGAGCATCGTGGCGATGCGCCGTCACACTTGCTTTTGCGCCGGCGACAGGCTGCGCAAACCATGTGGCGGTGTCGCACCATGGCAGCAAGCCTTAAGCGCAGTCATATATGGACGGGATATTGTGATTCATCTGCGTCTCGGCTGCAGAATAAGACCAGAATCTCGTTAGCCGTCAACTGGTGGTGTTGATGGATCGAAGTGTGGCCGGCGAGAATCCGCCGGCCTCTTTCCGCCCCGCTTTCTATGCTACCAGCCTTTTCGGTCTAGCTTGTTTCAACTACACGTGATCAAGCATGACCTAAAATGATCAACTTCGAACAGTATTATAGGTCATTCGAAGTTATGCTTCGAAGTTATTGTGCTTCTTTGGAAGACGAGCATTTGCTCAAAGTATCAAAATGTCGGTCAGTGTATGCACTCGACACGTAGCTGTGGGACACATGAATCACCCTGTCTAGTAGATGACGTTGAAGATGCTCAATATTAGCTTCATCTACAAACTGGCTTTGAAGAATAAAATCATCATACTCAATCAGCCGCGTATGATCTTCGTGACGTGATATGACGAATCCAGTTTTTAAAACATAATGTCCGGGGCTTTCTGTCAAGACATCAACAAACACTTGGGTCACATGAGTGCGAAAGTCAATGAGTTGATGGAAAGGATGCTCCAAACGAGCTGGGATCCCGAGAAGGTTCTGAGTTGGTGATTGATCATTTGGCAGTGATAGTAAGCACACCTGGAGGCGCGATTTCTCACGATGATATGCCATATTGAGGTATACATTCAAGAAAGGTACCGCCAGATTGACAGTACGCCCACACCCGCCCGGGAAATTCACAATGGTGATTGAGCAGGGAGATACAGGAGATCTTACGGCATACTATTTTGTTCAATAGATGAATATGCTCTGATAGCATATGATCTCTGAGGTGATCGTGAAGGCCTACTGAAGTATCATACTTCCTTTTCTTCTCTCCCACTCTTCTTGACTCTCTTCTTTTACCATATTTTCTCATTTAAGATATACTTGCCTCGACGGTATCTGGATAATGCTTCGGGTACTCTGCCCTACATCTGCTTAAATTTTGTTAGATACTCGAACGATCTCACGCGATTAGGGCTTTTCCTACGGGGCGCTTCCTAGACCTAACCTTCCACATTTATCTTACTACTTGCATTCGCTTTAGTGATTTATACTAATCATTTTTCTTTCTGATACAAAATTGACTTTCATGACGAAAATAAGCAAAATCCAGATACCGCTCAATATATTTGTATTGTTGACCAAAAATGACTCACTTCTGAGCGCTGTGATTGGCTCGATGATTGGACATTCTTCGCCGTTGATCACGACTATTCAAGAGGTCCAAGCCAGCTGGATAATTTTGGATATGAATAAATAGATATAACCCTGAAGATTAATTTATACATTGCGTACCACAAAGTATCAATTCTCAATCGACTAAATGTGAAAGTTTAGTTCTATTGTCTATCAAAATGACTTCAACTACACCAAATATCATCGCAACATGCAAACAGACCCGTTTCCATTTTCTCGACGACAGGCCTTCCCGCGAAGTATACAAAACTCTTCTATTCTTGTCCATACCAGTAAACAGTTAACCCAAAAGTAGGTCGACATCCAAGGCCTCAACATAGTAGTCCACTCCCCCCAACACCAAGCTTCTAGCGAAATCGGCACAGCAAAGTCAAAAGGCAAATCGAAATCAAAAGCAGACGGTCTTGAAATTACATCGAATGCAGATCTGAAACTCAAAGCGGGTTTTCATTATGGTCTTGTGGGGAGGAATGGGACTGGGAAATCTAGTAGGCATTCCCACACTCTTTGTCTTCAAGTTTTCCCACTGGTTCCATCTAATGAGGAATTTTGTGGTCAGCTATTCTCCGCGCGTTGGCGGAGAAGCTCATTCCGGGAGTTCCGTATTCGACACGCATTGCAATCTTGCAGCAGACAGATGCTGAGATTGAGGAGAGCAGCAAGAATGATAGCATTGATGGTCTTGCAGACTCATTGCAGCAGAATGGCTCCATATCGACGAGTAGTGCAAGCCAGAAGACTGCTTTGGAGCAGGTCATTGCAAGTGATACGATGAGAGGCGAGATTGAACGGAAAATTAGCGGTCAGTACACAAAAGTTCCATGTGTTGCGGTGTTCTGATATGACAATAGTGTTGTCAAAGAGTCTGGAACAAGAAGATCCTTTAGTACCTGTCCTTACCATTCGAAAACTACGACATGAGCAGTTGGCAGAGCAACTGTTTCTAGCGCAGAAGAATGCGAGCATCAGGAGCGGTGCTAGAGGTTTGCAAGCGAGAAAGGAGCTCAAGGCGATTGAAATTCGAGTAGCTACATCTACGGAATTGTGAGACGCGCCATCTCTGACATGATTTTCCGACACTGACAAGCTTAGACTGCAAGAGGAACACTCGAGTATAGATGCAGAAGCCATTCAAGTGGACACACAAGCTGCGATTGATATACTCCAAGATCTACAATCTCAATATGAAATAGTAAGTAAATCCACCATAAGCTAAAGCGGTCACTTACCGACCTAAACAGATGAAAGTCGTCGACGTCGAAAAACAAGCCCGCAAAATTCTAACAGGTCTAGGTTTCAAAGAAGAAATGCTTTCAAGACCATTCACAACATTATCCGGCGGTTGGCGCATGCGATGCATGCTAGCTGGAATCCTTATCCAAGATCCGGACATCATGATCCTGGACGAGCCCACAAATTTTCTGGATTTGCTGGGCGTGATTTGGCTGGAGAATTACCTGAAACAAATGCGGCAGTCATCGGGGACAACATTGGTGTTGGTGTCGCATGACCGCTCATTCATCAACGCTGTGTGCGAAGAGATAATCATCCTGCGGGACCAGGCCCTGACGTACTTCAAAGGCAATCTGGCCGCTTACGAGGAGAATTTCGAATCACAGAAGCTGTACTGGGGCAGAATGAAAGAAGCTCAAGAAAAACAAATTGCGCATATGGAAGCCACAATCCGCGAAACGACCAAGGCTGCCAAAAAGACGGGCGATGATAATAAATTGCGAATGGCGAAATCGAGGCAGAAGAAGATCGATGATAGAATGGGAATCCAAGTCAGCGCGACGGGAGGACGATTCAAGTTGAATCGCGATTTGGTTGGTTTTCATCTTAAGGCGCGTGCTGAGATTGAGGTGCCCAAGGATGAAAGAGGGACTACGATTCAGTTGCCGGATGCGCCAGATCTACGATTTCCGGGGCCGTTGATCTCGCTGGAAAATATTACATTTCGGTACAAACGTACAAGGCCTGTTGTACTAGACGACATAGGCCTGACGATACATCTGGGTGATCGGGTCGGCATTATGGGACTGAATGGATGCGGCAAGTCTACGTTGTTGCAATTGCTGACCGGCGAGTTTACGGAACCAACGAAGGGGAAGGTTACTCGTCATCCGCGATTGAAAATTGGTTACTATGCTCAAAATTCCGTGGGCGAGCTCCAGAAGGAGGGACGCACAGAGCCCGCACTGACGGCGTTGGGGTATATTCTGCGAGATGCCGGTGGTCAACTCAGCGAAGGCGAGGCCCGAGGCTTGTTATCATCATTAGGATTGGCCGGTCGAGTTGCATCTGACGTGCCTGTATTTCGTCTTTCGGGTGGGCAATTAGTATGCACTGCTGAAATCTGGGTAAATGACAAGCGCTAATGGTTGACAGGTTCGACTGGCTCTGGCCAAGATCTTATGGAACCCGCCTCATCTCCTTGTTCTGGATGAAATCACCACCCATCTCGATTTCTACACCGTGACAGCGCTCGCATCTGCATTGTCTACTTTCAATGGAGCCATTTTGGTTGTCACGCACGATCGTTTCCTGGTGCGGTCTGTTGTCGAGGGGAAACGAGACGTTGATGCTCCATTGGATGATGATTTTGAGGCAGAGTCTGATGGAGAGATTGGAATTGACGAGACGCCGAGGAGAAGGACTGTTTATGTCCTCAAGGGCGGAAAGCTGGTAGAACAAGGTGAAGGCGTGAGTCAGTTTGAGAAGAGTTTGGAGAAGAGAGTTGTCAAAATGTTAGCCACGTAGCCACATAGTTGATCAAATAGATAATGATGTGTAATCATGAATGTTGTTCATAGTCATGATGCGGAGAGTGTCCCCTTACCTAATCTGACCCGCTCCATTCGGAGCTCTGATTTGCTAGAGCGAGTGCGGGGGATGCATTACCATAAATCGCTGAGAACAAGAACAACCTTTCTTCTAACTTCCAACTTAAACTTCAAAATGATTTCAATTGAAATTCCTCTGAATTCTCGAATACATACATGATAATGGCCCGCCCATTGGTCTCAAAGCGGGGTGTTGCGCGGCTGTGCCACACACCAGAACTCCCACATCCCTTCTCGCGAAGCAGCACAGTGACTCACCGACCTTTACGACGACAAAGCACCGTAGCTGCTACTACCACAATCGAAGAGAACGGCCCTATTCCCGCACCGCATAAACCGACCCGAAGGTTCGAAGCCATCAAATCCGCAAAACCCTTCTCCGACTTTCTCACCGACACCTTCCACCGCCAACATGACTACCTCCGCATCAGCATCACCGAGAAATGCAACCTGCGCTGTTTATACTGCATGCCCGAGGAAGGGGTTCCGCTATCTCCGCCGGCGCATCTACTCACAACGCCAGAGATAGTATACCTATCGTCACTGTTCGTGTCGCAGGGAGTCACTAAGATCCGATTGACAGGAGGCGAACCAACAGTCCGAAAGGACATAGTGCCAATGATGCAGGCAATAGGAGACCTGCGCAAAGACGGACTGAAAGAATTATGCCTGACAACAAACGGGATTTCGCTACACCGCAAACTGGACGCAATGGCTGAAGCAGGATTGACGGGCGTCAATCTGAGTTTGGATACTCTCGACCCATTCAAATATACTATCATGMCCCGCCGCAACGGATTTGAGGCAGTCATGAAAAGCATTGCTCGGATCGAAGAGATGAACCGCGCATTCGGCGCGGGCATAAAACTCAAGATCAATTGCGTGGTTATGCGGGGATTGAATGAGCATGAAATCGTTCCCTTTGTCGAGATGGGCAAAGAGAAGGATATCGAGGTTCGATTTATCGAATATATGCCCTTTGACGGGAATAAGTGGAGTGAGCAGAAGATGGTTCCGTATCAGGAAATGTTGGATATCATCCGGAAATCGTATCCGGAAATAGAAAAAGTGGCAGGTCACAAGAACGATACCAGCAAGACGTACCGCGTCCCCGGGTTTCAGGGCAAGGTCGGATTCATTACTAGCATGACGCACAACTTCTGCGGGACATGCAACCGCCTACGCATAACATCAGATGGAAATTTAAAGGTTTGTCTACACGGAAACGCAGAGGTATCCCTCCGCGACCTGATCCGCGAAGAGAACAACGGCCTACCTATTGACGAAGAGGCTATGAAAACTCTGGATCTCCTCGAATCGGGCCGCCTAGCATCGCGCATCCAATCCGAGGAAAACTTGCTGTCTCGCGAACGTAAATTACTCGACGTCATCGGGTTAGCTGTCAAGCGCAAGAAAGCGAAGCACGCCGGAATCGGGAAATTGGAGAATATGAAAAATAGGCCTATGATTTTGATTGGTGGGTGAATTTCTCGTATTTCTGTTCATTTACAGTACAGATTGGCCACATACCACATACAGGTGAAGGCGCACATTTCGGCATGTTATGATTTATGAGATATGATATTTATAATTTAACTTATTTGAAGTATAGTAAAGGGCTGACATGCATCGTAGATAATCCTGTCTTGAATCTCAGTCGTACAAGAATGAACAACCTGATACCAACCCATCTATTACATTCGTCGCATACTCACCAACTCCGAGCATATACCACCAAGAGACAACCCGCTGATGACAAGGAGTATAAAGTCAAACCCAACCACCCGGTCCTCCCCCATCTCAACACCGCCGGACACATGCACATGACCAACGTAGGCTCCAAGCCCAGCACCCAACGATACGCGCGCGCATCCTGTGTAGTGCATTTCACAAACGAGATTACATACACCACCCTCACTTCATCCTCTGAATCCTCAACAGGCGGAATGACGTTAGCGAAAGGCGATGTATTCGCCGCTGCACGGGTGGCCGGTATCATGGCCGCGAAAAAGACGCCTGATATTGTGCCACTGTGCCATCCGAGTATTGGTGTTGATAGTGTCAGTGTTGATATTTCTCTCATCCCGCCCTCTACATCATCGATCACAGAGAATGGGGGAGAAGGGGGGTTTGGCGCCGTCGAGATCGTGGCTACGGTTACGTGCGAAGGACGTACGGGTGTCGAGATGGAGGCCATGACGGCTGTGATGGGTGCTGCATTGACGGTGTATGATATGTGCAAGGCTAATGATAAGGGGATCGTGATTGATAGCGTGAAATTATTAGAGAAGAGGGGTGGGAAGAGCGGTATTTGGAAGAGGTAGTCACATTGAAGAATAGGCTAGATAGAACAAAACGCTGCAACTAAATGCACCGAACACCGGAAAAAGAGCATAGATGGTAAACTCCAAACCCTGTAAACCGCTAAACGCAGCTAAAACACAATTCATGATCATAAAAAAAAGGAGAAAAGGGGGTTATGAGTGCTTCGTGTAACATCCCTTACACCTCAACATAACCCTATCACTCATAGGCCCATAAACCTGCGGCCCAGCACCAAACACCTTTCCACAATTCCGACAATTGTGATGCGACGCCAACATCTCCATGAGATGCGTATCCCTCTTTTGCAGCTTTGCGAGCGACTCGCGCAATTGTTGCGATTCGGCCTTTTTAATCTCAAGGACCGCTGTGCGCTGGTCTTCGACTGCTTTGCGCGAGCGCAGGTCCGCTTCGTCTTTGTACGAGCGTAAGATCTCAAATGCGCATTCGCCAAAGTCGGAGAGCACCTCGGCCATACCGGGTTGAACGAGGAGTGCGTTCAGATTTTGAACGCAGTAGTCTATCAATACTGGGCGCAAGGCCGCGTCGTTGTGCGGGGTAGATGTATACACAGCACGAATGATGTCGGGAACGTCGAGCTTCTCGACTGATGTGCGATGGAGTTGGTTGCGAAACATTTTGGAAGATACCTCTTTCAGGTCCCTAATATCGAATTTGTCACCGCTCGCGTACAGTTGGACGTGCGCGAGGATGTCCTCTGTTGTTGCGGGGCGGCCGCCGGCTTTGTGTTGGTTTTCGTCGTCATTCTCGGAATCTTCGGACGAGTTGCAGGTTTGGTCTGTCGAGGGTGCGCTTTCTACCACTCGTCAGTCCCATGCCTTTCTTCCAAGTACTTGAGGGGATGTACCAATCTCCTCACTCCCCGTAATCTTGCACGTCTCATAAATGCCCGTATACAAAAACGTCAAGACGGACTGAAACACATCCGGATCTTCGTCGACGAGCTCTAGCTTCTGCGTAATGCCCTCCTTGAAATTGTCCTTGCACATCAACCTGAAATAGCTCGAGCGAGGACAAATCACCAGACGGTGGACGTGGAATTCGCGGTTGGCGCAAATCACCAGAAAGTCGGAGTACTCTCCGCTCTCGAGATAGCGACCCCACATGGCCGAGATGCCTTGGTGAGGGCGCTCTAGGTATTCTTTTGTCAGGCCCATCTTTTTTCTTTTTTTTTGGATGTAGTTATGATTGAATGTTCTGAGGTAGAGTACGATCATAAAGGAAAAGTGACATACCCATGGAGGAGTGTGAGTGCTGATAAGAGAGAGGGGTCCGGCAGTAACGACGATGGACCCTCCCCAATCACAGCCTGGCCGTGCCTGTAACAGCCCGGTAAATCGCGCAGAACCGGTTTGTTATTTGTTTATATGTTTTATATGACGTGGAATGTTTCTGAATCAAAGTGATTGTATGAAGTTGTATGGGATGCAGATTTGAAGGTAGATGACAGTAGAAGAGCGTGACCTGATACCGCATTTATTATAAGTTGTGTCATGGCTTCCCCGCCATGGCTTGTCGTGTGTATGCCCAGCCTGCTATCACGAACAATAGCATCACAAATAAATACTAAAGCGGTCTTGACATAACAAATACCAAATCTGCGTACGAACTGGGCAGTCCGCTCAGCCAAGGCGGGGCTGTGCAAGCAGGGTGATGGCTCACTACTATGTAGTATCGTGGAAAAGCGACGATAGCTGCGCGGGGCTACTGTCAGACAGAAGCTGTGAATGGCCAGTTGATAGACGGCCCTGAACGAAGACTGTCTAGACTTCTTGGCCTCCKCTCACATTGGTCTCCGGGCTATCGCGACACAAAGACTAGCGATGCCAAGCTGTGGCCGAGCGGAGGTTCTGAGGACTGCCAAGTTGGAGGCATTTCCGACGGCCTCTTGTTCAGGTCACGATGTCTTGGTCTGGCAAAAGAAACTATGATCAACCAGTGTTAGCGTACTATGTATACTTCGTAGTATTACACGAGGTGGTAATTGGAGAGACTTCTGCAGTTGCTTTTTCAATAAATCAGATGTACTCTATCAAAGTTTATCGCAAAGACAGGGAGTTGCGCGTCGCCATGTGGTTTTCATCCGCGGCCCAATCACTCTGTTTCTCGACCCGTCTATTTAATCTTATAATATTATAATTAAGTCGCCTTTATAAGTTCCAGCCGTCTCTTCTGCCTCCCCTGCTCATCGAAATTACTCTCGTCCAACCACTGCTCAAACCCCGCCTCAACACCCCCCTCTGCCCACTCCGAGTCCAGCAACGAGTACCACGCCGTATCTCGATTGCGTCCCCTGACAATCATATGCTGCCGAAACACGCCCTCAAAAGTAAACCCATACCGTAGCGCTGCCCGTTTCGAAGACTCGTTTAGACTGTTGCATTTCCACTCGAGACGCCTGTACCCCAAGTCGCGGAATGCGTAGCGCGCAAGCAGGAAGAGAGTCTCGGTTGCAGGCGTCGTCCGCTGTAATGCGGGGGAATACATGACATGGCCCACTTCGATGCTGCGATGGGCAGGGACAATGTTCAACAGCCCGATATACCCCATCAGCTTACTCTCTCTATCTTTCTCGCCGTCATGCACCCTGATAGACCATAATATCGAACTTTCGGATTTCTCGAACCCGACAAGGTAACTTTGCAACTCGGCGACGGTCAGCGGAGGCCCGCCCAGCATGTAGTCCCATAGCCAGCTGTGCTTGTCGCCGCCGATGTGTGGGAATAGTTCCTCGGCGTGTGAGGCGCGGAGTGGTTCGAGAGTCACGGTGCGACCCGGGATGGTGATGCGACTTGGCCGCGGTGCAGGGGTAGGCTCTGCAACGGCGAAGCCTACAGGGCGGTTGGCTGTCATTGTGTTTGATAGTGGTGCAGTTGATCGGATGAACAGTGACGGGCCTGAAGTGAAAAATCGTCGTAGATACAGACTCATATTGTGAAGTTCAACTTCTTATTGTTGATGATGTTGCGACGTACGGACTAAGGCCAGTGAGTCATTCCGTTGTCGGACTTCAGCTTCGTCTATCCTGCAGCAGTCAATGTCGAATCATACAGATCATGACTCACATCGCAAAGTAGTAGAATTGCTCACCCAGGAATAAATGATGTTATTTTACACTATGTTTAACAATGAACTTCATACCTTTCATTGGCTATAATCGCCGAGGAGGATCTGAATTGCCGATGGTTATCAACTAGGGTTAGGGCTATTTGCGTCGTTTGATCAAGACGGGTGCCTTCCTAATTCGGTCTTTGTCGGTAGCCTCCTTCTGGCAGCTTCCTTTGTTCGACGAATATAAATTCTCGCTACTTCAGTTGCTTCTTCTGGTACATATGAGCTGCTGGAAGCTCTCTCAGTGGCAACTGCGCCCTTCAATTCAAAAGAATATCGACATTTCTGCCGACATCGGGTTGAGAATCACGCCAGAAGTCAAACAAAGAGCCAGAAAAGGTCTATGTGCAAGAAACAGATCATATGACCCATATCAAATCGTGCAAGTTCAACAACTCATCAAAGCTAGTAGGACCTCAAAAAGGAAGACAAGGCCGGGACGCCACCTTGGGTATTCTAGATTTTGTTACTACCCTCAGAGCTTCTCGATATAGTCTTTGATCATTTGACGTGCAGAGAAATCCAGAAACTAGAGACCGCAAAAAAGCGCCGTAACATTATAGCCAGATATGGTCTGGAGTCTTCCTTATCATAAATTCTAGAGAGTTCATCAATCTGCTATCTAGTAATGGAAAGACTGTCTGCTCCTATTGTCAGGTTTTATCTAAACAGATCTCATTCGTCTCGCGGCACTTTCTGTAATTTGTGCAGAATCAAGACTTCTCTTCAACAGTCCATCCCTTGGACGCATTTTCATCTCCACCATTGAACGCCCATTCTATAGATTCAAAGATTCTTTTGTGATAAATGGTGGCCGATCCAAGTTCATAAGCCACATGCGGATGTGGGAGTTGATACACCCCAAAATGGTGTGGCATCCCTGGAAATACATGAACTTTGGTTTTGACCCTAATCCGTTGTTAGCATGTATCACGATCTGAGATATTTTGAAACACGTACCCAGCTTTCTCCAATCTAGTGGCATATAGAAGCCCATCATCTCGAAGTGGATCACCGCCTGCTACGAGGATCGCTGTTTTTGGGAGGCTAATCAAGATCTTGTCATCGGCTAGTGCGGGATTAATGGTCGGATCAGTAATATCTTCAGCTTGTAGAAGCGACGATAGCCATTCAAGCCTCTTCGTTGATAGAGCAAGAGCTTCTGCACACTGGACCAACGAGGTCTTGCTCTTCTCGAAAAACCGGTCATAAGGAAACGCGTCGGGCTGAATCAACCAAGGAACCACGAGAACTTGCCCCTTGAGTCGAGCGGCGTTGTTTCCATTGTTTATGGCAGCAGACAAGGTTGGAAACTGCTGTACCACATGGGCAGCCAGATTCGCGCCGGATGAGATGCCGCCAATGACAATGTTGCTGACATCGCCGCCGTGTATAGTTGCGTGCTCGAGAAGCCATTTGGTAGCATCCAATGAATCATAATGCAGAAAGGGGTGTTTTGCTTCGTGGACATGGCGCGTACAAATATGCACGACCATTATATTCAGCTTTGTCGCGATTGACGCGCATACAGAGCGTTCAGTGTCGATAGACCCGTGCAGGAAACCGCCCCCGTGGAAGTAGATGTAAATAGGGTGTCCTTCTGAACTATTTGGAGTTTTAGATTTGGTAAAACTGGAAATGATGCGGTAATTATGACTTACGGGGAAAGCGTATCATTTGGAGTGTAAATCCTCAATGGAATACTCGATCCATCGCGAGTCTCGATCATAAAATCTTGACTCGAAAACTTCCCCTCCAAGTCGCGTGCTCTCAATGCGAGCTGATCAAGCGCTGCTCGTGCATTGTTTCCGGCGATGTGCATATCGGTGAGAGATTCTTCTTCAGAGGGCCTAGTCCACGGTTGGTTGATGATGGGATGCGCAAGCACATAAGACGTCCATTCTGAAGCTGGCTCGCCGTATTTTGAGAACTCCATTTCATGAAAGATCGACTTGTGACGATTCCAGTCGACTTGGTGGAGAACAGAATTGAGTAGTGCCTGCGGTGGGAGAAACAATGGAGCCTACCAGTGGGCACCAAAGATGACCTTTCTCGGGGGAGTGGAGGATCTATCGGCATGGATTCTCTTCGTCCAACATTGAAGATGTATGAAGTGTGAGGTTCGTGAAAGGTGTCAGGACTCAAGAGTTGACAAATATTTTGATCCCAGATGGCGCTAAACTGCATCAAGCTCTCGTCAAGTCCATATTTCAGTAACTAGATTTAGCACAAAAAATCAAACCGGGGTTCTGATGCAGTCATTTGCATGGACATTAACTAACTTAGTGCATCCATAAATAGCGTAATCGTCGGGCAATCAACAAGCAAGTTCGTTATTTCGAAAATGCAACCTAGACCCTCTTATTTATACAATTGGTTATTCATTCATAAATATTTCTAGATCTCATCTACACATCAATGATTCCTTTATGTATAATTTTCTGCTGTGTGTCATATTGATTAATAAGAAATTCTTATCCTATCCTTATGAGCTAAGGTATGACTTTATGTATCATACTGGGTAAACAGCCGTTAGCCCTAAGTCAGTGCTCATTCTATACAACAATAATCACTAGAAACAAGATATACCTGGATAAAGACATAAATCAATATTAATACCTGATTGGCCAGAAGTGCCCATAAAGTTTTTAATGTCTAGCTACCCTTCACCGGCAATCACCACCAAGTTCGAGGACTCATTCAAACTGTAACATATAGACTAATTACTTCTCCAAATGCTCCGCATACACATGCTTGATAGCCAATATTTTGGGAGCCCCAAAGTCGCGGCATTAACAACGCTACTCATACCGCCAAGCGTTGGGTTAGTCGAGTACACTATTGTCGTAGAGTGTCAAGGCAATGCGTGATGTGAGAGCAGCTGTGCCACATCAAGGCGTAATAGCTATACTACTCAAAAGGCTATTTATGGCGAAAGATAAGAACTGTTCGAATGCTGAATGAATACGCTGATTGGTCAAAAACAAATATCCCTGTACAGAAGCAGCTTTAGTATCTTTTAGAGCATCTGGCCAAGACCTGACCAGGTAACAGCCTAGGTATATTTTTGCCATGTCAGCCAGCTGCTAGGCGCAGTGAAAGATGCATGTCCACCTTCTGCCTATTTATGATGGGTGGTATCACTTCCGGAGCCGCTWCTTTAGTTTTTTTTTTTTTTTTTTTGTGATAGAAACAGAATTGGCCTCCTTTATATCACCATATTTTACTCGCAATAGACCTCAAATTCTATCAGCATGGAGCAAGTCTGGTCTCTTATCATGAACGGCTTTGCTTGGATTGCCTGGTTTCAGACCTCTTCAACACACCAGAAAATCGCGAATACAAGCACTTCACTCTCAATTCCAGGAATCATCCCAGGAGGCTCTAATCTTAAGTTTTGTGACGAGTCCCGTGTCACGGATTTGTTCAATATTACTCGGCTAGAGGTTCATCCTACACAGCCGCTCGTGTAAGAACTACCTTCTAGATATTCAGTACTATTATAATAATATAATATAATGATAGTGAAGAAAATATCGATATCTACATTTATGGTAAATTTCTATTGTTGGAACTATGAGTCAAGCCATTAACTAGTTCTAGGAATGTTTCTTTCAGACATCTCAGACGATCCGGTCTGGCACTGGTATGTCCGAGAGACCAATTCCGATGATCCAGGGGCAAACGGCACCATAGCGTTCTGCGACGCCATGGAAACAATTGAGCAGCCGGGTCGCAGAGGATGTCCGCCCAAGGAAGGATTCGCTATAATCAGTATCGAGGCATTTGTCCCCTGGCTGGTAGGCACTGTATGTCAGAATACTTTCCGCTCTCTGCGAAGATTATCTAACGATTCAGGGAAATATCACTGTGAAGTTCGATGCGAAGACAAAGGAGGGAGAGAGAATATATTGCCTTGATGGAGAGTTTGAGCTTGATTACCCACATAATACTAAAACTCAAGGATAGAGTGATGTACCAAGCACAGGATGTTGCTGTTCGATTGTGTCCTTGAAACCGCAGGAAGGCTCTGATCTGGACCTTCAAAGCTTATTAGATGCTTTCAGTCTGAATCGTCTTAATTATTCTGAGATGAAAGATCTTGGAAGTATTTAGTGAGCGTGGCTATTCGAGCATAACGATTACTATAATTATAGACATTCAGATATGGTTGAAGCAGTAGGTCATCTTGAAGCTTCAAGTGTTGTACACACTGATGCAGGGTCATCTTTTGAGCTTTCTTACCCGTTTCGGCTAATTAGGGCAAACATCACCTTCTCTCAGATGTCCATCATGTACCCGCAAATAATCAACTTATGATCTCGCTAGCCATCAAAAGAGCTTTAAACTCTTGCATTCTAAGTTTGTTATACTGTTTTGTCCTGTTAATCATCGGCAATGTTTGGTGCTCTGTACCGCAGTAACATAGGCGAAGACGAAGATGAAGAATTTACTTAAGGAGAGATCAGAAAGATATTGCCGCAAGATTAGCTTCAAAGCCAGACCCGACTCACTTATTGTATTATCAAAACATGAAATGTGAATATTGATTAACTTATTCAGAGCCATCTATAGCCCTATTCTAGCTTTGTATGCGAATACAGTATACGTACGACTTACCTAGATACACAAAAAGAGCAGATCTAAGACCGAGCAGCATTAATAGCCAGCAACAGATTTATCTTTACCATCTTTTCCGAAGATCCCTTCGCCGATGTTTTGCGAACACTCCGATTGCCATTGCTTTGGAGTGAATTTGTCCACAATCTCTTTGAACGCTTCCAGGGTACAGAATGAGTCGTCGCCGGGTAGATGATTTGCAGTCTTCGAGACACAGCCTGGGATTCTCATAGGTCGGTCATTGTAGCGAAGTCGAACATAATATTTGCGCAGGGTTTCGCGACTGGATTCTTCCAGGTCCGACAGAGGGATGCGAGCGACAGAAGATTTGGGAGCAGGAGTTTGCAGGGAAGGGACGCTGGGTTTGCTAAAGAATGAGAACAATCCGGTACTCTTGGTTTGTGACGAGGATGACGAATCTCGGTTTACAGTAGTGTTCTGTGTCTCGGCGTTGGTCGAGAATAGTTCGAGCGAAATGTGAGATGTGAAAAAGGGCCACCTCTCATTATCAAATGCACCCAGACTGGACAAAACGGCGGCAAGAGTCGTATCATGGCAGCCGGTCAAGCCGAATTTTATAGGTACCTTGGAACCACTTGTGATAGAAGAGGCCACTTCGCTGCGCCAGCCGCCCTCCAGAGCAGCGCTTACCATACGATCAACGACATCTCCCATAAGGCCGCCAATGCCGAGACGTCGGTATTCTTCATTTTCTTTGTAGCCTGCATACCATTCCTCGACAGCGATTTTGTCTATAATCTTGAGTGCTTTCTCATCGTAGAATTTTGCGGGGAGTTTTGTAGCTGCTCCGTGAGCTAAAGTGGCGTTGATAGTGTCCATGATACCTGAAAGACGGGGGCGAGAGTCAACAGCAACTCGAGGAGAGCTCGACGGCATCCATTTTGTGAATAGCTTGGTCAAGTACTCCATATCATCAGTTTCGTTCCCTATTTGATATACGTTTTAGATTAGTGACGGGAGATATTGGCATGAGGATATTAAAGACAATGGTCAGTACTGACACCTCTGAGCAGCTCGTTCTGCGAAAAGCCTTGAAAGCTGTCTGAAACGTCTGCAATTGGCGTCATTGGGATATACAGTCTCGTCAGCAAAAGCTCGCGTAACAATGGCCGGAGTAGCAAAGTCTGCCGTGCGCGCGCTAGCAGGATACATTCCCATAAAAGCTTGTTGCATTGATTCGAGAGCACGAGGGATAGGGCTGGCACGTAGGTACATATCTTCAGCATTGGATTTGATTTGCGGCATAAATCCTAGCTGGTCCACGTAGAGATGGCGTAAGCGCTGTCCGAGTTCGAAAGTTGTCTGCCGTCCTTTATCCGTGAGCTCTCCGGCATGACTAGTCACTGGAAGTTAGCGACGTTTGGTGTCGAAGAAGGCCGGATTTACGAAATCAGGCAAGCTCACCAAATTGCCTCAGTCTCTCCTGCTGGGCCACGCGTCGGAACGGCTTCATCGTCGTGGCCGAACGTCTCAATCTTCCTCCGCCATTGTAAGGTGTCCCATGTCGAGAGGTCCTTATTCGTCGCTACCATTGAAGTCATCCGGCGTGCGACGGCGCAATATGGCCAATCTCGAAGGTATTGTTAGCGTCTTATTGGACGGTTGGACAGCGATATTATCGGAAGATAGGGTCATTACATGATGGAAGGCCGGCCTAGTTGTACGCTGGTTAGTGGGAAGCTTTAAGCTTGGCGCATATAACCGGGATGCATACATTTTGGAATCGCGCAGACACAGGAGTTCTCTCTCCTGATCGTTGTTCTAGTTTAGTATATAGTATTTCTAGTGTTTCTTCAGGTGAGTGTACCATGTCGCATAAACTGTTGGGGAATCGTTGTTAGTCCGGCCTCCGCGCCGAATGGAAAGGGACGAATGACGTACCACCTGGACCAATTGAAGCTTCAGATGCGGGGGATAGAGCTTGTCCAATTCCTCCTGGGAGTAAGGCTCCCTGAATTTGATGCTGGTCATTGCGGCGATGTCAATTGAGCAACTGGAAGGAAGTCCTTTCCTCAGCTGCTGTGAAGATGAGTCGCCAAGCAGAAGCAGGAACGTGCCTGGATGGTTGACCGCTGTGGTTGTTAGCGGGGAAGTCACCAGCGGGCCCGTCTTCGGACGGGAACAACCTGTCGCCGACGCTTTCTCGGCCAGCTGGGTTTGTTTACTGCGAAAAGTCAGGCACAAATGACTGACATTGACCTACCAATTACCTCCAATCGCAAGCTTGCTCTTACAATTCTCACAAGCAATTTCTATCGCGATCGCCTTCAAACCACATATTTGCAACATACAGTGGGTAAAGCTCCTGCACCGCCTTTCCGAACTCAAAGTCCATATTCGAAACGTTCTTGGCGGGTTGTACCTCGAGGCTGGATTGGTGCTTTCTCTTTGGCTGGTGGCGTTCGGTGTCAGATGCGGATATTTGCAGCTATAGGATTGGCACAGCAGCCATCATAATACCATGAGTCGGTTATTGACGATTCGACAAGCCGAAGAGCTGTGAGTCTAACCCGGAGAGGAGGGGCACTGGGCATGGAACTGACACCATGGCAGTCACAAATCAATCATAGCATATCTATCCGCAAATAATCTTTCCAATGCCGCTTCTGCGCTGAGAGGAGAGCTAGGCCTCTCCGAGGAGGTGTTTGATACGGCTACGATGGTCAAATATGAGACATTGTTAGAGAAGAAATGGACAAGCATCGTCCGCTTACAGAAAAAGGCATGTCTTGCCTATCGGTCTACCTTATCTCGACCCAAGGTGTTTGCTAACTGTCTTGCAGATAATGGATCTTGAGGCTCGCTGTGGAGCCTTGCAGACAGAACTAAACAACGCTACACCCACATCACTCTCGAAGCGCAACCAAGACCCGGCATCCTGGCTTCCCAAAGTCCCAGCCCGTTATTCGTTAGAGTCGCACCGAAACACCATCAATTGCCTCGCCTTCCATCCGAAATTCTCCTCTATTGCCTCCGGCTCGGACGATTGCATGATCAAAATATGGGACTGGGAACTTGGTGAACTAGAAACAACACTCAAAGGTCATACAAGAGCAGTTCTCGACGTGGACTACGGCAACACTCAAAGTGGTGTGCTGCTGGCATCTTGCAGCTCTGATCTCTCCATCAAAATATGGAATCCGTTAGAGGACTATAAAAACATTCGAACGTTGCTGGGTCACGAACATAGTGTCAGCGCCGTCCGTTTCATCCCGGGTCGGAACCTACTCACGAGTGCAAGCAGAGATAAAGACTTGAGGATATGGGACGTCACGACGGGTTTTTGTGTGAAGACAATACAAGGTCATAGTGGTTGGGTACGAGACGTTTGCCCATCTTTCGATGGAAACTACCTCTTTTCGGCTGGCGACGATGTTACTGCTCGACTATGGGATATTACAAACATATCGAATCCCGAAGCCAAGCTAACGATGGTCGGGCACGACCATGTCATCGAATGCTGCGCGGTCGCTCCACAGACATCATATCAGTACCTCGCACCAATGGCAGGGTTGAAGAAAGAGGCGCTTTCCAAAATGAGCGCAGTCGAATTCACAGCAACCGGATCGCGAGACAAGACGATCAAGGTTTGGGACCCTCGTGGATCCTGCCTCATGACATTGGTAGGCCATGACAACTGGGTTCGGGCTATCGTCTTCCATCCCGGCGGGAAATATCTTCTGTCAGCTTCGGATGACAAGTCCATACGATGCTGGGATCTGAGTCAAGACGGCAAATGTGTGAAAACACTATCAGACGCCCATGGACGCTTTGTTACTTGTCTGAGATGGGCTCCAAGTGTTGTCAAGGAAGTTGCTACTAATGCCGAGAACGGTAACGGGCAAACAAACACCAACGGGCTACCAAAAGACAAAGACAGTCAACCAAACATGCAAATACGTTGTGTCGTCGCATCGGGAGGTGTGGATCAGAAGCTAAACATTTTTGCGAATTAGCCTCCTCTCCAGCTCCGCTCGTGCAATGAAATAACAAAAAACTGAACATAGATTTGGACTTTGATCCTTCTGGATTGGTGTTTATTTATCAGCCTTGTCAATTCAAGGGCTTTTGTAGTGTCCTGATGGAGGATGCATGTTACATTCTTGCAAATTGTATTTGAAAATAATGTTTACTGTCAAATACGTCCATAATGTTTGTATTCCCAGCGGTCATTGAGATACCAATCAATTCATTCACGCCTTTGCCTCTAGAAACTGATCCGAATTAAGCAAGTAGACTAGTAAGCAAGGACGCTTAGCAAACATCTTTGCTGCTCGCATACTTGGGTAATTACTTATCAACTAACCTGTATCAAGTTTATATGCAAATACCTGTAAAGGCACAGGCTTGTTGATCAAGTAATCGCACAGTGGCAATCATCAGCTTTCAAAAACTCTCCGACCTTCCACGTCGTTGTTCCCTATGATTCAAGGTGAGTATCGCATTGATGGGGCAAGGACTTGATGGAACCTCTGATTCGAGGAACTATCTAGGAAGGATAAATACCCAGATAAGCAAAAGGCAGCACAGATATCGCTGATTAGATCCATGGATGAGAAGAAATGTCGAATGGGCTATCATTTTGGTATATTGAATTGAGCTGAAGTATATCCTTTATGTTCTGAAACGATCAGAAAGCAAACAAGACCAACACCCAAAGCTGTCATGCAAGAATATAACACATAGAAGAAGGGAACATTGAATAGTAATACATGTATAGAGAATATAAACGCTCATAATGCTTCACTCCCCTTCTGAGTAGGTTCATCCTCTTTATCACTCTCGTCCGTCCAACCGCTCTCCGACTCACTAGCATCCCAAGCCGACTTCTTCGCAACTGTCGAAAAATTACGAGTAGGCAGTTTCTGGATATTCTTCTTCTTGCCATTCTTTGCCTGCTTGCTCTCCAAATATCTAAGCGCTTGCTCTTGTGCTACCAGGCTTTCTTCATCGGCTTGTCGGTCGAGAACCGTAATGAGTTTTTCGAACGCCGGCATATACATCTGTGCAATGGGCATATCTCGTAACTTGACTTTCATGTAGTCGAATGACATGCAGACAGGCATTGTTGCTGCTTCAAATTCGGCCTCCGAGGCTTGGTTGATCAGGTTTTCTGTGTGGTAATCGACATAGTCGTCATCATCTGGGACATCTAAGGTGCCCCTTTGCGCTTTGAAGGCTTCTCTGGCGTTGCCAGGCTGTGGCCCCGGTCTGCGACCGGTGTCTCTCATGTTGCTGATTTTGGCATATCGCTGACTGAAATGGGTCAGAAGAACCAGCTTGGCATTCATCCATTTTCCAACCGTTATTGCCTCGGATATTGTGCTGTGTTTCTTGGCAAGGGCTTGTCCTTTTAGATCGTCTTGGAAGGTAGCTTCATGGATTAAAAGAGTAGAATCCTTGCCCATTTCCGCAAAGTCCCTGGATGGCCGACAATCTCCAGAGTAAGAAACTTTGAAACCATCCTCCCATTCCAAAACCAACCCCATTGCATGTCGGCAGTGATTAACAAAGACGGCGTTGAGGTTTGTGAGACCAGTGGACGCCCGTAAAAGCCGACTGAGATGACTTTCTGGGTGGTCGAGGCGAATCCACGTCGAATTATTGGGATCATCTTTGACAATTCCGTCGGGTCGAACAGATCGGTAAATTACGGACGTAAAAGATTTGTCTTTGGTAGGGGGCATAACCGATAGGGGCAAAACCTTCTCAAATCCGAAATCCTCAACCCCTGAGTACTCCTCCAGATAGTGTATGTACAGCTTGTCGCCAACTACAGCAAGTCTCTTTTGTTTCAATATATCGCCAATGGATTCTGACAACGTTGCGGTGCCAGATGTTGACCCGTAATTGATTTCATTCCACTCTCTGATCACGGCCACGGCCCCAAGATGATGGTCGGCATGCATATGACTGATCCAAATCATACGAAGATTCCGCATCACTTCGCGGAATTGTTCGGGCGGGTATGTTCTTTTCATCTGTCCAAGCGTGTTTTCTCCGCAATCAAGTAGGTAATAGCCTTTGCCGGGCACTTTCAAAAGAGTCGCAGAAACATTGCGATGCCTACTAGGACTCGATGAGCCCGTGCCTAGAGTAATGACTTCAGCCTCCAATGCTAGGGGAGGGAGTTCGTCTCGCAGCTTCATCACCTCACTAATAACTTTGTGATTGGTAAGTGTCCTTCTAATGACTTTAAGACGTCTTTGAACAGACTTTGGCAGCGACGGAGCAACGTCGCCATTCTCCAGTGAAGCGATGAGTTCGCTCTCATCGAGTCCAAACTTGGGCTCCATATTCAATAAAAGACCTGGTTGGGAGACTGTCCAACGCGGCTTCTGTGCGGGGGGAACGCCCACTTGATGCTCAGTAGGTGTACCAGCCTGAGGGACTTTGACATTGTCATGATAGGGGACGATAAAATTGTCGCTATTGATGTTGGCAAGACGAATCGCCGATTTTGCAGCAGTCACCATCGTCAGACGATTGGGGCAGACATCGGTAGAAGATACAACATGTTCGCAGTTCTTCAGACTAGAAATGAAATCTAGAAGACGAGGTTCTTGAGCAACTCCAGGACCTAAAATCCAAAATACGGATGCCAGTGTTTCAGTCAAAGTAGGTGATTTCCATTCCGGACGTGAGATGAGGTCGTCAATGTAAAAATTTGACGGCAAATCAATGAACGCAACGGTTTTACCCCGACGTGTTGGTCCCATAACCATATCTGGAGTGATAACGGTGCCATTTTCGGCAGTGACGGTCTCTCCCCCCGCGAGTTTACCATAAGCAGGGCCACTGGGAAGGCCCAATTCCGCCGCCTTTTTGGAATCGAATGCTCCTCTTACGTCATGGTGGCGGACGAAATAGCAAATTGACTCGGATGATGGGGTAGTAGCAGGAAGGCTATCCAACGTAGCAGCAGGCCACGGTTTTCGGACAAGGACTTTAATGTTGGGAACTGAACCGGTATCGTCAGGAAGACGTCCTTGATAACGCTCGAGATCTTTGGTTTCGGGATTTCGAACGAACATAACCGCAGGCTGTTTGACATCGTACAATCTCTCTTCATACAGAGCGTCGAGCTTCCAGTCACTGTCAAACATGTCCTTCACAATGTTATCACGTAACGTCTGATCCTTGGCGAGAGTATCTGCAGTTTTATATTCATTTCGATCAAGCTCTTCGAACTCATTCAAACTCCGCTTTCGAGGACTCTTGAACCCGGACCGACTTTCGAAACGTCTTTCAAAGCTAGGTTTTAGCGCCATCGCCCAGACCCTGATTTGTTTATCCGCGAACGTGGGCGTTTCGAATGGATCTTCGCCTCCGCCTGAACCTTGTTGATCACGAGCAAGATTTTTCGAGTCGTACTCCTTTATTGAGATGGGCAGGGACTTTCTGAAGATGAATCTTCGCGCCGCCGCCAACATGTGGCTTATGTTCCTACCACCGTATATGGTCAAACAGGACAGAATAGATTGCAATTTATCCGATTTCTTGCTGCTCTCTTCCATCAAGCCACCAACTCCACGTGCCCGTGAGTCGGCAAGTGAGAGGATCATGCCCAGAGTACCTCCATAGTTTGCCCAATTCGTCTTTCCCGTAACAAATAGATCGTTCAAATAAGAAAACGAAAAGCCATTTTCGATAAACGCTCGCTGTGTACCCTCTGCTAGATGACCGAATACATATTTCCGATTGGGATAATTTAGGACGATAGTCGAACCGGGGCTATCGGCGGTGGGGGKGCTCAGCACCTGGTAGAAGTACTTCATGGGATGAGCCAACGGAGTGTCGCAGGAAGGTGGCCGACGAATAGAATTGATGCTGCCGCCTGAATCGGACTTGAAAATCAAATAGCGACTTTTCGTACCAGGACCTTTTAGGGTTGGGATTGCTGGGACGAGAAGGACGCCCGGTAGAAGGGGTTGTTGCTCGGCAAGTGGCGTATCTTCTCTGTCAGACGAAGAATTTCTTTTTTTTGCTGTTGAATAGCACGCGGTCAAACGGTTCCTCGAGGTCAGTATATCGACTCTGACAGCTGATGTCCAGATCGTAGGACGTGGTGTTCGGGGGGTTGTTCCGCGGAAGGCGACCCTTCCGATACCTCGCAGGGAAGCCAACGTGATAGCTGTCGGTGGCTAGAAGGGGAGGCTATGTTATCGAACAGTAATCAAGCATCTCAGGCGAGAATACTCGACTTGCAATTGTTGATATTTGGTGAAACATGAATCCACGTTCGTAGTCCTCAAAGTAAAGTAAAGGAAGCCGAACGGAAAATAATTATTTTGCCAAGGCCGCAACGCGCTAACCGTATTTGATTTATCGAGATATTGTTTTTGATTGGTCAACGACTCTAACTTCATCTCTACTTTTTAGAAGCGTCGCGTGTGCCTCCTGGTTTAGTTGTTATTGATTCGTTGAAGTCTGTCATTCTATTATAAAGTATGAGACTAATAAGCAACCGGCGACCACCCTAACACATCCTCAAACCACTTGTCGCTCTCCAAATCCATTGTCTGCACCCATGGAATCCCATCTATATACGGAATCCCATCAACATTCGCACTGCTCGCCGACGCCTCAAACCCGACATTTGCTCGAGGAGCATGATGATCAATGACCACCTGGACATCATCATTCTCATGGCGCTCTGAAGAAATATTCCATCGAGCTGCAACCCACTCCCTCGATCTCGTCAAGAGCTTGGAGAGTAATTTGAATAAATCATCATCAGACTGTAGCCCTGCTTCCTTGCTCGTCATATCAAGCTTCTCCGGGATCCATTGCAGGACGGAAAATATATTGACTGTCTTGCGTACTGCGTGACAGTCCCAGCCTGGATCGTTGAGTGTGGACAGATGTTTCAGGATTGCGGTGCAGCGAATCACCTGAGACCAGAAATGAAATGGGAGACCTATGCAATCTGACGGTGGGATTCGGTAAAAGACTTCTAGCCAGATTTTGATTGATTCGACAGATTTCCAGAGTGAGTCTATGCGTTCGTAGCCAGGTAGTAGTGTGCTGGTGTCGATGGTTTGTACTGTCGATGGGCTGCCAAGCGGGGCATCAGGGGTGAGTGTGCGGGATGCTTGGTCGATGTAAAGCTCGACGTATTGGCTGTATGCAATCAGGACATCTGGAACATGTTAACATAAGCAGTCCCTATTTCCAGACAATACAAGCTCGCCTTGTTCCCGAAGTTCTGGAGAGAGAGCGTCTCTGAAATCCTGTAGTTGTTTTTGCAAGGACTTGAGATATAAATATGCCGGAACTGGTGCAGCAGCAGCAGTTGCTATGCGAGCACGATCCGCTTCATGTTGTTCTCTGATATGCGCGGCCCGCTGGGTCAACAACTGCAATCTCACCTGAAATATAAACGCCTCGTCCGTGGGATACGGCTTGTTCCTCTCAAGAATCCGCAACGCCTCCTCCATCTGAGGTGTCCATCTCAAAGCATCTATGCGCCAAAAATGCGACGAAATACTATCGATACACTTCTGAGCGAATTACAACTAATCAATCAGATGGGGTATCATACTTTGAACTCAGCACAAAACAAGCCAAAACAGCTCTCTGCTGTTCCAAAAACCCTTGAAGCGTCCCTCCACCTCCACCTGCACTTCCCTCCAACTCACCTTCCGAATACCCCTGCGTAAGCCTGACAATAAGCTGCACATCGGGCGTCGAAGGTTTAAACAATCTCAAATCATACACCAGCGAAATCGCAAGCATCATCATTCTCGACAGCAGATTTGCGCGGCCCAGAAACGCGTCGGTGCTCCATGCTATATATGTTAGTATACCGAGTAGCAAATCGATATTTGATTGCGCTTCGGTGAGGGCGGATGTGAAGATTAGATTTTTGAAGTTTTCGGCTTGTAGGAGTTTTCGTTGGGTTGATAAGGTTGTGACGGTTATGATGGCTTGGAAGAGCACGGGACGCTCAATGCGGAGTTGCCAGGCTGTTAGGGCGGATGGTAAGTGAAAGAAGGGGAAATGGGGTAGCATTCGGGTTCGGAAGAATGTCAGAGATTCTTCAGCTTGATGGGGTGATATATTTGACGATGGATCCGAGTGCAATGGCTCCGTGGCCGGTGTCAGTCCCTGGTTAGTAGATCCGGTGGAGTGACTCGATGCAGACGTCGTAGTAGAAGTCGTTATATTTTGTCCCCCGCTAAATAGTCGATTGAGATCCACCGGGGTTCCAGAAGAGCCAACGGTGGCTTGCAGGACAGACATCAAAGTGTCAAGCTTGCCCTCCAGCTGCGCGATTCGGGCATCGGATTCTTGACCTTGAGACTTTTGCGCATTTCGTCTGCGAGCCGAGTCCGTTGGCTGACAGTCTTTTTTGAGACGGAGACATCTACCCACATCAATCTTTTGGATTCATGCACTAGGATTGAGGTATAGAGGGATGCCATACCTCTCACAAGTCCCATTCGGACGCGGCACACATCGGCACTTGGCCTTGAAACATTGCATACACGCTAGACCATACGTACTAGCTCGAACGGGGCTGTGAGTACGCCTTTCCATATCACAATCTGCATCAAATGAGTCGCATAACAAAATCCGAATGTCCTGTGGAATCTTGTCGAATATAACCTTAAAGGTGCGAAGATGAATCCAGCGGAATGTTCCCCGTCCAACACCGACGGGAAACGGAATCCACACTCCGAAATCCGGTTAGGGTTTTGGTGTTGCCCAAACTGGAAGTCATCTTGCATATAAAATCGAAATATAATTACGATCGTTACTTCACATCCATTCCTCAAGCAAAGATAAAATGCAGAAAAAAACAGTCCTCATTACAGGCTGCAGCCAAGGCAGCATCGGCGCCTCGCTTGTCAAAGCCTTCCAAGCAAAAGGCTACCACGTCTTCGCGACCCTACGCAACAAATCTAAAGCCGATCCTTTTTTTCTTCGATCTGACGATATCTCAGTCGTTGATTTGGAAGTTACATCCGCCGAGTCAATTAAATCATGCGCGGACTATGTCGCTGATCGTACGGGTGGCACGCTGGATGTGCTGGTTAACAATGCCGGAACGGGCCTCTGTCGTCCGCTATTAGATACGGATATCGATGAAGCGAAGAAAGTATATGATTTGAACGTCTGGGGTGTTATTGCCATGACGCAGGCATTTTCATCGATGCTGGTCAAGGCCAAGGGAGTGGTGTTGAATATTAGTTCTGTGGCTGCTTGTTTTACGTTTGCGTGGTCTGGTACGTGCTGCCTTGACGCAACCCTTCTCTTAAGATTGAAACGTCCAACCCACTAACAGGCAAAGGAATATACAACTCCTCAAAAGCCGCCACAGCACTCATCTCCGAAACACTACGCCTCGAACTCGCCCCACTAGGTGTCAGAGTCATAACCGCCATGGTAGGCGGCGTAAACACAACATTCTTCGCCGACAGAGCCGATCTCACTCTTCCGCAGGGATCATACTACCAACCTATACTTGACAAGATCAACCACGAAAACAAAGGGTTGCAGTATACGCCCAGCATGAAGCAGGATGTAGATTTGTTTGCGAGGAATATTGTGAGCGACGTTGTTGGCGGGAAGAGTGGGCTGGTTTGGAGGGGGAAGTCTTCATCGATGGCTTGGTTGGCCTCGGCGCTCGTGCCGGGCAGTATGTTGACGAGTATGATGAATGGGGATAAGGGGCTTGAAGAGCTTGCGCGTGCGCATCGTCAGTAGATCCTTTAAGATGCGTGCGCTCAGCATTTGAGGGATAATGCAGGGTTGGAGAGAAATCATGCCTTGAGATATTTAACTATCATTTGACTTTCTTTATGTTGCACTTAATTGTGTTTCCAAAAGTACATTCTTCATCAATAATGCAGTAGAAGAATTGTGCAGGCATGATGAGATATTATAGCAAATACTTGGATAGTCGGATGGAGAACATTCAATGCCTCGCCTTTAAAGGTTACGGGAGAGAATTCACAAGATTATGCCTTTTAGATGAGTATCTAACAATAGAACAATGTGGAAGTTGAAAATTGAAGACGCCCTTTACAGGGCCAAATTTTAACTAACTAGGTACACATGACAATCCAAGATCAAGAATGATTTATACACGAAAGATGACTGAAAAACAATCACGCAATGAGATGTAACGACAGATATTCCTCAACCCCCAAGGCTCATCCAAGAACCAAAACACCTAGGACGGTAAACCTGGTCCGCAATGACAAGCTAGAGATGCTAATCTCTTACTCCTGAACCGCAAACTCCATTCAAGTAATAACAGATCTATAGAAAAAAAAAAGACAAATTCGTTATCATAATCACAGCAAATGGTCGGTCATTCTGCATACGCGTTCGAATGCAGCGTCCATGCTGGAACATAGCCTTTTGAAGTCCCGTATAGACGACTCGGAGACATCTTGGGATTCCTGGTCAACAACGAGAGTGTACTGACAAGGCTTTTCGGATTCAAGTCTTTCGAACAAGGCAGCGGGAGGTGCACTCGATACGGGGATGTCATCTCTGAACAAAGCGAAACATGGATCGGTATCATCCAGCTCTTCTGTTGCTGCAACTCCGCAGGTGTCCACAACAGTCGAAGGAGTGACAGGTCGCTCAAGCTGGGGAACCTCAATCTTGGACGATCCACTGGGCTCCAGAGATGTCTCAAAGGAGGTGGATTTTCCGGAAAGAGCCTCCACTTCAATAAGCGGTTCCGGAACCTCAAAAACAGCAAAAACGGAGGGATTATAGTTCATGTCGATGCCTGAATTCCAGCCSGAGCCATAAACATCCATGCGGTTGTCTGGTACCATGGTCATATTGACTTGGCCGGCAACGCTTGTAGGAATTGGGGCCTGAGATACCATTGGTTGATGTTGAGGCTGGGGAACCTGGGCAGCAGTCTGTAATTGAGCTGGCAATCCATTGGCACTGAGGTCGTTCAGTACATCCGAAAAGTGAGGAGATGAAAGAAGTATGCGGGTCAAATCAGTAAGACGACTGTTTTCCTCTGCGAGGGCGTGATTCTGCAGACGCAATTCGTTGTTTTCGCTTGTTTTGGAAGCAACTTCGCCTTCGAGTTGAGTGATATATTCTGTCGTTTGTTAGTATCGTGTAGAATCAGTTGAATGGCTTTGACTAACCCTTTCTGCGAGAGCGGAAAGCACGCGCAGAGACCTTGTTCCGCAATTGGCGTCGCTCCTTGCTGGTGAGCTTCTTCCCTTCTTCGCTAGCAAGCAAACGCTCGTCTTCATCCATGTCCTCTTCATCTTTCTTCTGCTTCGCCATTTGAGGCAGAAGAGATGACGGCGTACCCAGACGGTTGTCCTGACCAAGACTGTTCTGTCGCATCTGTTGCAATAAACGCGAAATGCGCTCTTCGACAACAGGATCCGTAGGGCGAACAGCACGGGTGAGAGGAAGCGGTTGAGCAGGCGTCTGGCGAACGAACTGCTCGGCTTGGCGTTGTCGCATTTGCTGTTGCTGGCGAATAATCTCTGCTTGTTGTTTCTGCTGTTGGGCGGCGCGTGCCATAGCAGCCTGCTGCTGGTGCATACCGGGGTACACCCGACCGGCCTGCGGTGCGGGATGAGCGATCATCGGCATTTCATGGCCTCCTAAAGCGGTGGGATCAATGAATTGCTGGTTCCTGACGATGTTGCTGTGAGGAAGGAAGAAAGATTTGTTGTCAGGTTCAATATCCATCTCTGAGTGACTACGAGATGGAGCAGTGCCAAAGTCGACAGTCGAATCCTCGCGTTTCAAATGCATGTAGTTGCCATCAGTCACAGGGAAACCTTGATGTCCAGCACGCAAAGCTCCCAGAGAGTTATCGTTATAGGCCATGGCATGTGCAACGGCATCCGGCGGAAAGCCGGTCTGTTGCTGATGATCTCCATATTGATGACTAGGGCCGGAATAAGACGGTCCTAGATCAGCGATACTGGTTTCTGGTGTTGCCATAGATGGCTGAGAGATGAGAGAAGGATTCGACTTCATGGATTCGGAAGCGGGAAAGGCTGTTTGGTCGAGATTGAGGAACGAGTCAAATTCGAGGTCATGGGTCGAGTTGAAGTTGGGCAGCGGGGAGGCTGTCGAATGGTTTAATTCGGCTAAAGTGGCCATCTTAATTGATAGTGGTGGTGAACGAATGAATTGACCCTATTCGGGGTGTCGGCCTTTAACCGGGTGTTGCTGGTGAGATTGCTGATGAAGACAGATGTCGTGATTGATCGTACACTTTTCTGTTTATGCCGGAGAAAAGTGATGTGGTTGTGAGGGTATGATGGCGGCGTATGATGGGAGCGTGGTAAGGGAGGTAATAGTTGGTGGTTAGTGATGAAGAGGAACGATAGACATAGATATGGGAACGAGAGGGTAGGAAGGAGAACGGAAGGCCAGGAGTAGGTGGCTTAGCGCCAAGACCGCTGATTGGCAAGAGGTGTGGCTCAGGTGGGGGACCTCGGGGCGTGTGAATGGCTGCGTGGATCTGTTATCCTGACCAATAATCGTGCTAGACAGACCGGGTGTTCACCATATTGAGCTAGACCGGCCGGCCTTGTGCTCGCCGTGAGCCGAAGCCCTAATTTCCTGACTGGAGCAGGCCACTCACAGTCCTCGAGGCGCATTGGCTAGGCCTAACTGGAGCACACGCCCATACTCATAATAAAGACAAGCAATCCCGGCACGGCGCTAAGAATAGGTCGAGAATCTTGAGACGCGTGGCCTTTTTTCTCTGTTTGGAATCCATGCAAAAAGTTGTCCTCCACGCAAGCCTGAGGGCTGAGGCACTCCACGTCCAGCGGGGCAATATATTTACCCGCCCTCTGAAACTCTTCTCCTTAGTTTTTTGTCTTGTCCATGGCTCGGTCTAGGCAAGCTTTTCGCTTCATCTCTTGTTTTTGAGCCTTTGCATTTTTGTGGCTTKGRAAACTCTTCATTTTTTTTTYACGCTGTAATCTCTTTTTTTKTGCCATTTCGTCATGTCTCCATTATGCTTGTCTTGCTGGAGGATCTACGTGTATCCGGCCTAGTAGCAACTGCCGGGAGCCACAACGTTTCGATGGAATGAACAGCAAAGCCTACCAAAATTGTGGTCAAGCATCCTCGGTTTCAGATAAGCACATGGTTTGTATACCCGATACGGGGAGAAAGTTTGAGTTGAAACGGTCTCCTAGGTCAAGACGTCTCCTGACTAGTCGAGCACCATGTTCGGTGACTAGGGTTCCTCGGCTGTGGATCGCTACAGATACTTTTCTATGGCGAGGGGACTCAGGGGAGGGTATTGCAGAATAAATAGACTCAGCTATTAAGAAAGATCATCCCTCTATCGAATTGCTGTGCATTCCTATTTCATGGTTATTGGTATTTATTTTAACTACTATCTCGAAACCATTTCGATAGACCTGGCTGTGCATAAGAAAATATCAGCTCGTTTCTAGGATCCTCCCGAAAGCTATCATTTAGAAAGGCTGCAGATCCTAACGCCGTATTTACCAAGTCCCTGCACTATCCACACCTTCTTTGGCGAGAACTTCTTGGCGCATTCACATTTCGGGGTCTTCTCAGTCGCTTTTGGGCACCGGCATGCGTAAGCTTCAAAGTGGCGGAGGCAACCCATTTCGTATGTACCACACGCTTTTCATTCTAGTTGGTCGAACTCAGCGTTTACCGACCAAGGCTGGCCTTGGGTAGCTGTAGGGTTCGCTAGTCACATACACAATCTTTCGCACAAGCTGTGGCCGAAAGACCGAGGCCCAACAGCTTGTCTTATTATCGGTATTTGGTGGGCTTCTGGTAGTCAAACTATGCTCGTTGTGCAGGTGTCACCTCAATTTTCAGTTCTGGCACCCCCGTTTGTACTTTTATTGCCAGTCCCTGCCCCCAAGAAAGTCATCACACCCTATCTCTTGATCTATTGTGATGAAAGCGATTTTGCTAGAATTGAACGTCAACTCTGAAGTTCAGCGATGAACGGTTTCCATGTTTGGAAAAGTTCTTTCTTTCAAGTTCTCCATGTAAGTTGGCTTGGCTTGGTCACGCAGAATAATAACTATTATAGTCATAGTCTCGGAATAGTTTGCCGTTGCTCAACCGTTCCCATTTCACGCACAGATATCGCCAGTCGAGATCTTCTTCAATCTCGCCCACCTCCACGAGAAACAAGGCAGCACGACGACGCCAATAAGGTTCTGCTACTGAAATACCCAAAGCAGTCCGCAGCCCCTGAATCTCTTTACAGCTTAAATGATCCAGGACCACTTCCAAGAGCTCCATCGGCAAATATTGAAAACGAGAAAGCCCGAGGTGGCGCCCCTTCCCTGTAATTCTTTGACGGATCTTGCCCTTGCTGGCTTCTATAGAGTTTTTGAACCTTTGAACCCTGGTAATCCCATAAGGTCATACGTTTCACGTCTTAGTTTCAAAGGATACTCGATGGAAATCTTCGACATGATGGCAGCGAAGAGCTCAAAACTGTGTACAACCGAGGGACCTAGTTGCCATTGAACGAGCTTCCAGCAGCCCATGTGTATTGCCAGACTGGAGGCAGAAGCAATCGACATCGATCAGCAATCTTGTAGCGCTTGCGAGATGACTTATAATTCCACCATCCGGGTTCGTCAGCCCCAAAGAAGCCAGTCATTCCTTGATTGTGTCTCGCTTGTCGTCCGGTCAGAGCTTTGTCGGGGTCACTTGGAACTGCAGTTTTTTGACCCTTTGATTAATATGGCCTATTCCCGAGATTAGGATTTTTTCTCGTGGTGATCGTACAATACTGAACAGACACTTAATTCGTAGTTCGAATATGATCAGCATGAGAAAAATACTCACAGAGACGGTATAGAAAGCGCCAGTACGGTACGAAGTCAAACAGAGGGTCAAGGTGAAAGTATTTGCGCTCAAGGACTTTCGCGTTGGAATTGGATCTTTTCAAGTACTTCTTCCAGGCTTTGTCCTCCCGAAATATTTGCTCATTATCAAAGTAACGAGTGTGGTCATCAACATGCCGTTGGCAGCCAAAACAACAAATCCACCCCTCCATATTCGAAGATCCTTCAACGACCTGGAGAAGAATCTTTGCGGACTTTACTTAGATATTGAATTGATGGCTTATCAACGTACTTGTACCTTTGTGACATGTCATGGTGATAGGTTTATATGACGACCAACCGTGGAATGCTCCGAAGGGAACTCATCATCGACGGATGTACGAGATGGCACACCGAATAGAGATCTGTTATTTTCTAGTAGTTGCGTTAGGTATCTACTTACAATCGCCAATCAGGTTGGTTTGAAGACCTTGATCAGTCGACTACAGATCGCAATTGCTTCATTTGAAGATTTTTCATCTCGGGCTAGTTGCATTGCGGAAAGAAGCAAAAGATGAGAAAGTCGTGCAACACCCCTAAGCATAGAAAAGACTGAAAGGTCCTCGTGAAAGCCCTGAACAGTGGACGAAGGACGAAAGATGAAGTAGAATGATAGGGTGGTATGGCGGTGGCAGAATAAGGATCTAATCGAATCAAGGATAGCTGCCGAGGGGCCTCCTGCCCCCCACACATGCGATATTTCGATAATTCAACTAGACTACACCAGTGTTTCTCACTGTTCTGAAGTAGAAAAGTATCGTGGGAAGCCAATTATTGCCAATAGATATAAAGCAATTGTCGTTTACACAGAAGCTGAAATAAAAAACTGGAATGAAGCAGGGTGCGCTTATATCAATGTACTTTTGTTGTAACGGCACCAGGCTATTCCGCTGGGTAATTAAGCGCGATACAGAGTACTTACAGTCCCCACATCCTCCCTCCCTGCTTGACTTCACTCTTTCAACCCCCGTCAACATCACTATCTCTTCTCAATTTTCCAATACCGAATCAACCGCTTCTTCTGTGCTGTAAGGGAGTATTGCTGTCGTTACTTACTGTACGAAAAAGTAATTGACGTCAATCATCGACGGTATCATCCGCCAACGCGCAATTGGCATTTGGTTTCCGATCAACACCAAAGCGGGACCATTGAATGATACTCAATTTCTCGCCAAAAGTGAATATTTGCGGCTGATCAAAGTCGTATTAAGCCGTCATTTACCCCGAGTCTCTGAAGCTCCGACCAGCCAGGTTTGTCAAGATCCTGGTTGATTTGTTCGACCAACAGGGAGAAGTGCTCAGCAGAAATCAAATCAGATCTCGCGGCATCGTATTCCCGTTGACCAGAACTGCTGATAGGATAAGTCGTCGGAGAACTAGCGACTTGTGTGCTCTGTGCGCCTGATCATTTGATTCTCTTCCATCCCGGTGAAATCGATGTTATCTAGCTAGCTAGACTGCAATCTGATAAACACTGGCCTGAATTCGCGAACGACATTCGATTTGTTGTCGGTATTCCGATCCTTTCCTTGATATCAACCTATCAACCAACCAATGATCATCCCAGTTTACTGATATTTTACCCGCTTAGCATGTCTTGATCCTTGTACCCTGTCGATTCGGGCGACTGGAAGGGAGGGATTTTTCTACTGCTGGATTTTGTCTAAATACTGGAAAAACAGCGAATCACTATGACTGTAAGTGACCGCTTATTCTCATTGCTTGTGCGATTATCGCCGATTATTTATTGTCAAACTCTCCTTTGCCACTGATTCATCTACGCCTTCTCCTCTGATTTTCACTTTTAATGATTTATTGTGTTTCTTCGGAAACTTTGTTTTCGTGGACATGTTGGAGCTCGAGGTCTTGTAACAACAAAGACAGAGTCTCCGTTTCCCGAGAGAGAAACGAGAGTTGATCTGGTCACTCTTATCATTTCTGTCATCATGCCCAACACTGTTTTCTAATTTACGGGCGGTATCTCCTTCTTTTGAGTACTTCAATGTGCGGTCTGCTTGAAGCAGAGGGCGAGTTACATTTATTGTTGATCAAAATGTTCTCCTTCGAAAGAAGCCTATGATTGTTTGTCCAAGATTATCACTTGCATTTTCGCCAAATTTCCCAATGACCTCATTCTACCTTTGCTGCAGTCATGTGGAACGAGTATTCTATTATTCCTACGCCCAACAAGTGGCCCAAAGTTTCCCCAAGGCAAGACAGATATGTCTTTGCAGAAAGTTCGATGTTGCATGGACAACCTGCGCAAATCAAGACACGTGCTCAGCTAAGCTTGGAAATTATTATACAGGACATACAACGAGCAAAACAAACCAACCAGGCTCAAGTCAAAGCAGGCTTGGTGCCGAACCCGAGTGACAACAAGTTCCGGGATAGCAAGCCTCGACTTTTGCTGATGGGGCTACGACGGTATGTTTACACACCAGGCAATAGACTGGATGCGACCTCTAATTGATAATAGGAGCGGAAAATCATCCATCTCGAGCGTCGTATTTCATAAGATGCCTCCCAACGAAACGCTGTTCCTGGAATCAACGACTCGAATCCAAAAAGATTCAATTCAGTCAGTTTCAACTCAGCAAATTGGGTTTATAGTCTAACTATTTGCAGCTCATTTATGGACTTTCAAGTCTGGGATTTCCCCGGTCAGCTGGAATTGCTGGACCCTTCATTTGACTTGGAAAGCATTTTTGGCTCAATAGGTGCCTTGGTTTGGGTTATCGATGCACAAGACGACTATTTGGAGTCGGTTGTGAGACTCAACCGTACTATCTTGATCGTCCTACAATATTACCCAAACATCAATATCGAAGTCTTCATCCACAAGGTCGATGCGCTTGCGGACGAGTTCCGGACAGAAGTCTTCCAAGACATTGTCCAGCGTATATCCGACGAACTTAGTGATGCAGGCTACGAGAACGCTCCTGTACACTACTACCTAACATCCATCTACGATTATTCTGTTTTTGAGGCTTTTAGCAAAGTGATCCAGAAGCTTATTCCACAATTATCAACACTCGAAAACTTGATCAACATTCTTGCGAACAACTGCGGATTTGACAAGTGTTATTTGTTCGACGTGTTGAGCAAGATCTATATTGCGTCCGACACTCGGCCAGTCGATATGTCATGCTATGAAATGTGTTCCGACTATATTGATGTTATCGTCGATATATCGGAATTATATTCGTGGGAGCATGCCGATCGCAAAGCGAAAGGCGAGCAGATGCGTGAGGCTGAGTCCCATGTCATTCTTCAGGATCGCAGTATGATTCATCTAATGGAGATGAACAAGTCCGTACACATCCTAGTATTCTTTTATCTCTCGAATTTGCTGACATATTCAAGGTACCTATGTCTTGTGTCGGTAATCCGTAATCCCGATGCCAACGAGAAGAAAGGACTCATTGATATGAACTGCCGGGTGTTCCAGGAGGCTCTCAACGAAGTGTTTACCCGTCCATGGGAACAACCAGAGGATATCGGGGCAATAGAAGATGCTCACGAGGAGCAATAACCCATGATAGCTATTCAAAAGCAATATGCAAAAAGATGAAGTCGGAGGTAGATGTGCATTCTTCTAATGACTCAGCACTTATATACTACCAGGATGTATTATTACTATGCTTAGCAGTATTAGATGTGCTAGGATCTTGAAGGCATCGTATTATCTTTGTGACCCTCAGAAATATCGTTCGCATCGACTTGTTGACAGCTTAATGCAGTAGAAATAGTCAAAGTAGCCAATCATTGTGCATCGAATGCTGTTGACGGATTTCCGGGGGCGGCGGAATCTTTGTTGACAGCTGATCCGTGGTGTCCATTTCAAAGTTGACAGTGTACGCACCTACCACGCTTCCACCCCAAGAACATACACCAACACAGACTACAAATCATCACCGAATTGACTTTATTGAAGCCACAAATATGGCACCAAAACTCCGCAACCGCCGCGCCCAAGCCGAAGACACAGCCCCGCGAGTCGTCGAAGTTGACACCGACGAAGAAGTCGAAATCACACGCACCGCCGAGCAACAACGAGAACGCAACAGACTCGAGAAAGACAACAAAAAACGAACCGTGAAAGTAGACGATGATGACGACGAAGAACATTTTTACATTTCGTTACTGGATGTTTTACGAGTTATTGTAACGTTCGTTGTCTTGTCGGTTGGATTGAGTTACTACGTGACTTCGGGGGAGAGCTACATTTGGGGCTTTGAGAGGCAGAGGCCTTGGTGGATGCGGTATAATGACATTAAGCAATTCCTGGTACGTCTACCAGACTCCATCTGCTCATCAATGACTCACCTGTGTGTTGTAGCAAGGACCCATAAACCTAACCCCCTCTCAACTCGCGCTCTACGACGGCACTGACCCATCCTTACCCATCTACCTCGCCCTCAACGGAACAATAATCGATGTCTCCGCGAATCCCGGAATCTACGGTCCCGGTGGCGGATATCACTTCTTCGTCGGCCGAGATGCCACTCGCGCGTTTGTGACGGGCTGTTTCCAGGAAGATCTTACGGGGGATATGCGTGGAGTTGAGGAGATGTATATTCCCGTCGAAGATGCGGATGAGTCGCATAGGGAGCGAACCTTAACGGCGGCGGAGAAGAAGAGGAGGCATGAGAAGGAGGTGCAGGAGGCGAGGGAGAAGGTGGTGGCGCAGGTTAATCATTGGGTTAAGTTTTATTCGGGCCATGAGAAGTATTTTGCAGTTGGTAAAGTGGTGCCTGAGAAGGATGGCCAGGAAGAAAGTCCAAAGGAGGAGAGGCGGTTGTGTGAGGGTGCGCAGAAGAATAGGCCAAAGCGAAGTGAGTTGAACAAGCAGTTGTAAGAGTTCAACTAGTTGGACGAGTGGAAAATTGGGAGGAGAGCAAAATCATACAGCGCGTGCATTCCAGGCGTTTATCTATGTTTCGCATAATTGTAGTAGTTATGTGCACTTTACAATCTATCAGCATTTTCAGGAAAGATTGAGTCTTAGAACTTTTGATTCTTGAGATCTCTATTTAATCGACATGCCCAAACATTTTGGCTCGTCTGGAAATGTCCTGACCGATTTCATGCCCACCCCGGATCATGGTGGAATTCCGCCATTAACGACGAAAATTCTGGAAAAGACATTGCTTGTGACGTCTAATCAAGTCATCACTGATTCAAACAAAAACACCCGTTGAATTTGTATTTTGTAAACCACAAACAACAAAGGAAACCGTAACCGTAAAATGACATCAAGGAAAATTGACTAATTTACTCCTCGGCGGTAACGGCGCGGGCTGAACAATTGTTAGCTTTTGTGACCCGGAAGAAGGCGGGAAAGACATCGTACTGTAGATGTTCAAGCTGCTGTGTCCAACAACCTTCTTGATCTGACCCTTCTCTTCGAGGTCAGCGAGGGCCTTGCGGGCCAAGCTGCCGTTGATCTTCAGACGGTCGACGAGGGTAGCGACGGTGATGAGGCGGTAAGACTGAACATCCTTGTAGAGCTTCTCGGAGGTGGTCTTGTCGAGGACGACGGCGTGCTGGGCCTTGTCCTTGACTGTTTCAAGAAGTCAGTCTCATATTCTGCTTTTTTCAAGTATTTGATGCTGTTTTCAGTGCGCATGTGCGAGACTCGAGATTCCGTCGTTTGCTTCAGTTCGATCGATTGTGAATCCATCATTTCTCATTTTGTCCAAATCTATTCTGTGTGCCGGTATCTCGATCTCCGTGATAATCGATTGCGAAAACAAATTGCAGTCCGACGACGACTCTCGAATCTCGACACATGACCTGTATGTAGCAATTCAATCACATACCCTTGCCCTTGGACCACTTCTTCTTCTGCTTCTTGCCACCGGTGGATGCTGCGGGAGCCTGTAAATTTGCAGATAAATTAGTCAAGGCGGTTCTACATCGTAGCAGTCGATGCGGAAGGACTATAAACGCACCATTTTGTATGATTGTCGATGAAGGTCTTCACGGGACAAAGTAGAAAGGCGGAAGTGTAACTTTTAATTGCAGTGCGAAATTTGAGTGGGGGATGACTAAGCCGGTCAGATGCCCTAAGCGATGCAGCACGTGACTGACCCACCTACGGCAATCACGTTTGGACGTTCCTAGTCTGAAAATATCGACTCGTTATAAATATGTGGTATATCGATGAAGTATATCACACTTTCGCGATTACAGTCTACTTGAACAGCCTCCGGATCAAAGAATACAAGATTAGCGCATATGACAATTTGGGGGTTGAAGCTGCCGGGTTAATGAAAAACAAGTATGGATATCATTGATTAGTCTAACAAAACAAACATCCTACAACGCCACGTCAACTAGTCATATTACACAAATCTATTTCAAGTTGCAATTTCATTCATTTACTGCCTCTTGTAACAGTTTTCCGAGGTCATTGGCCTAGAACAGATTAGTGACGTGTAAAACATATTGACTTGACAGGGACTTACAGCAGGAGGAGTAACCATTGAGAAGTGATCAGCTTTCAGGGACCGACACACAACATCTCCTAACAACTTGTCCCACCCATTAGGACCAAAGTTATCTCTTCTAGAGTAGAACCACGATGCAAGACCGGTGTCGTCCTCCATAGGGTTTCCGTCGACATCTTCCTTCAGTCCCATCATCTCCGCTACATCCTTGAAGGCTGCGTCGCCGATAATCTCTGCGAGACCATACTCGGCCCAGATGATGTACGACTTTTCCGGCCGGCGCGATGGATCCATTTCGCGCGCTGTGTAGAACATTAGCGATTCGATGGTGCTTGCCAGATGCTGCTTGAGACGCTCCGACATGCCCGCCAAAGCAGGGCCGGCTCGATTGATGCCCGTGGTTAGCCCGACTTTATCGAGGAAGTCCATAGTCACTTCGAGGCCCTCTGGCATGGGCTTGGGGATTTTCATGTCAATGATCACAAGTCGCTTGATTTTTTCGCCAGCTTCAAGTAGCTGACGACTGACTTCGAAGGCATGGGCGCCACCAGCGGACCACCCACCGAGCATGTACGGCCCTTCGGGTTGAATCTTCTTGATGGCAGCAATATACATCTTTGCTGTCTCTTCAACGGAAAATCTGTACTCGAGCGGGCAACGGACAAAGGGTGATTCGACGGCGTATAGCGGCATCCCAGACGCAAATCGGGGGAGATGAATGTACGCAGTGGCAGAACCAGCGCCGTCAGTGATCAAAAAGAGAGGAATTTTGTTGGACTTCTTGCGGCCGTGGATCAGCACCACATTAGATTTGTATTCCGCCGGTGGAGGCGTTTTCGAGGGACTAATCTCGTCTACTGCAGGCGAACTCAATACTTCTGTAGGGGGTGTCAATGGTGCTTCTGTCGCGATTTGGATCGCCTCTGAAAGTTTATTGGGCGTCACTAATATCTCCTCGATATCTGATTCAGGCGGCGAGATGGGCGTCCAGCCTCCACTCGGTGAATTGTCTTCACTGCCTGCGTTGGCTCCTTGGTCGCTCTCCGAGTCCGCATCATCATAGCCAAGCGCTTTTTGAGCATCTGCGACTGTGAGATTCTCCTGGAAGAAGCTTGCTTCTAATTGGACGTCGAGTTCTTTCTGGACTCGGTCAATGATGGTGATGCCCATTAGTGAATCGACACCCATTGATGCGAAGTCGGCAGTCGGTACCATATCGGGCATGTCAACGCCTGTTTCCTCGGCGATGATTGCGATAAGTCGATCGGCTAAATTGTTTTCTACTTCGACTGAAGTTGGGGGAGGCATCGCAACCGGCGACTGATGGTCATCGGTGAATTGTTTCTCAATTTTCGAGACAGCCACTGTGTGTGTCGAGCCTGAAACCTTTGCTGGGGCTCGTGAGTCATGCTTGTGTAGCAGACGGTGCAGTACAATTCGTGGCATTTTCTGGAATACAAGACTGCAGAATCCCACGAAACGTTTCTCACTGAATACATACACATCACTGAGAGATACTCCATGCTCATCAGGTGCGTGAGATCGCACATAAGAGACGTACTGTGTGTCGGCGGAGAGTTCCTCATGCAGTTGCATGCGTGCTACTCCACCCGAAAGCCAAACATCATCACTGGCACTGGTCAGGTTAACATTCAACACGAAGCCAGCAAGATGGACCAAGGGATCAGTCCAGTATGGCAAGCACTCAAACTTTCCGCGTCCATTGTATGGCTTGAGGCTGACGTTCGCCACGGCATCGTTTGTCTGCTCGTCCCAGAACATCTCCTCGATAGCCTGGTACTTCGGGTCATAATTGACTAGGCTTGCGAATAGTTTGTAAATGACTGAGCGACGGAGATGATCGCCGCGACCTGCCTTGACGGATTCAACCAGGGAGTCCATACGAGACTTGACGAAGAATGGTGTCTTTGACCAGTCATTTTCCCATTCTTGCGAGGTATATGTGTTGACCTGACAGCCTCCAATCTCTTGCGTTGCTGAACCATCTTGTAGGTGGAAGGTGATTTTGACTTGATGGCCGGTTTTCGTTTCACGCTCCGCAGAGATTTGCAGAATTTGTTTGGGGTCACCAGAGGCAACGACGGGATGGTGCAGCTCGAGGTTGCTAATTTGAAGATGCTTCTGGCTTCCTTCAGTTTTGTCGACCTTGGAATAAACATACTTTGCCGCAGTGAGGGCTATATCACAAAATACACCAGCAGGGCACAACGGCAGCTCATCAACTTGATGACCACGAACGGCCTCGTACAACTCTGGATCCGCCAGCGAAGTATGAAACACGATCTTGATTGTGTCTATGGTTATCAACTGCTCTTTGATGGTGTGGAGCGAACTTGATATCTTCGTAATTGTAGGCTTCTTTAGGGCGGTTTCAACCTGGTTGACTGTATCCTCCTTGTATACGCGCCAGAAATTCTTCGTATCGAACGCGTACTTTGGAAGATTCAATAGTCTCAATGACCTGGTATATTCATGATGGAAATCACACCAATTGGGACTGGAACCAGCCGTGTAAAGTGTCGCAACAGTGGCAGAGATAGTTTTCCAATTGGACTCACGCGACTTGATTGAGCTATGCACGTTCATTGCACCCAATGTAGCTTTGACCATTGAGCCGCAGACAGAATCTGGACCAAGCTCAAGCCAAATGGTGTGTGCATCTGCAACACCCTCAACGCGGCATGCAGCAAGAGCCTTATAGAATTCCACTGGCTGACGTGCATGTCGAGCAAGATATTGGGGAGTGATAAACCCACTTTCACGTACAATCGACCCAGTCACTGTTGATACAATCGGTATCTTGGGGGCTTGGAAGCGTACGGTTTGTGCCAGTCGCTCAAAGTCATCAAGAATGGAGTCCATCTGCGGTGAGTGGAAACCGTATGGTACACGAATAAGTGTGCAGACGGTACCTGCTGCGCGCATCAACTGCTCGAGGGTTTGAAGCTCGGAAATAGGGCCGCTGACAACAGTGGCTGAAGGGGAATTGTAGCATGAAATACAGCATGATTGATATTCGGGACGGCGGAGGTACTCCTCCAGTGCCTGAGCAGGTGCTACAACAGCCAGCATAGCATACGCGCCTTCGGAACATCTCTTCTGAGTGAGAAGCGCTCGTTGACCGACCAAGTAAAGGACATCATTGACAGAGAGAACTCCAGAAACGCATAGAGCGGCATATTCTCCCAAGCTGTGACCGATGACAACATCAGGCTTTACGCCCCAAGAAAGCCAAAGTTCGGCCAATGCAAGTTCGATTGCAACAACGGCGAGCTGGACTTGGACAGTCGTCTTTTGCGTAAAGTCGGTATTTTTGTTGGAAATGAGTTCCTCAAACGAGGGCAACTCCTGAGTATCACAGATACGCTGCATAGATTCAATGCTATTACGGAAAGTAGTATTGGTGTGGAAAAGGTCCCAGCCCATGCCAGAGTACTGTGATCCCTGACCACTGAAAACCCAAACCATGCTTTTCTTTTGAGGACCCCGTTGAGCGGCAGCAGGCTTTGAGAGGTCTCCACGAAGCTGCTGGACTATGGACTCCACACTGGCCCCAGAATATGCAACGCGAATATCTTCATGAATTCGACGTGCAGTTGTAGAGTAGGCGAGATCCGCTAGGCCGATCTCTGTATGAGCTGTAAGGTACTCAAGTAACGCTTCTTTGTTCTTCTTTAACGATAGTAAAGTACGAGCAGATACAGCGACTGTATGGTGGCTGCGTGGGTCCTGCTGTTTTGGCCCTGCCTGGGGTGCTTCTTCAATAATGAAGCAGGAGTTGCCTCCCTGTAATTGAAAATCAGATACGAGAACGTGCCATCGATGACAAAAACAAACTTACTGCTGCATCAAAGTTATTGATCATGACCTTTCTTTTACCGTTCCCTCCAAATGGTTTGTGGAAGTTGATTTTGTCGTCCGCAATCCTGACATTCAATTGTTTCAACGGTGGGTAGTTGTGATTGATCTTGAAGGGGACGCCTGGTTGAGGTGGTATCACCCCTTTTTGCAGAGCCATGATCGATTTGATCATGGAAACAGCGCCGGCAGCCTAGAAGCCAACTACTTTAGTGCATGGAAAATGACGAGGATAATGATAGACTTACAGCTTCAGTATGTCCCACATTCGCCTTGACCGCACCGACAATCAACGGATTGGTTTTGGTACGATTCCGCCCAAAGACTTCCAGTACTGAAGACATTTCCACGGCGTCTCCTGCCTGTGTGCCTGTTCCGTGCATTTCGACAAACCCGACCTCCTCGGCTTGTACCCCAGACTTCTGCAAGACGTCGTTGTACAGACGAACCTGCGTCTCGGCGTGGGGATGCGTGATGGACGAGGCATGAGCTGAATGATTTCGTCCATGGCCTCGAATCACAGCGAGAATGTTATCATTATCGTGAAATGCGTCTTCAAGTCTTTTCAACACGAGCACACCAACTGCTTCTCCACGGCAGTAACCATCGGCACCATCTTGGAATGTCTTGCATCCGCCTGTGGGAGATAGAAAGCTTCCTTTTGAAAGACCCGAATACGGCTCAGGAGAGGTGATACTATTAACTCCACCTGCAAGTGCAGTATCACACTCCCGGGACAGAAGAGCAGAGCAGGCAAGTCCAATCGCAGACGCGCTAGAAGCACAAGCTGAATCGACAGAGTAAGAGGCACCTTCCCATTTGTAATGATAGTTGAGACGTCCAGGCGTGAACCCACGCTGGAGACCCGGAACATAGTAGAGGTCAATACCGGCGATACGGCTGCCATCCTTCCAGTCATCAGCAGCCTGGCCAAAGTATGTGGCAATGCGTTGGCTTTGTGTGGATAGTGTTCCATTTGATGTGTAACCGGACATTTGTAATGCCTCGTAAGTCGACATTAATAGAAGTCGTTGCAGGGGGCTCATTTGTTCTGCCTCTCGTGGGGAGACGTTGAAAAGCCGGTGGTCGAAAGCGCCAGGGTTGCGGAGGAAGCATCCGTATCGAGTGGACAAGGAGTTCTTGTTGCGGCCAGTAGGGTCGTAAAATTCCTCGATGTCGAACCGGTCACCTGGGATCTGCTATGTATTAGTTGACGAAAGGTGGCTTGAAAGACGATAGACATACCTCTTGATGGGCGTCAAGGCCATCCATTAACGATTGCCAGAATTCCTCTAGACTTTCGCTTCCAGGGAATCGMCCAGCCATACCGACGATGGCGATGGCGTTGGAGCCATCTCGAAGGCCTTCTGACTGCTCAGAAAGCGCTGCTGGCCTATCATGTAGTGTCACAGATAACTTGTGGCTGTCAAGTACCCTCTTCACGATTGGAGTCGCCTGTGTTAGCCCTATCACGTTCAGGCGAACTGGAATGTTCCTTTGAAGTCCTTGAGCTGCCGCGCTTAAAACCGTTCCCATTTTGAGTCTGCTACTGACGATTTCTCCACATACAGACAGGTATAGGTCTCGGAGTGTGGATGTAGAATAGGGGATACCAGTGCTCGTGCAGAGGACCTGGACTTGCGATTGAATAGACCTGTTCAGAATAGGGGAGTTGCCAACGACTGCTTCAAGATCTGGGATAGGAAGGTGAGGGGAATGAACCGCTCCATATGCTGCCAGCTTTAGCTTAGGTGCAGCCTCGATCTTGGCGGAGTACGAGAATAACCGGTCCAACTCTGGAGGTGGTCCGAAGAGCGTAAGCCAGCTTTCGTCCTCGACGCCAATAAAGACTTGTCGATGGGTGGGTAAACTCTGCGCACTATCAATATTGATCAAACTTAATCTTTGGGTGCAACATACCAGAGAAGCATGAAACTCTTCGAGGATGACATCCATCTCTCGGACAGGAACCCCAAGGACAGTATATGCCCAATGACCTGGGGTGTCCTCAATCCTTCTTGTTCGACGGTATAGCTCCAGGGCTAGCCGGAAGCATACCGCAATCGTTTCGGTACTAATTAAGATTAATTCTGTAACATTTCGGGAACCAGCTAGGGCGGCCGCTGGAAGAAGGCCGGTACATAGGCCCAGAGCTGTGACCTTGGAAGAAGAGCTAAATAGTGAAGGGTCATTTTCGACAAGTCTGTTGCTAGTCAGCGAGCTTCATACATGCAGCGAGCCAACCTGGAATAACATACAAAATGAGTTCTGCTAATCGGCAGGCACAAATTACTACTGTGTGTATTACACCGTTTGTATCCTCTGTGCCTGAAAACCTCTTTAGAAGGCCTTCGAAACCGTCAAAGTGACCAATTTTCGTCCTTTCATCAGAGCCCAATGCAGATATTTTGGTCTGGATTACGTCCGAAGTGCTCTGTAGAAATCGGCGAACAGTCTGGGAGGATTGTGAAATGGAAAGGAGACGATGTAATGACGGGACCAGATCAATCGTCTGGTCTCCCAAGAGGACAAAGTGTTGGGTTGTCATGATTGAACGCCTGAAAGGGCTCAAAGGGTCACTGTCTTGCAGAGGATAGAGTGGGCATGAGGGCAATATAAGATAACTTTGCACGTGAACCTTCTCTATGACTTTTTTTTAGCATATGAGCTTTCGAGGATACGATGCAGGTCCCACAGGGCTTCGAAGTAAGCTAGGGGAAGGATAATGAACAGCTCACAGCCTCGATAGATGAGGTGCTTCGCCTTCTCCTGGCTATCAAAACCTCTAATTAATGAGCTGAAGAAATAAGGTTGTCCCTTCGCCCGGTGTATCAACGATGAGATGATGGACGTGTATACGATACAGCAAAAATACTAGTGTAACAAAACCGTGGTATTACCGATACCGGTTCACAATTGCAAAACATTATTAATACCGTATACAACAGTTAATCGATCCACCGTCCACGTAGATAAGATCCACTGTCCACGCGGATAGGGTTTTTATCTTTACTACGTGGTATATCAAGGATCAGCCGCACTCAGCTAAGGACCCTAAGGTAATTTGTAACATATAACCACATACGCAAACCGCCAAGTGAGTTCCCACAATAAGCACTATTTCGGCAATTAAATGCGAGACCTCGAGTCAATCCATATGTCAGCTTACAGGGAAGTTGATTCATGGACCTCGTGTCTAGCATATGCAAAGGGTGCGCACTGTGTCATGTGGATACCTTTTTAATGATATTTGCCAACAGCTGAGTCTTGTCTAATTCTGTAGGGAGATTTGGGACTTCATGATCCACTACTAAATTTAGGTAAGGATGCGAAGATACAGATCTTGAGACAATGGCACGTGTTGCTGCAAATAGCTGATATCTTTCAGCGTGCGACAATCACGACACTATTTTCTTGGCACGAAATGTTAGCAACGTCTCCACGGAGGATACAAAGAGCATGTAAACGTTAGACTTTTGTGTTTCGATGTTAGCGCAATTGGGAAAGCACCAGCTTGGTCTGTTCGCGCTTTTGGTCAGGGCATCTGCCACCAAAGCTAACATTGAAAGCATGCCGAAATCGAATTTTCATATCAATTGAGCAATAAATAAGAGAAATCTAGATTAACAAAATATAAGCCACTATCATAAAACAAAGAACCAAATCATGACGCCAGGTCCCAATTTGTGCACGACTACTATACATCTAAAAGTTGCAATCTAGCCAGTTCTTTATAAATACCCGGTCTGCGAAGTAGCTCCTCATGAGTCCCCCTTTCGACAACCGCACCATCGTGTAGTACGTAGATCTGGTCTGCGTCTTGGATAGCACTCAACTGATGAGCGACACTGATACACGTCCGACCTTGCCGTAACTTCTCGAGAGCCTTTTGTACCATAACTGCAGACTCGGAGTCCAGGGCGGAGGTAGCCTCATCAAGGAGAAGTATTTTTGGATCACGGATCAGGATTCGAGCAATGGCAATGCGTTGCTTTTGTCCACCTGAGAGTAGGACGCCCTTGGTGCCGACCATCGTAGCCATTCCGTCTCTGTAAGAGTCGTTAGCTTTTATATAATGCTTAGAGAAGGTAGCTATTGACGCACGGTAGAGATTGTATAAACTCGTAGATGTTTGCATCTTTGCATGCTTTCATGATACTGTCTTCCGGAACGTGCTGATCTAGCCCTAGCAGAATGTTTTCGCGAATGGTACCCCGGAGCATTGTAGGCTCCTGACTGACTAAGCCAAAAGCGCTGCGGTATTGCGATGCGCTGAAGCTCTTTATATTCTTTCCATCAAGCGTAAGAATCCCTCGCTCTGCCTCGTAGAATCGTTCAAGGAGAGAAATGATGGTACTCTTTCCTGATCCACTGGATCCAACGAGAGCGACATGTTGACCTGGTTCGATGCTAATGTTGACGTCCCGTAGAGCATATTTCGTTGGACGAGTGGGATATCGAAATGAGACATTTTCAAGGGTAATTCTACCTTGAACTTTGTTTAAGCTCAGTGGATCACCTTCTGAGGTCTCGGGTTGTTGCTCGTATATGTTCTTTAAGTTAATAGCCGCTTCTTTGGCGCGGGCCATGTCTGGAGCAAAAGAAAATATCGTTCCGACAGACTGAGTGGCGAACATAATTTCGATAAAACAAACAAATAATTCGAATAAAGTGTACTTGCCGTCTGCGATCAAGTTTCCGCCGTACCAGAAACTCAAAGCGGTGCAGCCGAAAAAAAGCGATTGTGAGAGGGCGTACAGAATGCTGGTGGTTGCTACGGACAGTAGATTCTTTGCAATAATCCCTTGAACTTGTTGACCGTACTCGGTGCAGATCTCTCGTTCTCGAGTCAACGCGGCTACTGTACGTACGTCCGTAACTGCTTCACATGCGTATCCGGCTGATCTTTCGTAGAGGATTTTGGATTGTGACTCGTACCGCGACAGCAAGTAAAATCGAAGAAAGCCACAAGCAATGAGGACAGGAGCCAATGCCACGCATACGAGACCCAGCTTCCATCCAAAAGCAATAGAAACGCAGATGGCTGCAATCATTGTTGTTGCGCCAGTTAGGATGGTGCCAAGAGTTGATCCACTCAAACCCACTAGGTTGACTGTTTGCATTGATATGAATGATACAAGTGACCCAGTTGAATTGTCTTTCTGGTCAAAGAAAGTCATTTTCTGCTTCAGGATGGAGTTAAAGGCTGTCGATCGGGCACGTCGGAGAAGTCGCTCGGAGCAGAAACCTAGGGCAAACCCTTGTGTCCCTTGAATAAGTAAAAGGCCTAAGCCTAATGCCAAATACAGGACTGACCAAAAGTTAACATCGCTACGTAGCTCGGAGTATTCAGTCGGTGGCCTTGCAAGGGCTTCGACGTTCTTCGCGAGAAACACTACATGAGTCGGGGTACCTCCACCTGCGAGGATGCTGCAGCACAACCCCAGGATCAGTAGCTTTGCCTCTGGGCGATTAAGCATCGCTACCATTCGGACAAGGGACAGTAGACTTGGTTGTTCATGCACTGTTTCGTCCATAATCATCTCGGCTTGTTTTTCATTAAGACTAAGGGGCAAAAGATGAACATCTGTGAGGCTCCCGAATCCGAATCGCGATATCGATACATCGTCAGTATTGAGAGAGATAGGAGATATGGAGCCATACTGTTCATCTCCTATATCTTGGCGAATCCGCTGCGCCTCAATGAGACGAAGGTAGGCTCCCTGCTTCTCGACCAGCTCCTCGTGAGTTCCCTCCTCAACTATTTGTCCGTGATCAAGTACAATAATTCGATCTGCTCCTCGAATAGTGGATAACCGATGCGCGACCATAATTGTTGTACGTCCCTCTGCAGCTCTATCAAGCGCCTCCTGAACCAGATGCTCGGAATTACTATCTAACGCCGATGTTGCCTCATCCAAAAGAAGAATCTTCGGGTTCCTGATCACAGCGCGAGCAATTGATATGCGTTGCTTTTGCCCTCCTGAGAGCTGGGATCCTCTTTCTCCTACCCATGTGTCGTACCCATCTGGTAGTGACTGGATGAAAGAGTGGGCATTGGCAGTCTTGGCAGCTTGTATTACCAGCAGCGCTTTGGTCTCGCGTGATGCATTTTCATTGGAAGTTCCAATCAAACCATGCGCAATGTTTTCAAAGATTGTAGTGCTGAAAAGTGATGGCTGTTGGCTGACAAGGGACATTTGCTGTCTTAACCATGACAGGTCGAGCTGGGCTATGTCATGGCCATCCACGCTGATATTGCCGGCTATAGGAGTATAAAAACGTTGAAGAATGTTGATAAATGTACTTTTTCCGGAGCCCGATCGTCCAACGAGCGCGATCGTTTTACCTGCTTCGATATGCAGTGAGACATTCTTCAGCGCCACAGTGTCCGGCCGAGAGGGGTAAATATGTGTAATGTCCTTGAAGTCAATCTGTCCTGATATGGAGTTCAGAATAATTCCGCCATCTTTGAGTGGATCGATTGGCGATTCACGATCGATTGTTCCAAATATTTTCGCGGCGGCAGCAATTCCAGCGGTGATATGCTGTATGTTGGGCGCTACATAGCCTAGAGAGAACGCTCCGATGACGATTGATAAGGTGATGGTTAGGATATCGCCTTGTGTAATCTGCGACTTGACCAACAATCGTGATCCTTCCCAGCAATCGAGCCCAATATTCAGCATGACGATACAGATCAATCCACCAATTGAGACACCAAGGAGGGTCCTGACTTTGCGTCCCCATTTCTCTGATTGTTCAAGGTGATCCTCAAAGCGGTCGCTCAGCTGGTCTCGAGCATTCAGTGATGAGACTATCCTGATATACCCTATTGCTTCCTCTGCTAAGCTAACGGCATAATCAAATTCCTCCTGCGCTCGTTGATTAAATTTGACAATAAAGCGACTGACATTTCCCATCAGCAGCACAATAGCAACCACCGATGAAAATGAGATGAGAGCCAGTCGCCAAGAGTAACCCAATGAGATTACCAGGGCAGTTACAAACGTCCCGACTGAAGTTAACGCAGTGCCAACCTTTTCAGACACGGCTGTTTGCATCAAATGGGTATCAACAGTAATTCGATTGGCGATCTCTCCTGGGCCGAGCTTGTCAAAGAATCCGATATTCTGTCGCAGTACAGCTTGCATATATCTTTCCCGAGTCTTGCCAGTAACGCGTTCACCAACGTAAACGAAGCCAGCTGTGCCGATCAGTACGGTGACGAATTCTCCAATGCCGACGTAAACGAAGTAAAGAGAGTAGCGAGACACATCGTCTTTGAAATCCTGCACTGTGACCCCACCGACAACAAAATCTCTTATTTTCTCTGTGAGACCACCGAGGATGATCTATAGCAGGAATTAGAGTTGATCATCATTGCAGGCAATAGTTGTCTTACAGTCAATCCCGGGACAGCAGCTCCAGCAATCACGCAGCATGCCACGCTGAGCAGAAGTAGCAACCTGTCGGATAGTGTTGCATATCGATAAAGACTAAAGAACCCAATATTGACCTCTGCCGAATCTATTTGCTGTGACAAGATATGACTTTGGTTCTGCGTATTTTCCTCATCCGCAGAGACAACAACGTGCTCTGTTGGTTGAGCTGTAAAGTCTGGAGGATATACCATATTGCTTGTAGTGCTGAAGTTTCATGTTCATAACGTCTATCTTACATTCTTGGATTCAATAATTGTACACTTTCGCGCAGGTTTCCTATGCGAACTACCAGACCCGGTCTAATTGGCTCCGACTACCGGTAGAAACGGAAAAGCCGAAGCAAGTACGTAAGACCCTACTTGCGGTGCAATCTGATCTAGCAGCTGAGGAATTCGCATGAAGCTGTTGCATATTCTCGGGGCTGTGAAGTTTTCGATGGTCGGCCCCTGTCCGGCGTTTGCGTACCGTATCGAAACGATATCGAAAACTATAATTGATTATTCTAGTAAGAGCTAGTACGCATAAATACCACTAGTATGAATAGATACGCACTCCCTTGAAATACACGCAGTACTCCATAAATAATATTGGGGCGTTCTTTGGCTAAAATTACACTGCTCGAATCGTTTTAGGGCTCAGGTCCACCTCAGGCTGCTCAGCTGCCCCTTGTGTGCCGTTTCTTTAACTATATACTGATGGAGTTTCAATAAGGCACCGCTACATAGATGAGCAAGATGTTAGCGATTTCGAAACGTAAACAAACATGACCATTTTGTCAGCGGAGAGAGCTCCATCCCGGAGGATTCTGGCGGTGGTGACAGTCGGGCGATACACTTGTGCTGGTACAGTCCTACTTTCTACCATCTGTTCAGACCCTAATTAACGCTTAAGTGAACAGCCCCTATTCTTGAGATTTGTCGTATTCTTCATGCTCGTGGTCATACCATCGAGTTTGCCTGTCTTGATGGACATCAAGGGCTTGCAACTCCCCATGCCTTCGTGTCCAAGATTCATGTTGTTGGTCGGAACATGACAGTTGAAGAGGACAAAGCCCTATATCGACTGTTTGATGAGTCCGATGCCTCAAATGCGGAAGGCCGCAAAGGCACTTTCCGTGCTCTAATGAAATTTCACAGCTGGTGGCCGGAGACTTATCGAAATCTCAAGGCCCTCGTTTCTGACCCGGCCTATCGCCCCGACTTCATTTTGGCAGACCTTCTCGCTGACGCATGTATCGACATTATGAATGAGTTTGAAATTCCTCTTGCGGTTCACTATCCACAAATGCCGATTCAAATGGCGCCTCAAAAGTATATCCCTGGCATGCCTGGTGCACAGCTTAAGCATTTGAGTAGTGAACATGCCAGCTTGTGGGACCGACTTCAAGAGGAATATCACGTCCTACAACTGATCTTTGCGATGAAAGACTATATCCTGTTTCAAAGGAAGATGCGTCGAGAAATGGGACTCGGCCCTCGCCCACCACCAAGAAAGCCAGACTACTTGGTCCTTGTCAACTCGTTCTTTGGTCTTGAAGTTCCAAAGGATCTTCCTCCACTTATGATACCCATAGGTCCAGTATTGGCCGACACCTTCACGCCACTGGATACTACCCCGGAACTGTTAAACTTCCTCCAGGTCCATAGAAAGGTCATATATGTAGCATTCGGTTCACACGTTGAACTGCCTGCATGGCGTGTTCGCCGGCTGATAAAGGGTTTGGTACAAGCCCTTGAATCAGGCGATATAGATGGGGTTATCTGGGCATGGAAGGATCGTGCCTCAGTCATGAAGGACCTTGAATCTGACCCGAGCTCAATCGATGATGCCAAAGTAGAGTATTCTGCTATTTTGGACAACAGAAATGAGGGATTTAAGATTGTGGGATGGGTTCCCCAGCGCGCGATTCTTGATCATTCAAGCGTTTGCCTCTACCTCTCTCATTGTGGCGCCTCATCCACAATGGAGGCCGTCTACCACGGTGTGCCTGTGGTGGCCATGCCTGTGTACGGAGATCAGCTGGCAAACGGAAAGCGCCTAGAGGCTGCCGGAGTTGGCATCAACATGAATAGAAAGAACTTTACTGCCGAAGAATTGTCCGCAAATATAAAAACACTCGTTCGCGATGAACAGGGCTCGTTCGCACGGAATGTTCTTCGCTTGCAGCGAATAGCCACGGCTAACAGTCGACGGAAATATGTTGCCGCTGATAGGATTGAAGAGGTCATGTACGATGCGGAACTTTTATCTAGTGACGAAGCTGTGGTGAGCCGTCCGATGCACCTGCAAACACCTGACAGCCGCATGTCGTGGTTCAAGGCCAACAACCTTGACCTTTATCTTGTATATATAGCTCTCTTTGCCGTTCCAGTTGGCGCCGTGCGATGGATAAGCAATAACTGGCTGTAGTAGTGATAGATGGTAAAGCTAGGTTATTGGCCTTTCTCCTGCCTAATTTCAGTCTTAGGCCGTATCAATTTTTCCATCTTGAATTTCCTGTCTCTACAAATTATCAGACATAACGTGCGTTGCTCTCGTAGTGTGATACAGTGGCTTATTTGGTTTGAAATGTTTTATTCCCCCGTTATTTCTCTTCTGTGAATGTTCTTTTTATACCAACTAATAACCTCGCCCACTCTGAGAGAGACATAACCAAGATACATCAGTTTATCGACGCGATAAATTTTCAGTTTTCAATTTTGCATCAACACACCAAATACATCTCTTCTCCATACTTAGTTACCGACCATTAAAAGTACATATGGATTTATCAAGTCGCAAGATATACTTTGTAATACATATAAGTGGTATGAAGATCTTGAGTAGATTATGAATTATAATTATAAACCAATCTTCCTCTTTCGACCTGGTCCCCCTTTCTCACCACCATTCGCCGAGTATGATATCGCTTCCCATCAATATTTTCAAAGCCCCAGGTCTGTTCCATTGTCCAACCAGCATCGGAATTCGTAATTACACATTGTAGATGCTGGCCATCGGCATCCTCAGCCCAGCAACTGGCAGAGCCGTCCTTAGTAGTTTCGCCGTTCAAGAACGGGTAGTCCTCATCCGTATGCAAAGCTGAACGCTCCRGCGASGAGCCATAGAGACGTGATTGAGCTAGAATGCAATCAGTAAGGAAGGTACATTGGATGGGAGAGGTGAAGTCTTTACTTTCAGTCTTCCCGTACAAGGGATTCTTCCCAGAAACCGGTTTCCAGTTCAGGTACCGTTTCTCGGTAACACCATTACCACCCACTCCACTGACTTGGATATTGACGACGGGGGTTCCGTCATCATCGGAAGAATGTGAGATGGTGAATTTGGGACTTGCAAGGGAAATGCCTTTGCGCAGTAGCCAGGGAACTCCTTGCTATGGGAAAGTCAGCAGTGTCGGCCACTTAGCAGGATAAATCTTCATACCAACGCGAGCGAACTGTCGACATCGTCCGATAGGGCCTTGTTCTGCTCTTTGTTAACTCGGCTGTCACGGCGGGAATAGTTCGACATACGGGAACAAATTGCCCGGCCAGGGTCTTGAGGGTCATTTCTTCTGGAACTGCCATGGCGAAATATACTTCAAAGAGGCGGAACAAAACTGTATGCAAGATCTCCATGAATTCTAGTAATACGTATTGATGCTAGTCAATTGATCTCGTGAAGGAGCTTCCAGTTACAGTTGTTATATAATCGAAACTTACACGTTGTTCAGTCCTAGCAAAACTCTTTTACATATACTCTGAACACAGTTTCAGGCTACCTAAGTACCTAGGTGCCAGATTCTGACGAACAACTGGATATTGGATTGATTGGATTTTTTTTGGCTCAATTGTGCTGATCTGAAAATAGCACAGCCCTGACCGCATCGCCGMCTGGATCTGAATGGTAAATTTCAAGTTGATACAGTAACAACTAGGGCTGACGTATTGCCAACAATACATGAATTTTACAGTAGGTTATAACGATAATTCCAGCCACCCTTGTCAATTGAAACGCGCTAAAAGAAGTTGGCTCGAAAATTTGACTAAAATAAGCTGATACCAGTGGGGCAACGGCGTTGGCTAAAAGCTTATGCCAGGATCTATACTCCATAGAACGGCTGGCAGTTTAAGTTTTACCGAGACATTTTTTACAATGCAAAACGCAGAAATACATAATGTGGTCTGGTTTGCCTATTGCTTACGACATAGCGTCTCCTCCAAAGCACTGCTCGGCTTTCTAGTGGTCAAAAGGACGCAGCTGAATGGGGTTTCTTGGCTCTACCTCACTCGGAGTGAGTATGCTGAGCCGTGTCGATTATTGCTGTACAGGGGCATCACAGATACTCAATTGGAAGTTTATATCAGGACTCCGGTTTGGAATGTCAACTCTCAGCTTTCGTATAAGCATAACCCAAACCTTTGACTGAGTTCTGGATGCTATCGTTACCATTGTGAACCTGATTTTGATAGTCAACACCTTCTGACCAAGAAACACTCCCATCATGTCATCTACACCAACCCTCGGAGACCTTCAATCTGGCTGTCAGGCTTGGAGAGATGATGTTTTGAACATCTATCACTATGTGCCCTCGCTAGCCGCCGGTGTTGTCTTTACAATCCTCTTTCTACTCTCCGCGGCCGGACACTTGGCCCGCTTCTGGATGGTAAGAGTCATACCTTCTGCCCTTCTTGCTATCGGTGCTATCCTCGAGCTCGTTGGCTGGGCTGCTCGTATCTGGTCCTCAAAGTGCCCTTACAATGACTCAGCTTTCAAGACACAAGTCACCTTACTCGTTATTGGACCGGTGTTCTTTACAGCTGCTATCTATCTCTTCCTCAGCCAATTGATTCGCCACTACGGAGAACAGTACTCCCTGCTGAAGCCCAAGGCGTACCTCTGGACATTCATTACGGCTGATGTGGTGTCCTTGCTTATCCAGGCCGCCGGTGCAGGTATCGCGTCATCTCAATTGAGCAAGCCCGATGGCAGTGCCAAGCATGGTTCAGACGTCGTTGCAGGTGGTATGATTTTTCAGATTGTCGCCATGACCGTATTCGTTGTTTGCTTTGCAGTCTTTCTCAAGCGGATGTATGCTTCCCTTTCGATGAGGGGCATCCGACGCAAGGACAATTTCCTAATTGCCTCCATCATCTTCAGCTTGATCGTTATCTATATTCGAAACATCTTTCGCGCTATCCAGATGAAGCAGGGATTTACCAGCAATCTTTTTATCCATGAACGATACTTTATCGCCCTTGATGGTGTTATGATGTTCCTTGCCGTTGCTGTCTTCAATGTGGTTGATTTTCTTCCTGCCCCTGAGAAATTGGAGCAATTGCCTTCTGGTGGGTCAGAGAGTCAGCCGCACGAGTTGAGGGAGAATGGTGGAAAGTGATTGCGAGAGAAACGATGTGTCATGGAGAAGCTATCTACGTGTAGCTGAAACGATTGTTGAATGGGTGGAAGGAATAAGAAGGATTACATGGTCGGGGCAGTGGGCTGTGGCGTGATGTCAGACGTTGGTGACGGCTGGTGGGATGGGTTGGTTCTCAGTAATGAGTGGATAGTCTTTACTGTATGACTCTGAAGTGTTGGTTGTGATCCACCATAATGGACACGGGATCCTCGCGGTGAGGCGTTGAATGAGTAGTAGAAATTGATAGCAGTACGAGATGATAACAAAAAGCAGTGTGTTTCATATTACTAGCGGTAAAACATGGTATTAACGGAGCTAGTAAGTACTAGTGCTGATAATCATTTACCGGCCCGTATTTTAAAACCTTAATCTAAATTGACATCCGACACGCAGCCCCATTTGATACGCCACTCTAGACTAGTACGTAGCAGGTTACCTTTAACTACATAGTAAGAGTTTTTCACGAAGTTTTGAAAGAGTTTCCATCTGTGGAAACCCACACGCGATCTAGTATTCCAACAGGAGTTAATACGAGGAAAGCTTTGCACGGATTGGATAAACTTTACACTTTATGTAATGGAACAGAGTACGGCGTAGCTTAGATGGCGTGTTTTGTTACACATTGTCTTGGGCTGGCGTAAATGAGCTGCATTGCCTGTTGAAGCGTATCGCTAGATTAAACCCACGTATCTGATACTGCGTACTCGGAACTATAATTAGCTCGTATTTGGGTCTATTTAAGTTAGAATTTAGGCTTATGTCAGAGCTGAAGCACGTAATTTTTTAAGGTTGGTAACATGCGACAATTGGTTAGCCGCAATACAGGGCGTCGCGGTCTTGGCAATATGGAAATATTGATGCGCTGTATAGGAAAATCTTGACTGATGAAAAATCAAAGATTTTAGCTCGAGAGCCGAGCTAATTTAGTTCATTCAGCGAGGTGGACTTCATCCATGTGGTGGAGGACTACTCCGTGCACGAAACGACAAAGAAAGCTATGGCTAGAGTTGTGTAAAGCCAGTCACCCACAATGAAGGGCTGATAATCTCACTTTTCTCAACGAAGCTTTAAATGAACAGAGAACCCCGTAGATAGTATGTATAGACTACAACTTACGCTGCAACAGCTTTTCCTTACCCCATCGTTACTTAAGATACCCCAAGATTTGTTTTGATTGTACGAATATATCACTGCTTTTTTTCTTTCTTTTTTCCCTTTATTCAAGATGCCGCTCATGATCAGTCCAGAGCCGGCAGGTGATGACATCGCCGTCATCGGTCTTGCCTGTCGTTTTCCTGGGGAGGCCTCTGGGCCTCAAGAATTCTGGAACCTCCTGTGCAAAGGACGATGTATGTACCCCTCCACAAAGCTGTATGTGTGCCATGAAGGCATGACTAATAGGACTCTTCTCCAGCCGCCTACACATCCGCCTCAAAACGGTGGAACGTCGACGCTTTCCACCACTCCGAACGTGGACGCCTGGGAACCAGTGTAGCCCGCGGTGGCCACTTTCTTGAACAAGATCTAGCAGCCTTTGATGCCGCCTTCTTTAATATTAGCCAAAATGAAGCTTCATCGATGGACCCACAGCAGCGACTTACGCTCGAAGTTTCCTACGAAGCATTCGAGAATGCTGGTGTTCCCATTGATAAACTTTCCAACAGTCAGACGGGTTGTTATATGGGTGGCTTCACAAGTGATTGGAGAGAGGCCATGACTCGCGATGCGGAGGCCGCTCCTATGTATACTGGTACTGGTGTCGGGTCAGAGTTCATATCAAATCGTGTCTCGTGGTTCTTCAACATGAAGGGACCGAGCTTTACACTGAATACGGCATGCTCGTCTAGTTTGGTGGCGTTTCACCTTGCTTGTCAGAGCTTGAGGACACGGGAGTCCAACATGGCAATTGCGGGGGGCGTTAGTGTGCACCTCAATCCTGATTTTTTCATGTATCTCTCCAATCAAGGGTTCTTGGGTCAAGAGGGTCGGTCAAAGACCTTTGATGCAAAAGGAGATGGATATGGTCGTGGCGAAGGGTGTGGAGTTGTTGTTCTAAAACGCGTGGAGGATGCCATCCGAGATGGAGACAACATTAGAGCCATTGTTCGTGGTACTGGAGTGAATCAGGATGGCAAGACGAAGGGCATTACACTCCCTAACGCGGTTGCTCAAGCTGAGCTAATTCGCTCTACATACGCCTCGGCGGGGTTGAATTTAGGGGACACCCAGTACTTCGAAGCCCATGTAAGTATAAAAAGACATGCCCATACTCAGTGCCATTGCTAATAGAAAGCGTAGGGCACAGGAACGCAAGCCGGCGATCCTACCGAGTTGGAAGCCGTTTCACTCACCATCGGCGCTGCCCTCCCAGCAGATAAAAAAATTCTTGTGGGATCAGTCAAGCCGAACGTAAGTGCTATCTTCGTAAATTATTGCAATACACGACTGACTAGTGACCATAGATTGGCCACGTCGAAGCCAGTGCGGGAATCGCAGGTGTGATTAAAGGAGTTCTGGCTCTGGAGAACGGAGTCATTCCACCAAATATTCTCTTCAACACTCCCAATCCAAAGATTCAATTCGAGAAATGGAGGGTTCAAGTTCCACTTGCACTCACTGCCTGGCCGAGTGATGGCGTCAGACGAATGAGTGTTAACTCTTTTGGTGCCGGAGGTACAAATGCGCATGCAGTACTAGATGGTGCTGAGTATTACTTGCGTGAGAGGGGGTACCAGCTCACTGGTACCCAAGATATTAGACCGGGTACCAAGAGAACCCCTCATGCACCCCGACTGTTTGCTATTAGCTCTCATGATCAAGATGGTCTGGCGCGCCAGAGGGAGTCTTTGGCCAAATTCATAAAGTCACAGGTGGCAAACATTCCCTCCGCCAAAAAGGACATCTACCTCGATCGTCTTGCTTATACCTTGAGTGAGCGCCGGTCTACTCTGCCGTGGAAGTCCTTTGCTGTTGCAGCTGATGCAGATCAGCTCGTAGAGGAGCTTCAAGCCCCTATGCCGCCATCCGGCCGAACAAAAGAAGGGCTTCGTCTAGGTTTTATTTTCACAGGTCAAGGCGCGCAGTGGGCGCAAATGGGCATGGAGCTTCGTCAATATGATGTCTTCCAGTCTTCCCTCGAGAGCGCCGAGAGATTCTTCAAAGAGAAGTTGAAGTGCCCTTGGTCGGTGATTGAGGAGATGGAACGTGAAGAAGGCGACTCCCATATTAATTCACCGGAATTCAGCCAGGCCTTGTGCACAGTCCTTCAAGTGGCTATCGTTGACCTCTTGTCTTCTTGGGGCATAACTCCTGTAGCAGTCGCAGGTCACTCGAGTGGTGAGATTGGAGCAGCATACTGCTTAGGAGCACTGACTCGTGAGGATGCGTGGTCAGCTGCTTATTGGAGAGGGATACTTTCATCTCAAATCCCTACACTGAATCCTAATCTCAAGGGTTGCATGATCGCGGTTGGTCTGTCAGAGGATGAGGCCGAGAAATATATCGCGCGTGTTTCGAAAGGCGTCATTTCTGTTGCCTGTGTGAACTCTCCCTCAAGCGTCACTGTCTCTGGCGACACAACCGGAGTCGACGAACTTCAGGAACTTCTGCGGGAGGACGGTGTATTTGAGCGAAAGCTCAAGGTTGGTGTTGCTTATCACTCTAGCCACATGCAGACTATTGCTGCTCAGTACCTCGAGGCTATCAGTGACATCGAAACCGCAGACAGTCATCCGGATCGAAGAATGTACTCTAGCGTTTCCGGGGACTTCGTTGAAGCCGACGAACTGGGCCCCATGTACTGGGTCCGAAACTTGACAAACCCTGTACGATTCTCTGATGCTTTGGAGAGCCTTGTCCTACCGATAGACGATGAATCCGGAGAGCGACAGAAGACGGCTGCTGTCGATATCCTGATTGAGATTGGTCCTCATTCTGCCCTTGGAGGACCTGTCAAACAGATCCTTAAGGAGATCGGTGTCAAAGATGTCGAGTACCAATCTATCCTGTCGCGAGGCAAGTCAGCAGTGCAAACCGCACTCCGATGTATCGGTACCTTGTCTGTCCGAGGTGTTCCTGTAGAGATCAAGGAGGCCAATCAGTATCATTATTCTGCAACGAAATTGACACCCCTGCATAACCTCCCCTCATACGCCTGGAACCACACTCGCACCTTCTGGGCCGAGCCACGCGTCAACCGGGAGTACCGCTTTAGGGAGCACCCCCGTTACAGTCTTGTTGGAGCTCCTTTACCTCGCATGAGCGAGAATGAGCGTGACTGGAAAGGCATGCTCCGCATTTCTGAAGAGCCTTGGATCCGTGACCATCGCATCCAGAACCTTGTCTTGTACCCGGCAGCAGGGTATATTGCTATGGCTATTGAAGGTGCGCGGCAACTTGCCGACAAGAGCCGAGAAATCTCAGCATTCAAATTGCGAGATATCCAGATTGGGGCGGCTGCCACAGTCACAGATGACGCAGATCTTGAAGCCATGCTTCACATGCGCCCACACGCCAATGGTACTAGAGATAAGGCATTCTCGTGGTGGGAATTCTCTATCAGTACCTGTGCCCCTGGCCAGGAGCTAAGACAGAACTGTGCCGGTCTACTGCTTATGGAGTACAAGTCAGATGAAGGATCGGCTATGAGCATTGAAAATGAAATTGCAGCCATCGCAGCTGCAGAGGAGTATGCTGATATCAAAGCTTCCTGTACCGCTCAGGAGAAACCTGCCAAGTTTTACGAGGATCTCGCTTCACTAGGGTTGAACTACGGGCCTACCTTCAGCCTAGTGACGGAAATTCGCCTCGGTAAAGGTGTTTCTTGCTGCACCGTAGAGGTCGCTGATCATGGGTCCAAAGTCATTCCCCCAGCCTCGGTCAAGCGCCCGTACATCATTCACCCTACCACGCTTGACGCCATGTTCCATGCTGTCTTTGCGGCTTTGAAGGGGCCAGGTGGAGTTCTCAAGGGCGCAATGGTTCCCAAATCAATCGATCAGATTACTATTGCTGCCGACATTGATATCGCAGAGAAATCACTATTCCATGGGTTTGCCACTGCGTCCAAGCATGGATTCAAAGAGATCATGTCAGATGTGCATATGTTCGACAGCAGTATGAGCAATCATTCAGTCTCTATTACGGGCTTCTGTTGTGCCGATGTCGCTAGTAGCGTCGAATTGACCGATGCTACCGCTGACGCTGTCAATTTATGTACCACTAGTACTTGGCTACCAGCAACTGAGTTGCTGTCTTCAGAACAACTTCAGAAAGTGGTTGAAGACTTGGCTGCAAGCGCCGATGTGTATGCCCTCTCAACGGCGTATAATGAAGAGGTGGAGAAGGTTGAATCTCGCTCAATGGTTCACCAGGTAAGTGAAAGAATCATCGCGACTGAGTATAAAAGTCAAGACTGATTCGTATTCCAGATCATCAAATTAATTGCACAAACAAAGCCAGAGAGCACAATCGTGGAGATTGGTCAGATTGGCCTACCGTTGCTGACTGGCATTTCGGCAAGTAATATCGGATCTCCTCTGAACTATACGGTGGCAAGTGGCAATGGGGAATGGTTGAAGGAGGTAGAGGAAAACCTCAAGGATTCCAGCTTGAGTCCACAGTTCACCTTGCTTGACGCAGGAAAAGATTTACCACGCAGCAGCTTCGACATTGCGATGTCCACTTTAATCTCGGAACACTTGAATGAACTTGACGCCGTCCTTAAGCGATTGAGCAGCATTGCTAAGCCAGGGGCAAAGGTCTTCGTTATTGATGATGTACCCAGTGAATCTCTTGACCGACATGCTGTCTTCCTGAAGCATGGCCTCTCAGTTGACTTCATCACTACTTCCAGGCAAACAAATCTCACCGTTGCATCAGTGCCTGCTAGCAATGCCAACGGAATAGTCACTGATGAAATTATTATCCTGGAGCCAGCCATTCCTTCGTCTATTTCAAACACTATCGCCACACAAATCACCGCGCAACTAGATGCTGCGTCGATTCGCTCAAAGCGCACCACTTTACAAGCACCGCTGGAAGAGTTGAAGGGGAAACGTTGCATCTCGCTCATCGAAGCAGATACTTCCTTCTTAGAAGATCTTTCCGAATCAGGCTTTGAAAGCCTGAAGAAAATCCTTTTAGAAACATCTAGCCTTGTATGGTTTGTTGGTGTCGATGGTCCTGCGGCATCTCTCATTGCCGGTCTTGCACGAACAGCTCGCAATGAGATTGCTGGTCTAGAGCTTCGTACCTTGCAGGCACCCCCCGGCTCGTTTAGATCGTATGAAAATTTGGCTTCGGCCATAGTCAAGGTCGCTACATCCTCTATTCGTGACAACGAGCTGCGAATCAAAGATGGAATACTGCAAATTAGTCGTCTTCTTGAAGATAATGGGTTGAGTGGCGCCATCGAGGGGCTTCAGAGAGGGGAAAAAGTCCTCACACCTCTGTCTCAGACAGTGCGTCCCCAAAAACTTGTTGTTCAGAACCCCGGTCTACTTGATTCTCTGTGCTTTGAGTTGGATGAAAGTCTAGAAAGTGAGATTGCCGATGGCGAAATTGAGATTGAGGTTCGTGCTAGTGGTGTCAAGTATGTTTTCCAAAATTTCCTTCCTGTACTCAGACATACTAAGTTGATTCCTAGCTTCCGTGATGTGATGACTGCTATGGGTCAGATTCCCGACGAGACAGTCGGACTGGAGGCCAGCGGCGTGGTACGTCGAATTGGAAAGAACGTGACGCGCTTCCAGATTGGTGATAGAGTCTGCTGCCTGGCTCACGCTGCTCATAAACCTCTGATCCGAGTTCCTGTTGTACAATGCGAGCGCATTCCCGAGCATCTCTCCTTCGAAGAGGGAGCCACTCTGCCCATGGTGCATTATACGGCATACCACGCTTTGGTCAACCTAGCTCGTATCAGAAAAGGACAGACCGTTTTGATTCATGCTGCTGCAGGTGGTGTTGGACAGGCTGCCATTCAAGTTGCTCAGCATTTCGGCGCAGAGGTCTTTGCCACCGTCGGATCTGATGCAAAGAAAACTCTCATCAAAGACCTGTACGGAATCCAAGATGATCATATCTTCAACTCGCGAGACATCAGTTTTGTCAAGGGGTTAATGCGAATGACCAAGGGCCGGGGTGTTGACTGTGTGCTTAACTCTTTATCTGGTGAGATGCTCAGACAAACGTGGTACTGCCTGGCGCCATTTGGTGTCTTTGTTGAGATTGGTATGAAAGATATCCTTAGCAACACAGGCCTAGATATGCTTCCCTTCAAGAAGCATGCAACCTTCTGCTTCTTCAATCTAGAAAACATTGCCACGATTAACCCGCAGCTCATCGAAGAGATTGGGAAAGGTGTTTTTGGGCTTCTACAAAAGGGTTTCTTGAAACCCGTTGCTCCAGTGACTGTTTACCCTGTCTCCCAGATGGAGAGCGCATTCCGTTTGATGCAGGCCGGTCGTCATCAAGGTAAATTGGTCCTCTCTTACAGCCCTGAGGACGTTGTACCTATGCTCCGACGTGCAGATGATGCGCTACGACTCAACCCCAATGCGACATATGTCCTTGTCGGAGGATTTGGTGGTCTCGGACGCAGCTTGTTACGCATGTTCGCTGCGAGCGGCGCCCGACAACTGGCAGTCTTCTCCCGATCTGGTGCTACTTCGGCCGCGGCTCAAATTTGCGTCGCTGAAATTGAACAACTTGGTACAAAGGTTCAGGTGTACCAGTGCGATGTTGCTAGTGAGGCAGCTGTCAAGGAGGCCGTTAAGCATATGAAGACCAACCTTCCTCCCATCAGAGGTGTAATCCAGGGAGCAATGGTCCTCCGCGATGTACTCTTCGAGCAAATGACCTATCAGCAATGGATTGAGTCAACACGGCCCAAGGTGCAAGGCACATGGAACCTTCACCAATTCTTGCCAAACGATATGGACTTTTTCATTACTCTTAGTTCATTTGCCGGTGTGTTCGGTAATCAGGGACAAGCCAATTATGCAGCGGCCGGTGCGTACGAAGATGCTTTGGCATATTACCGTCGCAGCCAAGGACTCAAGGCAGTGACTATTGACTTGGGAGTCATGCGCGATTCAGGCGTGTTGGCCGAGCAAGGCACAACAGCTAATCTGAAGGACTTTGAGCCATTCGCTATTAGTGATGCAACATTCCATGCAATGATAAAGAAGGTCATCGTCGATGAAGTCTCCGGTGTATCTACTCCCGCCCAGATCATCACCGGTATGCCGACAGGGAGAAGTATACAAGCTGCCGGTATTTCGCGACCCTACTTCTTTGATGATGCTCGGTTTGCCATCTTGAGTTTGGCAGGCGAACAGGGCGAAGAGGGCGCCGGAGGKGAGGTCTCAATCGAGGCACAAATCTCACGAGTCGCATCTCGCGAAGAGGCGGTACCCTTAGTTCAGGAAGCCCTCATCAACCGGGTTGCCAAATTCCTACAGACATCGCCATCAGAAATTGACGCCAGTAAGCCGCTGTATCATTATGGCGTGGACTCGCTAGCGGCGGTCGAGATGCGCAATTGGGTATTTCGAGAGATCAAATCGGACATCTCGCTGCTGGAAGTCATGTCAGCCAGTCCTATCAGCAAACTTTCACAAGATATTGCCATGAGGAGCAAGGCTATTGTGGCGTGATTAGAATATGTATATAATTAATAAGCACATAATCCAAGTAGAGCATTTGAAATGTTTTTTAAAGCAACAATTATTCCACTAACATCCCCATCAAGCCGCCTCGACTCACCACATGAAGTGAGTCGAACGAGTTAAGTCCCTCATCGTCGACGATAACACGACCGAGAACAGCGTCTTCTGCATTGGTGAACCAAAAATATCCTAATGGCTCTAGATCGCCTGACCTCACCCACGTAATATCATATCGACCTGCTTCGCTGCGTGATATGGGGGTCTCCGATATCACTGGGGGCCGTTCTCCCGACCATAAATGTACCACAGCAAGTGTAGTATTTGCGGTGGTGATTAGCAACTCTTGATTTTTCGGGTGCCATGACATATTTTTGACATTGTGTTCGTGTACAAGCGCTGTTTCAAGAGCGGGTGGCGTGGTCATAGCCCATATCCATACAATGTTGGGCCGTGTCTGGTCTATAGCGGCTAAGAATTCCCCATATGGTGAGAATTCAAGCAATGATACACCACGTGGGAGCTGGGAAGTAGAATCACTAGTAGTAATGAAGGCAGATAACGATGCTGCTTCAGCGTATTCGAGCTTGCCGTCGGGAGACATGCGTTCTCGCCAGACTCGGGGGGATTCGGCGTTGATGTGAAAGTTGTGTGATATTGTGGTGGAGCATGAAAACTGTCATCATATTTAGCATGGGAATTGTTTGTTAAAACATTGTAGGAGAGGTCGCATACTGTACGAGTATTGAGTAGATCCACCGTTCCGTCGTATTTTCCAACCGCCAGAACATTGCTGTTCTGTTGTCGTGGTTTCAACGGTGCCCATTCTAAACATTTGATGCCAAGATCGTGTGTATTTTCTATATCGTTTCTTCCGGTATAAGTACGAAAGTGCTGTCCATCAGCCGTGTAGACAAGCAGCTTTGTACCATTACTAGCTGCGTCCCAGATTGCAATCCATCTGCCATCCGGACTCCATTTTAAGCCTTGCGCATCCACAGTTGGCAGATTGACTTTAGAGATTGTCTCGTAAGAATAAGCTTCATGAACGGTCAGCAAGTCACTGGCTTCCGGCTTGAGTAATATTGCAAGCTGTTTAGTTTGCGGGCGATAGCCATGTCCCTGGCTGGTGGGACTGCAGAACTTAGGTAACTTGATTATCAGACTAGAAGCCGTCTCCAAATTGAAGATGGTCACTTTCGAGCTCCAGGCATGAAATAAAATTGCTTCGTCATCGTTAGCACCAAAGTCGATGGCAGTCACGTTTGGTTCAATGTTTTCAATATCAGCATGCCATTCTAGAGAGTTAAGTTGCCAGACTGATATTCGGCTGCTAGTTGCACACAATAGGCGCTGGTGTGAAACGAGATCTAATGGGCCTTCGTCATCTGTTTGGATTCGAGTTCCCACGTCATCAGCCGTTGAGTTTGACGGTGATACTTTGACGAACTTGAGCTGGGAAGCAAGAGGCTCTTGTAGTTTGATGGATCGAAGCAATCGTGTCCCTTCTATAGGTGTAGCAGAGTGCACTGAAATCTCCTTTCCATGTACACGTACGACATGGTCTCCATCTCGGGAAACGGTCACTATCGTTGGACCTGTATGGGATCGCGTCAACCATGTATCAAACGCGTGGGGATCGACTCGTTTCTGATGCGGCTCTCTTCTGCTTTTACTGACCTCCATTTGTTCCCGGAAAAGCCATATAGGCCTACTCGCTGAATCCACCAACCACTAAGATTTTTCAGTTTGGTAGAAGGCCTATAGAAAACCTCAACTCAAGTTTTAAGAAGGGCGGAGATTGGCTGGCAGCTTTAAATGAGCAATCCTTTACCACTCAATCTGCATGCAGTGGAACAAATTATACTTGTGTATTCATGAACTTCGTCCAACAAAACAATTGCAATATGTAGACTGTGAACAATCAGAGTAGTTCGAAGAGAAGTTGTTGATTGCGTGCCTTGGTGCCTGAACCATACAAAAAACAATGCGGCGATAAGATAAGCCGGGCCGTCTTTCTTCCGTGCCGAATAGAGTCAGAAAGAAAGAAAGACTAGAAAAATTATTCGACCAGTCCACGCTCAACCTAAAGCAACAAATCCTAAGATCTTGGGGTTTCTAGTCGATAGACGAAAGTTTTCAAAATAGGTCTTCTCAATTTCAGAGCTCCCTATCGGGGACAGAAGCTCTTCCGACACTGGGTTGGCTCGATATTCAAAATGTCGCAACAGACAGCCGAAATGTCTACAGCAAGCGCGCCTGAGAGCAGGCCTGCAAAATTGACGGGGAGGGAGTTTTATAAGAGCATCGGAAGCCCGAAATATATCGTGGCTCCCATGGTGGAACGATCGGAATTCGTGCGCATCCCCATGGACTTCTGCCATTAACTGACAAATCACTAACGCTATCGTTTCTCCGTAGGCCTGGAGAATGCTTACACGTTCTTTCATGGAAAAGGACCAACCACAGCGCGTCCTCGCATACTCGCCCATGTTCCACGCCAGATTATTTAAAGAAAGCGATGGTCATCGCGCGCAGTGCATACAGCCCATGCGCCATGACGATCAAACCGACACCGATGTACCATTCCTCGACGGCAACCCAGCCATTGACCGACCTCTCTTTGTCCAATTCTGCGCAAACGATCCTAATGATTTCCTCGAAGCCGCGCGTTTAGCTGCGCCGTACTGTGATGCGGTTGATCTCAATCTTGGATGTCCTCAGGGCATTGCGCGCAAGGGACACTACGGTGCTTTTCTGCAGGAAGACTGGGATTTGATTTATAAATTGATCAACAAGCTGCATACTGAGCTACCTGTACCGGTTACGGCCAAGTTTCGTATTCAGGAGACCAAAGAGAAGACACTGGAGTATGCTAAAATGATACTTTCGGCCGGTGCCAGTATAATCACGGTTCACGGACGACGACGCGAGCAAAAGGGACACAACACTGGAGTTGCGGATTGGAGCTATATCAGATATTTAAGGGACAATCTTCCTCCGGAAACGGTCATTTTCGCGAATGGAAATATCCTAGGCCAAGGGGACATTGAACGTTGCCTAGAAGCTACGGGAGCCGATGGAGTCATGAGCGCCGAAGGAAATCTATCGGATCCTACTATTTTCGGCAAGGTGCCAGAAATCGGACAGGAAGGACGTGAATACTGGCGCGGCCGCGATGGGAGAGGAGGTTATCGCGTGGATGCAGTCTTTAGACGGTATCTCAATATTATCCATGACTACGTTCTCCGCAATCCTGTGCCAGAGCGCAAACCGCTTTTCTTACCGTCAGATCCAGTTGACAATACCCCCGAACAAACCAAAAATACACAAAACGGCACGGAAAACAGCGAGCATATCAATGGCAAGAGGAAAGCTGAAGACGATGGCCATGAAAAAGCGACTGAACCACCTAGCAAGAAGCAAAAGCGCAACAATAATGTGAGGGTGTCAGATCCCAATCTTACCGCCATGCAAGGCCATTTATTCCAGCTTCTGCGTTCCTTGGTTAAAGAACATACTCATATTCGCGATATGCTTGCTAGGACACGAGCCGGCGATATTGCCAGGTTTGAGCAGATCTTAAGCATGGTCGAGGATGTCGTCAAAGAAGGATTATTAGCATACGAAAAGAACCCAGAAGCATTCGATAAGAAGCCCCAGGATGCAGAGAATCTCCAAGGATCTCAAGCCACGATTGCGGAGTATGGTCGTCCATGGTGGGTATGTCAGCCATATGTTCGTCCTTTGCCGGAGGAAGCTATAGCGAAGGGAGCGATGCGAGTGAGCAAGAAGGATCAGAAAAAGGCAGCGGAGGCGGCTGAAGCTGCTGCTCATTCTGTCTTTTCCAAGACTGAGGCCACACCTTCTGCGATCTCTACGTAGGAAGACTGCTTTGATAACGAATAGATACGAGTACATAGATCCTTCATTCATACATAGCATATACATAGCATACATGTTTATTATTACCCGATACCCAACATACCATTAATGATCTCTTTCTTCCCGATCATCAATTCCACTAATATCCCCACTTCCACGACTTTAAAATACTAAAATTAGAAATATTTTGACAAAACAACTCAACCAATCGTTCCTATTCCTACCCTGTTCAAGAATTCCCGGACATTTCAACGATGCATCTTTGGTGTTGCTACACAATAAAAGTATCCAGCAAGTAGACTCTTGCAATCCCTACCCACCGCAGGATTCCATCTCTCAAACGCCTGAAGAGTGAAAACGGAACCTTGTGCCTCATACTTTTGCACGATCAAAACACAGGTATCTCCTGGCTGTGCCTCGTAGTACTCTGTGCAATCAGTCGCAATACCAGGTTGAGTAGGTTCAGGTACGTTAGTAGGTGGTGGTTGAGATGTTGCGGTCGTGCTGGTTGAGGAAGTTGTTGTTGTGGTATCTTGATTATTATTTAGCAACCTCTTTGGTCTTTTGCATTTGATTGAGTGAGATGGAGTGGAATACCTGAGACTCCTACGCAGACATAGTAACCGGCCAGGAGAACCTGACAATCAGAACCAACTGCTGGGTTCCAACTGTAGAACTGGAACAGTGTAATGGCATGTTGATAGGCAACGCCTATGCATGTGTCATTGGTAATGACCTTGTAGTAATTATTACCTGATGTAAAGACCCGGGTTAGTAGTTTGCTTGTTAGACAAGTCATTTATTTGACTCGAGTTGAATAACGGGTATGCAAACTCACAATCACTTGCGATCCCACTCTGTGTTGGACTAGGAACAGGCTCTGCTCTTGCCAGAAGGCCGGATGCTGCGGTAGGTTGCGCAGCAAGGCTTGGTGGAGCATCAGAAATACCTACACAGACATAATATCCCTCAAGTAACTCGGAACAATCTGGTTCCACGGCACTTGACGAAAAGACGCAAAAGCATTTAGCTAACCGCCAGATGGTTGTCAGGGGCAGTCCAGAACTTACGGATTCCAAGCGTAGAACTTCCTCAGCGTAAGCCTATTAAACTTCTCAACGATTGTGTCGCAATAATCGCCTCTCTGTACGCGGTAATAGGCATCGCATGTTGAGATGAGTCCCGGCTGTGTTGGAGACGGCGTAGCTGCGGCTCTTCCTGTGGCGAGGATGTTTTCAAGCAAGGTCTCTTGAAAGATTCTTGCGGTTGCTACTCCTGCGAGAAGGCAGGAGAGGAGTACTCTTCCCAACAACATTGGAAAAGTCGACGATCGAATATTTCTAGCTAGCCACTTTTAGTTGATGTATGGTTTACTGTATGGTTAGAACGTTGATTTTGATTCCTTAGAAATCAATTCAGAAGGGCAGTCGAAGGCTTTTATCTTAGATACCTGGTAAAGGATAGCATCGAAAAGCGCTCATCAAACAAGCACGCTGGTGACATCTATGCAGTGCTACCATAGACGATAATCGCATTTCTTTCCAATGTAAGACGTTGGTGTATAGATGTGTTATTGATTACATTGCCCATAATGGACTATCAAAACTTTGTGTTGCGCAAATGTGAAAGCATAAGATATTCTTGTCGCTTCGTGTGCCCCCAAAGACTTCAGCAGGCGCATGGCTCATATCTAGAATCCGAACATCAAGAGAGCAGTGAGCATTTTTGTTTCCTGTCTTACGCACGACCCACGATACCCGCCTTCCTTCTTGTAGTTCCGGAATATCCTATCTATCATCAAGTGTCCTCTGGTCAAGTCATCAGGGGTTGATTTTCTAGTTGTCTCAGGTACTATGGTCCTCTGCAAATGCATCGTTGTACTTACGTGCTGCAACGTTTCCCCTGTGCCACATTTTAGTCATAGCATTTGACACATGATACGGCAAAGCGCATCTCCAGATGTCCATGTGTCTCATCTCTCCACAGTGTGATAAAAATGATGGAAGTATGTTACTCATCATATCCGTGGTTTGACAATCGTCTGAGACACTGTGAGGACGATGCTGGAAACTGCCCTAAATCTGGCTTCGTAGCGCATGAAAATTGTCCTTTCAGAAAAAGAATTGAATATTTTACATTCTTGGTAAGAGATACGCGTAAATCTTTGTTCCACTTGAGAAGCATCCGACGTCTTGTATTTGTCGTATCGCTCTATGTTCTCCGTCATGTTGGATGCGATGATTGAAGGACATGTAGAGGACGACTTCTGTCAAAAGTCTAAATTACTATAAAATATGCTACATTGGCGTTGATACATCTAAGAATAACCTGAGTAACCTAAGTCATTTTGTAAATTTGAGTCTAAGTCTGAGTACATTCAAAAGTAACAAGAAGAAAACTGCTGAAGAAGACATTCCGATCGATCTGAATGTCCCAAACGAATGGCTGGAAAAGGCGGGACCATCGAGATCGCCACGTCAACATAATACAAATGTCATACACTAAATAGGATGGAAATTGTTGCTCTTTGTATAATTCGGATTTCAAAGTTGATAGATTTCACACAGAATATCAAGATACCAGAGCTGGAGGCCGTTTTCACAGTGCTTGATTAGAAAATGGCTTCGGCACGTGCTGGGTTTGCCCTAGTTACTCCTGCCTCCCGTGGCATAGGCTTTGCCCTGGCACGACAACTTCTCGTCCATACAGATCTTCCAGTATGTGCGACAGCGCGGAGGGACTGTAATACGGTACATGATAAACTTGTTGAATCTGTTAGCTCAAAGCGAAATGCGGCGAAGAGGTTGACAGTTCTTGAGGCTGACGTCACGAGTAAGCTTGATCCTTCAAAACATAACTTCAATTGTGTTGTGTTCAAATGTTTTGAGACCGGGTGGATTTCAATCAATAACATGTCATAAGATGAGTCAAGCATATCTGAATTAGCTTCGCGCCTTCGCGAAGAGTACAGAGGTATCCCACTACGGCTAGCCCTCACTATACCGGGCATACTTCACGTGGAAAAATCACCAAGTCAAGTCAACTACGAAGATGCCCTTGAATGTTTCAAGGTCAACTCTTTAGGACCGCTATTATTGATGAAACACCTTAACACGTTCCTGCCAACAAAATCCGCTCAGCCATTCTCCACAGATTCTTCTTTGGCATCAGAAGAAGAACCTCCTTTCAAATTTCCTTCACACGCTATCTACGCCATGATGGCAGCACGCGTAGGATCCATATCCGACAATTCACTAGGCGGCTGGTACTCATACCGTGCCAGCAAATCAGCCGTCTTCCAACTCGCCAAAACGTTTGATCTGTATCTGAGGACGCGCAGCGGAGAGAAAGCTTTGGCGGTAGCCCTACATCCGGGCACGGTGCGAACAGATTTTACGCGCGATTATTGGAAGTCTAGTAAGCATGTGTTGGATCCGGATGATGCTGCGGTGAAGTTATTGCAAGTTCTTTGTGGGATCCCTCCGGGGCTGAAGGATGGGAGAGGGCGGTGTTGGGATTGGAAAGGGGAAGAGGTATTGCCATGAAAATTAAAGCTGTTCTTTTGCCCTAATCACGTCAAAAATATGAATATCTCGTAAATTTTAAACATTTGTGTGCAACAACACAGCGAAGAAATCGATGTAGGATGTATGGCGCTATTCCCGATACGGTAACCAGCTGGTCTGACGATGCTCGGAATATCCATCTTGGGCAATTTCAGGACGAGATCTCGGTAAAATGTATCTGAAAATAGAAATATTCTATGTTTAAATGTCTCTTCTCGGACACAAGACGGATTTTGAATGGATTTAAATTCCAGTGTAAACGTCTAAAGTCCGCTTTCTCCTGCCAATGTCCCTCCTTCCATGAAAAGGTAGATAAAGATGGGAGATATAAGTAGCAAGCATTTCCCACTGCCTGGTTCTGGTATGATCATAAGTGTCAAATTGATTTAGTCTAATTTAGCAACCATGAATTCACCAGCTCAACACTCTCTTGCCGGAAAACCCATTGGCCTTAATGGCCTTGGACTAATGCGTAAGTCAAACCATGTATTCGTTTTTTATGGCGTCTCTTTTTCTCCATTTTCATCAGGTACATTACCTTGTATGACAATATATTAAGGAAACAACAGGTCTGTCATGGCACATCGCACCACTCCCCGACTCCCAAACGTTCCCTATCCTCAAAACTGCCCTCACAGCCGGCATGACCGTCTGGAACGGCGCAGACTTTTACGGTACACCGGAAAACAACTCCTTGCATCTAATCAACCGCTACCTGACCGCCCATCCCGAAGATGCCGATAAATTCGTGCTATGTATCAAAAGCGGTCTTCTTGATCATGCAACATTCAAAATGGATTGTTCACCGGAAGGACTGCGCGTATTTGCGCATCGGTCACTAGAAATTTTGAGGGGAACTTTGACCAAAATAGATATCTTTGGGCTTTCACGTGTTGATCCTAATGTTCCTGTGGAAGAGAGCGTGAAAGCGCTTGCGCAGCTACGAGACGAAGGGAAGATTGGCGGCATACAGCTTACCGAAGTCAAGGCAGAGACTATCCGACGCGCAGCAAGCGTGACCAAAATTGACATGGTCGAAGCCGAAATCAGTCTTTGGTCTACCGAAGTCTTTAGTAACGGAGTGGCAGAGGCATGTGCTGAACATGGCATAGTTCTGGTCGCGCACACTCCTCTGGGAGGTGGTATTCTGACTGGGAAGTACGAATCATGGGACGATCTTCCCGCCATAATGAAACTCCGACCCCGGTTTGTGCCTGAGAATTTTGAGAATAACGTCAAACTGATCAAAAAGGTCAAGGAAATGGCAAGCTCAAAGGGGTGTACTCCAGCTCAATTGGCGTTGTCATGGGTTAAGAAGAAGGGTACTGAGCCGGGGATGCCAGTCATAGTGCCAATTGCCGGTGCAAGGGCTCCGGAGACGGTTTTGGAGAATGTGCAAGATGCCGAGTTGACTGATGCCGATATGAAGCAAATTCAGGATATACTGCAGTCGTTTCCGGTGCAGGGTGATAGATGGCCGGCAGGGCCTGCAAAGCTCAATGAGTACTGAGTCTTAGTATATGAAACTCTTCAAATGATGTCTCTATACAATATCTCATCGGTGAAGCAATAATCTTCAACACAATCTATGCTATAAACAGAGAAAGAATTCATCCTCATCTATGCACGATCGGAGATGTTCTTATCCGAAGTAAATCAGCCGGGAAATGGCGGCTATCAACGGTTGTTTGAGACCCCGCAGTCAAAATCTCCTCTCCGAATCTTCTGGGTGAAAACTGTCAATCAAGAACAGTCGCCTTGTGTAATATGAGCTTATTGTTGAGCTTGCACGGTAGAATATATATTGTCTTTGCATTTTTTGTATGTACTTTCGATTTGTTTCAGGCGCACGCGCAGTCATGTCGGTCACACCAGAAATAACCGATGCTCAACTGGAAGAGATCTATCAATTCGCAATCGACCTCGGCAAAAAAGCCGGTGCAAGGTTGATGGATGGTATACATGCGAGAATCGGCGGTACCATATCGGATATATCGTCGAATGTTGCGAGCAATGCGAATGTGACCAGTAACCTGGCTTTTCAAGAGAAGGATAATGCTGTTGATATCGTTACGCAGGTTGATGAGGGTTAGTCTTGTTCCCTACTGTTTTCGCTAGAGCCGATCTTATGAAGAGAGTAAGGCAGGCCGGTGCATAGTTTACTGAAAAAAATACAGATGGTAGGATTCCGAATTTTGGTTTTCTATTTGACCCCATACAGATTGTCTGATCCTGTCTAGTGGAACGATTCATACATGAAGCCATCTCGGCCAGATATCCGGCTCATAAGTTTGTGACCACTTCATATACCAATTCAATCAAAGACCAGGCACTAACTTCGTCTTTTCAACAGATTCATCGGCGAAGAAACCTATGCAAAAACCTCATCCTCCGCTCGCGAATACCTCATAACCTCCGATCCCACATGGTGCGTCGATCCTCTTGACGGCACAGTCAACTACACACATATGTTCCCCATGTTCTGCGTGAGCATCGCTTTCCTCGTCGGCGGCAAACCGGTCATCGGCGTAATATACGCCCCAATGCTAAATCAACTCTTCTCATCGTGCCTTGGCCGCGGTGCGTGGCTAAATGAAACGACCCGTTTACCCTTGATCAGGAACGCAAAGGATGGCAACGTCACGAACGATAACAAAGATAACTACGGCGTTCCGCCTATACCTGACAACGCCCCGAGTAAATGCATCTTCTCGTGCGAGTGGGGGAAGGATCGTCGAAACGTTCCCGGAGGCAACCTACGAAAGAAGATTAACAGTTTCGTGAACATGGCAGCTGAGAAGGGTGGGGATAATGCTGATGGCTTGAGGGGGATGGTGCACGGTGTGAGGAGTTTGGGAAGTGCGACTTTGGATCTAGCGTATACGGCTATGGGTTCGTTGGATATCTGGTGGGAGGGCGGATGCTGGGAGTGGTTTGTCCTCTTCTGCACTCTCCGTTGGTTTCGCTAATCAATTTCTCGTAATGGTTAGGGACGTCGCTGCAGGCGTTGCGATTCTGTTAGAAGCTGGAGGGTTGGTGACCACAGCCAATCCACCGAAAGATCCAGACACGGCGAACATTGAAGATGTCAGGCTGGGCAGTCGTTTGTATTTGGCCATTAGGTTTTTTTTTTCCTCTATTCGGTCCCCGTATAACGTGATTTACTAATATTTGAAAATGATAGGCCCGCTGGACCTTCTGCAACAGAAACCGGACGACAGTCGCAGGAACGTGCCGTACGCGAAGTGTGGAAACGAGTCAACCATCTCGACTATAGCAGACCAGGGGCTTAAATGAATACCCAGTCCTAAATTTTTTGCAGCTGTACGTGATAATGTCTAGATGCACATATTTCATCGTAATATATAGATAATTCATCGCTTTTGGACAACCCCAGATGTTGGAGTGGCTCTCCCCACATAGAACCTAACTTCGAATCGCCACTGCAAGACTCAACTGATGTCATGACATTTGATAATGTTGAGCTATTATAGACGATAGGTCGGCTTCGGTCAGTATATATTTCGTTTGGTATTGTAATGAGATGCGGTCGATTCATCCACACGCATATAATTCTCACGACGTCGGGACTTTTTATATTGTACGTTTACATCTACACTATCTCCATTTATGATCGGATTCCATAGCAAGTATGAGGTCTCATTACAGATTTGTTTTAGTCGCCATAATTATATCAGTAGTAGCCCAGCCGGCAAACTTACATGTATCAGTATGTTAAGCGAACGCCCCCGAGGCCGACTGTTATCGGTTTCTAGAAAGGCAATGGACGGTCATCTGATAACGGCCTGTCCGGAATTTTTGATCTCTTGTATCATTCGATGCTATTATGCAGCTGTTTCAATATCATTGCGTAATATCGGTTCCTCCCAGCAGCCACGCCTGGACCATGTCAACTGACGACTATATAATAGCCACGCATGAAACTAGTAGCTTAAGATGGTTGAATTTTATCTTCTAAGTGAACTCTGCCAGGAAAAAAAACCTACATTACTTCAAGAAACCAATTGATATATATTCCTAAATCTGACCAAAGAACACATCATGAAGTCCCTAAGCAAACATCTCCCACACTTCACCGGCTCCTCAGACCAAAAACAATACCACCAAGGTGTGCGCAGCACCCTAAACCCAGACGACTCCAACATGAACACCATGGACAACAGCAGCGACACCAAGCAACAGAAAAAACCACTATGGGGCATGCACAGACAAGGAAAATCTCAGCAACAGCCCCGCAAAACGAGCACAGGCTCCTTCTCTGATGACGATATAGCTGCCTTGCCGGTCGAAAAGCAGCTTGAGACTGATTACGATCAGACGGGTCATTTGGTACCTGACACGGAGCATTTTACGAGTGAGCAAGATATGGTTGAGGCTAGTAATGAAGAGTTTCATCATCCGACGATGTGAGGATGGTACTTGTTTCAACATGGACTGTTTTGTCTCAAAATGCTGCGTCTATCAGATTGAATGTTTAATCTAATGAACTAATCGCCAATTAGTATCCATATTTAAAAAGGGGATTTAAGAAATTAATCTGTCATTTCATTTACTCAAAGTCATATCATCTAGTCATCTGTGACGATTAATGCTTAGTGCTGTTTTACTGTACATCGAACTGGGTGTGTTGTTTGCAATAGCCGTGCATACAAAACCGTCAAGTAGTATCAGTCCAATCAGTCTGATTTCTTCCTAGAAGCCAAAAACTCCACAGTCGCAATTCCAAACTGTACCGTGGCAATCGCAAATCGAAGCAGTTGAATCTTCAACGATAGGCGTGGCACCGCCTCCTTGAGTTCTTCTCCGAAGCGAAAGCGCGTGGGGTTTTCGTATACGCCTGTACGAATTTTCTTTGCTACAGCCAGTCCAGCAATGAAGCCATCTTCGTGGAACGCGAATCCCATCCAGGCACCTGCAAAGCTGATGTTGTCAGACTTATTCAGCAGATCCAGGTGGCGTGATGCTTGGACAGCTGCGGAGGAAATGATGGGCAGGTAGTATGTGCGCTGGCATTGGATTGCTTCGGGCTTTTGGAGTGGGTTCAGGGTGACGATCACTCGACCGGGGCTTCCGGGTCGTCCGGGAAAGGGGATTGATTGCAAGCGGTTCATGTCGTTATGCACACAGATCTGTCGCTTGCTGTAGTAGCTCTTTGAAAGGAGACGCTCGGTTTGCTCATCATTTCCAAAGTCGACTTTCGCGCGTACTCGATTGTCTTCCATGCTCGGTATCACGGCGTTCCAAGCTGCTTGGGCGGATTTCTTGGCTGGGAGGACCTGGAAGAGAGTTAGAAGAGAGAAGTATCAGTTTCTGGAATATAATACTTACCGTGGGGTCAAGATGCAACGCAACGTCGTTTCGGCTCGTCTGGAAAGAACCAAGTATTTGCTTCTCAAGAACAGTGGCATCGTCTCCCAGTAGGTCCAGTGCTTGGTTTGCATGGACTGCTAAGACCACATGATCAAAATTCTCTACAGAGCCATCCATGAAAACAAGCGATACGGATCCGTCAGTTTCGCGTCGTACACGGCGGATTTTCGTCTCGAGGTGAACATGATGGTTCTTTGGGAGAGTGCGTAAAAAGGCATCGACATATGACTTTGAGCCATTCTTCACTGTTGTCCATTTGAGGCTCTCGGTGATAGTATTCAAGAGTCCGTGTGTTGACCTAGCAATGTCAGTCATTTGCCCCTCATAGTACGTTGAATGAAGAGCTCACATGAAGTGAATTAGGGCTTCTGCAGGATAGTCCTCAAAAACATCCGCCATCGACATGCACCAGATAGCAGCGACATCAGCAATCAGGTAGTATTTCTTGAACTGCTCCGAATATCCTTTGCGATCCAAGTACTCGCCAATGGACTCCAGTCGGTCATTCGTACCAGCCTTGTCATGTCGAGACTTGTGTGACTTTTCGGCAAAGATGTCGGTTGCACAGAAGTTGAAGCGCATTATGTCAAACATGAAGCGCCAGAACCATGGGCTGAATAGTCGAGTCCAGCTGCCGATGAAGTTCCAGAGAGACGTGCTGCCCCATGCCATGGGACCATTTTGCTCTGTAACGCTAGTCGACATGTCTGTTGCTATCATGGCGACATCCAAGTCTGCTAGGAAGGTTGAGAAACCCGCTGTGAAAGGGTGAGTGATTTCCTATTACGGCTCCGGGAGGATGAGATGGTCAACATACGATAGCAATCATCCTGCATGGCAATAAAGCCTGTATCCACTGTGACCACAATCCCATTGTTTATGATTGTGTGAGAATGTGCGTGTCCACCAAGCTGAGTATCAGCATCATAGATGTGGACTTCATGATCAGTATCACGTAGTCCCCAAAGACACGCGATTCCGGATACACCACCACCGACAACGGCAATTCGTGCCTTGGATTTCTGTAGAAACTCAAACATCTTCGAGATGGGATGTCACTTCGCGTTTTTGACTAGTCGAACGAATGAAAATAGAGGCAACAAAAGCGAGGCTGGAGACAACGCGAGAGATGACAGGAGTTGGGGTAGAGAGGTGGTAGAGACGAGGTGAAAAAGAGGAAAGAATCGAGGAGAGGACTTAACATTATGTACTCTGGGGAGTTTGATCAAAAACAATCCGTACCGCGCAGCACCGACCAAAACATCGTGCCTATCAGCATTTTTGATATTAGATCAGGCAAAGACTGCAAGTTTGTGCCCCATTTCGCGGCTTAGTGATATCTATCCAATGACAAAGACCTTGAAGAGTAAAAAATGAACAGGTGCAGCATTTTCTGAGATCCGGATATGACCACCAGGAAGAAGGGCTTTGCCGAAAATACTTTTCTTTGTATGCCAGTGTTTCGTGGGACAGGAATTCCGGGATATAGCTACAATCGTCACATCTTTTTGAAGATATTCAGCAGATTTTTCCGGTGCTTGAGGAATATCATGACGCCATATTCACTCATACCCAGGACACCAAGCAGAATCCTTCTCCGGCGGTATTAGAGCAGGAGTATTGAGTTATTTTAAGGGAATTATGCTAATGCCTAGTGGCAATACAAGCCTTGGGGCTTTGGGATGGAAAGAGCGCTGAAGAATCTTTTCTGGCCTAACCCCCAACCCCTGTCTCTGGTAACTTCCGATCATTATTTCAAACCCCTTTATTTCACTGGTGCCAATCAGCATATTTTCTGCAGGAGATTACCAATCAGCTGGAAGTGCGCCCTAGCCCCTAGTCTTCCCCGCCAATTTGATACAAACTCCTATATTGAGGCTTGCTCCTGATATCTTCTAATCGTCCGACAAGAAAGAGATAAGGCGCTTCTGGAATCAGGGCCTCAAGGAGTTTAGAACAGGAAATTGTCGAATGAACTGGTCCGGATCGAAATGCTGCAGGTGCTTATCATAATTAGTTGCGTTGCAAATCGTACTAGACGTAACCCCTTACCAACGGCTTTCGTTATGACGCACTTTCACAGGCTGTAATGAGTATATACATTACGTCTATCATGCTTTACCATGTTTGTATAGCTTATCTCACGGCCGCGCAACCTATCGACACAACCAGAAGCATAATCTCAATCACCGCTCCCATCTCCAGATCCTGCATGAGACTTCGTGCAGAGTAATTCTGATCATTGTCCATATTTCATGCGTTGTCACATCGGGCTAAACTGCAAGACATTTTGCTTCTAAGTTGTGGTTTGTTGGCATGGTGTGGCCTGCTCCCTTCTCTATCTTATAGATTGCTTACATCGATGAGATACAAAACATCCCTTCCCTCTATTCGAGAAATAGCCATAAATTTGACTCTTGTCTCAGACAACGGTATTTATACTGAGAGGTCTTTGCAATAATGTTGTGCTCATCAAAAGGACCAGCAATCGATGTGTGAAGTCGATCTGCAACGATTTGAGGGCAAAGGGATAGCTTTACAAATTAAGACAAGGAGACGCCGCTTGTCGCCAATCAAGAAACAATTTCTCCTGAATCGAAGAATCTTACGCGAAAATTCAATGACTGAGTTACAAGCTATTGCAGAGACTGATATCAATATACGCAAATGGGCTAACTTGAGTCTATGCTTAGCAAGACTACAAGTCACAAGAATCATTGAGAGGAGATGAGCTTTTTATGGAAATACATTTTTATTTCAATGCCAGTTCGTTGCACTAGGTATAATTTATACCGACTACGGTGTATGTCTTACAATTGTTGACAATTCCTATCTATTCAGAATATATACTATAGGAGATTTCGGGCTAGGGCAAAACAATCCGAACCCTAATGAATCCAAGCCTCGAGATGAATCAATATAAAACGAAAAGCAAATTTGGCCACCAGCGATATTATATGTATGCCCTCATGTAGCAAATATTTTTCTCCTATAGTCGTCGAAATAATCAACCTCCGCCAACGATGCCCAAGATTCGCTCTCTCACGACTGTGGTCAAGTTGGCGTACAAGTATCTCAATGTTAACCCAAAACCGCAGTTCTGATGTACGTACTGATCCAGAAAACTCCCTAAGTTGGTCGAGACCTCCACCCGCTTAAAACAGGTATATTTTTGTAAAAAGAACTTGTTATTGACCTGATATTTTGTGCCTTTGATGGATGATGAGCCTGATACTTCGCCGCTCATTTTTAAAAGGAAGATTGCTCGGACAAGTGTCACACAAGACCATAACATCCACAGTAAGAGCGAAGCCGCAAACTTTGATGGTCTCAAAATCCAGATTCTCCTCTTTTCGATACTAGTGTTGGAAGTACTCGATGTGACGCCCGGTGTGTGGCAAGTACGGTAATGCGAATCAGCTGCACATTTAAACAGTTGAATGAACGCTTCTGGTTCGGCAGCATCTGTACAAGCTGTTCGTCGCTCTTCATTTTTGTGGAGCAGGGCTTCGTGCAGGAATGTGTCTATGGAGGGCCAAGCTAGCGCGGTGGCGTAGAATTTGGGTGTGAAGACGGATATGCTGTAGCAGGGTGATTTTTGGTCAGCGGTTGGTGTACTAAAAGTTATCTTCAGATTGGAGTCGCTGAGGTCACAAAGACGAAGACGGAATTCCTTTGTAGATGCTTTCATAATCTGTTGGAGATAGTCTGTGAAGATCTCTCGGATGCATCTAATACGTGATGTTAGTTGTGTTAAAGCTGATTTTGGTCTTGTATAGTGCGATATTTTGAAGAGAGTGCGTACCGTTCAGCCGGAGTACTATGCCGAGGAAACACTTTCCCATCAGGTTCAGGTCGGTCTCGAATCTTCAATTTGTTCTTTCGATACAGCGTGAATGCCTGATAAAGTGTCCGTGGCTCTGTTATAAGGCGACATTAGCCGACTTCAACATTGGAGAGAAGACCACTCACGAATAAGAGGTCCACTCAAGCACCACGACGCCAGAAAAGCGAACCTATAAGGAGCCGAGACTCGCGACGTGACTAAAGGCTTTGAGACCGACCAAACACGAGCTACCAGCTTCGGACGCCGTTGTGATGTCAGCAGCGTGATGGTGATATCGACAGTATCCGCTGCATCGAGCGATGTCCCCGGTGGAAACGAATCTAGCGTAGATATCGAATAGAAACCATGCATCGAGTTAAAGGGAGACACATGGAAATCCTTTGGCCATGTTTGATGAAACTTTTTTGTTTGCTTCTTCGTTGGGGTATTGAGTATATCGCTGTCGTCAGCTTCAGGAACTATCCACACCTTTCGCTCGGCAAAATTGTTGTTCGCTTCGATGATCATCAGATCAAGTCGTTCGTCAGCAGTGTACAGATACCAAAAGGATGCTTGGTCGGACATGTATCCTATGAATCGCGGTGACGTGMCCAGCCATACTGTGGGATATTTTGTCGGATCGTATTGCTGGCAAAATCTATGGGTTAGCCATGAGAGAGGACAATGTCATTATTTGTATATAGAACCAAAGTTTATACCTTGGATTCAAGATACCGATCAAGCTTATAGCTCAGACCATGTTCATCGTCACCTCGGTGGAGATGATCCCGGGGGTCAATTCGAAGCCATGCTCTACGCCACCATGGCCTAGTCTCATTATTGATCGCCGCGAACCAATTTGGCTTGCAATTCCTGACGGGTACTGCAGTTATGAGAAAGTTATACGAGAATGAGTGGACTTTGGGGAGTAGTCGCGTATGAGAAGTGCGTCCTGAGAACACGAGAGCTTCGTCGTTATGGAAGGAATGTCGAGTCTCAAGGTCATCAGGAAGAGTATCGTGCTCGCTATACCACTTGGACTTTCTGATGGTCTTTGACAAACTCCAAAGGACGAGGGTAACAAGACTAGTGCTCAAGGATAGACAGCTAATCCAGCTGTAAACACTATCCATCACTATAACCAACTCCATGGTCACCCTAGTTGACAAAAGTTTATTGAAATAATCATCAGACGAAACAGAAATGACAGTAATAGAAATAACAATGAAGAATCCTTTCTACTTATACAACCCACTCCTTTGGCAATTTCGGCATATCACATATGTGATGGGATGGTTACTCTTACATACAAAGATCCTCACATGTGCAGCTATAAGTTCTTTATTTCCATTTTCCCAATCAGAATAGTTCCTACCTCGGAGCTTATCACTTTAGAGACGCTAGCTTACGCGCTAGTCTCTGGTTACCAATTGTGGGCAAGAATTATTGGGTTACGGCGATTACTCCTGGTATTCGCTAGTCAGCTAACAAAGAAAGACAACCCGTGATCCCGAAACATGAATCAACAGTGCTCGTCTAGCGCTGTAGAAGGGTAAAATGCAATTGATCCCTAGAAATACCGGACTAGCTATTGTTGGTTTTGAAATGCCATGAAATCAGAAATACTTGTAACTGCCAGTGAATATCAGTCGACCATATATCAATCACCGTTCCCGCAAGGGGATTTCCAACAAGGACCCGACTCACATTCGAGCCCAGAACATCAATAATCTCAGAAGCAGAGAAGGGAGAAGTATAGACCAAAAAAAATGGAGTGCTCTGAACACAAGGGCAAAATTGTGACATCCCATCTACTGMCCCGCCACAATTCATGGGAACAGTAGTGGCGTTGCCAGCCAAAGCCCAAACCTCTTTTCGTGGTGAGTTCAGGAACTTTTTAAGGGTTTAAAATGTAAGAGCAAGACTGTTGAATACCTTTTTTATCTTAATCACTCACTTCGAATCCGAGGATTGCATTGGCAACATCCACAGCGATTCTCTGCCCCGTCGTCACATACTCAGATACTTCAAATCTCTCAAGCCCCATTGCCCGTCTTCCGGGGGTAGATTTAATATCCTCGCTCTKGCCTCTTCCTTTGTGCTGGCTTTCTCCAGCACCACCCGGAAAATCCGGTGGAGCAATACCCTGTTCAAAGTTCTCCCTCTGTCTCTTGACATATTTGCTGTTGACTTCACATAGTGGTACCGACGGAATGTACAAAACACTCGAGTCGCTCATACCCCGATGCTCAGCTTCGACCATATGCGCCACATCGCAATGCCAGAAGACTGCATCGCCGGGACGAACGCGAGGAATTGAGACGAAACCGTGAGGGTTGATATGGGGATGAGTGGTAATAGCTAGCTCTTGGCCTGCGCCCATGGCTGCACCGTGGAACTGTGGAGTGTCAAGGTTAAGTTCCCAGCCGAGGCCGTTTGGGGTCTGTCGAACGAACGGTCGGAGGAGCGTATATGCTGTTGAAGCCACGAGATCAGGCATTACGCGCAGAGTTCCTGATCCAGGACCACAGTCCGAGAGAGAAAGCCATCCCTACATACATCAGTTAGTCAGTGATATGGGATGGTGCACTTTGAATGAATTCACATACCTGGTAAGATCGGAATACTGAACAGCCTCCAGGACCATTGTACATATCGACAGTAGCTTTCAAGCGATGAGTCACATCAAATGGATCATGGTTCTCCCAATCCCCACTGAAGATTTTGGAGTAACACTTTCGATATTCGGTGTCTTCCCAGCGCTCGAGCGATCCACCATCAAGGTGTGGACCGAGGTTGAAGGAGCGATCACCTGGCTAGGAATAATGTTAGTTCTTGCGTTATATATATATATAACAAAATTGCATACTTTTCTCATCCTGACTCTATCACAATACGTCAGCGGAACCTCGAGGTCTACGGGATCCTCTGGCTTCGCAGACCAGACCCGATTGAGAGCGACTTGAGCCATAAGCATGTTCTCATGAGCTCTAGCTTCTAACTGCGCTTTGGACCAGTAAAGCTCATAGACCTGGATATCGTTTGCCGGGAACCCCTTTGTTTGAGGGTTCTTGTTCAAGTAGTCTCGGATCTGCTCTTTCCATTTCATGGCTTKCGCTTCGTCTACCAAGCCCCTGATGACGATTGTGCCGCACTCGCGAATTCGTTTGACGATATCTTTGGGAATTTTCCCATTATTGGCGGCGATGTCGCGAAACTCGACTTCGGGAATCATGGTGGTATCAAAATTCTGCAATTTCTTGAGAGAAACTCGTTCTAGAAGACGACTCCAACCAGCTAGAACGGCATCTTCGTCCGATATTATATCTCGCTTCAAAGAAACAAATCTCGGAGGGAGCTCGGTACTTCCATTCGAGAGCGAAGCGAAAGCCGATGCAATAGAGCTTGCGCCCTCGGCTCTATTATTCGTTGCTTGCATAGTGAGAAGCTGTGAGAGTATTTCCAAAAAAAAAAGCCTCAATGGATATCAGAAGGATACGAAGATGAAAATTAAGCAATCTTTCCAAAAAAGAGGGAGATATTTATATACTCATGAAATATAGAGTGGGGCGCTTTTTGATGTAACTGAACGAGCTCTGTATACAACCCGTTGAATTAGCCTGGTAACCCAGGCTATATTAGGTTTGTTAATTTTAAAAATTTATTGCACTACTATCCAAGATCTCACCACGCCTCTGTACAACGACACAATTCTAGGATTTTGCTGCCTCTCTTAAGCGCTACTAAAAATGGTTTGAGGCATAACCCAGTGGTGATTGTTATCAAGCCCTAATCAGAAGCCCTAAGACCGAACACCCCATATCACGAAACTCGACTGATAGGTATTTTTGACTGGTAAGTATCTCTGAAGAAGTAAGATCACATTCTTATCCTTGTAATTCTCACCAGTTGAATGTACAATTTCTGTTCTTCAGGCTGAAGTATTATTGCTTTTGAATGACACATTCGGTGATCCGGCGATTCGGTGACGGTAGCATCACCGATGGCTAACGTTGAAACTGTAGATATAAACCCATTTATCATCCGGGTCAAAATTGAGACCTTATTGAATGCTGAATTTTGATTTATACTCTTCGATATTTTCAACTCTGAGTACATCATTTTCTATTGACTCGCGAGATTTATCAGCTAGTGTTCAACATTAAATATGGTCACTTTCAACATCGAGGTCATCTCCGACCCAATATGCTCGGTACATCCCTAAAACCCTTAAATTTTCCTTAGTTGAAAGCTCACAATTAAAGTGGTGCTTCATCGCCCACCGCGCCCTACAAAAAACAATACGCTTATACAAAACCACAATCCCCAACGGATCCGCCGACATTTTCAACATAACCTATCTACCCTACTACCTTCTCGATCCCGCGTTAACTAGCAGAGACAAAACAGATTTTCAGGGAGTGATTACGCCGCGTAAACATCAGAATCTGACCTATACGCGAATTACGCAGATTGGGCGCGCCTATGGGATAATGTTTAATTTCTGGGAGGGCAAAATCGGAGGGACGAGGGAGGTGCATCGCTTGATTCAATTGGCACAGAGTCGGAAGGGTGCGGAGGTTAGGGATGGGGTATTAGATGAGGTCTTCAGCGCGTTTCATGAGAGGGCAATCGATATTACGGATCGTGAAGTTTTGAGATCGATTGCTATTGAGGCTGGTGTGGGKGCTGAGGAAGTTGATGAATGGCTGGCTAAAGAAAATGATTTTGGGGGCGACTATCTTGAGTCGCAGCTTGAGAAGGCTAGGAAGTTGATTGGTACTGAGAAGAAGGGGGTGCCTGTTTTCATGGTCCAGGGGAATTATAGGTTTGACGGAGCGCCAGATATCTCTGAGCTGCTTGGGACATTGGTGGGTATCAGAGATGGAAAGATGCCCGACGAGGGAAATGAGATACAAGAGCATACCAATTCTAATGCTTGTTGATTGTACATCTCTTCAATGCAATTCGATCTTTAATCTAGGAGAAGTCTAATCTATGGTTGTAGTAATACATGCCTTATTGCTCTCCTCTCTTTTCCATTTCAAGCGCCGCTTGTGCCATGAGAGCTGCTCCCACGCCAGATCCATCTTTAGCAAGGCCTATACGGACTAGCTTCTCACCAGCAGGTCCAATCTCCTGTACCTCTAGGAGTGCCCCTCGCATATCAGACTCGAATGTTGGATATAGCTCAAACAGTGAGCCATCGGCACCGATATCAATGATTGAAGTTTCCGGAATAGACTCCTCGTGCTTTGAATATTGCGGGAGCATACCGCCTGAAGGGGATGATGATCCATTCAGCCGGGCGAACAGTTTTATAATTCGGCGCCATAACGAGTTCAATTTCTGACGAAGTCGCTGGACGCTAGAAATAGGCGAGTTTGCAGTTTCTGAAGTTTCGCGTTCTGTTACTTGGGTGTCGGGATACTTCAGCTCTGCTAAAGAAGGCTCAAGTCTGCCACTCTGTATAATGATAGCTGCCAATGATGCTCCAGCTAACCGTGCTGCTCGGCGGACAATTGCAGCAGACAATATCTGTATGGCCTTCACATCGGCCACTGTAACGCCTTTTACCGAAAGTTTTCTTTCGATGAGTGCCGAACTTCTGGAATATTCTTCACTTCCGGCAAGTGCAAGGTCAGATAGAAAAGAGCTGTCAATCCCCTGACTCTCGAAGATGGGTGACTCGTCATCAAATCCCATATCAAAGGCMCCTCCTTGCTGTAATTGCACCAGTACGAGCCGCAGCAGCTCTCCCAAATACATGCCCGAGATCCTTTTTTCGAACATTTGGCTTCCGGGGTCAATTGACTCGCCATCAAGTTGATCATCATACACAGTCCGCGGTAACACTTCCATTTTGTCATCCAAGCAGCCCCATTCCGTGTTGATCACCATAATTTGGCCGGCAATAGTATTTGTTGCACCGAGTCGTTTTACATTGGTCATCTTTTCGACATATGCTGCATTCGTGCCCGTCCCGAATATTACTGCTGCCAACGTGGAATCTTTCTGGCCTGCAGTATACGATCTCGTCAAAAGTGTTCCTACACTGTCGTTGGCGAGGACTGTAACCAAAACCGGTAGTTTCAGCTTGTCGATGGCCTCCTGCAGCATCACACAAGGGTCCCTTCCCACTGCCTCCGGAATATCCCAGCCTTTATCCCAACGAATGAGTGTTCCGCTTGCAAGGGACGTTTGCTCGCAGGTGAAACTGAATGTGAATCCTAACCTGTACGGGGCTGTGCGTCGCTCGCGTATATCATCGTAATCTTTGGTGTCTGCGGTTGACTTCTCGGCAAGAAAATCTGCAATCTTGCCTGCGATGAATTCGAATAGGGGTTTATAGCTTTGGCATACCATGACCTCAGGTGGTACCCGGTGTTTACTTTGGGCCACTGTAAACGTTGAATCGCCGAGTAAATCGACAAGGCAAATTCTGCAATTGCTGCCTCCCAAGTCAACGGCCAAGAAGGTGCCCTTCTCCGCCCCAGTCGGCACGCTCCTTAAGAAGCTCGGGAGCTGCCATGCGCGATGATTGACGAGGCCATCTCCTGGCAGTTTGTCAGCGATCTTTTCTTATCACAAACCGAAGATCAATCATACTCATTTGGCGGACAAAATGGCCCGTCACGCGCTGGACATCCGCAGGTCCAAAGTTAAAATCATCAGCAATACGCTGGGCTTGCGCCAGTAAGCCGGTTTGGTGGTCATTGGTGACGGGTGACATTACCAACGATAGCGAGAGTGATCAAGGTATATTAGATTGGCAACACATGACGAGGCCGTTGAAGTGCTATATTTGTTGAGAACAAACATAGCAACACTTGATAGCTTGGTTTCTATTTTAGACCAGAAAGGTTGCACTGTAGTAAATCTCTGCTAATGTCCAGTCGTAAGCAAGATGGCGACACCAGGAATGTCCGGCCAAATTGCCGGTGATGCCCGGATATTACCGGCCTTATCGCCCCGCATTTCGCAGACTCGCCGAGACTCCGCTTTTAATTCGGACATCGCCCGAACAACTCCTGACTTTGCCGGCAAACCCACGACAGCACTGAGCAGTGCAGATGCAATTACACAATAGCTTCACGATACTGGGCTCTGCGATAGATATGTCCGCCAATAACAAGCGTCCGCGTGTTGAGTACAGCAATGGACGTAGTGTCCACGAGGAGGAGTATGGCGCTGAGCAGAGGGCTCGAAAGGCCTGCAGTCAGTCCTCCTCCTTACCTTAGCCATCGAATGATGCGTTTTAGTACTAAATGGCGTTGCAGTTAATTGCCGGCGGCAAAAGATGAAATGCCTCATTGAGGACAGTAGTGTTGAATGTCGTCGCTGTCGCCGTTCAGGCCTGCCTTGTATTTTTGTGCCTCGCGCCAATGCTGCGACACTGCCGGAGCTTAAGAACGGCTCTAGAGAAGGTGGCTTCAGGACAGATGTTCTACGTAGGCTGCAGATTATTGAAGATGCTCTGGGTATGTCTGAGACATCAAATGAGCGCCTGGAATCTGTAGATGCGGGTGATAATGAAGGGTTCGATGAAGACGAAGAAACCTCGGATGATTTTAATGGCTTGGGCGCACTTTGGGACGCAGCAGTAATCCTCCAGAGTGCGCCGTGCTCTGTGCCGCGCACAATATGGCGACGGCGTACTGTCAGAGATCTTTGGTTATCGTAGGTGCCAAAACAAACTTGCTACTAAGAACAGCCGGCTAATCTTCGCGACAGCTTCCACGACCGCATGCCAGGCCTCCACTTTATGCCCCGCAGACAGACATTTTCTGCACCACAACCTATTCTCCTGGCGTCTATATTATATTGCTCGAGTATGCGCGGCCCTCCGGATATGGCGGACATAGCGCCGCACTACTTCACCGTTCTATGCAACGCAATCGCTCAATTGTGCATCCCTGGCAGTGCAATCGGCCAGACGCCGGCAGACAGCGAAGAATGGGCATTTCAGACTGTCCTTGGAATCGTGATTGCCGGACTCCTCACAGAAGCCACCGTCCGTGAGACTGGGATATGGATATCAATAGCATACAGGCTGATTCTTGAACACTGTCCAGCGCATATCGACGAGACTTCACGAGAATGGCGTAAGCTTTTTAGCGGTGTGCAAATAATCGACCTTGAGCATGCTTCTCTGCATCTATCCTGCCCTGTTATACCGATCGAGTCACCCCTTCCAGGTCTTCGAACTTCTCCTCGCGATCAGCTCTATAGATTATCTCGGATGATGCGCACCGGGCTGACGCATTTCACCGGGCGAGGATTGCCGACGATTTGGTCTTGTTTCACCACAGATCAACCGCCAGCTGCAGTAGCTTTGGCCAACAATTTCACTGCTGTAGATGCGGCTGTAATCAGAGACTGGGCCAGGCAATTAGACGAATGGCTCGTTGACTTCAGCCAGGGCCTCGAAGGCACAGATCAGGATCTGAAAGTGGTGTTTCGCCAATATGTTCTCCATCGACTGGTGGTTTTGTCTATATATCACCCGGGTAGAGGTTGTGATCTGTGGTCTAATAGTATTACGCCGAAGGAACAATATGAACTGCTTCTCTCAGCTCGTGCGACGCTCAAGTTGCATTCGCATGATGACTCTATATGGTCCAATTGGGACTTGATCATGATCACTTGGGCGGCGCTCATTGTTGTTCAGGGTATCGAAGGGGGAGCTGGTGATCCTGAAGGTAAGTTACGCATTCCACTTTTTATCTCAAGGGGAAAAAAGGCATTTGGTACACATGTAGAAACAAGAATAACCTTCTATAGATCTCACAAACATAAGAATACATCTCGAAATGCTAAAAAGAATGAACAAAACAAAACCCAGCGTCTGCGACAAACTCATAAATCGTTTAGAACTCAGTCTCACCAACGTTCACACACCTGCTTCGGCGGATTTTCGTCAGCAGCAACAAAACGGCTATGATGATCTCACAATGGCCGCCCCCATGGATCTGTCATGGCAGATATTTGACCGGTCTAGCCTTCAGCAGATGATGTACACAGACTGGCCAGCGCCCAGTGTTGGGGATGAAGAAGCGGGCCTAGGTTAATGCGAATGGGATGGTGGCTGATCTGTGGACGAAAAATTTCTGCTCGCCGATGCGAGAGGACATGCTGTCTGGAGTCAGGTCGCCCTCAAGTGGGACTTTTGATATTTTGGTATCAAGACTCAATTCAGCGCGCTTTTTGGAAGGCTGTTCGTCTAGACCTTGCTGGAGGATCGTTCGTTCGACGCTCGTGAAGTACTTTGCAGATCCAGTTAGTCAAGATTCCTCATACTAGTATGACAATGGTCTGTTTTACCTTTACCGTCTTAACTTTGAGCTCCATCGTGGCATCCTCGTCCACGACGACCATACTGCAAGGATGGAGCTGCAGACATGATAATGTACACAGGTGGCTGACACCTCCTTCAATTGCTTGCTGGATAGCCGGTGCCTTTGCAGTTCCCGATGCAATGATAATCACTTCCTTCGCATCCATGATGGTCTGCACACCAACCGTGAGCGCCATGCGCGGCACCAGGCCCAAATCATTATTAAAAAACCGCGCATTGGCAACAATAGTTTCGTGAGCCAGAGACTTGATTCGAGTGCGACTAGCCAGACTCGAGCCAGGTTCGTTGAATGCAATATGTCCATCACTACCAACTCCGCCCAGAAACAGCTCGATTCCCCCAAGAGCCTTAATCTTTGCTTCGTACGAAATACACTCTTCGCGCAGATCCGGCGCATTCCCGTTTAATATATTAACATTCTTCGAATCAATATCGACATGACTGAAAAAGTTCGAAAACATGAACGAGTGATACGATTCCGGGTGTTCGCGCGGCAGTCCCACGTACTCGTCCATGTTGAACGTGACCACATTGCGAAACGATATTTTGCCTTGGGTGTATGCTTCAATGAGGGCTTTGTATATGCCTAAAGGGCTGCTGCCGGTGGGCAGGCCGAGGACGAAGGGTCGTTCTGCTGTGGGCGCAAAGGCATTGATTCGTTCTGTGGCGGTAAGCCTCGGACCATGTTGATGATGTTGTGGGTTTTGCAAATATTCAGAAAGCCTTACTAATTATGTAATCAGCGATGTATTGTGCTGCTTTGTCTTGAGTGTCTCGAATGATTAGACGCATCTTGTTGGTAGTAGATGTTCGAGATAATGGCGACAGTAAGTCGGATCTCAAGCTGTTGCAATCCTAGTATCCGTGTTGATCCTTTTTCGACGATTCTGTGTGGGTTTTTTCTAAGCTATGACGATAGATTAAAGATAAACGTGGAAGTCTTTTTTTTTCAAAAGCAAGTCTATATTTGTTTCTCTCAGTTCCCACAACGAGAAATGATTACAACTCTGTCGTCAGCCCGGTCATGTCCAACTAGATCCGACGCATTCTCACGAAGCAACGTCAGCCAATGACTCTAACACTGCTTGTAGTCGACATCGCTGACAGGGCTGATCAGGAGGAGCATCCAGACCGGTGAGGCCCGGGTGAACCGGTCTACCCGGCATTTGTTGTTTAGCCCTAATTTATCCATCGAAGAATACCGAAAACGCCGGAATTTGCAATGGCATCTGACACGTGATATTGCTTGATTGTTTTTTTATGCAATCATATATGTTTCATTTCGAATCGTCACATAATCCCGCTTTTGCACTTGGTATGATCGCTGTTGTTTATTGAACGGGGCTAAGGGGCATGTCAACGCTCTCTACGCCCCTGGATATATGAGTGACTATCACGTGAACATGCCTTCATTTATTCTTCGCTGACATGAATGTCGAGTGTGGTTCTACCTGCTATGTCTATCAAAATTATGATGGCTCGCATCTTGTGGTCCATTCACACCGCAGTACACAAAGTTCAACATGCTAGCATGTGTCTCATCACGCTACTATGGTGCAGGATATATGTACTGAAACTTTGCGCCATGTATTATGCGAATTCAACCTAACTCTTTCTAGCTATTCGATTTCTATGTTTTTGTATTTCCATTCATGTAGTAGCTTGGTACAGTCTCTTTACTATGCCTTCTCAAGAGACCGGTGTCTTCAAAATAATGTGTTCATTTGGCTGTACAGGTACATCCATATTGTATATACAATTCAAAGAAAGCTCAATCATTACATACTTACTTCTTCAATTCTCCTACAGTCTTGTTTGGTGTTTCGGCATTTCTTTATTTCAGGCCGGAAACAGCTCGAGTTTTGTTAATACCACACTAATGACCAAAACCAAGGAGATGACTATAGCCAAATTGACAAGGTTCCTATTTCTAAACCATAGGCCATCTGCAGCACCTAACGCTACTAAATTCTTCATTCTATCTTTACAGTCTCGCGAATATCATAATGCACCCTCATCCTCTGATCTCATCTCTACTCTTCCTTAGCGCGAGCTATTCTGTCCTTGTACTTCTTACTACCCACGAACCACCATATCAAAATCAAGATCGGGAGCCCACCGACAACAACACATGTGTAGTTCATGTTCTGCACTGTAACAGGCATGCTGTAAGGGAAGCTGAAGAAAATGATTGCGAACAGCAGCCAAGCAACAGTTACACCGTTGACGAGCCAGCCCCATCTTCCCATGTGAAACTCGCCCTTGTGCATACCCGTCCGACCCATGATCATGTTTGTGGCGATAGGGATCAGGTAGGCGACGTTGTTGATAGTGACCGCTGCCCCTAGCATACTATTGAAAGCCGTGCTGCTACCAAGATAGAGACATCCTAAAGCTGCATTGGCAGCGGCAACCAACAACTGTGAATTGAACGGGATTCCGAATCGCTTGCTCACTTTTGCCCAAACGTCAGAGAATGGCATGGCACCATCACGAGCAAACGCCCAGAGGACTCGTGATGTAGAAAGCTGGGATGAAACGACACAAGGACCGAGTGCGACGAATAGGATGAATGTCAGGCCAAACGCACCACCGGCTGATTGTGTTGCTTGGTAGAAAAGCTCGGCGAGAGGCAGGCCGGTGCTGGTAGTAGACAGGGCTGCAAAATCCTGAACGCTGAACATGAGGGCAATGAGGTAAGTAAGTCCAGTCATGAATGCAATGGTCAGAGTAATGGCGATGGCAAGGGGTGCATTGCGCGAGGGCTACACCAAGGTCATTAGTAGCTTCGAGACTAGGATGAAAGAGAAGGCATACATTAGGCATTTCTTCGGTGATATGTGTGACACCATCGAGGCCACCCAGACTATAAAGGGGATTGACCAAGCCGGTAATGAAGCAAATAACATTGCTGTTCCAGCCGGTGTTGTTGATCCATGTTCTGAAAACGAAGTCGGTAGATTGATGCGTTGGAGCACATGCCACGACCGTGATCAATACGACTAGCCAGCCTATTTGTAGGTAGAATAGAGAGAACTTATTGAGAGCCGGAATTATCTTGTTGCCAAAAAGCACAACACCGGCGGTCAGCAAGTTGAGTATCTGATAAATGACGAAAGTCTGCCAGGTCTTGATAACAAGGTCAGGGTGATAGAGAGCATAAAGTGCTTGGACTATGTAAATTGTCAGTCGGGTTATATTCTTGGGGAGTGGGGACGGTGCGGTTACATACCGACTTCAGCAAAGATCAAGTTCGTTGAGGCGGTGGTAAATATCCCTAATATTAGTAAGAATGAGCTCCATAAGTCTAGATTTTTATATGAGACCACTTACAACCGCAAACAGTTAGCCACCCCGTGATGAAACTCAGAAAAGCGCTATATTTCTTCGGCGCAATGGCAGCTATCCAATGGTACATGCCACCCTCGGTCGGATAACTAGACACAAACTCGGCCAGAGAAGCACCAAGGAAACTCTGCAGAATCGTCACGAGAACGAAGCCGTAGATAATCGCACCGGGTCCGCCGGCATTGATTTCAGTGACAATGCCCAAACCAAGGCCAGTCCAAGAGATAGTTGTCGTTGACGCGAGGCCGATCAGGGATAAGATGCTGAAATGACGCTTGAGTTCCTGGGTGTGGCCTTGAGATGTGTCAGCACGCAAACATTCTCAATTAAATCATTATAGCAACGTACCCATCTGAGCCAGTCGTAGCTCGTCTGCATTCATGTCCGGCTCACCCTTGGCCTGAACCACAGGGTCCTTGGTAGTATATTCCGCCATGACTAATGATATTTCGTAATGAAACCTCTGTAGCTCTATAGACTCGGAAATAATCGATTGATCTGTTGCGGGTGAGCCATATCTTATGAAGTCGAAGCTCGGCCCTCCAAAAAGACCAAAAGGAAGGAACGTGATGCGATTCCCAAACAGGAAGCTCCTTATCACTAGCTTATCTACCCCACGTGAGAAGCACCGGCCCGATCTCACCGGATTTCACCGAACATCAGCCAGCGCCGTTTCTCAACCTCAATTTATTTTAGGTGAACTCTACGGCCCACAATTCTACCAGCGCTGTACCAAGACTATGCCGATCTTATCTTTGAACAGAAGAGATGGTCGGCAGATACAGGCGGGGTGGGGAAACGCCGTTTATTAGCGAGGTTGATATGAGCGGAGGTGTGAATGAGTGGTATAATAAGTGTGCCAAGATCAGCATGTCATGGTCTCAATTCTTTTGCATTCTCGTTCGTGATACAGCTCCTCGTTATAGGCCTTAAAACCATGTTGCCCAGCGTCAATTGGATCCTAGGGCTCGGCCTCCTAAGCGCCAACGTTGCACGCTCAGTTGAATTATCTGAACATGCACAGGCTCTATTTGATCAGTCCATGTCCTTTCAGGACCAGATCTACGACCCTGAGGCATCATATCTGCGTTACTTCTACTACCCTTTGGCCGCTGGTCCTCATGAAACCCGGTCAACGGTTTGGTATTCCATAGGGCTCCTTCAACGGAACCATGGGGACGACGTGAAGGAGGCCGTGAAGATTCTTGAGAACGTTATCGGTGATCAAGAAAAGAACTCTTCGGTGCAGTGGTATGGTGATTATACGGTCTATCCTGAGCAGCCGACTGTGGGAAGTGCTGCGTATGCTCCAGATGTATGATTCCCAATCGATTCAACAAATCACCATATACTGATCATCTGAGGTGTAGATTTATAACTCTTGGGACCCCAACTGGAGAGGCTTTATTGGCACGGCTTTGATCATTATTTATGAGGAATTTGGAAATCTATTGCCAACCAAAGTCCAAAATCTGATCCTCGAAAGCTTGCACAACAATACCGTCGGCGACACCTATCGTGTTGGCGGTGTCGATGGCGACAATCTATACCCAGCCTACTCAAATGCTTGGCTCATGAGAACCGTGGCCAGCTCCTGGACCGGACTCAAACTCAACGATTCTAACATGACAACCTCTGGCGACAAATGGGCCCAGGACTTCCTGGATCTATTCGATCTCAATAACACTCTGTCCGAATTCAACGGCCCAACCTATGCCGGTGTGTCACTTTATGCACTCACAATTGCAGCCAAATATCTCTCGTCCACAGAATCCGTTATCGGCCAGAATGCCCAACGCGTTATTCAGGATATCTGGGACTACGAATCCCTACTGTGGAACCCCAACATGCGAAACTTCGCCGGTCCCTGGGACCGCTCCTACGGCTATGACATGAATAAGTACGTCGCTATAATGTCTGAATGGATCTGGGCCCTGATTGGCAAGGAGCATGTCTGGCACTACAGCTCGCCTATTGGCACGATGACGCATGCCGATGACTTTGAATTAGCACCTGTCATTGCCGTGCTCTCTGAATTCCATAAGAGTCTTCTCCCGAAAACTGTGATATCGCGACTCAAGTCCTTCGTCGGCGAGCATACGTATACCGGACATACGTTTGCTCCTCCCGCGGATTACGAGCCAAGGAATATAACAACTTGGGTATCCGCAAATCTGACCATCGGCACGGACTCATTCAATCAGAGCGTCGTCGGCGGGTATTCAGAGGATTCGACTTCCTTCAGCCCTTCGGTTGTGCAATGGATACGCCCAGGCGGGTCAATCGGATACTTCAATTTGCATCCTTCAGAAACCGCTTTGAAGGCTGATGTGGCTCCATACGCGTTGAATTTGACGTATCCCCTCGGCAATGAGACGAGTAGCTTCACTTTCGTTCTTGCATCGAATCCGTTGGGGTCAAAGCGTGATATCACTGGCTTTGAAGATGTTGATGGTTTGAAGATTGATGTTGTTGGTGGTACTGTTGATCCTGTGCCTGAAATATCGTTCTGTGGGTTGGTTGGTGGAACTTGTAGTATTGTCCAGTAAGTTGATGCCTTTTTATCGATTCTGTTACCGTTACTGACTTTTTATTACTAGTAACTTTGAATTTTGGAATTTGACGTTCAGCATGCCGGCGAATAGCTCGGATGTTCCTAGCATCCAGTTCAAGTTCACACTCGAGTGAATTGAGTGATGTTGGGATTTTATGTGTTTGTAGTGTTTGTAACTCATTATTATTATCCATGTCAAATATAATTATCGAAAATTACCCTTCCCAAAAATGAACGTCGCGCCAGGAATATTTCCCACCCAAGATTAAACGATATTTCAAACCACATATCATGATTTAACCAACAACCATCTATCAAAACATCTTATCCCACACACTATCAGAGCGATCAAGCTCATCAGCTTCCCTCCGTAAAACATCCGCTCTGAATTTCCGGAACGCATTTTCTATCCGCTTCCTCATTTCGGGGTCTTTGGTGATGCTGCGGCTGGCGCTAGCTGAGCCGCCCAGGAGGCCTGTACAAGAAACCGATTAGCTGTTTATTTCAACGAAGGGATTATCAAAATACATACCGAGCTCTCCACCCAGAAACAGTCCTCCGGCCGAAGCAAAGAAATAAGTCGCAAAGTCTCCCCATGTAGACGGTCTCAGTAACGGCGTGATGTCAGGGATACTCTCTATTTTCACCATCACACATTAACACGAGTCTCAACAACAAGTAGGAAAAAGGGGGAAGAATATATACCAGTCCGTCCATCTGCAAACACAACACTAACAGGCTTCTCTCGCGCCTTGAACGCCTCAAACATCGCCTTGCGCGCACTCCGGAGTCGAAACGCAACGAAGAAGCCCAGGCCGATTCCGGCTGCGGACCCGACCAGAGTCCAGGTTGAGACTCGCGTGGCGGCAGTTTTGAGGGCATTGCGGTCGGATTCGCGCAGGTCGTGTTGGAGGTGTTGGTCGGCGAGCTTTGCGAGTTCGTCGCGGCGGTTTTTGCGGAGGGCGGCGAGGGAGTCGGACATCTTGGGTATGCTTCAAGATTCAATTGGTGTTATATTTTAAGTTGATTGTAAGTCAATAGTCAAGAAAAATAATTTTTAAGGTGAGAAGACTGATTATGTAAATGAAAAAGAAGCTGAATTTTAGCGGGGAGAGCTCCAAATACATGTAGCTCTTCCAGCATGATGACGTCAGCTAGCATCATACGATGTCCGGGCCACCCCAGAAAATGTTCTCGACATAATTGTATTCTTCAATTTATATACAATCACTATTCACTCCTCAAGCCCCTCCACGATGCAAAACTCTTATCACCACCATCTCTCCACCCCCAAGAAACACAATAATGCTGCGCCAACAACCTCCACTCCTCAATCTCATCCAACATCTCCAACGCGGCAACCCTCTCCTTTTCTGTGTCCGCAATCCAATGGCTCCAAATAAAATCAATATCCACCGCTCCCTGACCCGCACCTAGGCCATGATCCACGAATCGTTGTCTTTGCGCTGGTAGACTCGAATATTTGTGTAATGTCTGTAATTGGATCCCCCGCGCAGCGAGATTTGAGACCATAGTTTTCCCGAATGCGTCGTCGGGGCGAATAGGTTCGTAGATTATTAGGCCTAGGGGTGTTGTGGGTGGGAAGAGGGAGGCAGCGAAGTAGTCGATCACGGCGTCTGCGGCGGTGGGGGCAAGGTAAATGAGGCAGCATTCCGAAATGAGGAGTGTTGGCAAGGTTGGGTCTAAACCTGGTAGGCTTATTCTTGCTTTTTCCTCGTGAGGTTGAGTCGATTGTTGGGAGTTATTCTTTGCGGAGTCTGTCGTGCCTGTAGAGTTGGCTACAAGAGTCCTTAGATCGATAGGATGGATGTGATAATTAGGTAGATGCAAGGAAGTTCCGGTGAGATTCTGCTCGCTTCCATCTGGTAGAGCTTCCCTATCGACCTGTATCGCTCTCTGAAGAAGCGGCGACGCGCGTATCGCCTTGATCTTGGCCGATGTATTGACCGAAAAGTCAAGTTCATGGTATATCAGCCGAATTGATGGCTTCTTGCTGAATATTCGAAAAGCGCGGGTATCTGAGCCGGCTCCAAGGGATATGATCTGCTTCTTGGTGGCGTGCCCTGGTTCACTATCTTCACCAAGGAAGCGGTCGACCAGTTCGTCAATCGCGGTTGTTCTTACATATGTACCTGAGACGATATTAGCAAAGCCATTCATCTCAATGACCAATCGAGTGTGGTTTCACCTCTGTTAATAATAGGAAATCTCCTCGACCCCGGCCCTCCMCCTGCCACTGTCAAAGCCCGCGCAAACGCATCATCCAGATACCCCAATTCCACGGCACTCAGCCTCGAGACGCTGGCATCATTGTCAGTGCCTTGAATGATTTTGTCTTTTGCAGCAGCAGTATTGTTTCCTGCATGGCTTTGATCATCTGGTGCAGCAAATCCAGGTCCTCCTCGACCGCGGAGACGACCTCTCAGGCCCCCGCCGCCGCGCCGGAGGGTGTTGAGGTTGGGGATTTGATTTGCTGACATTTGAGTCTGTATAATCCCAGCTTATAATGCCAAAATTATCAGCCTATTTCCTAGCATGACATACACATGTATATGTAAGAAGGTTGATGTTGTGAGACTTTGATGTTGCGGTGGGGTATAAATTGGTTTGCCCCACAGTTGAGACAGACACAGAAATCCATCTATATTCGAACAAGAATAGGCAATACCAGAAAGAGTTTGTCCAAATGGTCGATTTTCTATCTATCTACTATACATTTTCGTAGATGCAAGAACCGATGATTCACCAATCCTCCAAGAATACAACATCATCTCTTCAAACATACACGAAATTGTTTCGGCAAAGTGGGCATGTGCTCTGGTTACTACTCTTAAACCACCGAAACAAACAGACCGAATGGAACGCATTCTTGCACGTCGCGCACCGCTTGTTGGGCGTTTGCATATCCGTCGAGATGACCGAATAACATATAGCGCACTCGCTCTGTCCCTTTAGGGCGCCCTGGACATTTCGACGGAAAGCAAGGAGGCCGTCCACGAGGTTTCCATTCGAGAACATTATTACGCCCTGAATGATGAGCATCCAGCTGCGCCATTTCTTTTCGTCGACTAGGACGCGGCTGCGGCCGCTTACGATTGCAGGTTGCAAGGGGTAGGCGGGTGGGAGAGAGATGGCCATTGCAACAGGTGGAGAGTCTTCGTCGACGGGGATACTGGCGACGAGTTCAGTGGTGCGGTGGGAGACTTTGACTGTCAGAGGGCGCTCGTCGTCGTCTTCTTGACTTTCGATCCAGGTTGAGACGCTTGTTAGGGCATCTTCGATGATTGACGGGGTGATCTATGCGAGAGATTAGTTATAAGATCATCATGAGGAACGAATCGAGCTTACATATTTCTGTGTCCAAGTCTCGACAGGGCCTTTGATTCGCTTTTTACTATCTATCCACCAATTTTTAGTGAACAGAGAAAGGTGCTTGAGTGATAGATAGTAAAGATGAATCAAGAGCCACTGTGTGTCCCTCTCACTAGGCTCATCAGTAGGCTCCCATGAGCGAATATCAAATCTCGAAGCATCAATCAGCTTCCCATGGGACTTTTGGAGAAAGTCAAAGGTAAACTCCAAAAACGGCGCCAGAATCTGATGTTCCTTGATGTTCTCTGCGTAATTCTCTTGAACAGGGAGCGACTAAAGTCCTTGAGTCAGGTTATCATATTGAAGTTTTAGCGAGCAGGCATACTAACAGCACTCGAAGAAAAATGGTCAAAGACCAATTTCCAACTCATCAAATAACTCCTAATCCTCAACAAGGTCTTGGCATCACTTAGTGAAGAGACCAGATTCGCCTGAGGGACCTCGAGAAGCAGAGACAACAACTCATCCGGAAGGTTGACGGTCGTCTTCGACAGAGCAACGTCGAATGAAATCTGCTCCTGGGCTTGCGGGATCTGGCGATGGAGTAGTTCGAATGCAGTCTGTTGGATTGCTTTGCAATCAACTGCCAACAGAGAGAACATATAAGTCTTGTTTGCCAGAGATTCTATTGGGACGTGTACGAGCTCGCGGCGTAAGAGGTCCGCCGTTATATCCCGAGGCAGATACACGGCACTTGTAGAGTCTATTATAGTCAGCTACAGACTCAAGCACTCAGAGATCTTCTTCAACATACCCAGCTTATTCAGCGTCAGGACAAGACTCTCAAAGAGGTCTTGTTTAGCATCTCTCCATGCATCCACTAAGTCGTCATTGGCGTCATTCTTCACTAAATCTCTGAGCACAGCAAAAAGTCTCAAAGAAGAATGTAGAACCGGTAGTCCTGCATCTCCACCACCTAGTTCCTTCCATGTACTACTTAACGTTTCAATGGACACGGTCCAGTGTGAGCCATAAATCTCGGAAAGAGGTCGCAAAACCATCGATAGCGCTTTAAAGACCTCTGTTCTAATACCTGTCGAATCTGAGTTGGACTGTAACACCTGAACAAGGTTCTTGACAAAAAAAACCATCCGCTGTGTTGGAATTGTGTCTAGAATTTCCCTCATACTCTCGGCGAGGATGTTGAAAAGAACAATACTTCTCGGGCCTAAAACCGGTCAATAATGGGTTGATTGGTCAAAAAATAGGAATTTTACCTTCAGATGGGTTTCTACTAGGCTTGAAACCAGTGGCATCTGCAATCAACTCATTGCATAACCGTGTACCAGATGATGAAGCGGCCAATGCCGGCCCCCAAACAGCCAGCTCTGCAGCCGCGCGTATAGGATTATACTTTCGAACCTCGCGTGCGAGAGCTGTAAGCGCGTCTGATGAGTTAGTAGGATCTACCTCTGATTTGATTTTCGCGTATGCTTGGCCGATTCGATAGCTTTCGGGTGACGTGTTATCCAGTTCAGCGACTTTCTGGTCCCATAAAGCTAACAAATCTTCTGATATACTGCGACCGTTGTCAAGGTGAGTGTCCAAGTCGATCCATTGCCTTATCAGAGAACGACCTTCGCTGACAGTCTCCAGAATCTCATCCCTGTCTTCTCTGAGTCCGGGTCCAATCAACCCTATCGAGCCTTCAATGCTGGCATCATCATCCATCAATTGTAGAGCAAGAGGTAGGTGATAGAATAAGCCTTCGCGCTGCTTTGCGTGCAGAGATTTAAGCACATCTGCTGAGGAAAGAATCTTGACGACATATGTCGTTAGCCGGAATGCCGAGGATGCTCCATCAGAGTCTCTCAGTGTAGCATCGAGATCTGGCCGACCATTCATGGATGAATCGTTGTTCACGAGATAGACAGCTCCACCTAGTGGACTAGTGATTGATGTCGAATGTCTGATAGATACTCCCAAGAATTGCTCCGTAGCTTTTTCCCACAAACCACAGGATGGAAATATATCTGCCAGTAATGATTCAAGGTCTTGAGCCTCTGTATTCTGAATCAAGTCTTGAGCCATGCCAGACAACACATCGACCCTAAAGCAAGAAGTAAGTACAAATAGACACCGACAAATGGGGTTCAAGACTTACGACAATGATTGTGGACCAACTTCTTGCAGTTCCTGCGTCAATATTTCTCGAGTGGATGCTGATGTAACATCCGCCGACACAGTGGCTCSCMTGGKTTTCTCCAAATGCTCGGCCTTCTGACTAATTTCCTCGATCGGCGACTCTGTAAGGTAGAGCAGTCGTGACACAAGCCGAGAGCCTTCTTTTCCATTTCTGAGACGTTTGAGAGCTTCCGGCTTTTGTCCTTCCAGACCTGAAAGTCCAGAAAGCGTCGTAACAATAGTGTCGTCATCCGACGACAATCCTTGCACCAAAAGCACGACTATCTGGTCAATCATTGCATCGGTCACTGTTTTATTCTCAATCACTGAAAAGACAAACGGCCATTGTGAGGCAGTCCCCGTAATAGCCTTCTCAACGCTCGACGAAACAATGGAAGTAAAATGTGATGGATCTTGTACTTTTTGGAAATCGACCGTGGAAAGCAGTTTTTGAAGTGCCGATCCACTTGAATCTTGCATAGTTGCTTCCGTCATTGTTTGGAGGGAAGTATCAAACACAGATTCGAATCCATTCCAGTCACTGCACATAAGGATGACTGACATGATTCTGTCTGCAGACGGCGTTGGTAAAAGCTGGGGAATGGCATCCTTGAGGGAATTAACAACTTCCTCGGAGTCTTTGATGAATTCAGGAACATGACGAATAGCTTCTTCCACGACTGCAGCTGCACCGTAGGGCTTCCCATTTCGCACCTGGAGTAGGTTTAATGAGCCCTTCAACAAAAGCAAGCTCGTTTCCTCAAACAATCTAGAAGTTTTTAGGTCTTCTGGCGGCAAGTTATAAAGAATCGCTGCCTCGAGCTTAAAATACTGCGTGGCTTTGGTGCATACACCATCCTGAGAAGATCTGAAATCTTTCGACTGCTCTGGAAGAGATAGTTTCACTGCTTGTAATAGCTTTTGCGTTACATTCTCCCATGCCTTTGTCAATTCCTTCTCAAACCCATGGCTTGAAAGCCGCAGGAAAGCGACTGTGCATGTTGCAGAGGCGATGGATGGTGGTAATATCCATTGATCCTCACCGTCGCCATTGACATACGGATCGAAAATCTTCGTCAAGTATTCAGTGACTAACTCACTCCTTTCTGTCTCTGGGATAAGCGTTGACAGCCAGATGCCGATGTCGTAATAAGCAGCCCATCCTGTTTTGAGGTTGTGTCGAGGCTCATCTCTAGACGTTAGGCCAGTCAGTAAATCATTCATCAAGGCTTTTACTTGCGTGAGTCCAGTTTCAGATGGCTCATCGCCCGCTTTTGATCCATATCGGCTAATAATTTCTATTGGGACCGTTTGCAGTAACTCAACCAAGTTTGTCCAATATAGCTCCGAAGCACCCTGAGATCCTTTTTTGATATACTGATGTAACCTTTTACTGGAGTCGGTCTTTCCACTGAAATAAGTGGTCCATATTTGCGGTCGACTTTGCGATAGTTGCAGTAACGTCTCGGAGAACTCAGTGGCGGATCCCAGTTGAGTGGTTGGTAGGGCTTGTGATATTATGCTGTTGCTGATGATCCGCCAGTCCAAATCTTCAATGTCTTGTGCTAAGGAAGAACGAAGCAGATTGTAGACTGATCTTCGGACAAATGGATCCGCATGATGTGTGAAAGACCAAATATTCTTGCTGTTCAGAATTTTGTGGATTGTCGAACGGTCTTTGGCTATGTGCTCTGGCGAGGCGGTACCTAAAACATCGTCAGCGAAACATAATAATTTTGAAACGAAACCATACTCAAAATTCGATTGAATAACAGAATTGCAGTCGCTGAAACTCTTGCATACTTGGCCTCGGCATCGTCGGGCTTTACGATCCTCTCATCACTCAGTGTCAGAACGGTCTGATGGAGAATAACATCATCGACAAACTCCAAGATCGAAGTTTGAAAAATTTTCCACAGACCATTCCTCTTCTCATCTGTCGTGAATACTTGAGAGATCGATTCCACCACTGAACGCGAGACAAGTCTGTCGTTGTCGTACAGTCCTGCTAACCAAGCACCAACTACCTTGGGAAGATGACGAGCCACTCGTTTTCCGGCAAGTGAAGAAATTAATCCCTGAATTGTATGGGCAAGTTGCCTCACTCTGCGAGCATTCTCTATTGAGTTGCGTGGATATACTTTGGTCTGTAATTTGTTACTATCGTGTCTAACATAAAACCCGAAAACAGGTGACAAGATCATACCCAAGCCTCCAAAAATCCCTCCTCAAGGTCATCAGTACGGTTTCCAAGACTCAGGACCGTCTCTTTAATATCTTCCAGCGCTTTCGTCTTGGTAATATCATCCTTTTTGGTCAAGTTCTTGAACGCCACCACCAGGTTCGGATCTGAGATGCGGGACAGATCCGGAGGCTCCGCAACATATGACAGTGACGAAGGCGCAGTTGTTTGTGGTGAAGCATTTGAAAAGCCTCCAAAGGTATTGGAAAACCCTCCAAGTCCGCCAGTAGCGGCTCSGCTACTAGAAGCCTGCGATTTGAATTTCTTGCTCATCGTGCGGGGTCCTAGGACGCAACGATGCCAGACTGGTACTCTGTCCGCATGCACAAATTTTGCTCAAATACACGGGAAGCCCCAGCTTCAAGTATCAAATATTATTCCCTTTCTTTCAGTATGAAACTGAAGAGGATATCTCAGAATATAAAAAAAATGATAATGAAATCCATCTTGTCTAAGGCGGGCTCCCGCTTGGGGAAGGCTTTGACGTCACGTGCCTAGGCGCCTACCTACGCGCTGAGCTAGTCCCAAATAGGCTAGATTAGTCACGGCCCTATCAACTTATTCTTATCCCAACGTCACTTCTCAATCTCAGATTTTCTTCTCAACATCTATCTCATCACAAGTTCAGCGTCAGGCCTCGCTCTCAGGTCTGAGAAATAGCTCAGACTATTTTTTTTTGAGCTGTGTATATCGATTGTCGCGCACAATAAGAGATACTTTTCGCTCAATATCTCCTGCATCGTGCTAAGGAATCTCGGGGGGCACCTTCAACTATCGTCTTCTTGACGCCAGGATGAGGTTCAAGATAGAGTTAGCTCTACCAGTCTTTAGACAATAATCAACTTTTACTGATCAGAATTTCTATCTCCAGTGAGCTTGAAGTGCTCTTCCCGTATCCCAAGATCTATCCCGAACAATGGTTTGTCTTAAGCATTCCCCTAAGAAAGTAAATGTTCTGACATCTTATCAGGCAGTATATGTGTGACCTGAAAAAGGCACTAGATGCCGGCGGACACTGTGTGCTTGAGATGCCTTCAGGCACTGGTAAGAACATGGTCCCACTATCGACATACGCAGACAATTGATATTTGGACAAGGAAAAACTGTGACCTTGTTATCCCTTATCGTCGCCTATCAACAACATCATGGTGACTCCAGAAAACTAATATATTGCTCTCGAACCATGAGTGAGATTGGTATTGCGCCCGCTTTCCGAGTGTACAACTCCAAAAACTGACATGGACAAGACAAGGCTCTTCATGAATTAAAAGCTCTAATGAAATACCGGGCGTCACAACTAGGCCAGACAGAAGACTTTCGTGGACTTGGGCTTTCTAGTCGAAAGAACTTGTGTCTGCACCCATCCGTCAAACGCGAGAAGAGTGGGACGGTCGTCGATGCTCGCTGCAGAAGTCTTACCGCGTCTTTCGTTGCGCAAAAGAAAGAACGGGGCGAGGAGGTTGAGACTTGCACGTATCATGATGTGGGTTTCAGTCATATGTCAACCTTTGCAACGAGAGACTGACTCAGAATTGAAGAATCTGGATCTTTTAGAGCCGCATAATTTAATTGAGCCGGGTGTATTCACATTTGGCGACCTCTTGAAATATTGTCAAGAAAAAGTTACTTGTCCATATTTCACAGTGAGACGAATGGCATGTCAATTCCAAACCCCTTCTGAAATTGCATTACCACTAACGCTTTATAATCAGTTACCATACTGCAACGTCATAATCTACAGCTATCATTACCTTCTAGATCCCAAGATCGCAGAACGAGTATCAAGGGAGCTTTCGAAAGACTGCATTGTTGTTTTTGACGAGGTGCGCTTCTATCAAAACCTCCTGAATGTTTGTGGATTGTTTGTTGACAATCTCCCAGGCTCACAATATTGATAACGTAGCCATTGAATCTCTCAGGTAGAACACATTAATTGCATACCCTGCTCTGACATTATGCTAACATATCTTCTAGTATTGACTTGACCGAAGATTCGTTACGAAAAGCATCGAGAGGAGCCAAAAATCTTGAGAGGAAGATTGAAGAAATGAAGTCTTCAGATGCCGAGAAATTACAGTCAGAATACACGAAACTTGTCGAAGGCCTAAAGGCCACCGAAGAAGCGCGAGACGAGGATTTAATCATGTCAAATCCTGTATTGCCACAAGATCTTCTGAGCGGTATGCTTCCTACTTCTAGTGTCATCCACCATATATCATATACTAATTTCGATTGAAGAGGCCGTCCCTGGAAACATTCGTCGTGCCGAGCACTTTATAGCATTTCTACAAAGATTCATTCAATATTTGATGACACGAATGAAAGTCACTCACACCATCAGTGAGACAACACCAAGCTTTTTACAACACCTGCGCGAGCTGGTGTTCATCGAGGCAAAGCCCCTGAAATTCTGCTCTGAAAGACTTACTTCTCTTGTCCGTACCCTTGAGCTTATGAACATCGAAGACTATCAACCTCTTCAGGAAGTGGCCATGTTTGCGACACTTGTCAGCACGTACGACCGCGGATTTTTACTAATCCTAGAACCATTCGAGTCCGAAGCAGCCACAGTCCCTAACCCTGTGCTACATCTTGCGTGTCTAGATGCTGCGATTGCTTTCCAGCCAATCAAAGAACGTTTCTCGTCCATAGTCGTGACATCAGGTAGGCACCTGTACCAGCTGCTTGTGTAGCCCTACTAATCGTCACCAGGTACCCTTACGCCTCTCGACATGTTCCCCAAGATGCTCAACTTTACCCCAGTGCTGCAAGAGTCTTATACTATGACTCTTGCCCGACGATCCTTCCTTCCAATGATCGTCACTAGAGGATCCGATCAATCACAGATCTCTTCCTCTTTTCAAACGAGAAACGATCCAAGTAATCTGCGCAATTTCGGCTCATTGTTGCTGGATTTTGCTAAAATTGTACCTGACGGTATTGTGGTCTTTTTCCCGTCCTACTTGTACATGGAGTCCACATTGCATGTCTGGTCCGGCATGGGTATATTGGACATGATTTGGAATTATAAGCTCATCTTGGTCGAGACGCCGGATGCCCAAGAGTCATCGCTAGCTCTTGAGACGTATCGGACTGCCTGCTGCAATGGCCGTGGAGCGTACGTATCTCCTTACATGCTGAAAAGTCAAGATCAAGACTAACGATTGCAACAGTATTTTGATGTCTGTCGCACGGTATGTTATATAAAATTTTCCAACATAGGCAATTGACCACCTTACTAAGTTCGAGTAGAGGCAAGGTGGCAGAAGGAGTTGATTTCGATCATCAATATGGACGCGCAGTTATCTGCATAGGTGTTCCTTTCCAGTACACAGAGTCACGTATCCTGAGGGCACGACTCGAATTCCTTCGAGAAAACTACGGCATTCGAGAGAACGATTTCCTTTCTTTCGATGGTGAGTCAACCCTTATTCAAGCACTCATCGCACAATAATATCTGACCATCAATCTACTATATAGCCATGAGACACGCCTCCCAATGCCTAGGACGTGTCATCCGCGGCAAAGACGACTACGGAATCATGGTCCTAGCCGACAAACGCTTCGCTCGCAAACGATCCCAACTCCCCAAATGGATCAATCAAACCATCCTCGAAAGCGAAGTCAACCTAAGTACTGATATGGCTGTCGCCACTGCCAAAAATTTTTTGCGAACAATGGCGCAACCATTCAAGGCTAAGGATCACGAGGGTATCTCCAGCTGGACGCCAGCACAATTAGAGGAACAGATTACGAAACGGAAGATTGAAGAAGAGCGGATTGAGAGAGGGGAAGAACTTGTTGCTGCGCCACAGAGGAATGGCGGAAATGGCGTCGTTGGTGGACAGGCTGATAAGGATGAGTTTGATGATGATATTGACGATGAACTAATGATGCTGGATGCTTAAAGCACGTAATATGGGTTCGCATGCTTCGTTTAAACTTTAAAGTGTGTACAATAGTGCGCATATGGTTCGTTGATCATTCGGGATGGCGTATATGTAGCATGTGGCAGTTGATTAGAAATTGGTACAAAAATCTAGGTATCAAAAAGTTGATTAGACTCGTGGAATGAAATCATGACTTATATGAACCGGGATATCTATATATTTTCCTACGACAAAGTCTCGAGGATTTTATTATGAACAGTCGCATTTGTGGGTCTACCAAATCTACTATCTCTTCTGTGCAAATTGACAAACACTGAAACTTTTTTCTACGAGAATGCAAGATAGACAGACATCATCCAGTCATAATCAAAAGAGAAGGCTTCCAAACTCCGGAACATATAAAGAACGATGATGGATGCTGATATACAACAAAAAGAAACAATGTAACAGGCTTAAGCCACAGGAGCCAAGATATCGAACGCGCCAGTACCGACATTACCAAGGCGCCCGACAACGATACGACTACTAGGACTCTTCAAATCGTCGAAGTCACGCTCCAGAACAGCGTCTCGCATGAAGCCAATACTAGTCTCGAAAGAACTCTTTGAAAAGGGTGAATTGCTTTCCCGGATGAGACCGTTACGGCTGTAGGACTTGAAGCCACCGCTGTGCGTCATCACGTCGCCAATCAAATTCAGATGGCGGTTGTCGACGGTGATGCTGTGACCAGTGAAAACGTCTGACATTTCGCGAATGATGGTGGAGCGCGCTGCTTCGACACCGTAGTAGATGAGCGTGTCGTGAATCGAATTTGTGCGGATGGTATGCGGGTTGATGTATTCCTGGTAATCGCGCATGGCCATGAGGTTGACGCCTTGAATGTCAATCTTGGCGGGCTCCTTCTTCTCTGGATCGGCCGGCGTGTAAAGGCATGCACCGATATCCTGGACGGCTTGGATGACAGCACGACGAGCAGAGTCTTCGGCAAGAGGAAGAACCAGGAGCTTAGGTGTACTGATATCGTAGTGCAAACGAATGAAGCATGAGTTACCTTCCAGAGCGTTGAATTTGAAGGAGGCAATTTGGGGGTATTTGCCCAATATCTCCTTCGTACGCTCTGCTGCATCAGTACGATCGAGTTTAGCTTCTTCTGTCATTTCTTCCTCGTCAGATGAGTCAGAAGATTCAGATGAATCGTCGGTTGTTTGTCCCTGTTTATTTTCATTGTCCTCGTCGTCATCTTCATTGTCGGATTCGTCTTGTTCTTTTCTGATCATATCCTCGTCCTCGTCTGGCGCTTCGTAGCTGACCTGGTTATCACGGTTTGCTTTGCTTGATGCACGCTTTGCGTCTTCTTCATCGTCCTCATTATCCTCGTCGTCGTCGTCGTCATTGCCCGCACCCCCTGCCTGTGTTTCTCGAACGGCACCTTCAAAACGCTCGGTTGTACCGATAGAGACACCAATTTCAGGCTGAGCTGCTGAAAATGCCGAGAGATTTTGCTCCGCTTGACGCCTGTCGACCTCGGTTCCGATCTTTTTCATGAAAATAGGAAGGAAATCATCCTGAAGTGCTCTTACAAGATCACGCTTCTTGATAGCGTACTCTTCCTCGTATTCCTTAGCGTCGAAGAACTTGATATTAATATCATAGATCTTGAATTTCTTCCCTTTGATATCAGTGATACTCTCTCTCACCTGCAGAGTATCAATAACCTCTGCTATACTGAGTCTGCTGATTCCCTTCGCAAAGGACTGTCCCTTCTCCTCACTCAATTCTTCAATGACTTCTACAGTCATTGTGGGAGTCATCGGCTTCTTACTAGCTGTCATCACAATTTCTCGAAGTCGAGGAACACCAAGTGTCACGTTTTTGGCACTGTGACCTGCCAAATGGAACCTGATATAGGATTAGTATAAGTGAATACAGACACACGAGTATATACTTACGTGTTAAGTGTCATTTGAGTGGTTTGCGATCCAATAGACTGGCCAGCAACAATACCGACTGCATCACCAGGATCGATAACACTGTTCAAGTACTTCATGTGCATAACACTTTCAAACGCTTTCTTGCTGAGTGAGCCAGCAATGCCTGCTTTTTTGTCCTTGAGAAGTTTGTCCGGGTTGCTGTCCTCGTACTGCATATCATAATTAGTTCACTCTCTTAGCTATGCAGAGATGATAAGATCTTACCTTCTTCAAAGCCTGGGAGAAAGCCTCGGAAACACTTCCAAAATGTCCACCAGGCTGGAATCTGGACAGAGCCGGGTCTTTTGCATCTATCCTGCCAGTCCTCTTGACTTGCTTCATAGCGTCCTTGTGCCAGTCTGTGACTTCCGGCTTTTCGAGCATGCGGAAGTCCGAGCCCATGTTCAGTTGTGCCATTGTCGAGACGTAGTTTTGCGCCAAGAAGCTGAAATTCTGTAAGTGAACCTGCTTTCCGACGTCCAGACCGTCTTCACCATAGATGAATTGGATCACGGCTCCTCCATTGGCGGTATCTCGCACAGAAGAATCGTACTCAACCTTCACGGCTTCCATACCCTTGATCATACAACGCTGCAAGTACCCTGACTTCGCGGTCTTGACGGCAGTATCAATAAGACCCTCACGACCAGCCATGGTGTGGAAAAAGTACTCTTGGGGTTTGATACCAGTCAAGAAACGACCACATACATACCCACCAGCTTGGGGGTGGGTCTCAAAGGCTCGATAAGATGGTAGCGTTTTTCCGCTGACCATGACCGGAACACGACGTCCTTCCAAAACTTGCTGTCCGAGATTGCATGAAATCAAATTGGCGTTGACGCTCGAACCTTTGGCACCAGTCGTAGTCATCAGCTGCATCTGATTCCAGGGGAATTGTTTGATAAGACCGTGTGGAAGACATCCAGCTGTGATTTCCGAGGTAAGCTGGCTCGTTTGAGAGTTGTAAACACTATCCAAGCCCGACTGCTTCTGATCATCACGCAAGACGTCTTCAAGACGACGCTTCAGTTCGGCATCCTGGTCAGCAACCGGGTTCTGGTCAAGTGTGACGTATTTCAACGAAACGCTTTTACCAAGTTCACTGGCTTTCTTGAGAATCTCAACACGTTTCTGATCTCCTTCCGGCGTTAGTCGAAGATCCTCGATACCGCAACTGAAGGCTCGCATATTCAAGTAGCGGGTTAAAAGTCGTCCGAGAATACTCAACAAGCTACCTGCAACCGTGTTGCCGTAGATTTCATGAATAGCGTCGATAAAACCGCCACCTGAGGCACCAATCTGCTTCTTATCAAGAACACCACAAAGAAGCTCGCCATCCTTGAAGATGACTTTATCTTCTTCATTTCCTTTGCCCCATCTATCTCCGGGAGTAGATGACTTTCCTTGGAGGTTGAGACCTCTTCTGTTGGGAGGCATAATATTCTTCAAAACTGTTGAGATGACTTGCTTTCCAGTCCAAAGACGACGAGGGCGAATAAAGGCAGGTTCCATGAGCTGAATTCGATCGGTGACAGTGTTGGCATTTTCCGGTCGTAAACAACTATACAAAAGTTGGTGATATTCCTCCTCGTCAAAAAACGTGTCTCGACTCGTCAAGAAGGTGGATACTGTAATATGATCTTGAATCAAACCTCGAAGAGGCTTTCCATCGGTCGAAGAAATGTATTGACGGTCAGCATCTGCGATCATCAAGAGCTCAGATCGAGCTAGTGTGTTTTGCGGGAAGTGCATGTTCATCTCGTCCCCATCGTAATCGGCATTGTACGAATTTGTGTTTGGGTATGGTAACCGGAGAACTCTCTCGTTTGGCAAAACTCGCGCACGATGTCCCATCATGGAAGGTTTGTGAAGGGTAGGTTGACGATTCATCACGACATAGTCGCCAGTAGTCAAATGTCGGTAGACCTTTTTGTTGCGATTACCCTTCATCTTTGCGTGCGACGGAGCAAGTAACTGATTAGCAAGTGCAGTACGCTCTTCAAGATTCTTGAACTTGAGGTTCACGACCTGACCGGACTCGTTCTCTATCGCCGAAGCTCCAGGGTACTTGTCTGGTCCGTTAATGACAGCCTCTCTCAATTCATGAAAATTGAAGGACGTGACGGGTTCAGGGAAAGTCAGCTTCTTAGCAAAAACCATGGGAACACCGACTTCGTGGGTCTCAAGACTGGGATCAGGAGAAATGACACTTCGGGCAGCGTAATTGACACGCTTTCCCATCATGTTCTTTCTGAAAAGACCTTCTTTCTTTTCCAATAGCTGTTTGATACCGTTGGCCGCACGCGCCGCAGCCATTCCGCCAGGGCCACGATCACTATCAATCAGGGAATTGACTTGCTCCTGAAGAGTAACGATCGCCTGAAGCAGATCACGATATTCTCGCATCCTAGCACCATCGGTTTCCGCAGTTTGCCGTGAGTGGCTGATCATGTTTATCAAATCGCACGTCTTCAAAATTTGGGTGAACGGTGTGTTTTGCTGAGCCTCCATGATTTGACCTCCTTGCTGTGCAGGCGGACGAAAACGGTTAGGTGGAACAAGAATGTTTCTCACAAACATCATGTCTGGGTTAATCTTGAAGCCAAGTCGTGAGCTATAAACCAAGTTCAAAATCTCCCGCTCTTTTTCAAACAGCAAGCACATAGCGGCATGGACTTCGGGTGCTGAAACAAACTGCTGTCCGCCTATTTTTTCACCAGCTAGTGAGCCTTGGTCAATCGCCGCGTTTGCTCGGACGACTTCCTCTTCGGCTCCGTGAAGTTCGGTAACATCCCCAACAGTGGTGCCATTCTGTTTCTCTTGCTCTTTGTATTTATTGAGAAGTTTCTTATCCTCTTGAAGGACAATAACAGGATTGGGAGCTGTCATTCCGGCCATTTGATTTGCGACGAGGGCCTTGGGAGTCGAGGCTTTGCGAAAGATCTTGGCGTAGCGGTCTTTTCGGTAACCTGGCGAAACACTAATACCAATGATCAGAAAACAAGAAAGTTGGCAAGGAGGGAGAGGATCCTTACTAATGACAATTACTGCAAGATTTCTGGGGATTCTTGGCAACCTCCCTGAAGAATTCCTTTATCAATTCCCTTCGTTGCTCAGCCGCAACTGGATTCTTTGCTCCTCCAAAAAAAGCGTCATTGTCACCTTGCTTCTGGGCCTCGCGAATGCACCTCTTGACGAACTTGTTTCGTAGCTCCATTTTTGTCTGAGGATCAATGTTCCCTTTCTCGTCCGCGTCAACAGCGACATCCTGTGGATCCTCGCCTATCAAATCAATCTCGGCTGTCTGGTCGACCAAGCCATATTGAAGAAGTCGTAATTTGCAGATGTAGGTATGAATCTCAATCCGAGAAATTCGGAAGCGGTGGCAGTAATCGCACTTTGCTCGAAGTAAGCGATACACCTGATCGAAGAAGGTCACATTCCAAACGGGGACGGGAAGCTCTATGTGACCAGGATGACCTGGGCACGACCAAGAACTCGCACGGCAAGTAGTGCAGCTAGAGACAAATCGATCAGTATTGTTTTGTTTTGCATGCATTTTCGCATTGGGTGAGAGATAGTAAGTATAAAGTGATAATAGCACTCACATATGGTCTCCCCAAGCTCCCAAAGCCGGATCGTAAAGAGAATGAGGGATAGGGTTGTGAAGAGAGTCCAAAGACGGTGTATTGAAGATGCGCTTGACCGATATTTTTTTTATATCTTCGGATGTGTAAACGGAAAAGTCGACTGACGCAAGTTCACTTGCGACAGGACGGGCGAAGGAAGACATTGTTAATGCGCTCTAATAGAGCCCAATAACCATGCTTCGAGCAACAGGAAAAGTGCTGTGAAGACTTTACAATTTTTCTGCTGATGCTTCGAGGCTTGCGGGAAAACGGCGAAGCTAAGAGGAACTTTTTTGGGGAAAATTTATTGCTTCCACTCACCGCATTTCGAGTCAGCCAATGGGAGACTGGCTAACTAGCGGCGCAGATTTAGCCGCAGAACATTGTTTGGCACGTCACTTCTTTACCCAACGTCAACTTAACCACGATATCTTTCTATTAGCGATACTCCAAGTCGAGGCTTCCTCTTTGCTACTTTGTAGTCGACTGTCGGGTGAGTAGATCTACTCCATCATGGCCGATGTGTCGCTGAAGAGGCCTCACCCGGAGGATGAAGAACTGAACGCACAGAAGAGAACGCGATCCAACAATGGCTCTCCGATGCCTGGCAACACTGGAGCCGCGCCAAAGAGCAAAGTTGATATCGAGCGCATGGTCGCGGAGGCCAGAGCCAAAGCTGAGGAGGTCAGAGCCAGACTGAATATGGCGCGTGGTGGTGCAGCATCAGCATCAGCATCACCTAGCCCAGCACCTCCTGCAACAAGTACCGGATCAGCCATGTCTCGTATCGAACAGATGAGAGCAAGGGTGGCTGCAGCTACAGGGAAAGTCGGTTCTACCCCGACACAGAGACCGACCCCGACTCCAGCGCCTCCCGCGTCCGTCGAACAACCCGCAAATCGCTTTGACGATGATTTGTCCAAGGCACGAGGCGGCTTGGGAGTCGGTCTTCATCCCGCACTTCTGGCCGATACAGCCCAAGACCAGCGACTTTCTAAAGGCCGTGGTGCCGCCCAACCTAAGTTTGCAACGACCATGGCAAATCGCCGCTCAGCAACTCCAGTCTCAGGAAAGAAGCTAGATCTGTCCGGGCCTTCCTTGGACGAGATAAGACAAAATCCTTATTATGATGACAGTCTTCATGCTACGTCAAAGCCTCGTCTATCCAAGCAACTTGTGTTCAATCAAAAGGGGAAATACATTGCACAGGCCGCGGCTTTACGGCGTCAGGCGCAAATGGAGGAAATGAAAAAGCGAATCGCAAGCATGGCCCGCCAGGCCGGTGTAGATGAAGAATTAAGCCTTGAAAAAGCCTTTGAGGTTCCTGCGCCTCCAGCTCTAGAGTGGTGGGACGAAGGCTTAGTCAATGGGGATAGCTACGCGGCAGTTGATGATCCTAAGAATATCAAAGTCGACACCGACGATTCACTTGTCACTATTTACATTCAACATCCTGTCCTGTTGGATCCGCCTCAAGAAAAGTTGGTCCCGCAACAGAAGCCTATGTATCTGACGTCAAAGGAACAAGCGAAATTGCGACGACAGCGCCGTATGGCAGATTTAAAGGAACAGCAAGCGAAGATCAGACTGGGTCTCGAACCCGCACCACCACCAAAAGTCAAGAAGTCCAACCTGATGCGAGTACTCGGAGAAGAAGCCGTGAAGGATCCGACAGCTGTAGAGGCCCGCGTCAACCGCGAAATCGCAGAGCGTCGCGAGAAACATGAAGTAGCCAACGAGGAACGCAAACTCACAAAGGAGCAGAGAAAAGAGAAACTCGCTCTTCAGCAGGAAAAGGACGCCGAGAAAGGTATACACGTATTGGTATTCAAAATCGACTGCCTTGCGAATGGACGTCACCGGTTCAAAATCAGCAAAAACGCTGAGCAAATGGCACTCACAGGCGTGTGCGTGATGCATCCAAAACTCAACCTGGTTATCGTGGAGGGCGGCTCCCACTCGATAAACCAATACAAAAAGCTAATGCTCAACCGCATCGACTGGACAGAGAACTCCGGTCCCGGTCCGCAACGCGAAGGGGCAAACGAAAATCGCGAGTCATCGACATCATGGCTCAATCCCGAGGACGAAAAGGGTGAACTTCGCGACCTAGGCTCTAATACCTGCACACTCCTGTGGGAAGGACAGCAGAAATCGAGAGCTTTTAGGAAGTGGTTGGGCGCTCGGGTTTGTGAGACTGATGGTGCCGCGAAGGAGACTCTGGCGCGGGCTAAGATGGAGAATTTCTGGGTGTTAGCGAAGACTTATAAACCTGCAGCGTTTTAATTTAATACGTGTTCTTTGAAGTTAGCGCCTGCATTGGGTTGCTTGCCGCAACTCAACTTCTACGTGTATATTATATTTGTCACTCAAACGAAAGATCTTATAATGGCATACAATTTTGCCTAAAAAGCTTGGAACTACGACACAATAGTATTTAAAAAAAGGAAAGCAGAAGATCATATCTTCCTAGCTCAACATAAACTCCTACCCCAATGCTTTTACCAAATCATGCCAAAGGTATAAACAGAGCAATCAGAAACTTTTCTATCTTGGTGGGTTGCCAACATTCCCACCACCACTTAACTGCCGTAAGATATCCTGTACTTGATTGAACGTTGCTTGATTGTTTGCAGCCGGCTGATTTTGAGGAGGCCCGGCAGGCTGCTGTTGCTGTTGCTGTTGCTGTTGTAGTTGTTGTTGCAGCGCAGCGAAGAATGCCGGGTTGATATGTGCTCCAGCCGGTACGTTTTGGTAGGGGTTTGGCTGGTATGTGTTTTGCTGATAATGATTCTGCTGATATGGCATCTGGAACGGGAATTGCGGCATTCCTGCTGTTTGTGCTTGTCCAAATTGTGGAAATTGAGGCTGTTGTTGAGACTGTTGGTGATGTTGTTGCGGGAAAGACGGGTATTGAGCGTATTGTTGAGCTGGGATAGCGGCCGAAGGTGCATTATAATTTTGGTATTGGGATTGAGCAGGATTCTCACGCGAATAGTCTGATCGATGACTATTATCCTGAGAAAGATTATTGTGGTAATTGCCTCTTCCGCGTCTGTCGTTGCCTCGACCACGTCCGGAGCCTCTGTCGAAGCCTCCTCGTCCTCGTCCTCTGCCGCGGAAATTGCCTCGGTTGTTCTGGAAGGATACCGATGCCTCCGTATGGGCTTCGGGGTGATTCATCATCTCATGGTAATTTTTGGGACGGGCCAGAGGAGTATAACCATCCTCAGCTGCTCTGTCTCCTCCATCATCATCATAATTCAGTTCACCACGACCAAGCGGCGAAGGTCCTGGAGCATTTTTCGGCTTCCCACCATCACCCCGATTGTCCTTCTTCTCCTTCTTCTTTTGCTTCAGTCTTCGTTTGTATTCAGCTTCTGCTTCGTCGTCAGAGAACTCGATCTCGTCTTCGGCAACTTCTTCGTCGTGAAAGTTGGAGGCATCGCTACCCTTGAGTCCCTTGAGTGGCTGTGTAAAGACGAATTCAGAGTGGCTTTCCACGTAAAAGATGTGCTTTCCTTTTTCAAGGCCTAAGTCCTGAATCTTCGCCGGGTCTTGATACCGGACTGTGTAAAGAGGTTCCTCCACCCTTCCTAGTGTATCCGCCACCACACCGATAACAGTTCTATCCTCGAGACATAAGAGTGAATTGCTTTCAAGGACTTGATAATCTCCAGACACGGTGGCTTTGATGAGAATAAGATTCTCAACCATGCTTTCGAGGTAGCCGAGCGGGACAATCTTCATATCTTCAGTGACTTTGATGTCAGGAATTGGAGGCGCGTCCTCAATTTGTTCATTTGCCGTTCGCAAATGAGACCCTCCACCTGCCTTATTGTCACCTTCATCGTCCGAGCCGCCTTCTGCCTGCATAAGTATCCGGGCCGTTTCCTCTGCCGATAAGATGGGATAATCCTCTTCGTCTTCGTCGCTATCATCGCTATCGGAGGAGTCTGTAGAGCTGTCGGAAGAAGATTCGTACGGTGAGGAATCAACCTCCCATTCAGGATGTTCTTCTTCGGTAGTCATGAGCTGGTCCGCTGCTGTTTGGTCGGTCTCCATAGCGTCTGCTAGTGCGCCTTCAACCGTTTGCGCGCTGGCAGCTTGCTGAGCAAGGTCGTTGACAGAATTCCCGGCATCACCGTTGGCTTGATGATTATCCGTATTTGGTCCCTCCGTGGGGATTGCGAGCTTGTCACCTTCATTCTTGACTGATAAACCAGGAATAACTGGCGCCAAAGTGAGAGCGTCAGGCTCATTCATATAGACATTCGATGTCGTAGTGGTATTTTCTGCAGGGTAAACAGGCGTCTGGCCAGTCAATGGAGTATTGTAAAAATCGCTGCTGGCTCCGAGCGGTGTTGTCGAGACAGGAATTGAAGTTTCTGGCTGCTCGGACTTGGGTTGCTGATGCCCTTCTCCCAGATGCATCTGAAGATCAGATTGTTCCTCCATTCTCTCAGTATTGAGATGAGAAACAGATTATTCAATCACGACCAGAGAAAATATCTAGGAATGAAAAAGAGTTGAGGAAAGAGTGGCGGAGACTTTTTTTCTTAACAGCATAGCTGCCTGATTGGCCGGGCTTATCGATAAGGACCGCGGATTTCCGTTGTGACGTCTCGCCCAAATTCATGAAGACAACGACATTGTTCAATTCTGTAGGATCAATCTATAGATCAATTGATCAAGATCACAATGTCGTCCTCGGAAGATGAACATTCTGACGACTCGCACAGCTCGCACAGCGATTCTGGACGGAAGAGGTGTGCCGTTCTCCATCAATCAAGCATCCAGAGACTAACTGAGGATACGTGTAAAGACCGCCCTCACCATTCTACCTCCCACTAAACGTCGCATTTTATGCCTTTCTCACTTCCAACGCAGTTGCAGCTGCCTATGCGCCTATACAAGACTGCGACGAGATCTTCAATTATTGGGAGCCGGCGCACTATCTGGACCATGGCTACGGACTGCAGACATGGGAATACTCGCCCGATTATTCCATCCGAAGCTGGCTATACGTCAGTCTCCATGCTGCTGTGGGAATGATAACGAGAATCTGGAGCTCGAACAAGAAGACTCAGTTCTATGCTATCCGAGCCGTCCTCGCCTTCGTTTGCGCTGCGTGCGAAACCCGGCTCTATTCCGCGATATCCAGAACACTTAATAAGAGAATTGGTCTACTTTTTCTGATCATCATTGCTTTCAGCCCCGGTTTCTTCCACGCGTCGACGGCTTTCTTACCCTCTTCATTCACTATGTATACGTCTATGCTAGGATTGACAGCTTTTTTGGACCGAAGAGGCAGGAACAAGATCGCCGAGGGCATTATGTGGTTTGGCACGGGTGCCATCGTTGGCTGGCCATTTTCCGGTGCCTTGATTCTTCCTCTGCTTGCCGAGGAGATTCTCACTTCCATCTTTTCTGGCCACTGGGGCAATACGCTCGGGCAGATTGTCAATGGAGGCATGAGGTGCATTGTTATCCTTGTATGGCTCTAAGCGATCTTTGTGACGAAGTGCTAACAATTGTAGGGCTTGGAAATCGGAGTCGATTCTCTTTTCTTTCAAAGGTTTACATTTGTTCCGTGGAATATTGTCGCGTACAATGTGTTTGGAGGCGAGGGAAGAGGACCGAACATCTTTGGCACTGAGCCATGGACCTTTTATATTCAAAATTTACTCTTGAATTTCAATGTTTGGTTCATTTTGGCTGCTTCAATCGCGCCACTGCTCATCCTGCAGGCCTTGTTCGGAGGTCGGACATCTTCCAGTCACACACTCTTGAGATCTCTCGCCTTCGTGTCTCCTTTCTACCTCTGGCAGGCAATCTTCACCGTACAACCGCACAAGGAAGAACGATTCATGTATCCAGCATATCCCTTCCTTGCCCTCAATGCTGCACTTGCGCTACACTTGATATTAGCATACGTCGGGACAAACAAGCCTGGAACTTTGATGGGTCTCATCCCAGGCAAAGTTAAATTCATTGCCGTCGCAGCGTTTATGTTACTGTCTATCAACGCCGGACTTTTGAGATCTGTCGGTATGGTCACCGCCTACGGCGCACCCTTGAAAGTATACGATGCGCTAGACGCATCCGGTGTGGCACAAGAGGGTAGCGTTCTCTGCTTAGGCAAAGAATGGTACCGATTTCCTTCTTCTTTCTTCCTGCCGCAATCCATGAGAGCGAAGTTTGTAAAGAGTGAATTCGCGGGCTTGTTACCTGGAGAGTTTCCTGAGGGGAACAGCATACAGGCTCTGTTAGCCGGTACATCTGCGATTCCTACAGGTATGAATGATCGAAATGAGGAGGATCTATCCAAATACGTGAGTCATTCTACAGATTGTATTTATAGGTTGATAACTAATTCGAAACAGGTTGATATCTCCCAATGTACATTTTTGGTCGATTCCCACTTTCCCAGTCAACCACCGACAGACCTGGAGCCGGAATACATCCACGACCAAAAGGACTGGGAGGTTCTGGCTTGCCATCAATTCCTAGATGCATCAGAGACTCCTACCTTGGGTCGAGTGCTGTGGATACCGAATCTACCGTTTGTTCCTAGCCGCTTTAGACGGCAGTGGGGAGATTATTGTCTATTGCGACGAAAGAATTTGTCTTGAGCATTCTAGGATCAGATTATCAGGTATCCTTAGTTTTTATGATGTATCCATGAAAAAGCGGATCGCGGCAGATTCAAGCATAGCCCGCTGTATGTATGTATGTTTGTATGTTTATATTTATCTTGTAACTATCTTTGATATAACAGAGCACTCAAACTAATATTCATGATCTGATCCGCCTTCAGTGTAGAAAGATAATCCTTCGAGGCGTGCACCGCTTTTTGGTACTCTACTTTCAGATATCCATAGAAGAATACAAGAAACCAATTAAAGTAAAGAAGACATAATCCCATCAATAACTCTTTTTTCATATCTCCCACGGTTTATACAGTGACCCAGCACAAAGCATCGCTCTCATCGTACATACAAGGATTTAAAGATGGCCGACAAAATCATTTCCTAATCCGGTAAAAAGATCCCCCGCCATTGCTTTTTCTTGGATTACCTACCCCAGTCAACTTACCCTTTGGTATTTACCTGCATCCTATCTAGCGGGTTATGATAAGCTCTCAGGCTAACTCGTTAAGCTCATTTTTATATCGACAACCCCTCCTAGTGGGAGAATTGATAACGGTTCATGCAGCCGTTTTGGGCAGGTCTTATCTATGGAAATTGAATCATGACCAGCGCTGGAGGGAGATATCGTCGGTGCATGCTTTCTATATTCGTACTTTACTATGTTCCTATGTTCTATATGTGTGTATTACTTAGTCGATGTATTCCTGTTGGATAATTAAGGTCTGAGCTACTCGTCATCGTCATCGTCCTGGGAACTACATACGGTGTAACATTTGGACAGCAGATAGCAACAGACACCGCCAGAATGTCGTCCACATACATCTACCAGATCCAACAATTCCTTCTCGAAGACAGAGCTCAAATCCATGATGCCGTCTTTGCCACTACGATAATCGCGTCGTTGACATGGGTATTGTACATAGCCCTCCAAGCCCTAAAATCTCGATATCAAAAGACCGAAACAACGAGACCATCGACGCCGGACGTTGAGAAGAATAAGCGCAAATATGGCGGTACATACTTCACGCCCTTTAAATATATGACAAACACTGACAAGGATAGAATGGACGCCATCGTCGTTCAAGAGACCAGAGCCAAAACCATATGAGGGTTGGGATGTTGAAACGACGAAACCGTTGTTATATAGGCCTTTTCGATATGGACCGTATGTAGCTCTATTCATCTGTCTCGAATATTGTCTGAGAAAGGGGATGTCATAGGAAGTACTTTGTGACCATGGGATTACGAAGTATGAAATGGGATGAATGGATTGGTATGTAACATCTCCTCAATCATGAGACTGCCTAAATTCTGACGGATCCCAGAATTGGATAACCACTACCCTCGATACCACGCCGATAAAGCGCGTCGCATCAAAGAACGCGCCTCGAAATGCTGTCATACCGCGCCTGAGGCCATGGACGGCGCAATCGAGTTGCTCGAAGAACTGTACGTCCTCCGTTCCCCGAGGTCTCCAGATATCGAATCTGACAAATATACTTGCATAGAGCATCATACCTTCCTGCCCGGTATCCAACGCTCTTCCGCGCGACTCCCGTCGGAATCGATAATCTTCTCACCGGCGAATCGTTTAACATCGTCCAACGACCCCTCGCAGAAGATCCCATGATCACATGCGCTCGCCTCGTGCAGGACGATCTAGCGCTCATGTTCGAGAAGCCCGATGGCCAATACTACCTCCTCGCCGGCGCGATCTTGCTAGCCGGATTCTGGCGCTTAGAAGACAAACTCGGTATGCCTCTCAGCGAAATCCACACGTCGGGAGACGTGCCTCAATTCAAAGAAAAACTCGAAAAAGGGATGATGAATTTCTTCAGGAGACTCAAACCCGAAGATGCGGTGTTACGCAACAATTATTTCTTACAGGTTGATGACCAGCTCGCTTGGTCCCCATCCATCGGATCCGAGGACGAACCTGGTATTTCGTGGAATACAGCGCAAAAAAACAGGGCGATTGAGCATCATTATTTCAGGTCGGAGAGGCAATCGTTACGGCGACTACCGCGGTCGGGCGCGGTGGTGTTTACGATTAGGACGTATTTTGAGCCCATCACGGAGATTGTCAAGGAGCCGTATGTGCCTGGTAGATTAGCGTCTGCGGTCCGGTCGTGGGGGGATGATGTGTCGATATACAAGGGGAAGGAGAAGTATGCCGAAGTGCTATTAGAATATCTTGACAAGAAGCATGAGGAGCAGGTGGCGAACGGGTTAGATTTGGAGAAGGAGGATGAAGTTCGTGCTTATCCGTATTGATTCGACGCCTTCAATTGAGGGTTGAGATGATTTGATTTCAATGAATAACGCCTATCCATGCATGCTGCGGGCATGATGTGAGACTATGTACATACCATAATGCTAAGCCAAAAAATAAGAGAGAAGATGCTAACCTGTATCACCAATGCTGCAAACAGTATATTAAAGCTCAAAGTTAAACCGGCCCAAGCATCTCTATCGCAGTCTTGGACAATCGTCTCCTCCTCGTCGCAAACTCATATTCCTTCGATATCCGCCAATCGCACTCTTCTCGAAAATCGCATATCCGACACTTCCATGCATCAAATACCTCAACTCCGCGAGGCGCGCGGTCACCGCGCCACCATTTTATTTGGTCAGATGTATACGACGTCAGATCTGAAGGATCAAACAGGAATGAGCGACTGCCAAGTTCGTCAGGAACGCCATCTTCTGACATCTTTGTGGACGACAGGTATTTCGCCGTCAATACCGGAGAAAGCACAGTGGGATATAGAGCCAGCGAATCAGGCTGGACAGCAGCCGGGATGGATGGTGCAATGTTTTGATTTTGCGACGTAGGCAAGAACGTATACCGGAGATGCTTCTTCATCAGATCCCACAGACTATGTAAATTATTATGCGAAAGCAATATGCTAACAGAATCCTGACTACTCCCTACAGGCACAAAATCAGGATCCGAGCTTGATATCGGCGAAGAAGCAGCATCGAAAAACTCCTCATTCAGCCCGCCGACCTCTGCAATGAATGCATCGGAAAATGTGCGCTGGGGATCCAGGTCATATCGTTCTGCGATCGCTTCCATTGTCACGTCGTCGCTGGTCACGGATCGATTAAGTATATGGTAGTATAGCTGCAACTGTAAATGCGTCGGGCGAAATCCAGTACTTTTAACCGTAGGCACAGAGCGACTCGCTCGAGTCTTGATATCTGTAATATATATCCTCGGCACATCAAGGTACGACTGATCCAAATCCGTGCCATAATCGTCGTCGGTAGGAGCAGGCTCTTCAGGCTGTTTCCACATCTCATCCAACGGCTTCCCAGCCCCAGACGCCATGAAATAATCCGAAATCGACATCTGATACTCCGGCAACGCAGCTCGCGCCGCTTCAGCATCTGCATAGTGCCGCGCAGCACTCGCCTCCAACTTCGGGTCTGGACAGATGTACGAGAGCTGATCGATGATCCCGGTCACAATCTCGCCTTCCACGAGACCCCAGACCTCAAGCTCACGCGTCAATCCGTATGTTCTCAGCGTCCGAAGACCCTGGATCACATTCCATATCCTCAATGCCCATCCATCCTCCTTTGTGGTGATGTCGACTGGTACAGTGGTGTGCACTTCGTCCTCGAGGACTTTGTGCACCGCAGTACCCTGCATCATAGCCGGCGTTCTTCGTTTGCGTCCGTGTTTCGTCAACGTATACCAATACTGCAACTCGCACCAAGCCGGAGAAATCAAATCCGATACCGAAAATGCTTTGTTTGGCGGTTTCCGGAATCGCTCTATAGGTGATTTTTGCTCGACGCTTGGTGCCGTTGTACCATCCTCGTTGTTGACGACATTGGCTGGTGTAGACTCCGTCTGCGGCTCGGTTTTGGCTTCGGTCCTGCCTTCGGCGTCCGTCCATTCCTTCTCCCTATCTCGCTGTCGTTCCCGATCTCGTGTTCTGCCTTCAGGAGAGCCTTCGCGTTCTATCAACCGCTACAATGTCAGGGCGTCAGCTCTTCAACCAAATCAAAACCTCAGAACATAGACCAGAAAAACATACCACCGATCTGCGAGCGGACGTTGACTGCTGCCGTAAGCTGACTAGGCCATAGCCTTCTCGTAATTGTGCCACCAGTCTGGTTCTGCTGCCTCTGCCAAACGCGTTTTGTCGCAGGACTCCATGCCTCCCGACCCAGCACCCTAGGCACGCGGACGGAATGCGGAAGTTCATAGTCCTCTATGTCAGAGACGATTAGCGGATCGGATAATGGTTGTAAATCATCTAGCAAAAGTTCTGCCAAGAGCTGTTGCTGGGATTCGGATGTCGTTGCGGTTGTGGTTTCTTCGGCGGTGGTTGTAGTGACGGTAGAAGTTTGATGTTCCGGTGCGACGACGCGTGCAAGCAGTTCGCTCAACAGCTCTTGTTCGTCTAGTGTGAAGTCTGAGCCGTAGTCGCTACTATCGTCGTCCAAATCGTTCGGTTGCATAGCGTTTTGTTTGGCAAGATTGAATATGGCTGCTACATTACCTAGGATGGAATGAGAGGCAAGATGCTGGATATGAGGTCTGATGTTCGGATGACGCGCGACCCACGTTTAGTTTACGCATTAGGAAATATTAGTCTAGTCTCTCCCAGCTCGTATAGGTCCAGGTTCTATATTCTATATCAAGTCTATGTAAATGTTAAGGATAAGTGCAAATCTATCATGCAGGGCCAAGAAGAGGGGGAAAAAACGGGGGGGGTATCAAAAATATCAAGCCGCCTGGGAAATCCTACCATCCGCGGACTGTAGAGTAGTACTCTTCAAGGCATTCGTAGCAGCCTCCGCAGCCGCAACCTCCCTCGCCGCTTTCTGATTCAACCAACTCAAATACGTCTGCCAGCCCACCGCAATCGTACCTCCAAACACTGATCTGAAATGCGGCGGAATATACATGAAACTAAACGCCGTCACAGCCGGCCAGAGCTTGACGCTGTTCTTGATACTGTTAGGCACGGCCAGTTTCAGTCGCTCCCACGTCTCGAAGATCGATGCGCCAGCCAGTAAGGATTGCATACTGAAGAAGTAGGTATTGAAGACCGGGGTGAAGACGGCTTGTTGGACGGCGACTTTGGTGGTGATGGAGAGGAATTTAGAGGTGTAGTTGAAGTTGTGGTGGAGGAACATGAACCTGCAGCTGTCAGTCTCATCAGTCTTACAGAGAGGGGGGAGGAGTTACGGTACCATTTATAAGAAGGAATACTCGACACAAGCCCAACGGTCAAATGCCTCAACGTTCGCAACGGATCATATCCCACCGTCGCCACCGATTCTTCTCCTTCCTTTCCATCCTTATTTTCGGCCGTTTTCACTTCCGACGGAAACAACAACTGCGCGCTCAGATCACCTGCCAGATAAATAATGAACGAGCTCGCTAATTGCGTAACGTATGGCCTCTTGTGTTGCGCATTCGTGTACCAATTCCCGAATCGACCGATCGGTCCTGATTTAATGAGTTCGCCTATACCCCGACGACTGCTGCTACTCCGTGCTGCTGGGAGGGGTGAAGTAGCTGCTCCGGCGGACGAGGTTACCGAGCCCGTGGGTGGAGGAGGGACTGTCGATGGAGAAGTTGTAGTCTCGGACGGTGGCGAGGACTCTTTCGTTGGTGTAAGGTCATTCTTTTCTATAGGTTTATTCGAGTTGTGTCGTCGTTGAGACTTATTTCCGTTCGTCGTTCTATTTCGTAGCGAGGAGAGATTGTTCCCGGGTCGCCGTCCCGCTGAAATGAGCAGGTCTGATATGACTCGACGCATTGCGACTGTATGTGTATCGTTGACGAAAGGGATATGCTCGACAGACCGTGACTCAGGCTAGTAGGTAAACGTCTATTTGGCGGTGGACTTGTCAAGGCACAGGGCTAAAATAAATATAGCAGCGCCGACAAGCGGAGTCTATTCACAAAGTCCAAACCACCCTGCTGAGTACTCAGCATGCGAAGCTGAGAACCAGGAACAATCAGAAAGAGAGAATAGCAAAGAGAAGAAACAAGAGATTAGTAAACCAACACGGGAATAGAAAGCACGCAAGACAGTCCAACCAACACAAAAAGATGCGCTTAACTCCGGTCGGAGTTGATATTTTTACAGATCGGATCTGTGCCTGAGGCCCTGATTGGGTAGAGGCGCCAGTCTCTGCTATATCGAGACGATTATGCATCGGAATGTCACGTGGAGGACACTGCCGAACAGCCGATTTTATGCATTCTAAGAGGAAGAATTGTTTGGCCTTAACATTAATATTAATCTAACTAGAGATAGATGCAGGGTAGGCTAGTCGCAAGCCAGAAACAAGACAAACTCCTCTGACTCATCCTGAGCCGTATGCAAGTGCAACAAAACAAAATCTATCAATGAAATGAAATGAATGAAAACCGCCCGAAAATGTACATGGTATCAAATATTTGGCGATTACTGTGGAGCAGATTTTTTAGGCGAAACAAAGCTAAAGTCCGAGTCTCTGGTGTTGACACGATCAATGTCGTATGGGTTGCCGTCGTACTCAACCTTGCCGCGATGCGAGCTGGTTGCCGTGCGAGTGGAAGCGCGCGAGTACATGCGACGAGCGGGGGCGGTTTCCTCTTCACCCTCGGATTCGGAGCTGATATCATGAGGAGCCGGGGCTTCGTCGCGGTCAAAGTTGACTTCGTCGTTCTTCTCACCATCTGTTTCTTCTTCTTGGGCAGATTCCTGTAGTTTGCGCATGAAGGCGGCTGATTCGGCGGCATACTTGCACTTTTCGCGAACCTGTCTGCCGTACTTGTAGAAGAGGAATGGGAATGGGACACAGGCCAGGGCCAAGAAGGCGGGAATGGTCGAGGCCCAGTGGATACCCAGGTTGTTATACATGTAAGTAGTGAACAGAGGGAAAGCAGTACCGCAGAGCGAACGAAGGACAGAGTTGGCAGCGAGCACAGAGGCAGCGAAAATCGTGTAGGAGTCGATCAAATAGTTCATGACACTAAGAAAGACCAAGACCATTCCAAAACCGAACGGAACACCAGCGGCAATACTGACCATCCAGTGGATTGATGGGTAGTTTGTCCAGGCGAACCAAAACAGGCCGATGGGGAGAGCAATTGAACCAACCAGGCAAGGAGGTAGACGAGCCTCAGGTGCCGCAAATCCGCCTTCCTCCTCTGCTTTTCTGAGATATCGCTTATTGTCCCAAATGCTGTAGGCGACAGCCGCTAACATGCCTACCATGACACCAAGGAAAGCCAGACCGGAGATTCCCTGACTCCAGCCGCGGGTTCCTTCGTAGACGATAGGGAAAGCACTGAATAACATGTACAATGTTCCGTAGATAATGGCCATATAGATGGAGAGAAGCAGGACGATCGGTTCCTTCAACAATAGAATCCACGGCCTGGAAAGAGAGGTCTTGAGAGCCTGGCTAAGTGTGACCTTGCCCCGCCGCGCATCCATTTCTGTCAGGTAAACCTTGCCAGTCATTTTGGACAGTTTCTTGGCTCGTTGGCGAAGCAAGACAGGCGAGTAGGTCTCTGGAATGAGTGTAGATCCCAGGATCCAAAGCGCGCCGGAGAAAGCAGCCATGAAACCCATCACCCAGCGCCAACCAGCAGATTCGCCCAAGAAACCACCAATAATCGGACCTAGCACAGGACCCAGAAAGGGAGCAACAGCGAAAAAGCTCATTGCCAGACCTCGATCGGAAGCGGCGAACATATCAGCAATGACGCCACCGGCGTTGGTGAGCGGGGAGGAACCAAAGGCTCCCGCAAAGAATCGAAGGATGATCAAGGTGTATGAATTCTGAGCACCGGTGCACGCCGCATTGAATGCCGTGAGCATAGCATAGGTCAAGATGAAGGTCAGCTGTCGGCCAAACATCTCACTCATGGGCGCCCAGATCAAAGGACCAATCGCAAATCCCAGCACGAACAACGAGATACCCAAAATCGCAATCTCCTCGCTGATTCCAAACGCAACCACGATTTGCGCGATACCACCGCTGTACATCGACGAACCGAGAGCGACTGCCAGCGTACAGACGGCCATCATCATCGTAATAAACCATTTTGCGAATACGGAAAAAAGCATGGGGTTGCGGGGGTCGTTCGGGATCCATGAGATGAGGTAAGGGTCTTCTTCGGTACCAGAGCCGGGGTAAGGATGGTTCTCGACTTCGGCGGTGATGCCTGCTTGGTCGACGATTTTGCGCCAGTAGGAGATTCGTTTAGGTGTGACAGCTTCGAGGGGCTGGTCCCTTTTTTCAAGGTTGTTGGTTTCTGCCATGTCTTGAATCGTAGTTGCCTTTATTGTCCCTCGGCAGACAGGGAAGTGTATGTTTCCGTTTTAGGCAGTCGCGAGTAATGATTGTTGTATGAGTAAGAAAGATAACGTAATTATAATGATAGTAGTAAGTACTAGTATATACTATGTACAGTCCGTATGAAGAGTCTAGTCAGGGTATCTTAAAATGCAATTCACGAACAAATTTCGTAAGGGGGACGAAGCCATTTAAATCAACTTTTTCGTCACAGACCAGGCCCGTTGCTAGCATCTTCTACTCCACTGCAGCCACGCGATAATGAATCTGCAGCAAAATTTTTAGGCCGTTCCCAATCGACATACGGATGTAATTCTACTTCTGGCAAACCGTCCGCGGGAAAACTCCACCCGAATACGCTCTCGGCAGTAACAGCTAGAGAGCATCCGGCGAGTTGTGCACGGATATCGATTATTAATCGGGACACTGAATCATTGCACAAAAGTGCGTAGGCATAATTCGTTGGTTGTGGTATCAATCAAAGTGAAACTTCTAAAAAGGACGACTCATTGCCAACACCAATTAGCCAACGTGTGGTGAGAAATAAGAGATCAGGACCGACGGCCGAGCTGGAAACGTAAGCATGCACCAATCACACGGAGTCCCGTGACAGCGCTAAACCTCGTTTGGACAAACCGCCGTCGCAACACGTGCCGACTTCCGGGTCGAGCGATGGCCAAGCCCTACCAAATCATGACGACAACATTTTGTGCACGCCTTACGTACGTATCTTTGATTCCTCCCACTGAACTAACACAGCCACTGTGAGTGCTGGGTCTGAGACAGCCGAGCCCAGACTCGGGCTTTTCGGGTGTAGCTGACTCGTTTCTCAGGCATCAATGCCGGTTTGCCTTCGAGTGAATCGATCTGATAAGTAGTCTGTTGATGGTATATTAGTCTGCTGCTTATGACGATGTACGATCGGTGGATGAACTTTCTTACACTAGCGTGCTTTTTCCAGTACATAATCTTAGATATTATTGTGTCATTGTGTCATACGTATTACATGTAGATCAGCCACTTGGTGCGTAGGATATCTGGATATGAAGTTGATACATCATCTTCAGATAAGTGATTGCGTGTCTGTCTCTTCGTCGGGTGGCTACGTGTTCTATGTGTTTATCCTTTCCATTCAGGCATCATTTGAATGTGGTCGTAGCATAAAATCTTCCCCAGAGGTCCGCAGGCGTTCTGTTATATATTTCGAATCACTCCACCTGGGGACATCTGGAGACTCCACAACGAACATTGAAACATTGAAATCTGAAATCCACATGCATCATGAATCATGCATCCAGGGCTGGACTGCTACAGTTATAGATCAGACATCAAAATAGCAAGCCCATGCTACTGCACAACCCACGAGTACATATCCCCATCAACGACATCCATCTGTGGTGGACTGGTCCACTGTATACGTAGGTACACCGACATTTCGATATCGAAAAACTGTAGTACATCATCAACGCAAGGGCTAGCACTAATACGTGTAACTGAAAACTTCACGAAAGAACGCGAGAAGAAATCTCTATACTCGATCCATCATATATCAGTAGTAAAACGTATACGGGCTTAGCTACATGACCTGTTCGTTACCGATATACGTCGCCGGTCAATGATCATACTTTTCTCGCAGAGTAGGTTTTGGCATCACCACTTTACACAAATACGTAGCGTATACACGAGATATTGATTGAGTAAATATGAATACGACATAAACGGCGACATTCCCTGCGAACTGAAATAAGCCACATATCTCAGTACGATGTTGATGTGTTACGTACAGCACATGGATCAGCATCCTACCGCGTGATAACGCGACCAGTTACAAGACGCAAGTTACCACGACGCGTGTTCATTACTAGCTAGAGCTATCTAAATCGTAGCAACGGAAAGAAGATCGACACGCTTGTAGACATCAAGTCTATTGTCATCAGATTGGTCTCGATAATATACATTCGATGGACTGGACCTTTTGGTGTGGTCGGTCGCTGCCTTCTGACCATTGCTATTCAGAGCTGAAGATGAATGAAGAAAAACACAAGATGGAATACCCAGTAATAACCCATAAGAAAACGCAGAACCCGTCATTTCTCGCCAGTAGTCATGATAAAATGAACAAGAGTAATATGAAAAAGCAAGACCACCATGATCGCCAACCCAATTAACCGTGAGTCATATGAAAGTTAGATTGACTCATCGCATCACGTCAAGAACAGGAAAGAATTTATGAGCGCTCGCCACGGAGACGGCGGGCAAGCTGGATGTCCTTGCTCTGGATGGTGACACGCTTGGCGTGGATGGCGCACAAGTTGGTGTCCTCGAAGAGGGAGACGAGGTAGGCCTCAACGGACTCCTGAAGAGCACCGATGGCAGAGGACTGGAAGCGGAGGTCGGACTTGAAGTCTTGGGCAATTTCACGAACAAGACGCTGGAAAGGCAACTTGCGGATCAAGAGCTCAGTGGACTTCTGGTAGCGACGAATCTCACGGAGAGCGACGGTACCTAAGATGTATTAGTTATGATCGAGAGACATGATCTAGTCAGACGCGACTTACCAGGCTTGTAGCGGTGAGGCTTCTTGACACCTCCGGTGGAGGGAGCAGCCTTACGGGCGGCCTTGGAAGCAAGCTGCTTACGAGGGGCCTTGCCACCAGTGGATTTACCTATGTGATGTTAGTCGAGAGTAAAGAAAAGGTGATGTGGAAGTCGGTGCAGGTCAGCCGCGTCACGGTTGGAATAACACATGAAACGCGTCACCGGCCAACAAGACACGACAAAGAAGCGAAAGTGAGGTAAAAATAAACTTACGGGCTGTCTGCTTGGTACGAGCCATTGTGTATGTGATTTATTTGATGAATGAAGAAAGGTTGATGATGGAAGGTGATGGTGTTGATGGATGGTAATCACTGAGTGGATGGATGAGGGAGATGTAAGAGGGAAGAGAAAGTGGGCGGGGGGAAAGTATTTGTAGTGGGCGAGGGGCGGGTGGGTGATCTGGGCGACTGCCTGGTGGGCGGCTGCAGATTTGGATCAGAAAAAACCGGGCGGGAAAGCTGGCTGCGATAAGCGTGATTCTGACACGCATTTTTGTTAGGGAAATCAGAATGCTTTGCTGGGCCATTGCTAGTGTCCCGTCTTGGCGGGCTAATGAGTATGTAAGCGAGTCTGATCTTCCCGCCCGCCAATCAGCGCCCAGGATCACAGAATGCAAATACCTTCTGATCCCAACCACGCCCGACATTTTTGATCTGAATCAAAATCGTGGCATGTAATTCGCTGGATCAGAATGCGGATTCCACCTGCCAGAATAACTGATCCACGTTGCCATGGCCGGTAATGCCAGGATCAGTGTATCAGCGTTGAATCAGTAAGAGCCGCCGCCAGATCAGCTGATTGGCCAGATCATGCACTAGCGCGTGATCCCAGGCACCTTCCCGCGTCCGGCTCCTTCTATAGAAATATCTCTCGCCGCGTCTTCTCTCCCACCTTCTTTCTCCTCTCCATCTCCAGCTCCATTCAATACTACTCAACATCATCAACGCGTTTACGCATCCACATTCAATTACTTATCAACTCATCCCCATACATCTATCAAAATGACTGGACGTGAGTATTCTCTCATCTTCTCCCTCATCAACCTTCTCTTGCTTCACTCGTACTGACTCCCTTCAGGTGGCAAAGGTGGAAAGGGTCTCGGCAAGGGTGGTGCCAAGCGTCACCGCAAGATCTTGCGCGACAACATCCAGGGTATCACCAAGCCCGCTATCCGCCGTCTCGCTCGTCGTGGTGGTGTCAAGCGTATCTCCGCCATGATCTACGAAGAAACCCGCGGTGTCCTCAAGACCTTCCTCGAGGGTGTTATCCGTGATGCTGTCACATACACTGAGCACGCCAAGCGAAAGACTGTCACATCTCTCGATGTCGTCTACGCTCTTAAGCGACAGGGCCGTAAGTTTTTGTCCTTGTGTTTCTTCTTTTCAACGCGTTCTAACGTGTCTTCAGGTACCCTCTACGGTTTCGGTGGTTAAACGTTTTCTCTTCATTGTTTTGTCACGGCCTCGCCAACGCGGTCGACGCGTCTGCTCGCCGCTGTGGTGACGCGTTGCTCCTTATTCTGGGTTGGGTTTCGGTATGACAGGGTCGTCAGGGTGTTCTCTGAATAGTTTTCTTGTTTTCTTCACGTCTTTATGGGTCTGGGTCTTGCATCTTTTTACTACTACTTTTTAAATTATACCTCGTCTACTGGTCGGTTTGTGGCCTATGGGTCCCAACATCTTTGTATCATAGCGGCCGTTTATCCTAGGTGGACGTTGCGACTAGTCGCACATGAAATGAATGAACTTAAAAGACCTCTTTATATTGTATTGTGCTCTGCAGTTGTAGCCTTCGATCTTTCTTCTCTGGTTGTATGTCTTCCATCCCTAAGGCGCGTTTGGTGTTGTTGGTGCAATGTGTTCGTTGATCGTAGATCGCGTCTGCTATAACAAGCATACATGAACTACGTGTGTGTAGTCGAATAGATACAATGCTGTAGCCGTGGAATACTTCTACGTATATTCATCTTATCTAGTAGAAACGATCAATTCTCCCATACGTAGTCGCTTCTTGTAATCGAAATGCAGCTGGCTTTGCGGCCACGGATATCCGGTAGTCGAAAAGATGGACTTTCGCGACATACGTATAATTACACACGTATTTGCGTTTATTTTATTATCAAAACGTAGTCTATGCGCTCATTGGGGTATGGATGGTGACAATTGTGGGCATTTTGTGTCTGTTGGTGGGTTACGTTCAATGTTGTTATGCTCTAGTGTAAGTGTAGTATTGATATAAAGATATATATACATTTCATGGTCAGAATCCATCTCAATCAAGAAGATACATACAACATACCCAGGAACAACACGGGAGACATTTAAATTCATACATGTAAATACAATAGCATAATAAAAGTTACATGGACTTCAAGAAGTACAGAAAACTAAAAGGCTGACCGTAAACATCAATATAAGAGTTGATTCTACGATATTACTATGCGGATCTATACAAACCGCCCGGTCGGCTGGTGTTCGACGATAACTCAACATCCACGAAGGTTAAAGCCATAGGCAGACCGAATATTGGTATATACGCGTATAAATGAGAGACTGATGCAAACCAAACCGAAATAAATCTCAATAGCGCTACGGTAGTATCGAATAGTCGTCGTCGTTCAGGGTTATTCAGGGTTGATGCCATCCGTCTTGGCGCTCTGGATAGTCGCCGGCCGGCGACTTAGATTAGTAAGAGATTACAAGCACGTCTACGTAGTACGCCGATGCAATCAACGATGATCGGTGCATCGCACTACTCATACTACTAAGAATATTCCATGAACGGCACAGAGTTCATGGGTTAAAATTAAAAGGAAATCACAAGGTTTCCAAGCCGGTATAGTCATGGTCCGTACCACTGACCGTGGCGTAGGAAACACGCCGAGGCGATACTACGACGCGGCTACGAGTGAACATCTCTTCATGTGTCGAAAAGCTGATCGTATCTCAAGCCTCCCAATGTCGACATCTACGTCGTGACACACCATGAACGTCCGGAGATGGTCCTCGCTGCTGATGACACATCGTCTCGATCGAGCAGCGCCTGATCGGAGACGCAAAACATTCGGTTCTGCCCCTGGCTCAGAGACCTCGCTGGAATCGAATCCCAAATAAATCGAAGAACATAGAGCTGGCTTGGAAAATCAATGAATGGTTGCATCTGCGAATGGGAGACGCGAGTCTACTACCTATCGTATGAATCTTCGGACATGACTCCTTCTGATGAGAAATGTCTCGACAAGCCGACGAGGAAGGAACATGAAAACATGCGAGTACCCCGGAGATGACTGTACAGAGGATTGAGAACAGAAACAAGTCGAAAGCGTGTCACTCGCAAGAATGGATCACGAGAGAATCAGGTAGCGGAAAGATGTGTCGATGGAATACACCAGCGTTATCCACGCCAGCCCGTTCTACCATCGGAAAGAACGAACACTGCTCCTCTCTGCTTGGAGTCTGAAGTAGTCATTACTGAAATTCTCATGCGTCCCTTATGAAAGGTTCTATGGGTTTGTCAATTCGATCCTACCCTTCGCAAGCAGTAAGCCAGAATATAGGGCCTCTACATCATCTCGACGTCCTGTTGCTTCATGCTTGTATGCACTCCGTGATGGTGAGATCCTCCACCTTATGTGTATCTATTTACGGTAGACCATGAATCATACATGTGAGATACCTGGGTTGTATTGGATACTAATTTTCCACATACCAAGTACAATGAGCACGGGACTTGAAGATTGACATGTCCTGGTTCATACAACCAAACCCTATATCGACCGTGGTTTCAGAGAAGTGATGTCCACTCGCCGGAGGATCTCTCATCGTCTTCCTTCATCCGAGACTGTCGATGACCATACGATCCGGTGTTGGCGAGGCAATTTGTCAGTTGTCGCATTCATAATCGACACTTATCTCTGTTGGCCACTCACGAAAGCATCTCCAGCATGATGTTTATTATCTACGAGTCAATAAGTCCGTCGAATAGAGGTTGTGACACAACTGCAGACACCAGTATCAGGCTCCCTAGCTTGACTTCGTTATCGGTCAAACAGTCGGTGCACGGCCGGCCATACCGACTTCGCCTGTCATTTATGACTACCAACGCCTGAGATGTCGCGTTAGGTCTTTTGCAGTTTCTGTGCCTGGACGAAAAACGTGGAGATGATACGATGCCGCAAAGCTTGAAGGAGAGCCCCAGATTATCATTTTCATCTCCATCCGCTCAGTCCGTTGCCACTCGCTTTGGCGATACATGCCATTTAGATACCCGCGCTCATGTCTGTTCTGTGAGATTGATCGGGAATCGAGTACGAGAAATTGCATGAATCTACCATGTCGAGCATTTCAGGCGAGATTCGTGATGTTTCGATGTGTCCGGGCACGGATACCTTGCCAGTTCTTCCTTTTCCGACCGACGAGAACGGTTCTTCGCTGCTCTGTTGTACATTCTTACTCATATCCCAGGGGATAGGACGAATGGCAACGATCAAAAGAAGTAGACGGACCAACACTTGCCGTTACCATGGAAGTAGTCACATAATCACACCCGCAGGTAGCAGAATACCCAGTCATCTCACCTGAAGCGCATCAAATGTGTCAAAGTCGATCGGTAGAGCGGCCTTTGAAATGTTTTACGGGCGACTTCAGCGATAAAAATCTGTTTATCGGATTTTCTCTGGACATCTTTCGGGTACGTGCCTTTGCAGCTTGCTCGTGTTGACCGCAAAACGGGTCTTGACTGGCCATTCGAAGCCTGCTACAGACGAGACCGTCTACTCCACATGACACAGCAACCAGCTAAGTGTGTGCGTATACCGCCGAATGTTTTCTTGCGATACATCAACCACGCTGGTGGGTTTCAACGTAGTTATAAGCCTAAGTTTGAAAGATACATATGCTAGACCCCCCTTTTCCAGAGGCCAAGGTAAGTCGCATCAAACTAACATTACAGTAGTCGAGTGACTGGTTGTCGACAAACCGCCTCCTTTGTTCAATAGTCCTGACCTTGCTCGAAGGAAAATCTCGTAGTCTGGTGTTCATCGACAATCAAGTGGCTACTGTTTGTGAAAGACCACCTCACTGAATGATCCAAGGAGCCAGAGACAAATATATTAAATCGATAGGACAGATCTCTAGAGAAGATCTTCGTGACTAATTCAATCACAATTACTGAGCTGTATCTATTCTACAAAGCCATGCAAACTTGCCTAGGATATATTCTTTCACCACAGTAGAATATTGTGTTCTACATACACTGAACATTTGACGTCTTCTACTAGATGAATATCTAACACATACTGTAAATACCTTCCACAGCCTTCCAGAACAAGTGGAGAGCCCCCACGCGGAAGCCGGCGATACCAAAAAAAGCGAGAATCTGCCGAACCTTCCGAGTAGGAACTTCCGACCCACCAAGTCTTCACTTTCGGAACGATGTTTTCCAGCTCAGCCCCGTTGTATTTAGTGTTATCGATAAGAAAGCCATGATCGGATAGTGTAACATCGTTCTGAAGAATCGAGAATCGACTTATTTTAGATATACGTCGTAGTACTACGAAGTAGTTTGAAAAGGTTGCATGCTGACACTTCCTCGGAGATGATACAGTAGCACCCAACACAATCATTCACTAAAACTAATTTTGAATGAGACACGGAAAAATTCTTTCTTAGTCCGCCGTCTGTGTGTATGCAGAAATCTTAAGGTTATCAGAGTTTTCGTCGATAGTAATGATATCGCTCAGCTGGTGATGCCTCGGATGATCCCGGCATCGATCTATCCACTAGATTCTGTATCGGTGCCATGTGGTTGAAGAGCGAGACCGGACGAACGTGCGTTGATGATTGTACTACATCTACGTGAAAGTATACTGAAAAAGTATACTGAAACACTAACCAGATCTATCGCGATGTCGCTATTTGACGCGGTGTGTCGGGTAACGGCAATGGCTCGGTGAATACGTACATGGTCAGATTAATGATTTCTCGTAATCTTTACAAGTGTGCAGTGTTTACATATCCGAGAATCGGTAAATCATCTAAAAGGGGTAGTTTTCAGCGCAACCGAGACCAGCTTGCTGATGATGTTGTCGTTGCTGCTGTCAACGGCGTATGCAACTGAGACCTTGCCTTGCCTTTGCCCTCTACTTAGTTGGACAGTTCTCAGCTGGACTATCAATATCCAAAACTAGCATACAGCTACACAGCGGAATGTTTCCTGCAGAATGTCTAGTATCAAACCGAAATCGGCGGCGTAAGCCGACACTCTGACACAGTTGTGTTGTCCTCAGACATCAACAAACAAATGAAAAATTTTTTCAGTCGGTTTTAGCTTTAGCCTAATACTGCAGTCTGCTGTGTACATTGCACAAGATGAGGCTTATGCAAGCCGCATGCCAAGTCGAATCACGGCCAACATACGGAGTCCTCCGCTCCTAGCTGAATTTCCGCCAAAGAAAGTTTCTGGAACCAAAGGAATATCTGTTCATGAACTTCAAAGTGCTCGCGTGGAAAATTTTCTTCTTAGCGATGTTTAGCTTCCGAAAGCGTACATTAGCGCAGATCATGGAGACGGGCTGATTTCCTGGATGTGGTGTGGTCCCGGGGGGGTCCGTGTGCCGGTAACACGCCGTACTGAGCTGTGTATTGTACCGAAAGGGTCGTAATGAACCATGTCAAACTATGTTTATCAGAATTTTCTGCGCTAGGGAGCTTTCTCCTGCGTACTCTCGTTGAGTTCTTGATGGCTTTGGGGGGAATGTAAACGTCGGGAGGTTTTTGTGTACAGCTGTGCTGTAAATGAGTGTATGTACGAACGGAGTAATGGATCGTTGCTTAGGCTGTGGTTGGTGGGTCGTTCGGCTCTGGGCTACCAGTCTACATAGTACTTCCTTTTCGGGCAGCTACTTTGACCACTAAGAAGATTAGGACAAGATCTCGTCGAGATCAATCATGCCAAATTCCTGCGCATCTCCGAGTCCTAGAAACCTACTAGCAGCTATGCGATGCGAGTGTCAGCTGGACATGTTTAGGAGGCAGCCTACCTTCTAGTCTTGGTCGGTAGTTATAGTTGGCATGTACGTACGGAGTAGGTATCAAGAGCCGATCTAAATTCCAAATAGCTTAGATGCTGTCTCCTTTCGAAGATACATTACGTACTATAAATGCATGTACGCATGTATGGAGTGCTTAATATGGTCGGCAATTGAATGTCTACTATGTAGTTAGTATTCGGCATAGGACAGCGCATCAGCCTTGACAGTCCTCATTCAGTTTGATTCATTGTCTGGATCGATGGTTGAATCCCCTCCATATCTGGCCTATCTCACATGAGTCAAAATGAAAAACATTTAATTCTTCTGTAACTCACAGACAGATCTAGATGTGGTCGTCGTGTGCACAATCGAGCCCTAAGGTGTTCTGGACCTGGCAACGACGGTCTAGAACGCGCAGCCCTTGCAACATCCCGACTCCAGAGTCCAGACCATCGGAATCCGCTTTACGCAGTAGGTCTTGCGCAAATCTGTTGACTCTTATTGACTCCCGTTTTTAGTCCCAGCATTCTCTAGCAGATCTAGCAGAATAATCTAGTTGCATGAATAGAATCCATGTCTCAGCGTCGCTGCAGCTAGATTACGCGTCGCATCTCCGCGGCGTAAGACATGATTACTAACCGTGACTGTGTCAGTGAAACGGAAAAATTGTACCAATGCGCCGAGGTAACACAGTCAGTAATCAGTTCGTATCGAATAATAATCCTGGGGTGACAGATCGTAGCTCAAGTCTCTGGCTGTTGTGCTACAACCCGGCTTGCCGTACCCCGGACCGAGATAGAGCCCTACAATGTCCGCCGGTTGCCGCTCGGTGAAAGAACCGGCAAAGACAAGTCCCGTTGGAATGTCGCACTCTACTGTACGAAGCTCGAAGAACGTCGAATCTCGTGACTTTGTCATGTCTTGGTTTACGTATACTCAGCTGAGAACTCGGTACGATGGCAACATAAGCGAGGACAGGATCTGGAGTAGACAGAATAGTTGAGCATAATTCAGCCGAGTGTTCACCGGCTCTACCCCGCAAAATCCAGCAGAAATGGCCTCCTTTCTTTTTCCGTTCTCCACGGGATCACGAACCCTTTCCTCGGGTGGGCCAATCATGCAGTCGGGTTGACCTTTCGCAACATTTCATTTCCACTTTGTGCCCGTGTGACCTTCGGCCGATACAATATATTGGTTTTTGAAATACGATTTTCATGTATACGATCTAGAGTACTGACTTACTCGATAGACTAGTTTCATGTCCAAGACTGAAGTTTGTAGATGCAAGCGATCGGTCAGCTGACCGCCGTCACGCGTTCTCGGCCAGCTTCGGCATTTCGGCCTTATGAGTAACTCGACTGCGGAGAGGGACTACCTGATCATTCTTGCTAACTCCGAGGCATTGTGACTCCAGTCTGGAAAGAACTGTCTGAGTCACACCACCTGCCTGCAGGAATAACGTAGTAAGTACCTGCCTAAAGCATTTGAGATACTTGGCATCGAGCGGCGATATCCGTACCACAGTCAGCTGATAGCGTTGTTCGATCTACAGCCTAACATGAGTACGATGGAGCCCGATGAATGGGGAAGCAACGTGGAAAGAAACTCTGTTGCCTTGACAGATCATCAGAAACGAATCAGCGGCCCAGAAAGAGGTGAAAAATTTTTAACGTTGATGCACAAAAGGTCGATAAACGAGACCCTTTTAGCCGGTAGAGATCTGATGGCCGATCGTTGCTGGCCGATTGTGGCTGAGTAGACAGTTTTCGGGTGGTGATTGGTCCCGGGYTTCTGGGACAGGGAGYTTTAMAAGCCACATTACTCTAGTATGCATGTGAAGATGCTTCAGGATGCATTCCTGGTGCAGAGAGTTGTGTGGAAGAGGAGAAACATAGAAAAATTCTCTTTCGTTGCCGGAGCCGAGCGCCAATGAGATAAGGTCGGCGTTCGCTTGCTTACGGCAGAATGGCTTACAAATTGTGGCTGATGCGTGGGTCTTGCAGTCGTGGACAGCACTGATTGGTGGATGGAAGCGGAAATGGGTGAGCATGCTACAACCCAATCAACGACCGCCTTCTAGTACATTCCGTAACGCTGCGTACACTAACCGTAATGATACGACGTGGAGTGAAACGATACACGGGAATGACCGATGAACAAACGAGGGTGGGTCCTGGGCTTAGCTAGTTGCATTATGAGCCCAGGGTCTGTCACCCATTCGTCGTCTTTAAAATAGTTCAAACGTCATACATAGTACTATGGCTACGAATCGTGGCTATTATCGTCTGCAGAGTAAGACAGACGAAAATTCTTTCAGAGTTTATAATACTACGAAGCCCCATCGTAGAACCCATACTTATTTACTGATTATCAATTGTTCAAACATTACTCATCATACACAACACAACCCACCCAGCTCAATTAGTCTACTACACTACCACACTACTACATAAGACCCGCGACATACCGGCCCTACGATTAACCAAACCACACGTCAGGCATCCCCATTGACTCATCGACAGCCACGCTATTGATAAGTCCGTGTTTGGAAACACTCCCGGAAAGCTTCCACCTCGTTCGATGGCTTACCAGTAACCGCATCGCAACCCAACTCGTGATCTGGAAAAAGTTAAAACAATTCCGTTGCGATAGTGCACGGCCACAGTGAGTTTGTCCGACCAAAGAGAACCGCCGAATTGTCAAAAAAGTCTGGCGCACTGATTTGTAACCCGCGGATCAGATTCCAAGCGTTAGGAGAACCTTCCCACCAGTGCGACTATATATTCGACGTCCCCCCCCAGGGTGGCAAGCCCCTTCCGCCTAAGAGACCTTTCTTACTCCACTTTTCCTCCCATACCAAACTATGCTCCTCTACCCTACCGTACGTAATAAGGACCTCATCACTCACGCTCAGTGGCCGAACACCACTACCGACCTGGACCTCCTACAAGACGGCCAGCTCCCTCCTGACATTCTCGCCCACAACCACCTCTACAGCCAAGACATCTCTCAACAGACATACCACTCTCAGCTACAGTCGCCCTTCAGCTCGCCTCGACTGCAATTACACCCTTCGTCTGGCTCATCTTCGCCCACCTTTTCCTCGTCCTCGCCGGCGTTCTCGTCAACTCGCTCTCCAGTCACAAATTTTTCTGGAGACTTTCCCATCTTTGACGGTAGCTGGTCTGAAGCACCATCCATGAGCGTCGCCTCATCCTACAATCCCGCATTCCACATTGCACCACCGGCGCCGTCGCCGTATCCCAACGCTCAATACTCTACGCCTCAGTACATGACACAGCATTCTCCTATGTTGGCGCAGTCTGGCATCGCAACCAACACCCACGGCAGTTGGGACACCGACGCCAACGTCCAGCTGCTCAGTCCAGCTCATGCACAAAAGGGACTCGCTCGCGGTGCACACAAGCGAGCAGCCTCGGGATCCTCCGGCAAGACGGGTTCAACTTCGCCACAAGCAGCGGCAACATTTGCCGGGCAATACCAAAACTCGAATCCAAAAAAGTCGCTGCCTACTCCAGTGCAGACGCCAGTGCAGAACTCATTCCTGGCCCCTGCCTTTCAAAATTACGACCCGTTGACACATAATGGCGACACTGCCGCTGCAGAACAGGCAATGAGGCAAGCAGTCATGGAACAGCACAGCCACGGTAGCAACCACAACCACAACAATAGTCATTCGACCGCCGAAGACGACACCTCCTTCCACTATTCCCTCGCCCCCTCCGTTTCCAGTCTGAGTCACCACAACTCGCCGGTGACTCCTCAAACTACATATGACGAGTTCGATGATGGATCGAAAGCGGTAGTCCATGGTGAGGACCGATCTCCTGACTTTGACCGCTGGATGGGTGATTACTTACAGTTCGATGCGAATCCAGACTTTAATAGCCAAACCGCCATGTCAATTGGCGTGCCCAAACTCAACCGCACCATCTCTGATATCTATCAAGATGAGCTCTACAATACTACCGTTGTGCCTACGTCTTCGCAGCAGATGCGCAAAGCCAATACCAACATGGGTAGTCAGCCATACCGGAATTTGTTTGCCGACCGACTCAACGCCGCCAACCAGGGACATCTATCAGCTCGCTCTCAATCACCAGCTGGTACTTCGATGAACAGAGAGCGATCCCCATTCCGCCAGGGATCTCCTTTGGCTGCAGATTTCCGGCAGCAGGCTCGACTCCAGGCCTCTGGTCTGGGCTCTGCTTTGCAGTTGCCTGGTGCCCAGCAGGACGCTCAGGGAGAGATCAAGACTATTTCTCCCAAGGATGCACTATTGGAGTATAACGAGGGTCCTGATGACCTTGCCCATGGCTTGCCATCGCTGTTCCCTGCGAACGACATTCCTATCAGCAGCAATATGACCTCTCGCCGACAGAGCGCTACTAGCGCTTTCCAGCCTACATTGGCCTACAATTCTATGGAGACGTTTCCCACTCAGTACGCTACTCAGGCTGCTGGTTTACAACAACCCATGAACAACTTTATGCAGCCACAATTGCCATCAGCACAAGATCTCCACGCCAACAATACATTGCTGCAGCAAACGCCAGGTTTCCCTGCGTCGCTGCCCACTATGGAGTCTACGAATAGCGACAGGGTTATGGAAACAGCCACCAAACGGCCTAGCGACACCTCGTCGGACTCGGGCACATATACATGCACATACCACGGGTGTACATTACGGTTCGAGACACCGGCGAAGCTTCAAAAGCACAAGCGCGAAGCTCACCGGCAAACGATGGCTGGACAGAACAATGAGGCAGCCTCGTCATTGGCTCTACGCAATTCGCAAGCTGGCCCCCACAAGTGCGAGCGAATCAATCCGTCTACGGGCAAGCCCTGCAACTCTATCTTCTCGCGGCCGTATGATTTGACGCGGCATGAGGACACGATCCACAATGCGCGCAAGCAGAAAGTGCGGTGTCATTTGTGTACGGAAGAGAAGACTTTTTCGCGCAATGATGCGCTTACGCGACACATGCGAGTGGTGCATCCTGAAGTGGATTGGCCGGGGAAGCAGCGGCGCAAGGGACACTGATCCTCCTTCTTTCCTAGGGTCTAAAAGAGCCTGAGAGATAAGGCAATCCTGACGGAGGGGCTCGTCCACTGACGTCATGTGCGCTTACCGCATCTGGCAAGGATCCATGGCAGCTTCGGATCGGCAGGCCGATTCTTACCTAAGCATCTCCCAAGACAGCCGTTGACGTCATCGGCTCGATCCTTTCCTTTTTTCTTTTGAGCTGATGGTCTGACCTCATCTTCCTTTCTCCCTTTATTACTTTTACTGCTCTACATTGTTCATAATTACTAGACCGTTATGTCATGACCCGATACGTCTTGTTTGGTATTCATGTTATTTACAGCGTTGTTTTTTTGCTTGCAGCATGGGATTGGTGGTATTACGACTGATTGACTCATTGACTTTTCAAAGATGTTTATGCTTGTTACGACTATTGCTCATATGCTCATATGATATTGCATTCTACTTTGCATTGGACGGTTTGGTATGAATGGGATGGTACATAAGGACAAAAAAAAGGTGGTGCTTTCTTTTTTGCAGTTGTCTTGTACAAAAGATTTGTATTATATGATATGACCATAGATAGATTGTACTATTACTTATTTGACTTGACTTCTGCCCTTCAAGAGTAATAATACACTTGTACACTTGTAGATCCCATTGTATTCTGTATAGGATGGTGGTGATGTTTAATTAAGTCTTATCTCCTTGTCAATACTTGCATACTATATACATGTCTTACCACCTCTCCTGCTATGTATGAACGAGCCAACCACCATCCACCCGCTTTCTAGACGAGAAGCCACTGAGAAAAGAGGCTTCCCAAGCCACCACTTCATCAATAGCTTGCCAATCTTATTAGTTGACAATTTCATTGTTTCACATGGACGTACTATGTACTACTGAGATAGGATAGATCGACCGTTTCATTGACCGTCGTAGCATGTATTAGACTTTGTCTAATATTGTGGCTTGAGTTGGGCATTTTGGGGGTGGGCAGGGTTCATTCTATTTTCGTCCTTCCTTTTGAGTGGTTGCATGACTGTCATCTTATTGATGGAAATATTTCTACACTCGTTGAAATAATTACTTACCTTGTCTATTACTCTTCTGTACTGTACTGTCTCACTTCAACCTCCCTTGAATCATATAAATATGTATGGAGACTGATAAATGTGGATTGATCGGCGAACGGGAAATCCGTGCGCGGTCGTTGGTCCGCTTACCCACTTCGACTCCACTCGGAGGATCCACTCGTGAAAATTCTCTGTGTCAATGAATTGACCTGGAGATCGATTTGTACTCCTTTGTAATTGCGAGTGCAAATCTAATCGAGGAGCGTGGAAGGCCAAGAAAATCGGCAGCGATGCAGACAGAATGAGATTCTTCCAGATACTTCTCCCACCCTTCGCACGTATGGTTCTGCGTATGTACTTAGTACGTACGGGATTATGGAGAGCGGGTAACCTACATGGTTAATGCACCTAGTCAAGCCACAATCCAAATCTGACACCCTTCAACCCTTACAAAGCATTATCGGATGCACATGATTGGCTTAGAGCACTTAAAGTGTAGATCGATGCCTTTCTGTTCGATTCCACCTCCATCGGGTATTGAAATACGGGGTTTATTTGAAATTTTATGGTGTGTGCGTGTGGACTGAGTGGGTAGTGGATTGTGGATTGGTGTGGAGGGATACATCCGGCTTTCCGCACGCAGTCAGTCTCCGTGGAGTGTCGGATATATCTTCTATGTCCGCTTGCTCGCGGTGGAACGCCTCGGGAGGACCGGGTTGTTGCTTACTGTACATCGAAATGAATGGTCCATATCGCCGAGTTGAATCTACCAGAATAGGAAGTACGATACGTACGTGAAGAATATGTAGAGGCCTGATAGAGAGTGGATCGACACGTGTCGATGTGGCTGTGCGATGGCGATTCTTTAGTATGTGGATAGACACGGATACTATGGAGTACTTTCAATCTAGGTTTGCTAGGCAGATGGATTTCCTGAGTGGATAGCATGTGATATTCAGGAGATGTTGCCGGCTGGCTATATGCAGGTACAGTATACAGTATGATACATACGTAGATACAGTATGAGAGTGAAATTTAACTATATTGATAATGACATCTATCTATCCAATGATGTGACAAGCTTTAATGAATGGCTCTGGAGGGTTACTTGCTCGTACCGAGGACAGCATTCTACTCAAAGTTAGTAAATCATCATCAACAAGGAAGGAAATGGGTCTTACTCGAGCAACCTCGTAAACAGGCACAATCCCCGTCCAGTACTCAAACTGATACACTCCCTGCCCAACAAGAGCCTCCAGCCCTGGGATCGTGGTCCAGCCAGAGTCAGACGCCAGCTGCATCAACGGAGTCACCGATGGCTTGTACGCCATTTCGAGCAAAACAGCTGCCGACTGGCCAGTACGACCGCCGCGCTCGAAAATCGTGCAGAGGATCTCGCGCATATTCGCCTCAATGGGCCTGTCGCCTGGAATGGTGCCTACGGCGACACGGGGGATATTCTCAATATCACTGGCATTCTCGAGCACGCGAATGTCAAAGCCTGTTGGGAATGTAGAGGCCATGTTTTGAATCTTCTCGGGCGAACGGCCGAGGACGTACACGGTCGAAAAGCCCATGTGATGCAGAGCGTAGATTGCGGCACGCGCTGTGCCTCCGCCACCAATGACCAAAGCGCTGGATTTGCCTTCATTGCTGTGCGCGCCGGCCTCGCGGAGACATCGCGCGATGCCGGACCAGTCGGTGTTGCGACCAATCAGGCGGGTGCGGCCGTCCTTGCCCTCGACGGGGATGATGGTGTTGACTGCGCCGATAATCTCGGCTTCGTTGAGCACCTCGTCGATGAGCGGAATGATGTCCAGCTTAAGCGGGATTGTGACTGATGCACCTCCAAAATCGGGAGAGCGAATGAACTCTTTGACGTCCTGTGCTTGGTCAGTCTCCAACCGGGTGTATACATGCGGCAGACCATTCTGCTCAAAAAGAGTATTGTGCATTGGTGGCGAGGGAGAGGCTGAGACGGGCTTTCCGAAAATCGCAAATTTCTTGGCTGGTATCTCGCCCATGATTGACAATCCTTTGCGGATTTCGGTTGCTGACAACTGTCCTGGTGCAGCCTTGAAAGGAAGAGCAGGGTGAGACACAGGTGTGAGGAAACCGTTGAGCATACGACTCAGTTGTCCCTTGTCACCCATGTTGATGGCAATGACGGGTACATCGGGATGAGCTTGTTCCGCCCAGTCTTTGAATTCTCGCAGCGCGGTGTTGTCTTTGAGGGTTTCTGCCACGCCCACTAGTTTGATGATGTCTCCGTACTGCAGGGCTTTGTTGTAATATTGAATCCAGGATCCGTTAGCCCAGTTAAGCTTTCCCTGAGGGTCATGATGGGATGCAATAATCTTAGCGTGAGCCTTGGCTTCAGTCACTTTTCGTAGCAAGTCTTCGGGGAACGTAATCTCCAAATCGATGAATTCACATCCACTGCGAATAGCGAGCATAATCAACTCCAAGGCAGCATCGTGAGCGTCATCAGGGAACTTTCCTCCCTGGCTGACAGTACGTATCGTAAAGACAATAGGAAGGGAGACCCGACTGCGATAGAACGAAATTTGCTCAGCCACGTACTCAGCCGAGGGAATGACGCTGTCTGATGATGGATCTTTGAGCAGATCAACGCGCAGCTCAACGGCGTCAGAACCAGAAGCAACTGTGCGGAGTAGATCGCCACTATCGCGCAGATCTGGCAGGGTTAGAGACACAAAGAAAGAGAGACGTTTCCTTCTAATGGCACTCAAATGATCCGTCTTGCCAGATACAAACTGAATGAATCGGTCAAAATCGTCCATAGCAAGCGCAAGCTCTGGCGAGCTGCTATGTCTACTGTAATATTGTACGTTGCTGCACTCCTGGTACCAAGGTTTGCGTCGCAGCCACACGCTCATCATGTCTTCGATATAAGCGGGTCGAGTCTTGTCGATGTTCAAGAACTCCATGACTTTTTTGATATCTCTCATAACCAAAAGGACATTACCCTTGTTCTTGTGGTAATCGATAAGGATCTTTCTTGCTTCCGCAATCTCAACAATACCACCTCCACAAGCAAAAACATGACCCGTAGGTCGCTCAGTCAGTGCGCGCTTGAACAGTGTAAGCTCAACTTCACGGAATCCTTGCCAGCCGCGCTCTTTGATGAGATCTGGTATAGTCTTGCCCTCTGTCTGCTCCAGTTCAACATCAAGATCGACGAATTTCCTATTAAGTGCTTTGGCAGCCCATCGCCCGGTCGTCGTCTTTCCTGCTCCACGCATACCAATGATGACGATGGAAGCATTTGACCGATCGGCTGGTCCATGCGCGATTTCGCTCTCGGCGAGTTCCTTGCCTCTGAGGCTCACTCCGAATTTTTGTTTCAGAGCGTCCCAGTATGTTGGCCATGTTTTACCAACACATTCCTTCTCCAGAATGAGCGTAGGTGTGGGAGCGACCAAAGACAAGATACTGAAGCTGAACGCGACACGGTGATCATCGTAGCAGAAAACGCCGCCAGCGGGGTGTCGAAGTGTAGATCGATCAATACCATCAATCTCAAGTCCATCAGGATGTTCGCGACATACAACTCCAAACTTGGCCAATTCCACCCTCATAGCTTCAATACGATTGCATTCCTTGACTCGCTGGTTGGCAATACCGTAGATCCTGGTAGTGTGGTTTCCCCCCTCGCCTTGTGCAATCGCAGCAAGCACAGAAGCGCCGAGGAAAGCATCGGTCATCGGTTCCATATCAACATTCGGCAGGGGTCGTAGCACGCCATCTGCTGGACCTGTTACTGTAGTAGAAGTAGCAGTTTGCTCGACCTTGCAACCCATTGGTCGCAATACCTCTACTGCAAAGCGAGCATCGCCTTGCAAACTAGCGGAACCAATATTGGGGACTGTACAGGTTGTGCCGGTGACCGCAGCGATTGCCAGAGGATACGTCGCAGAACTTGCGTCACTTTCAATAACATACTCTGGAGGATTAGAGTATGATCCTTGCGGAATGTGGTAGGTCCACTCCTCGGTCGTTGATTTTTGAACATCAATTCCAAAGGATCGCATCATAGCCGTGGTCATCTCAATATAAGAGAGCGAAATAGGTCTGCCTCCAACCAGTTTCAAAGTAACAGGCTCCTTAGCGTAAGGTGCGCACATCAAAAGCGATGACACATATTGGGAAGAGACCTTGGCAGCGAGGTTGATACGACCGCCCTTGAAACCACCTGACGCAGCAATCTTCAGTGGCAAACTACCGGCTTTTTCCAGATACTCAACTTGAGCACCATTCACAGTGAGCGCATCGACAAGATCACCAATAGGTCTCTGCTTCATACGGTTGTTTCCAGTGAGGATATTGTAGTCGACAGATCCTTTGCCCGAGAGAGTTGCAACCGATGTAAGAAATCTCGAGGCAGTACCGGCATTGCCCAAGTACAACTCCGTAGGGCTTGCCTGCATTTTACCACCATTGCCGTTCACAACGAGGACCTCTCCTTCATCTTCCCAGGCAAAGGTCGCGGCGCCGAGGCGCTCTAGAGCGTTGAGCATGACCTCTGTGTCGTCCGAATGAAGTAGGTTTTTGACACGGACTGTACCCGATCCGAGAGCTGCAAGAACAAGAGCTCTGTTGGAGATACTCTTTGAGCCGGGAGGGGCACAAACGACATTGAGGTCCTTGGGCACCCCAGGGATCACTTCAACGCTGGGTGCCAGAACGGCTCTGATGTCTTCGTTGGAAACGACACTAGCCTTTTGCTCGTAGGTTTGTCCAATAGCAGATAGCAAGACAACCTTTTTCTTAGGACCGTCGTTCTTCTTGTCCAAGGCCATATTGGCCATCAGCTGCTCCAAAGAGCAGTGTTTGCCAGCAGTGTGTTTCCTCACCCGTGAATCTTTGAGAGATGTAGGCAGACCATATTTGGAAAGGCATTTGACCATTCGGGAAACGGCGACAGGCTTGAGGATACCGAGGTATCTAGCGAGTTCCAATTCCTTGACCATACCAATAGCGACACATTCACCATGGAGGACCTGAGGTGACAGAATCGCTTCAATCGCATGGCCAATCGAATGGCCCAAATTGAGGAGATTGCGCAGACCACCTTCACGCTCATCCGCAGTCACCACAAACGCCTTGTGTCGTGCTGAAGCGACAATGCGATCTTTCACGACTTGTCGCACAGAATCGAATCGTCCTTTTCCTGGTTTACTGCGAGCAGCTTTCAAGATTGCATCGGCATGTTGCTCCAAAGCTGCAAACTCCTTCTCGTCGGAAATCGCTGCAGTTTTGATGACTTCTGCCATGCCGTTGATGAATTCTCTTTCGGGGAGGGTATCGATAAAGTCAATGTCGATGTAGATTCGGTGAGGTTGCCAGATCGCTCCAATTAGATTCTTACCCAGTGGAGTATCGATTGCAGTCTTTCCTCCGATAGAAGAGTCGACCATTGCCAACAGTGTCGTAGGCACCTGGACGAATCTAATACCGCGCATGTAAGTTGCGGCGACAAAGCCGAGCAAGTCCCCAATCACACCACCGCCCAAAGCAATAATAACCGTATCCCGACCACATGTCTGCTGAAGCATCCAATCCTCGATATCGGCTTTTCCTTGGCGGGACTTGGAGTTTTCTCCGGGGGGGATCTCTTTCGTGAGGAGACGGGGAGCCGGCGACAACGCCGCGGCGGCTTCGTTGAATACTTTTGCGAACTGTTCCCGATATAAAGAGCCAAGATTGGTATCCGTTACGAGCACGTACGTAGTTGAGGCAAGGTTGGTCAGCAGGTCTTGGACAATGTATGTTCCCCAGATGCCGTAGTCCGCGACGATGCTCTCCCGCCCTAAAATCGAGATCTTGGTCGGAGCCGCCATTGTGTTGTAGTCGATTTTCAATAGTAGTACCGTTTTTGATGGTGAGTTCGAGGTCTCAATTCATGGCGGATATCTGTTTCTGTAAGTCAATGCCAATTCCCCTCAATGGCTGTCAATCAATGGTATACACCGACCTTTCGAAATTGCAATTGCAGGCAGGCGTCGCGCTGACTTGGCGAATCGTCTTGTCTACCCACAAATGAGACAAATACAGCACTTGGACCCAGCAATAAAATATCAGTGTACTTCAGCAGACGATGTCTTTCTTGTGTGAGTCACTGTAGGTTGACGGTGGTGCACCCCAGGAATTTTTGTGCTAGTAACCGAAACGGGTCTAGCGCCCTGTCGACGGAGACCGTGCTTGCATCTCCCCGCTGCGAGTCTCCGATGTCATTCAGTACTTACGACATTACTTGTCGCATTACTTAGAGCGAGTATTTTTTTATTCTGTACAGTCAGTAATACTATGAGGCCATGCTGAAACACCCAATATTTTCTTTGTCAACCTCTAGGACTATCGTTGTGGTCAATTGCGAGCTTCTGTATGAGTAGAGAAACCCTCCGATATCGCCCCTGCATCAGCTGACCAATTGAATGGCCTCAAACCGGAACTTTCAGAGCTTCTTTAGGGCGAACTGGATGCTATCTACAGGGTGTACTATGTAGGGTACCATCGGGAATCAAACAGAATACCGTGCGATATTATTGAGCTAATGCAAATCATAACAGACTTTTAACGCACACTGAGAAATAGCAGTGGCGAGTCCACAATTTGGGTATCATACATTGTTCTAGCTCTAAGCCAAATGCACAGGTAATTCGCGTGCATCGAGATACATCAGTCCATACATGTTCATGACTGACATACAGCTGTACACTTCATATGTATCGAGACAAACTAGTATCGATCGTAACTATCGTTACGTCTGGAATTGTAGCCGCCACGACCTTGAGATTGGTAGCCACCTCGGTTGTTGTTATAGCCTCTGGAATCCCCACGATTGTTACCGCCACCACCTCGTGGTGCGTTGTAATATCCCTGCTGGTTATAATCCGCAGGAGGAGCAGAGTAGCCATACTGATTCTGACCACGCTGGTAGTTGTTGTCTTGGCCGTAATAGCCAGACTGGTTGTAGCCCTGTGCCGGGTTTTGATAACCATAGCTGCCACCGCGTGGAGGGGGTGGAGGACCGCGAGAGTAGCCCGCACCGCCTGCAGGAGGGGCCCATCCACCAGCACCGCCCTGAGGAGGCGGCACAAAGGATGGATCCAAGTGTGCTGCGAATGGGTTTGCTCGGTCGTTCATTCCTGGCCTTGGAACATTGTACTGGTTGTACTGGTTACCACCCCGGCCGCCGCCATTGTTGGGTCTGAAACCTCCTCGTCCGTTGGATCGAGATTTGTTTCGAACAGCAGAAATGTCTCCTTGGTCTAGTGCTGGGGGTGCAAATCGTACTCCCCGAAGGAGCATGGATTTGTGTAGATGGCTTGATTTTGGAATCTCGTAATTGACCCTGTGAAATGTTAGTATCAGATAGACAGAAATATCATAAAATAAAACATCACGTACATCATAGATCTGTTCTCATCTAGAGATGGCATATCAACATCATAAGGAGGTTCGAGCGCGCTGTGAGGAATATGGTTGTCGTCACGTTCTACTTTTCCAGCCAGTCCTTCACTGACGCGCATGTCCAGAGCGAACTTCGATGCACTTTGCTTTTTAGAGTAGAAGTTTGCTGCGAGTTCCTGATATAAAGGATGTTGGTCGGAAAGTAGGAGAACATCGGTTCCAACAGTGTTACGAGCATGTTCATCTGCACTCAACAATGGATATTTCTTTTCCATCGCAGCGAGTAGTCGAGTTTCGTCGATAAAAGGAAGCAAAACTACTCCTTGCCATGCAAACTTCTTGCCGTTCAGATCCACTGGGAAGTCTTCCGGGTAAAAGTCAATGATCTCACTGTCCGGATTTGACATCAGATCATGGAAAATCTCCGGAATAGCATGATTAGATGAAGCTGGAAGAACTCCCATCAATTGCTCGAAAGGTCGGAACGGTGTGCCTTTCACAAAATTCGGCTTCATACTGCTAATATCAACAAAGTCGGCAGCAAAAGGCGCATAGTGATACGGATAGTACCATGTCCAAGAAGGACATCCTTGCATGTAGTAAAGAAGGACCCATTGGAGACCTTCAGCATATGAACGTGCAACCTGATGACGGAACTCGACATTACTAGGATCGACATGGAACTTTTGTTCGTAGTACCTCTCGGTATATCCAGACTCCCATAAACGTACAGTATCTGGGGGCATTTCATCTGAAGGCTTTGCTGGCCCAGCTGCGACTGGCGTGTCTCTGCCGGGTGTGCCATTATCCGCATCAGTCAAATCCTCGGCTTTTCTTTTGCCTAGGGCAGGTGGCAAAGTTTCCAGTGACTGCTCTTCTCCGCTTGGCACCTCGCTATTTGTAGTTTCAGTCTCATCACTGGCCGGCACTTTACCTTTCAGTAACTGAGTTTTCAGCGCAGCGGCAGCACTCTTGTTCGCCTCATTGGCTTTGTAGATAGCCGATCGATTGACAATCATGCTGTGTGTCAACTGTCTTGTCTGCTTGTCTAGGTGTCCTCGACTTGGAGTGATTAATGTCACCTCTGTGGACGCGATGAAACCCTCTCCTGACTTGCGACCTTTGGCTGGCGGAGCAGAGAGACCTGGCTCCCCGGGTGTATAATCTGGTGAGCTTCTCCGGCGCTTCTGTGATCGTTCTGCATTGCGTGCCTTTTCCTCTTCTTTTCTACGTTGTTCGTTGGCAGCCTTTCTTTCCTCCGCTTGTCTCCGTCTTCTGAAAATTCCATCTTCTTGCTTGCCCAAACCGTTAAGTATGAGCTGAGCATGGTTAAAGTTGACGATACCATCCTTCGTCACGTAATCATCCATGAGTGGTATATTTTCTCTCCAGATAGAGATCAACAAATCAATAGCATTCTCCTTGATATCCAAGGACGGAAGATGGGGCAGGAAATCGTTTCCGACGAAGAAACACATAAATACCCAATCATCGAGCGCTCGTTCTAAATCGAAGGGGAAGCGCTGCTGAGGTACTTGCAGCTCAACAGCAAGATATTCCCTAAGTACAGAAACGTTGAGCCAGATGAAAGGCTTCAGAGGTGCAGCTTTCTGTTTTTCATCAAACTCGCCATTCTTCTCTTTTGCCTCACCTCTACATTCCTCGGCTTTATGACCAGGTTGGCCACAGAGACGACATGTTCTGGGCCTCGACTCTTGGAAGAAAACGTCTTCACGTAAGACTCGGAAGTGTGGTTCGTGAGTTGCAAGGCCAAGCATGATCAAGTCCGCATCCAACCCATACAGAACGTGGCGCGTGTTTGGATTGTGGCTGGGGTCTTGTCGTTGAGATCGAATGAAGTTCATGACCTTGTGCTCACCCTCTCCGGGAACAGTAGCGTCACTGATGATGATTTTCATCTTGAGAAAGTTAGCTAAGCTATCGACAAACATGTAGGACACAGAAACGTACCTTTTCCCATGCAGGGTCAGTGTTTAGCTTGTAGGAAATCCAGTAGCGTAGAGATGCAGAGAGAATATCCATGAATGGTGTACCAGGCGTGATAACGTTACTAAATGATGAGCTATGTTAGCACTGCTTTGATTCGATGTATGCACCTGGCTTACCTATCCCACGTTTTCTGAATGACCTGTTCCTTGATATCTTTGTCCGGGTCAATACCCTTGGCGGCATTTTGCTTGGCCAGCAATTTTTGAAATTCTTCCTTCTTTTGATCGTTCTCCCTAGCTTCTTGCGCTGAACGGAATCGTCGAGAGCGTTGCTGGTTCATCTTTGCACGGGGCGCAACGCCGTCTAGGACACAGTATGAAATTAGAACATAGTCAGGGGGAAAAAAGCGCGAGAATATTGGGCCATGTCTTACCAACTGCGATCATCAAAAGCTTCCTCGGGCGGACCATGTTCACGACTCGATCGGTGTAACGAAAGATCTCAAGCATCATCTCCTGCTCGTTTGCTGGAGGAGGCTTGCCTTCTGGATGCGTACATGGATGGACGATACCATTCATGTCTAGGTACAGGTTGTCTGTTTCCTCGCCATTGGGATTGGGTTTGGTCGTATCAACGGGAATCACTTCGCCATTGACTTCATATGGTTGCTCCTCGATGACAGGCGAAATAATTTTAGGGTATTTGTTGGAGAGCCAACGGAAAAGAGCCGGAACACCCATGACGTCTATTTCCAACGGACAGTGTTAATCGTACTGTTTGAAATCTTCAATGTCCGCGATTCATCTATCTTTAATAGCGCAAAACTGATGGCTGTCAACCAGAACAACAACCCCAGATGCTTCTGAACTTTCCACAGCCAAGTCAGTCAAACACAAAGATTAAAAACTAGATCAGACACACAGAAAAAAAAAAAAATCAGCGTGAGCGCTGAATCTGCGTAGTACAGACAAAACCTAGCAGCCGAGTCGCGATCGGAATTAATTATGCGTCGCCATTTTCGGCGCAAGGTTTTTCCGACTTATCCACCGATTGCTCCTTCCCGTTTTAAGAGCTAAATTATACTAGTCTCGAACGGGGAAAGCTCAAACAAGCAGCTGCCGCCGAGGCCGCATGCACTATTACCTGGCCTGTAACTACTCCGTGCTAGACCCTTATTGAAATAACCCAACAAGACCAGACAATCGTCAACAGCTCCCCAATGACTTGATAATGCAGTATGGTCTGCTGACCATGATAATTGATCACCATGTTCCGAATACTCGAATCGCAAGCGCCGGCAAAGCAGACGGCCACTGATGCCATCAGTGTCCTATCGAACAGACTACAAAGCGCAACACTATTGGAGGACCGTCGAGCAGCTATACTTGGTCTACGGAGTTTTGCAAAGAATTACCCGGCGAGTGTAGCATCTGGGTCACTTCGGGACCTAATTGGCAGCGTACGGAAAGATGCAGAAGATGTGGATACTTTGAAAGTGGTGTTGGAGACATTGTTGATGTTATTCTCCCCCGATGAGAACAGCGTTAGTACCTGTAACAGTTAGGATTGCTTCAAGAACCTAAAAGCTGATTGATCTCACAGCCTGAAGCTTCAGAAGAGATTGTACTATGGCTTGCGGATGAATTTACCCAGGTAAAGACACCTGCTATCTACGGTTGGAATTGAATTTAACGACATGGAAGCGTCAAGATAATATCACGGCTCTGCTGGACCTCCTCGAGACTAAGGAATTTTACTCTCGACTTTATTCTTTGCAATTGATCTCGGCAATTTGTGCAGCGAGACCTGATCGAACTCAGGAATGCATCTTCACGGCTCCGCTGGGTATTTCAAGATTGGTTGGTGTGCTATCGGATGTCCGAGAGCCTGTCCGGAATGGTATGTTTTAGCCTTTGAAATGCCACAATAATGGGTCTGATAATAGTGCTATCTACAGAGGCCCTTGTTCTTCTCATTGCCCTCACCCCTTCGTCGGCCGAGCTACAAAAGCTCGTTGCATTCGAAAATGCCTTTGACCGTGTCTTCGAACTCATTGAAGCAGAGGGGTCACTATCAAATGGATCCGAGGTGGTGGTAGATTGTCTATCACTCTTGGCAAACCTACTTCGACTCAACGTCTCGAATCAAACCTACTTCAGAGAAACAGGGTGTGTCAAGAAACTCGCAGCCCTGCTTACGGATGTGACAAACCCTCCAGCTCCGCAAGAAGAACTCTCAGCATGGTCGATAGCTCGACGGGATAAAAATCTATGGGGACTGCTAGCTATCATTCAGTTGTTTCTTGTCAAGGGCAGCATACTGAAAACTAATCAAACGGCTTTCTGGCAAGCAGGAATCATGGAAAAAGTGCTGTTTGTTGCATTCAGCAAAAACTTTGATGTTCCTGTTATTGCAAAAGTATTTACGCCGCACCGCTATATGAGACCGTATGCTAATTGCCTGTAGGCTTTGGAGACTTGCGCAGGATTGATTCGTGGAAATTCATCGCTACAAGAGAAATTCGCAGATGTCGATGTGTCCTGGAATACTGTATCTGTCGTTTCAGGAACGTCAAATGGCACTTCAAAACCTAACAAACCCGAACGGATCAATGTTCTTGAGGCCTTACTCAAGCTGACGCTTGAACCGGCACCTGTTTTTGCACTTGAAGCCCGACTTGCAGCATGCGAGTGCATCCAAGCTTTCTTTGCGAAACACAATGGCATTCGATTACATTTCCTGGGCCGTGCCATCGACGGTCATATGAGTGGAAACGATCAGATACCAAACATCATGACAACTTTGCTAGAAACTCCGGAGTCGCGCACAAGAGTTGATCCGTACGGGAACTGGATGGCTTCAGTTCTGATGTTCCACTTGTTATTCGAAGATCCAGAGGCCAAAGCGCTCGCGCTCAAAGTCACGGAAGGAAATGCTGAGAAGGGCGAGGAAGTAGTTACATGCATTCAGACGATAGCCGGTAACTTAACCACGGGATTACAGAGAGGCGATGACGACCGAGTTTCCGTCGCATACTTGATGCTCTTGTGTGGTTGGCTATTTGAAGATCCAGATGCAGTAAACGACTTTTTAGGGGAGGCCAGTATCATCCAGTCGTTAATTCGTGAGATCAAACAGAGCGGTGTCGGCAATATTCTTGTTCCCGGTCTATCTTGTGTCTTGTTGGGTATCATATATGAATTCTCGACAAAAGACTCTCCCATACCCAGAGAGACAATTCATAACCTACTCAACAGTGGGCTTGGCAGAGAACAGTACATTGACAAGATAACCAAGCTTCGAGAGGATCCTTTGGTTCGAGACTTTGAGGTTCTACCCCGTACAGGCCGAAGTGATCGTGATGGAGCACTTCCCGAGATTTTCTTTGATGCAGTGTTCATAGAGTTCTTGAAAGACCACTTCAGCCACTTTCTGCGAGCAATCGACCGCGAGCCCGGTATGGAAGTCCCAGTTATGACCAATGGCATTCAGAAGGGAATATCTAGGGAATTAGTTGACTCGCTGCGGGCACAAGTCGAGCAACACAACCAGACGATACAGAAGTTGGAGTTGGATTTGTTGAACCTGCAACAGAAACTGGAGCAAGAGCAGCTGGATCATCGACGAACCAAGGAATCCACAAGCCATGAGATGGCTCGCATCAAGAACATTAACGATAGCCTGCAGAAAAATCATGAAGCAGAAATCTCGCGAATGGAGGAGTACTACAAGGGATTGAATGACAGTGTTCAAAAGAATCATAGGATGGAGCTTTCGAAATTAGAAGAGCATCACCACCAGGAACTGTCGAAACTGGAGGATCGTCACCAACAGACCATTACCGGCTTGCAGAAAGATCATACGTCTGAAGTGTCCAAATTGGAAGATCAACATAGGCAAGGACGAAACGATCTACTCAAACAGCATGACGAACAGTTGCGAGCGATTGACAGCCAGCTGAAAGGCACTACTGCAGACTACGAACGAAAGAGTGCCAAGCTACGTCAGCGCCACGAGGATGAGGTAGCCGGCCTGAAGAAGTCTATATCAGATTTAACAGAAAACCTCGACAAAGTCAGCAACGATCATATACTGGAGCTACAGAAGATTCGAGACGAGCATTCGACTAGATATGCTGACTTTAAGGCTCAGCTCAAGCAAGCAGCCGAACGAGCATCAGAAGCTGAACAGCGCGCCCAAGAATTCGAAAAAGAGCTCTCAGAGGCCAAGGAAGCTGCACAGAGAGCAGAAAGTATGGCTACAGACGCCGAAAACGCTCGAAAGGAAGCCCAGGGTGAATTGGAGGATCTTTTGATTGTATTTGGAGACTTAGAGACGAAGAGGAAACAAGAAAAGGTCAGTCACTACCTAATCTCTACTGTACGAATATAAATACTGATGAATCGGCAGCAACGTCTGAAGGAACTTGGCGAAGAAGTGTCAGAGGATGAGGATGAGGACGAGGAAGGGAATGAAGATGAGGAAGAAGACGATGATTAAAAAGTCGCGATGATACCCACTAAGTACATAGAGCGAAGTTATGATTAGATTACGAAATCTATCATGCGCAATATTATCTGTTGTCATGTACAAATATATTTGCGAAGATCAACCCCTAGAGGATCGAATTATCTACATTAGGGTACATAGGTCTATGTTGCTAAATATGCTTCATGACGCTCGGGCCAATTATATTTGCGGCACAAAAAGTGCTGGTAAAAAAAGTGCGGCGGGGKGACTCATCCCCGCCATCTTCTCTTCTGATCCTCTCTTTATATCCCATTCCACAGCTTTCCTCGGGAATTGACTGTGACAAACTTGTGATATACTTCTCAGCCATGTCTATTGACTTTCCCGCCGAAGAGGAGTCCGTCCTTAAGCGGTGGAGGGAGATTGATGCCTTTCGCCGACAGGTCGAACTCTCCCGCGGCCGAAAACCTTACAGTAAGATCATCTACAAAAGATGCTTGATAACGAGGGAAAACTAACGGCGCAATAATTGCAGCTTTCTACGATGGACCTCCTTTCGCAACCGGCCTTCCCCATTACGGTCACTTGCTCGCAAGTACCATCAAGGCACGTGCTCAATCAAGCAAATTGTCGTATGAAGTGCCATCTAACATGCGGTGCTTTAGGATATCATTCCTCGTTACTTTTCCATGACCGGTCACTACTGCGAGCGAAGATTCGGCTGGGGTACTGTCAAATGTGATATATGATGCAATATTTTACTAACGTGGTGGATAGATACACATGGTGTGCCAATCGAGCACGAAATCGACAAGAAGCTTGGGATGTCTGGTTCCGAAGCTGTCGAGAAGCTAGGTATTGCCCAATACAACGCAGAATGCCGAGCGATCGTGATGAGATACGCTGGAGAATGGCGACAAACTATCGAGAGACTCGGCCGTTGGATCGATTTCGACAACCCATATCGTACCCTCGACGCTACCTTCATGGAGTCGGTTTGGTGGATCTTCAAACAGTTGGCTGATAAGGATATGGTTTACCGTGGATACAGAGTCATGCCATACTCAACAGCCCTTAATACGCCGTTAAGTAATTTTGAGGCTTCTCAAAATTATAAAGATGTGACCGACCCAGCTGTTGTTGTCTCTTTCCCTCTGGTTGAAGACCCAAATGTGTGTCTCTTAGCATGGACAACCACACCTTGGACACTTCCATCAAACACCGGTCTCTGCGTGAACCCCGAGTTTGATTACGTCAAAATTCTCGATGAAGCGTCCGGAAAACACTATATTCTGATGGAGACCCTACTCCGCACTCTCTATAAAGACCCCAAGAAAGCCAAATTCAAGATCGTCGACAAGTTCAAGGGATCTGTTATGAAGGGATGGAAGTATGAACCACTTTTCGACTACTTTGCCGATGAATTCACAGAGACCGGATTTAAAGTGTGCAATGATGGATATGTCACTTCTGATGCCGGTACTGGTATTGTCCACCAAGCACCTGCATTTGGTGAAGACGATTACAGAGTCGCTGTGGAACATGGAGTTATTACCGATAAAAAGCTACCACCTAACCCTGTGGACCCCACTGGTAACTTTACATCTGAAGTCCGAGACTTCGTTGGACAGCATGTCAAGGCCGCCGACAGGGCTATCATCAAACACCTCAAGGGAACCGGTCGCTTGATTGTCGACGGCCAGATTACTCACAGTTATCCATTCTGCTGGCGTTCAGACACTCCTCTTATCTACCGAGCTGTACCAGCCTGGTTTGTTAAGGTCGGACCAGTCATTCCAACCATGCTCCAGGGCATTGAAGACTCGCACTGGGTCCCTTCCTTCGTTAAGGAGAAACGATTCGCCAACTGGATCTCGAACGCGAGGGACTGGAACATTGCCAGGAACCGTTACTGGGGAACACCGATTCCTCTCTGGGTCAGTGACGACTTCAAGGAGGTTGTCGCCATTGGCAGTGTCGCGGAATTAAAAGAATTGAGCGGTTATGAAGGTGAATTGACTGACCTCCATCGTGACAAAATCGACCACATCACCATTCCCAGTAAGCAAGGCAAGGGCACGTTGCGTCGCGTGCCTGAGGTCTTTGATTGTTGGTTCGAGAGTGGTTCAATGCCTTATGCATCAGTCCACTATCCTTTTGAACGTCAAGAGGAATTCCAGAACGCATTCCCCGCCCAGTTTATTGCTGAGGGTCTTGGTAAGTTTTTTTACTACTTTGAATATTACTGCAATACTAACTCTGATATAGACCAAACGCGTGGTTGGTTTTATACATTGTCTGTTTTGGGTTGCCATCTTTTCGGGAAGCTGCCATATCAGAACGTTATTGTGAATGGTATCGTCTTAGCTGAAGATGGTAAAAAGATGTCTAAGCGTCTGAAAAATTATCCTGATCCAACTCTGATCATGGATCGTTACGGTTCTGATGCCCTACGACTCTACCTCATCAACTCTCCTGTTGTAAGAGCCGAACCCCTGCGATTCAAGGAAGCAGGTGTCAAGGAGATTATCTCCAAGGTCCTGTTGCCATTGTGGAACAGTTACAAGTTCTTCGAGGGACAGGTGGCTCTGTTGAAGAAGATTGAGAACATTGATTACGTTTTCGACCCCAAGGCTGAAGTCACCAACACCAACGTCATGGACCGATGGATCTTGGCCAGCTGTCAGAGTCTTCTCAAATTCGTCAACCAGGAAATGTCTGCTTATCGTTTGTACACGGTGGTTCCAAGACTCTTAGAGCTCATTGATAACACAACGAACTGGTACATTAGATTCAACCGAAGACGTCTAAAGGGTGAAAACGGTGTTGAAGATACACAGCATGCGCTCAACACATTGTTCGAGGTCTTGTACACTCTTGTGCGCGGACTTGCACCTTTCATCCCTTTCATTACTGACACCATCTACTTGCGCCTTCTTCCTCACATCCCTCAGATACTACGCGGCGAAGACGATCGCAGCGTGCACTTCCAGCCATATCCTCAAGTTCGCGAAGAGCTTTTTGACGAAGTCATCGAGAGACGTGTGGCTAGAATGCAAAGAGTCATCGAGTTGGGCCGTGTTTCCCGTGAGCGCCGTACCTTGGCATTGAGGACGCCTTTGAAAACACTCGTGGTCATTCACCAAGATCAACAATACTTGGATGATGTTAAATCTCTGGAATCTTACATTGTTGAGGAACTGAACGTGCGGGATCTTGTCCTGTCCTCAGATGAAGAGAAGTACAACGTACAATACAGTGTCTCAGCTGACTGGCCCACATTGGGCAAGAAGCTCAAGAAGGATGCGCAAAAAGTGAAGAAATCTTTGCCTTCCTTGACAAGCGAAGATGTTAAGAAGTTTGTTGCCGAGAAACGCATTGTTGTTGATGGTATCGAACTTGCCGAAGAGGATCTTATCGTCAAACGTGGCATCAAGGAGGACGAAACATCTCAGAACATGGAGACGAACTCTGACAGCGACGTTCTTACCATATTGGACGTCACCGTCTATCCCGAATTGGCAGATGAGGGTATTGGACGAGAGATTATCAGCCGTGTCCAACGACTACGCAAGAAGGCAGGCTTGCAGACTACAGATGACGTCAAGATGGAGTACAAAGTTCTCTCTGACCCCGACGAAATCGGCTTGGCCAAAGTATTCCAGACTCAATCTGCAGCCTTTGAGAAGACTTTGCGGAGACCTATTGACCATCATGTCATTACACAGGTGGCTGGTGAGATCCCCAAGGAAGCGGAGCCAGGTCTCATTGTGGAGGAGGAGCAAGAAGTTCAAAAAGCAACATTTTTGCTCAGACTCCTTAAACTGTGATAAGCCCTCTTCACTTATGTACGATTCCCACGTCTAAAAAGAACATTTCATAGCATTCTAAAGGGTTCGTCGTTACTAGCTGAATAGTGAATACATTGCTATACATTTTCCCCGTCAATAATCATTTCTTCTTTGAAGCTGCCTGTCTCTAAGTTAGTATGGTCTTCATCTCTGTCTAGAAGAAGCAGATCTTACCAAGAAGCAATCCTTGAGTCGCATAAACTCTTTGGCGCACATGTCCTTCTGGACAGCGTTATAATCGGCAACGACGCATTTTCCATATGCGGCAGCCTGTAGGAGAAATCAGTACGTAAATGAGCAAAATTTTGGGTATAATATACCTCCACGGAGCATTGAGAGGCAGCCTGAGCGAACTTCTCAAGAGGCCGGACCTTGCTCGACATTGTGTGTAATGTAGTTCGATCACATCAAAAAAATGTTGATAGTGATGGAGGAGAGAAGCTTATCTCAAGCCGTTGCATTGACTGCGGACTATGCACGTGATATGAAAGACTCTACTGGCCAGAATTGTAATTGTGGGGTAACCTCTAGCAGCGCGCATTCCAAGAAAGAATGTTTTGCCCAAACACGGCCGCTCTCTCGAACACACTCCATGGCTTGGGCCAATGAATATACCTTGAAAGAAAAGGACATCGACTCGGAGATGATAATCACGCGATTTTGATCCCCATTTTGGTTGATAGCATTGTCGCTTTTGGGTCCTCTCAATTGCCGCCGCGATGACCTTGATCGGCTCTCGCGTCAATGTTGTCTTTCGAAAAGCGCCATAACTTGCGATTCTTCTTCCAATGTCTCCGATTGCCGCGCAACGTCCGACCGTGTTAGATAGGGACCGCGCTCTGTCTGATCAAGGTAAGTCGTCGAATGTTTGTTGGGGCGAAGCATTCACTGATAATATCGCGATTGAAACCAGATGTCGGCCTTCTTTATCAGATTATTACTCGCGCTGAGCAGAACCCTGATGTCGACCGTCTACCCTACCGAGCGCTCTTTGCAGCGTACGATGAAGTTCTCGCCGAACATGGCGGATCGGAGGCAGACCCGGACCAGATCTGTATGCACTTTCTCTTCAAAATGGGCACCGGAGGCCTTGCGAATCAATCCTTGTTCGATAGATTTGAAAATATTTTACAACGCATGGGGATTGTCCTTTCGTTCGATGACTCGGCATCTGAAGAGATCGGTCGATACACGCTTCCCCCAATACAAGAAATTGAACAAGAACCACAGTTCACCGACCGGATCGGTGAAGACACAACTCAAAGATCTCAGCGCAAGAGAAGAGCTTCATTTAATTCAATGTACGATGTCAATGATGATGCAACGCAACGATATGGAAATCGGCCAAGCTCCAGGTCCTCGATGTCTCGACTCGATCCCGGGAAGCCGGACTTCATGGAGACCGATGACGAACCTCGAAATAGACGAGTTCAGCAAGGTCCAGCTACTATGCTTGACAAAAATCAGCTGCTGGCCCAGTTTTTGGAAATGGGACGTCGGTTGATGGGTGGTCTAGATCCGACGAGGGGAGAACAACAAATACCTAACAATGACCCACCTGTTCAGACAGCTGCGGATGGACATTTGAGCTCATCTCCGCGGCCAGCTTCTCGCAGCGATTCAGACAGCCTGCGACAGATGGACGGCAACCAGTCCTCTCAAAATGACAGAAATCTTTACCCGGAGGATATGGTGGTATTCGATGATATGAATCCTAAACCTAGTCTGTCTGACATGTTGCGAGATGCATCGAGCTTCTCAACGTATCGGAAAAGAGTTACTGCGAGGAACATTATCTCATATTGGCTGCATCAAGCCACTCGCTCGCAGCAGAGAAATCGGGAGATGGAGGCTCTGGCTATTAATCAAGATCGATTAGCACTTCTCCGACAAGCCCTTGACTTGTGGCGAGCAGAACTCGAAAGGAAACGACAAAACTCTCGTACAAAGCGATTTTTTCGACATCTCGAAAAACGTGCTGCCAAGGCAAGGGACCTATATCTCATGACTAAAGCATTCAGTCATTGGGCGCAGCTCACATCCGACGAACTATCAAAAGCATCGACAGCACGAGGACATATCTTGAGTATCAAGTATTTCAATGCCTGGCGTGAGATAACGGCCGTCAATGGAATGAAGGCACAACGCTTTGCCGTTCAAAAGCCACTCGATGGCTGGAGAAGAAGAATCCAGCAAATCCGGGAGTTAAATGAGCATGCCATCGTTACTCACGAACATAATATGAAACGAAGGTTTTTCATGTTGATGCGTTCGAATTTCTATTTTGAGCATCGAGCTCCAGAATGGAGTGACTTTCGTCTAATTAAAGGGTCTTTTCTTGCATGGATTCGTGCCTTAAGGACACAACGAGAACGCGAGGCGGATCTAGATCTATCAAACCGTCAGGAACTTCTACACGCAGCACTGAAGACATGGTCCTATCGACTTAGATCGGTAAACGCTGCTCATATTGACGCCGAAACGAGTCATAGGAATAAATTATTGGGAGAGCAAGTGGAGGTATGGAATGCACAGACTCGGCTGCAACCAGCAGCTATTCAGACCGCCACAAGAATAGATACGAGAGTACTCAAGACTACCCTTACGCAATGGCGTCTACGGAATAACAACATACAACAAGCAAAAGAAGCTGACAGATTGAGGGTATTAAGTAATGCTTGGACAAGTTGGAATGATCATTTACGCTGTTATGCGCTGAAAGAGCGCATTGGTGAACGACTAAAGAAAGAAGCCATCTACCGATGGGTTTTGGCAGAAAGATATCGCCTTGCACAGCGAATAAGAGACCAGCGCATACAACGGGAGGCTTTTGCTCAGTTCATTTTTACTGTTCGGGATACGTCTAAAGAGTTGCTGCAGCGCGAAGAGCAATATACTCGCCACTATAACGAGGATCTAGCACGATCTGCTCTCGAATGTTGGAGAAATAAACTTGCAGTTCAACGTCAACGAGAATATGCCGCCATGGAATTCTACGTTCCTCGAATCGAGCAAGAGGCGATCACGATTTGGGGCTCTAAATACCAACATCTTCAGAATCTAGACAAGTGGTCGAGGGATGCTCGATTTTATTTTGTTACCACCAAGTTTGTTAAGCTTTGGCATAATGCCACATTGGATGCGTCGAAGAAACGCCGTCAAGATGCTTACGTGAAGATTCGGAGGAAGGTCAAGATGAACATTGCAGCGAGTGCCTTGCGTGTATGGTATGACAAGTCACGGCGAATGACGAATCTCCACAAGCAAGCCAATGAACTTCATCAGACAAAGCTGATTATATACTCCGCTGAGCTTATCGGTCGTTGGAGCGACAAGACCGCGAAGGCCATTCAGGATACCCAGGATGCCGAGGTCTATTATCACAGACAACTTGCCTATCACCAATTAACTCGATGGATGGATGAATACGAAACATATCGCGGCATGGAAGAACAAGCCGACGGTATGAATCTGATACATGTCTCTGGCGTCGCTTCCGCATCGTTGCGCAAGCTCAGTCTTCGTATCTTTCAGATTCGCAGCGCAGCTGAGATGGCGGAGTCAATGCATGACCGTGTATCGAGAAAGCATCACAGGAATATGCTTCGACATTGGAGCGCCAAGCTCAGAGCACGGCGCATCGAACAAGAGGCGTACGAATCGATTGGCATTGACATAGCGACACATGAACCAAATACACCGGGCACAGCCACGATACCTGAATCGGCAGATGAGACATTGAACATGAGTGAGCTAGGTTCTTTACCCAACTTTCGCTTAGCATCAACAACGCCAACTGCGACTCCTGGGTATCTAGCATCTCCCTCCAGACGCGCCGCTCGAGCTCGCATGCTCGCTCAGATGTCAACCACTCCAGCGACTCCATTGTTCACACCTTTTGCAAGTCGTCTTCGTGCAGCGCTGGATGGAGACAGATATGACTCGGAGAATAAGACTCGAAGTCGGCGCGGTTCCATGGCAACAATGGTGCGATTCGCCCTCGAAGAACCCGAGTCACCTAGTGAAGGACGGAAATCGTTGACAAGAAGGGATTGAAACATCTTAGCACCTTGTCATTCTTGCACGTCTGTAATCACTCGCATTATGAGACTACTTCTTTTCAGTTCTGGTTACGTAGCGTGTTACTTTGATACCCCATTTTGACATCTTTCGTATTCCCATATAGCATATAAAGAATACGATTAAATATATTTATCAAGAGAGAAAACAGATCAATTGTAGAAGTACCTGCTAAGTAACTTAAGTACGCCGAGACTGGTTGACATCAGCGGCCGGTCATGCGCAGCTGCCGCGTGGTGCTCCGACATCAACTCCGCACCCATCTACCCCAACTGCAACTACCATATCCTCTACTATTTACCCTCGCCACTTCATCCTGCATCCTCGTTATTCAAACTCATCTGCATACCTCCAGCAATGGTCTAGTGCTAGCGAAGACCCATTAACCGTGGGCTTCCAAGCCAGATCCTTCTTTCCATGCGTGCGGTACTTCCAGGGCGGCCTGAGTCGAAGCTTCGAGCTCTCAGCACCGCGCTCTGGGATGGCCTACGGATTGTTGTAAGACACGCTGCAAGCTTCCTGGATACTAACAGGCTTCATGCAAGTTTATAGTTGACTAATTTCATCACAGGCATACATTTCCGGCCATGCCCTCGTTATCCTGACAGGAGCGCAGACGCTCCTACAAACCATCTACGTCGACGACTCGGAATCTCTCGAGACAATTGCTATTGACGAGTCCAGTGGTCAGATTGCTGTCAGTAGCGGACCAGATTTATACATATACCGGCCGAATGGTTTCAAGGGCGAATCGCTGAAGGTTGGAATATCCCTGTGTGAAGAAATAGGAGAATCACAACTACAAGATTTGAGCTAATATATGGTATGGGAATTAGTGGTCACTCTCCGTTACCTTTCGCGCAAAAGACGACGATGAGAAGGTCAATACATTATCGTGGGGCTCCTCGGAGGAATTGCTCGTGGCCAATTCGTGCCTTTCCGTGTGGTTTCTGAATGACGAACCCCGGCTCATGTGGAAAAAGAAACTTGCGAGCCCTACAAAATTCGCCGAATTCTCACCCGACGCCGAGCTAGTAGCTACGACTGGGAAATATGATCGACTCGTCAAATTGTGGAGGAGGCTCTCGTTTGGTGCCGACGACGTCCGGTTCGAGGTATTCTACCTCCCTCATCCAGCGACAGTAACTGGAATACATTGGAGGAAGCCCAGACATCGCGAGCAATCGATGGAGAACGCCCTCTACACGTTATGCGTGGATAACAAGATCCGGATTTGGACGGTTTCTGATCACCAGGACCTATCAGCGATGCATCTGTGGACTGAGATAGATATGAACGCGTCTATTCAACCGCGGGATAATTCACAGCACTTCTCAAGCCGTAGGTACGGTTTCATTATCGACAGCCGGGACTTTGCTGCAGCGACTGAGCGTGCAGTACAACGGAATACTGAAAAGAATAATCTGGCCTTGGAGCACCTGGTTGACGTAGCAACCAAAAATCCAGAAATCTGCGCTGTAATCGATGACCAGGGTCACATGTGTGCGTGGGCTCTAGAGAATGTCGGGGGTAAAACAAAGTCATCAACAGATGTATTCAACATACTACATATTGAAGGAGTGCAATTCTCATTTCCGAAGGGAGTTTCTCTGGACGAGGACTATGCACAATTCTATGCATTCGGCGCCTCTACTGCCATGGATTCGTTATCATTATTGGTACACTACTTTGATGGAAGGATAGAATGGTTTGATTCTCAAATTGATATTCTCTTCGATCCGACACCACGGAAACATCGGTTGAAATCCCAAGGTATATGGTCTGGGCATACCGAGCCGATCAAGAAGATTGTTCGAAATGCAAGCGGGCGTGTTCTTGTATCACGGACAGATGACAATAATGCGATGATCTGGCGCCAGAAAATGAGTGGCTCTCAATCCATTTTAGCTACTCAAAGCTCGCTTTCGTCAGAAGAACACATACATCGGACTTGCGTCATTGAGGAGGGTTCTTTCCTAGTGAATCTCCATCACAAGGGTCTCTCTCTGTGGAATATACGGGCCTCTCCTGCCGTGAAAATAAGCTCTTGCGAGTTTACATCCGCTAGCAAGCCGCTCTGCGTCTTGACTGTGCCGAATCCCGAGCCATTCGATCGTACTGTATACGTTGTAATGATAAGTGCAGATATGAAGGGCATCGCATGGGAGCTTGAATTGCCCAGCAAGCAGTGCCCCAACGCCACGATTTCTTTACGACAGTATTGTACTTTTGACATGGGACTAGATACCGAAGTGTCCTACATCCTGGCAGTCGACCCAGCGGGTCAAATGGCACGACATTCTGGCTTTCTAGATCTTTTCGCGGCGGATATAGCACTCTCATACACCGAAAAGGGAACCATCCATACATGGGCAGCAAAGGTGGACAAGACAAACCGGACATTAGACTGGCTTTTGACTTCTACTGTTGAGACTGGCATCCAGACTCCGTCACTGGCAAGTGGAAGTGCCATTCGCAAAGCCGCTCTAGTGGATCAAGAACGGACACACCTCACAATCTGGGATACAAGTGGTGCTCAATTAGAGTTCGAAGAGCGCTTCCCTGACCACGATATGATTCGCGACCTTGATTGGACATCTACACCAGATCAGCAATCCATACTAGCTGTTGGCTTTTCTCATAAAGTCGTCCTCTTATCACAACTCAGATATGATTACTTGGATGCTGGTCCATCATGGACTGCGGTCCGCGAAATCCGTATTCGAGACTTGACTCCACATCCCATTGGAGACTCCTGCTGGTCTGGTAGTGGAAATCTCGTTGTGGGAGCTGGCAATCAGCTATTTGTTTACGACCCCGCGGTTGAGGTCGATAGTCACCTGGTCTCCAAGTTGCGAATCCCAGCTCGAGGGGGCTCAAATGTGAATTTATTTGAGATTGTCAGCCGACTGAACGGTCCGCTTCCTGTCTACCATCCTCAGTTCCTCGCCCAATGTATTCTATCAGGCAAGATCAATCTTGTCCATCTCATTCTCATGAACCTTCATAAGAAACTGAAATTTTACACGGAGGGCGATGAGATTGACACATTGCTCGGAATACCGGTCGAAGAATTCTACCGAGATGATGATGTAAGGCCTCTTAGGATTTTGACGAGAGTGAATACTGACTTGGGATAGGAATTACGGAATTCTGCATGGAAAGAAATGCAAGCTTCTCAAGATTATATAGAAGACGAGCCTCGTGTCCTGGATGAAACAGTGGCTGTACTTCTCAACGAGAATTTGACTCGATTCAGTTTACCACAACTCTCTAGTCAGGAGCAGTTCCGTCTCGTAGACACAATAGAGTGTGTCGCAATGGTGGAGAAGCACCGGAGATCCATGGATGCCAATGCTGCTCGATATCTACTATTCTTCCGCCAACATATGCTACGGAGAAGTCAGGGTGTCGCTCACAAGAATACAGTATCGTGGCGAGAAATAGTGTGGGCTTTTCACAGTGAAAGTCAAGACATCCTTACGGACCTTGTTTCTCGTCAATTTGGTGGTAAACTTCTGTGGAAAGCCGCGAGAGAAAGTGGTATCTTCATGTGGTTGTCAGATATTACAGCTGTGGTAGGTCTACTGAGAACTGCATTATCTATCCTCTTCTTACTAACAATAAGCAGAGGGCTCAGCTTGAAATTGTTGCTCGCAATGAATATACAAAAACGGATGAGAGGAATCCGGTCGACTGTACGCTATACTATCTAGCTTTACGAAAAAAAAACGTTCTGCAAGGTCTGTGGCGTATGGCAACCTGGAATCGTGAACAAGTAGCCACAACACGCCTATTGGCGAACAACTTCCAGGAAGCGAGATGGAGGACGGCAGCATTGAAGAATGCGTATGCTCTGCTAGGGAAACGGCGATTTGGTAAGCGCCTTCATACATTTGGGAAATCTCGCACTTGCTAATCGTGCACAGAGTACTCTGCTGCCTTCTTTCTTTTAGCAGACCACCTACGTGAAGCCGCAAATGTCTGCATCAATCAGATCGGGGACATTCAACTAGCAATAGCTATTACGCGAGCTTATGAGGGTGATGATGGTCCGGTCTTGAAGGAGATTATGGAGGAAACGGTCCTCGCAGAAGCTGCAACAGAGGGTAACCGCTGGATGGCATCTTGGGCTTTCTGGATGCTGAGTCGTCGGAGCTCAGCGGTTCGCGCTCTAATCGTGAGTCAATTTAATTCGGTAGATATCTCAGATGATTACTAACGGAACCAGTCTCCTGTCGATACTCTCATCCCACCTACACCTGCATCACCTGGTAGTCCAGGTATGATCCCACTACAGGCACGATCATATCTCTCAAACGACCCTGCACTGGTTGTTTTATATAGACAAATACGTGAAAAATCCCTCCAAACTATCAGAGGAGCCACCCAAGTCGCACCAGCCGATGAATGGGCCTTCGTTATTCGAAATGCACGTCTCTATGACCGCATGGGCTGTGATCTCCTGGCACTCGACCTTGTAGCCCACTGGGAGTTCTTACGAACGCCCCCTCGGCGCGTACCAACCACCGATTTTACGCCCAAAGCCGAACCGGATTATCGCAAACTGCTGCGAAGACATAGTAGCCTTGTGATTGCTGATATGCCAGTCCGACTTCCGCCAGAGATGGCTCCTCGTGGCAATGAGAGTACAGATAAACCTGCTAAACCCCAAGCTAAGCCAACCACGTTCCAGGAACCGGATGCCAATTCACTCTTAGATAGTTTTGGTTTCTGATTGTCGATTGGTGTGCATTACGAATTGGTATATATAGAAAATGTCAATGCTAATGCTCCTTTATGTGACTGTTTCAGGAAATACCTATATATTCTACAGCGAATTCCTCTATAAGCTACGTATCACAATGTCAATCTCAAAATTGACGTTTGGCGGAGCCGTTGGGACATAATCAAAAATGAGACCTCGTCAATAAATTCTGATAGATGAGGTAATTGAAGATGCTGAACTATCTATGTACATGTACTTCGCAACCATTCTCAAATGCAATCCATAACATGCAACCAAACTCTGGAAACCATTCAGATCGTGAACTCATATCCATCCAATTCATGCGCCCAAAAACAAGACACCCCTAAAAATGACAAGAAACTTTTCAGAAAACACGTCGAACCGGCTTCTTCGACCCAGTCCCAACTTCCGAACAATCCAGTCGAACCCAGACATCATTAAAAGCGCCAAAATTCCTCGGCGTGCAGGAACTCTCCGCTTCTCTATTCTTCACAGGCGCCACGAGGAGCGGCTCATCAACACAACCGGGTACCTCGTGCACGGTGATGTTGCATTCTTGAAAGGGTGTGATTGTGGATAGTTCGGCGCCTACGGAGACAGAGCTGGAGTCGATGTGTCGCGCCGTCACGATGGGGACTGCTTGGCATTGGCCTTGGGTTATGTTGACAGACGGGGAGCGGGTGGTTGTCCTTTCGGTGCTGCGAGCTGCGAGGGCGGAGCGGAATTGTGATTTCTTTGAAAGGACCGATGTTGAGGATGTTGAGAGTGGGTTTATGCCTGACGCTGATGCTGACGCCAATGCTGGTGATGATGAAGGGAAGTGGGAAGCCGAGCTTGAAGGTGATGCTTTGATGGAGTGCACAGGGCTAGGCGAAGATGAGGCTTGTGCTCGGTTTCCGGTTGACTGTTTGAGGGAGGAGACGATGAATGTGAGTTCTTCGACCTCGACGAATTCGCTAGGGCAATCTTTGTAGAAGTTGACCCATGCTTTTCCACTGGTGAGGGCGAGTGTGGGAAGGGAGTATAAGAGGGTTAAGCTTAGAGCGGAAAGTATCTAGAGTCGAAAATTAGATGGGTTTATAACACTTGGAAGAAATAGGGGTACTCACCGTCGAGGAACGCATTTTGGGACTGATGATGTTGATCCGTTCTAGCGTGAACGATGGTACGATGGTACAGACAAAGATTGAATCCTTGGACACGATATTGCCTTTGAAAGACGTTTGAGAGGATCGTATTGTATAATGGCGGTGGACTGAGTGAATCGACTTTGTAGAGGGAAGCAGAACCAACGTTATATAGGCATTAACTCCCATAGACCAGCCCATAGCAAACTTCGAACGTGATTGTCCATGGCTGGTGAGAAACGAAGTTAAACACCAAAATCCCCGGCCTCTCGATTTAAGCATAGAGTCATCCTTCTATTACGGAATGATCACATCCTCGTCCAATCAAGTAATCTAATGCGCATCATCGAAACAGCCTGCCACATTCCGCAGATGACTTGTTGGCATTCCGTCGCGTCTATAGGGAGCCCGCCATGTCGGAGCTTTTGCTTGTCGGCCAAAGCTTATCATGTCAGCGTGGCAGTGGGTATGTCTGAGAAGAGAAATGTGGAATCTTTTGACGCTTCAGAGCATTCCAGGTGGCCAGAAAGTGGCAATTTGATGAGGCTCGTGTAGGTCAGACGAAGAACATGGAAATCGAGGTTACACAGGTAGTCTGAACTCTGGCGAAGCCCTCATACTTTCGTGCTTCAATCAACGAACGTGCCCTCTGCACCTGACACAATGAGTTTACACGGAGCTTCGAGAAGCAACAAGACTAGCAACATTCCACAACAACGCGAGGCTCCAATATGTAGTTTGTGGGGCGCGTCGCGAAACATGTACAGATCATGCTCTGCTGAACCTTATTTTACGTTTCTCGAAGTATGTATAAAGGATATGAACTTATGAAGCGTGTCCTAGTCTGTTTGACGTCAATCTATTACCCGTTGGGTAATGTCATGTCTAGACATTTGAATCAAGTCGCAGTGACTTCGCGACTGAAGTTAAGGTGTTCATTCCATTATGGATAGATTGGAGACACTCATATCAGATGAAAGTTCCGTTATATACAAATAAGTACAATTTTGCCAAATTAATTCCCAAATGACGAAGTCTCAATACTGTTGGTATTCAGGATTCGTGCAATCAACTAGGTAGGTGATATGTATGTGCAAAGAGCCAAATTCAAGAGCAACAAGAGGAATGAAGATACGCGCATGCTAGGTGGGTGTAAAATCAAGATAAATCCAAAACGGGCGAATAGGCTGGTAAGAGGGAATGTGTTTGGGTAGAGAAGGAACAAACGCTAGGGCGCAATAAAGGATAGCTTTTGTAAAATTATGTATGATCATCGCATCAGTCGTTGCGCCTCCAGATCAGGATGCAACGTATTTTCCGGCGGCTAACTTGCGCACGGTGTGCACTGGCTTCCAAGACGTTGCTAAGGATGCCGATTGAGGTGGTGTGGAACCATCATCAGCGAAAGGGTCGTGCTCTGTTCCCGACGCTGCAGTCTCGGCGAGACTCACACCCAAGCGCGAAGCTGAGTCTGTCGTATGGTGCTCAAACTTGGCTTCAACTCTACCCTTGCGTGGCCAACTTGCTGAAGTCGTAAATCGAGCTAAGAGTTTCTCTTCTGATCCAGCTCGTACTTCCAGTTCGGGTATCTTCCATAGAACCGCAGAGTGCTTGCGACGAAACAGCGCGCCCGTGTTTGGATACATAACAGCACCAGTCGCACGCACCACTTCCCTAGGTTGCTTGGTAGTCTCGTCTTCAGAGCTGAGGTCCAAGTTGACTGTGATCACGACGTTCTTCAAATGCAGAGAACCGGAAGCGGCTTTATCCACGAATTCTGGATTGACGGAATAAAACACAATGACGCTCGCCTGGAATTCCTCAAGATTCCACACCGGTCTAAACAGCACTGGAGAATACGATGACAAATCTGGGGGAGAAAGATGCAGCTGGTATTTGAACGCGACTGTCGGAATAGCGCGAGCTATCTTTTCCGTGGCAACGTTGTATTCTCCTCGTTTCTCGTCATCAGTTTTAGAAACCTCAGTCACAAAATGTGGGTTGGCTGCGACCTTTTCGAGAAGAGCAAAGTTATCCAAGCGGACGACGTTCTCTGATGTCGTTCCTGGAATGGCGTTGTATGCCAAAGCTAGCTCACCAATGACAAATGACTTCGTTACTGTACCATTTTCAAACCAACTGCTTACGGTTTCAATAATTGAAGCATTCAAGCCCGGTTCGTGAAGTTCTGGGTGAGAAACAGGCCCTGAAATATTTTGCAGAGTGTGTGAAGAATGAATCGACGTTGTATCTGACATTGCTCGGTCTTCATGAGAAGGGGTTGCTGATACCGGAACAGGCGACTCGAGTTGTCCGCTAGATGAGGTGCCCGTGGGTGTGCCTAATAGAGCTGCAGGTATTATCTCCGCAGCAGTAGATGGTGATATAAAAGCCGTGTTGCGAACATCGCGACGACCACGGATGGTGCCTGCGTTTCTTCTGAGCCCGACCTGCAAGCCTTGCTATAGAAATAATTAGTATTTACATATTCAAAGGAGGATTCCAACGTTACCATTCGTAGCGTATTCGCCATTTCATCCATGGCCTGTTTGGCCTGCGTTTCGTCTTCAGGAATAGGCTGGTCCCGAATAGTCAGATTGAGACCGGTGTCCTCGATTCTAAAAAAATCACTAAGTATTGTATTTTCGAGTCAGGAAGAAGTGATCATACCCTGAGGCTTCTCTCTGGGCCTGTGTAATCTCGTCAACCAGCTGGGGTCTCTCGGAATACCCTTCAGAATCAATTTGGATCTAAGAGGTGGAGAGTGTCAGTGAATGAGCAGCAGCGTAGAAAACGTGCCTACCTGGTTCGCCGCTACTGGAGAAGCTACGGGTTCTGTGTGATTGGACGCCAGGCCATTTGTAGTCGCGGTGGTTTCTGTTGTTTCCGCAATTGGAGTAATAGCATCCTCAGAGGGAACGTAGTCATTGGCAGTAGATCCCGTAGGAGGTGGGCTGCCTATGGACTCGCTAGCAATGCTGGGGGTATCTCGGCCTGGTGGAGTAGAAGGGATTTGTGTGTGCACATTCGAAGACGAATCCCCTCGTCTAAATCCAAACCCCGGTCGACTCTTCTTCTCAGATGGAAGAGAGGTACCAGAGCCTATAACGATGCTTTTACGTCGGTTCATGACGGTTCCTAATCTACGCAGACCTCCCATCCGCGGCGTATGTCGGGGCTCAGGGACTAATCATTTTAGCTGTGCAAGTGCATGGTGAGCGATGAGTTGTTCAAAGCCTACCTGGCGGGGGCACGCGAGCAGCGCGGCCTGATCGGTTCGAATGCTGACTCGCCGCATCATCTTGGATCCTAGGAGGAGGCGGCAGGTCGGCCTCACTACTTGGCACAGGGGCCGGTACCGGTGTAACAGGGGCGGCGGCAGCTACCGAGCTGTTCCGTGTCAAGACTGGCTCTCTTCCTCCGTTCAGTTTGGCGGCGAAGGTCTTGATTTCGTCCTCTGTTTGCACATTAAGCAATACGTTCAGACAGCTCTCTGCTGTCTGTCGACTGCGTTCAATTTGATCCACCTCATGGGTTTGCAGCTGGGTGAGAACATCTCGAAGATGATTAAGTCTGCTTTCGTCAACGGCTTGTAGCTGTTCGAATACAAATGGCGCTCGCGACTCCCATTGCTGAGTGGCTTCGGTTACAGAGGTAACGGCGGCTGCAACCTTGTCTGCTCCCTTGGGACCTTTTTCTTTCGCTTTCTCCAATTTCTTTTGTGCAGCGTCCAGCCCCTTTGCCAAGTTTACCAAATCAGAGTGAATCGAAGGCATTGAGCTCAAGTCTCGGTTCCTCGATCCGTACTCCCTCAGCGGTCTTTCCACATCTTCTTCAATTTTGGAGGCGAGCACTTCATGAGAGGCTGCGAGCGATTCGGTGGCGGCAGTTATGCGGTTCCACGGCAGTTGAAAGATTCTAAAGCCAGACTGTAAGATTAGACCACCCGTGTGCTTGACTAGCACTTCACTTACCCTAGCGCCGCACCTCCATCTAGCTGTGGTCGCCTGGCAAGTTTGCGCAGACCTTGGACGTATAGTTCTTCAACACGCCTCCGTTCCTACAGAGTCTCGGATTAACCGTCTGTTTTGTGACTCCGCTGAGGCTCAAAGATGGCCTACCTGTAACCAATCGGCAATGTCGGTATTGACTTTGTTGATGAGACGAATGCGATCGTTGAGGACGGCGGTGGCCTGGTTCGGCTGCAACGAGGTCTATGACAGTCGTTAGTAGCTTGCAATGACAGCGAGCGAGTCAATCATATTTCCCAACAACGTACCAACAATGCAGGGTACTCCTGCCTTGACAGTTCCATAGCTGCGACCTCTATGGCAGCGCCAAGTACATAATAAACAAGAGAAGGACGTAGTTAGTAATGAAGCAACGAGAGAAGTGGTATCAATGCCGGGGGTGAAGCTCTATATGCTGGCAGCTCTCCATAAATCTATATGAATCCGAAAAAGCGAAAACCAACAGCACAGAGTAGCAAGGTAGGATGGCAGGATGCGACGGTTAGTCAGTCAGGCGAGGCCGGAAGTTGCCAAAGGCGGGAGACCCGCTTCGTCCTGACTTGAGAGCTGTGATTGGTCAATCCGGAGCAATGAGGTAACCATGCTCGTATGGCTCCTTTCTCTTCTTCCTCACTGTCTTTCTATTATGCCATTATTTGCTAATAGAGGACAGATTATACCCTCTTGCCTGCTTACTCGACTATCTTTTTTCCCACTATATATGTCACAAAGGATGCTTCACTCAGCTCAAATGGATTGACACATGATGGCATCGCATTGGGCCGAGCTGGGGTGCTCCGTGGGCCAATCACAGCCCGGTCTCTTTTTCCTCCGGATGAACCATCCGTTGCCGAACCAACAAACCCTGTCTGTCATGTACGCAATGGCCGAGGACTGGAGAGCCTCGTATGGCTTCAGCAAGAGGCTTCAGCGGATGTCAGAAATGTAAGTAGTCAACACTCTGACTTGGGACGTAATTTTCTTACCCAGCATAGCACATCCGCCTACCGCAATCTCTCGCCGTCATCGACCTTTGTGGAAGCTCAACCACATTCTGCCCCTCTAGAAAGGGAGGCTTACGCCAAAGCTACTTCAGAGGTTCGATCTCGCATCTCTACGAGCGTTCATTGTATTAGCTGTTTGGTCAGGCGATAACCGCTCACACGTGGTTATTAGGCAGAGTATGATCGCCTATGTCAGGAGATTATCGATGGGTTCGAGGCTCAACATGCCGATGTTCCAGTGATCGATACCCCAAAAGCAATATCAAGCGAAGAAGCATATATTGAGCCTGGGGAAGCTGCCAATGCTGTCAAAATTGGTGCATACGAAAATTGCGTTCATCATGCTGATGGGCTGATGTCTACGGTTTATCGATCCAAAAGCTCTGATGGTAAATTGGTTGCTCTGAAAGTCACAACTCCTCATCAAATGAGTCCTCCCCATGACTCCAAACGGGAAGCACGTATTTTACGATGGACGAAAGATCAAAAACACATCATCACATTACTCGAAGCTTTCGAGTTGGCTGGCGGGCGATTCGTCCTCGTTTTCCCCTTCATGCGGTACAACTTTGCCGAAGTACTGCATCAAAATGTCTTGACGACACTTCAAATCAAGATCATCTTGAGAGATATGTTTCGCGGCCTGGAACATACGCACGCGCTCCATATTATTCATCGAGACGTAAAGCCTTCGAATATCCTTCTGGATAGTCTGGACGGTCCAGCCTTTCTAGCCGACTTTGGCATCTCATGGAAGGAAATGGATGAAGGCTCTGAAGCTGCGAACGAAAAGATTATTGATGTCGGAACCACCAGCTATCGGCCACCGGAAATTCTGTTTGGGTCGACAGAATACGACACGTCGCTGGATATGTGGGCGGCTGGTTGTGTTGTCGCAGAAGCAGTAGATATGCGCCATCGCCAGCTCTTTGACTCGGGAGATCTAGGCAGTGAGCTTGCTCTTATAAAATCGATTTTCAGCACTTTGGGGACTCCCAATGCCGAAGTGTGGCCGGTACGGTTCCATCCATCCAGCTTTTTATCAAACATTAACTCAAATATTGATAGGAGTCTGCAAAGCTTCCGGACTGGGGCAAGTTTCAATTTTATGAGTACCCGGTCAAACCTTGGGAAGAAGTCTTGGAAGGAGCATCAACCCAAGGACGTGATCTAGTTAGCAAATTAGTGTGCTACGAATCTTCTTCTAGGTTGACTGCTGAACAGGTATTTTGCAACAGCTTGTCACATCGGACAGTGCTAACAGTATCCAGGCTTTGCGACATCCATTTCTGCCACAAAACAATCAGTCCGAGCAGGACGAGTAAAGTCGACATGTCTGCTCACTCCTTGCGATACCCAGGCCATTAGAAAATAGCCATAAGAATTTCGATTTAATTCTGTTGACAAGTAATAAGTGCTCTCGAGGTGTTTGCGTTGGGCGGATAAGACAGAGCCGCTTGGGCCATCGTCTAGTGTACAGCCGTTGAAATAGCAGGGCGTCCAAAATATTATGCCGACAGCGAGATTCATGCGCGTCATCTATCATGAACACACCAAGCCATATATCAGTCATGTCATATTCCATAGTATATACGTAGTAATTGCATGCGATGTACATGATAGGACATCTCTTCACTTGAACACGGCCCACACGCATCCTAGTGGATCCGCGGCTCTCCGCGCAGAGCACACACATAAGAGGCTGTGAGATCACAAACAGACAGCCAATGAGCATTGGCCCACGCCCTCCGACGCCCACCGCCTGAACATTCAATACGTACTAACTACTCCGTACAGAGTAGAGTAATCAAATTGAATGAACAAACAATGAATGCCTAGACGAGGCTAATCCATTCTGGACGGCGCGAATCTCCGACCCGGCCGCCAGCCGAGATGAATGGCTGCTGGTTGGCTGTGTACCTGGACTGGCTCAGGCTCTAGGGTCTAGCGCAGCGCCACATTACAAGCTTTACACATTCAATACGCAGTGTTACCAGGCACGATACCATTGTTACCAACTCAGTCTTCCTCGGCCGATTTGCAATGTTACACATAGGTGATACTATTACACGTGTGACCAGAAGCACTGCCTGAAGCCAATCACCAATCATTCTGCTGCTTTTGGTATCACCTCGCCACGTAATACGCACATACGTAGCAATGTAATATAATACACCACGCGTATTACCGTATCGTGCGCCCAAGGCTCGAGGGTTCATCAAACTATGTTTCAGATTCTGTCCTGGGCATTCCTTCCTCCTCCGTCTCTTCTTCATCCTGCTCTTCCTCGTGGACCGTACATTCTTTCGTGTGGTGATCTCTCCACACTCCAACCTTTCTGCTGTAGCCTGGCTGCTCGTCGCGTCCATTGTATGTTCGTGATTACCATTTGACCTGCACAGGCTGTAGTCTGCCTTTCGTTCTTTACCCCACGTTCTCTTTCAATTTGTGTATTTCGACATTCCCTTCACAGTACCGCCCAGTGTGTCGCTTACTTCGCATCTTCGATATTTGACCACTACTTCTACGCATAAGACTGTTTGATCGCCAGACCATACCCCGCCGGTTACCGATTCAACGACGATATTATTCAAGAGCTCGTCATGTCGCACGCCCATTTTCACCGCCATGAAAGACGGGATATCATTTCGGCGGTCGAGAGTTTCCTTGGAATCGACAACAATAAGGGCGAGCAGCAGTCTACCGTGACTGAAACTGCGTCAGTAGTCTATGTGACCGCGTCGCCTACTTTCACCGGCGCAATTGGTGGTTATGTTACGGGCTCAGATACGACTACTACTGCGGATCCGACAACTACGGGAAAGGGTGCTCCTGTAGCCCAGTCAACAAAGACGACAACGACTTCACAGTCAGAGAAATCATCCACCACCACTAAGGCTCCGGAGACTACGACTCATACTACGTCAACTCAGTCAACCACGTCGACCTCGTTGTCTGACTTGTTGACCACCTCGAGCGATCCTTCTTCGACCACTTTCTTGACGTCCTCTTCCACACAGTCCGCATCTTCCACTTCGTCAACCGGTACGGCAGTAGACCAGTTCTCATCATCCACTGCTTCTGCCACTACCTCCGCAGCCGCATCTGCTTCCAATGGTCTTACAGGAGGTGCCAAAGCTGGGATTGCGATCGGTGTCTTGGGAGGAATTGGACTTATCGCTGGATTGGTCCTCTTCTGGCTGCATAAGCAGAGAAAGAACAGAGAAGAAGCGGCTGCCGCCGCTGCTGCGGCAGAAAATGAAAAGTTCGCTCGAAGCCAACCTCCTCCAATGACTAGCGCTCCGCCGCCACAGTCGATGGCAGCGTACTCTTCGGCACCGTCAACCCCAGCAACTGCCCCTCAAGTCAGCCTGCGCCCAATCACCCAATTCAACCCCATGTTGACCCAGTCTGGTGGTGCCAACCCTTACGCTGCTGGTGCCGCTGGTGCTGCTGCTGGTGCTGCTGCAGGCGCCGCCGCAGCTGGTGGCCTACAAGTAGCTCGCTCAGCTGAACGTCCTTACGGCGGCTCGGCACATGTTCCCCCACAGTCCCCACGTCAAGATCCATTCACCGATCCAGTCAATCCTTTCGATAATGGAGCACAAGCTGCGTCCCCTCCTATGCCCCCTGCTAAGGATGCATCCTCTCCCATCCGGGATCTGACGCCTTCACCTCCTGGTAGTGTTCACAACTTGCCCAGCCCTATTACTGAAGAAGGGTCTTCTGCTGGCTCTTTAGAAGCTGCTGCTGCCGGTGCTGTCGCAGGAGCTGCTGTTGGTGCTGTTCCTGTCGCAGCCGTGGCCGCCGCAAAGTCCAACGACAACCCAGCTGAACCACGAACACCATCCCCTGAATACGTCGAACATGCGGGGTCCCGACCTCAATCCCCTGTTGTTGGTGGTGCTGGTGCTCCTGTTAGTAACGTCCACCGTGTCCAAATGGACTTTACACCTTCCCTGGCCGATGAAATGGAACTGCGCGCCGGTCAGCTTGTGAGACTTTTGAAGTCGTACGATGATGGATGGGTAAGAATATTCTGGGCTTCTAAATGAAACATATGCTAACATATTGAAAGACTCAATGCTCCAGCATGGATGGCTCAGTTCAGGGTATTGCACCACGCACATGTCTGTCTGCCCGACCTCTTCAGCCCCGTCGCCCGCCTGGACCTAACGGACCTGGTGGTCCAAATGGTCCTGGTCCTCGCGGTCCGCCGATCATGGGTCCCAATGGAAGGCCCATGTCCCCAGCTGGTGGTCGCATGGGACCTCCACCTCAAATGAGAGGGGCTCCTCCACGTTTCTACAATGACGGTCGCCCCATGACCCCTACTGGTTCTGGAATGCCCCATTTCCCACCTCCCCCTGGCACTCCACGATCAATGTCCCCTGGCCCCGGCCGTGGCGCCGATGTTCCACACCCATTGACGCCGGGAGGATCCCGTCCAGCTAGCCCGGCCGGAGGACGATCACGCAGCAACAGCGCAAGTGTTGCTCAGATGGGTCCACGTCCAGTTGTGCACCGAGGAGGTCAAAGTCCTCTAGCGCCACCAACCGGCCCTCTACCAGGCCCTCCTCAGCAGCCTGTACAAAGCCCTACCGCACCGGCACCATCACCACAAGTCCAGAATGACGCAAGTCCCGAGTCACCGATCGAAAGAAAACCTGTTCCCGGTCAGGAATAGCCATGCGCTTGGCTCTAAAGTTCTCATTTCATTCTAGACACGATACCCATTGCCCACTATCTTTTTCTAAAGACTTTGTCTTCACTTCTTTCTCTCTGCCATGTTCTAACGAACAACCACGGCGGCATCTTCTACGCTTTATTTTCTTTCTTTCGTCAGAATCGTGTATCATACCGATTCCCCCTTTTCTATGGTTTATATTTTTCGTCTTTGTGAGATATTGTATGTTCATTGTATGTGTATATAAAAACAGTGATGCGATAGCAACTTTGATGATTTAGCTGGTCGGTGGGTGGGTAGATATTGAGAATTGATCTTTCAAAGGGTTCGCTTTTATCACGTATTTGCGGATTGATTTGTCCGTCCAACAACATAGAAAGACTATCCAACATTTCTAGTATATAAGCAGTAATGATGTATGTAAAACTCCACCTTCTATAATTGCACGTTTTTTCTTTACCATTTCAAGGCTCCCTTACGTCGGTCTTCATCAACTATCGCCCCTTGCGGCTCTGCTAATCAGAGATGCGGCACCTTGAAACTAGCAAGAATCAAATTCGCAATACTCAGCACGCCCTCACCGAGTATGAGTCCCGACGCGAGCACGACCACAGTCGACGAGGACGTATCTTCTTGACTGGGATCAAGTGGCGATGGCTGCGACTTGGCGGCACTCTGTAATTCAACACTCGCAGATATAAGAGGCGATGATGACGTCGATTCGTTTGTCGATTCGTCTGCATCGGTTGCATCAGTGGTGGTAGGACTGACGATATGTCCCTGATCTGAAGAAGAAGGAAGCGGCACAGGCGCAGAGGAATTCCTTCTCGCCCACCACCACGCTATCACGCCTCCGATAGCTCTCGCCAGTGTGAAAGACGGAACGTTAAACATGCCCACTGCAACCGCAATCCCACCGGGGACAAACGATATCCACGACGGCGGAGGGCTGCCTTGATGTTGTTGAGTACGTCGAACCGTAGCCACAATCCTGAGAACCGTTGTACCCACAAACACCGCTCCAAAAAGCATCGCAACCTGCCACGCCATAGGAGGCAMCCCCTGACCCGTCACAAGCCGTGCCGTAAATATCCACACAAACGCCGCGGGGATCTGGAACTGGTCGCCCGGCACAGGATACACGTTGACGTACATCTTATACACGGCCGTCGATACCACAGCACCAAAAACGCTCCCAATAACCTGCCCATAAAACTGCGCCTTGGGACTTGCGCCTAGTAAGTGACCCGTCTTGAGGTCCTGCATCATGTCGCCAGCCTGCAGAGCGCCGGCTTCAGAAACGGCCCCAGCGAGAAGGTTTGTGACTACAGCCGAGCGGCGGGTATGCATTGATGCAGGCGTGACGAGGGAGAAGATGAGTTGGGTTAATTTGCTGATTCCGGACACGGGGTTGAGGTCTGTTTCGCCGAGGGCGCGGACACCCATGATTGAGAGGAGGACTGCTAGTAAAGTGGCAAAGGTGGAGAGGAAGGGGGTGATGATGTCGCCGAAGGCGATGTGCATGCATATCACGTTTAGGACTAAAGTGAGCGGGAGGAAGATGAAGATTGTGCGGTTTGAGATGAGTTCCGAGGGGGGAGCGTCGGATTCTTCTTCTTCTAGGTCTCCTTCGTCCTCTTCGATATTCAATTCCTCGGCATTTGTGGGCGCATGCAGAGCTGAATATTGGACGTGCGAACGGCGTCTCTGCTCAGAAATGACTCCTTTCCCTCCCTTCCGTTTGAGGGCTTGCAGCTTGGCTTTCAGCCATGGGAGAGATCCGTATGACGTTCGCAGAATGAGCCATCCGAGATTTATGATCGAGTCTGCGAGCATGATGGCCAAAGACACCCATATAATCCAACCTTTACTGCCGTTTGCCCAGTCATCGACTGGTCCCGGTGCCCACCCTTTGTGTTTGGCGATAGGCGACAGTATTGCCCAGCCTAGGACTGCGCCCAGGAGCATATGCATTGAGGTCGAAGGGCCCATTATGATGCCCTGACCCACATATGCCGGGGAAGGGTTTAGAGTCCAGAGCCAATTTTGGGCTAGCGACAACCCAAATATGGGGAGGTCACGGACTTGAGGGACAAAGTATGAGAAGAGTGTCTTATTTTGTTAGTTCTTAAGACGGGCTTCATCTCAACGATAGGGACAATCTCAACGATAGGGAGGACTGACATAAAACGCTGAGACGGCAAATGCGCCAATGAGCAGGCGGATCTTTGACTTCCAGTCACGGCGGCCATCACCGTTGACTTGTACATCCCGGGTCGTAGAAGCTGAAGAAACCGGTCTACTTGTCGGGACATTTGTAACCGATGACGCACGCTGGTGCTGAGCGTCCGATTTCTCATCCGCCGACCCATGCAACATCCTAATCATCAAGGCGGTCGCTGTTCCACTCGGAAACTTCAACTTCTCCCGAATAATAACCTCCTTCCTGAGCGGAACAGCAAAGATAGCGCCAAACAAACAAACCCCCAGACTCCAAATCACCAACTTCCAGAAGCCCACATTCAACGGACCACCCTCACCAGTTCCCCCATCACCCAGCTTCCCATCCTCACCTTCTTTAAGCAAGAACTCAAGAGCCGGAATAACACCCACAAATCCGCATCCCAGCGGCATAGTGCCTACGGCACCCGCAACAGTTTGAATAAGCACATTCTCGACCGGCGTAAATGGGAAAGAGAGATGTTTCGACAAACTTTTGAAGACTGCAAACCCGATCAGGGAAGATGGCATGGTCATCAAACTCATCCATCCCGTCTGCAAGCCGAAATAAGTGTTTGAGAAGATGATCAAGGTGCCGATTCCGAGACCAACGAGCAGTGAGCGCGGAGTGAAGCTTTGCGCGGATGTAATTGGGGCGATATTGTCGCCATTGCTGCTACCCATGTTGGGATCAATGTTTGCAGTTGCATTATCATCGCTGTCTGCTGCCGTGGTGGCCATTGTGCGATAGTTCATGGTGTCATTCATGAATTAGTCAGTCAACACCACGGCGTGTGTCCAATGTTTATGGGCTACTGTCGAATAACTGCTTCTCTCGGTTCGAGATTTAGTCGGATGCCATTAAGAGGAAACGGTGCTCGAGAGTCGACGGACTGGTGTTCTGTTGATCCGAAAATACCCAAGCATCCCTCATATGCAATGATAATTGAATGCTGATTAAAGGGCGGACGGAGATAACCCGCCTGTTAGCGATGATGCCATCAGCAAGTGTGGACTTCGGTAAAACTATAACTATCTAAATATTTCCTGCCCTTAACATGGACTTATAACTCAGTTGGTTAGAGTGTCGTACTAATATCAGCTTGCAATGCAAGTTAGTTGTTGGTAATGCGAAAGTCCACAGTTCGAGCCTGTGTTGGTCCATTTCTTTTTTTATTTTTTCTCGTTCACCACGAACATCAATATACTTTTTTTGGTCGTCGGAATCTAAATTTTTATTTCATTCATTTTTTCTCCCTTTCTTTTGAATATTATCTTGGTCCAAATCAAGCGCATCGCTTGTTCGACGGCTGTGGCATGGCATCGGCTGTCCCCTTCTGTATATATCTCGCAAGTGAGCCGTCAATGCGACATTCACAGTGTGGATCTACATATGTACCGAGCTAACTCTCCTCGAGCCCTTTGCCATCACTGACTCTGCTACCATACCTCCCCGGCCTCCCCTCCAAATAGTACTCGCCACTTACGCAGAAACCAGGGTGCAACCTCCCAGCTCCGTATATCCCACGGTTGACCATGCGCAGCTTGAGCTGCCGCCGTATCGTTACCCTGACTGCTCGAATTAGTCCAATAGCAAATTCCATTTTCAAATGCCACATCTTTCTTTAGGACCGTCATGTCAATAATATGCGGATGTGTCGCTAACAATGTGATGACACGAGCCCTAAAAGTAGGCATCGGAATCAAATCCAGGAAAGCCGGGTGTGGATATAGAATCTGCGGAAGAGTAGGCCTGAGGTGTGCCGGGGTCGTTGAACTAGTGACATCTTCAAGAAGGTTTTTGAGATCATCTGTAGGCGCTATCAAGGGCTGGTAGAAAGGTGAGGGAGCGAGATTTTCTGGCACCAGCACGTCTTCGACTTTGAAACCCATACTTTGAGCATTTTGAATACATGCCAGAAATATATGGCCGCGGGTAAAGTGAATGCATCCAGTCCATGGGTCAGGTAGTCGAGATGATGGTGGCAATGCCTGAGAAGGTCCGCGAAGCAGCGTTTCGATACCTGCAGCTATTATCCTTCCAAGATTCAAGCCTCCACATTCGATCGTATCTTTTTCTTTTCCGCTGTCGTTGATTCTATCGCTGTAATTTAATGATGATCCGGTTGGATTACTCGATATCGAGTTAAAATCCAACCCCGGGTCACTGTGGGTTCTGGATCTCTCATTATCTCGCTCGGAACGAGTATACGGTATGCTGTTTTCCACCGCTGAGAGATCTGTAAATGGCCAAGCGGGAATTAGTTCATGCAAAGTCTCATCATTAGGTAATGGCCGAAAGCCGCTTTGCACTGGCCAACGATAATCAAGTGATGGCATCAGCAATTGACCTGAAATCTCAAGCCCATCGAGACGAGCATCATATGTTGTCTGTCGAATCGATTGCCCCGGCTGTATGCAGGGTGTCATCGAGCTATTCCTCAAAATCTGATCGTCCTCTCTCGCATTTGTCATATCATCTGCTCGACGTTTGTCCGTTGAAAGCTGGTGTGCCTCTAACCGTTCGGCCGACAGTAAGCCATCAAGATAATCCATTGTCCTCTGTCGCTGACCTGTATACCTGATTAAGCATAATCCAGATATTAATGTCTGCAACACTTACGATATGCTCTTTGGTTTAGACGATTTTGCTCCCGTCGCGCCCCTGTCACAACACGCTTCCGCACCTTTCCAGTTCCACTACGAGATCGTGTAGCCATTATATTCTAATTAGTAGGTTTATCAGACAAACGAAGACATGGAACCGGTCGTGATAGATTGGAGGTCTCTATGTATCCTGGCTTGAGACTACAACCTCAAGACTAATAGATACTTTGTGGATGTGCCAAATTAGACTCGGCGTTAGGGCTTTACTGATATCTCCGAAACAGCAAGATCATCGCCATCATCAGACTGGATCATGGGAAAAATCCATTCCAAGAATGAAAATTTTTGAATTCTTGGAAAGTTTCACCACAGACTATTGAGCGTTCTAGTGGCTTACAGTACATGTGGCTTACATTGCAGATGGGCTTACAATGTTACATTTGACCGGTCAATGGAGCCATCACGAATGACTTTCGGTGACTAAGCCAGATAATGAGATCGATCTCTAGCAAAAAAGTCTGTAAGCCAATATTCGTCGTTATCTTGAGCCCAGGGGCACGTGCAACGGATGGAGAGAGATATAAAAAATGCCATCATGTCTTTCGCAGCTGGCCCATGTATATAATTTCCTGGCATTTTCTAGCATCTTATTCTCAGTATCACCCTTTTGTTTCCATCATCCAATCATCACGCAAGTCTTAGCCATGGGAGATTCAACCATAAAGACGATCGTCGTTGTTGGCGCCACAGGAAACCAGGGAGGCTCGGTTGCACGTACCTTTCTTAAACTTCCTCACTGGAAGGTTCGCGTTACCACTCGCAATCCTTCATCACCAGCTGCTCAAGCCCTGAAAGTGCTCGGTGCTGAAGTCGTGCAGGCAGATCTGTCCAACCCCGATACCTTGGCAAGAGCATTTGATAATGCACATGCCATCTTTCTCAATACAGATTTCTGGGTGACCTACCGTGCTCTCGCCGCCACTGTTATGGCTCAAGAAGTATGCCCATCAGACGAAGAGAAGCCTGATCCCAGTAGAGTGGCGTATCAAACGGAGATTTCTCATGGCAAAAACGCTGCCGAATGTGCAGCCAAGGTCCCAACATTGGAGCGTCTTGTCTATTCCGCGCTCCCAGCAACAAGAAAGCTGACCGGCGCAAAGTATCAGAGCAATCATGCGGATTCTAAAGGTGCTGTGGTCGATTATATCGAGACGGAACTGCCTCACTTGGCCCGAAAAACATCGTTCATTTACCTCGGTGCGTACAATACAAATCCGTTGCTTTCGCCCAGATTGGATCTATCGGACGGCAGATACAGGTACTTCCTACCGCTGAGCAAAGCCGCCAGAATGCCAATTATCAACGTGAAAGAATCGACGGGCCCGTTTGTCAGAGCTTTGATTGAAGACGAAGCACCAGGTACCAAGTTATTGGCATATGACAACAACAGCTACCTGGCGTACGGAGAGATCTGTGATATCTGGTCGAGAGCGAGTGGCCAAGAAGCGGATTTCAAGACGGTCACTGTCCAATTCTTACACGAAACAATGAAAATACCAATGGAGTTCATATCGTCTCTGCCGGCCCTTGAGGAGTATGGCTACACGGGTTCAATGAGGGTCATTCAACCGGGTGATCTGAAGACTGATGTAAGAACAAAGTCTTGGGAGGAATGGATGATGGAGAGAGACCGCACAGCAATCCTCGAAGCTTGAGTTATGTGGATATTCAAGTCAAAGGATAAGGACATCAATGTCGTTATCTAGTTAGATCTACCACTAGGTAGTAAATCACAAAGTTAGGGACTGCTTTGGATATGTTTACAGCGCATTCCTGCCCGTCTAGCTGACACCAAAAAAACCTAAAATAGTGACTTAATCTTGCCCACCCGGGCAAAAACTCGATAGAAAGGATGGGAGACGTGAACATAGGCATCCCTGAATGATTAAAATGTAATACTGGAGGTAAAAAAAAGCAAAAATTGAAAGTTATCCTGGTCACTAAGGGGGTCGAACCCTTGACCTTGGCGTGACTGCTTGTATAGGCGAGTCTATATTAGCACCACGATCTAACCATCTGATCTAAGCGACCTGAATGGGCGGGAACTAAAAATATCGATTCAGATTGATGGGATAGAGGACAGCCAATCAGAGCTCGTATAGGTGGACAATACTGTATTAGTGCCTCCCATTATTCGTTGATTGGACGAAAATTTAAATTTATCGGCGCCATTGTGGACTAGCCTATAGTCCCAGGTCGAGTGGGATTGGACTAAAACGACCGCATGTCACCAAGAATGAAGGTTTGATATTAGACGAACCTTAGACTACAAATTAGAGGAGGCAATGAGACAGATTTCAAAGTACGTAGATCAGAATTGTATCAATTCTGAAAGACTTATGATACACTGCTTCAAAGAACTAGAACAATTGTGGCCACTAGCACTTCAAAGCCCTCGTAGCTCAAGAAATTGGGTCCTAGAATAGCGATTGTCCGAGCGTCGGAAAAATCGGCCATAGTTTGCCTGTCATTGGTTTGGCTTTCTTAGTACGGGTCTTGGAGCAAAATTTTTTCGTTCTCCAACATGGACTTATAACTCAGTTGGTTAGAGTGTCGTACTAATATCAGCTTGCGTTGCAAGCCCTTGTTGGTAATGCGAAAGTCCACAGTTCGAGCCTGTGTTGGTCCAATACTTTTTGCTTTTTTCCCTCTTGCCCTACTCAGGTTTATCCTCAGTCTAGTAGATACTTTCTTTGGGTTATATACGTGAGTCGGAGAAATCTCTGGTGTTAGCCCCAACTGTGGTAACCTCAATGGTCTATCTACCCAGGTTTTCAATCAATTGGTACTTGAGTGTATTTGCCCCGTATGTATCTCAGCTATATACCCGATATCCTGAGGCTACCTACGCATTTTGATCAACATCTGAGATAACACTATCTGAAGTGGATAGTTTGGGCAGATATCCCTCATTGATCGTACGAAAAATTCAGACGTGAGCTAGAGGAATACGATACTATCTTCGACGATTGATTCACAAATTTTACAAGTTCTACCTGCGAGATACACAGCACAGAATGCCTGAACGGACCAGAAACCACATGGATCCCATAAAGCGAAAGATAGACAACCCTGCCGTGGTCCATAAGACGACCTCGAAATACCACGAAGTTCGCGTAGTAGAAGTGTTCTGCCATGGGATCTCATTAGCTAACCAGTGCTTCAGTCAAAGCAAGTAAAAGCGACATACATACCGTCAAACATAGTCTGTCCAAACCCGTACTCGTAATCAGTAGCACCAAAAGCAAGTTACTAAAGACCCAAAGAAGAACCAAAGTCGTCCGGAAATTTCGGTACGAGTCGTCAAGGCTCATCTGGTCGTCTTCCTTGGGCTCAACCCATGGCTCCAGTGCCCGCTTCACGGTGACTTCGAATTGACTGTCAATATCGGCTTGGGGCTTATCGACCTCTTCGATAAACACTTTCTTGCTATCATCGTCTTTCTTTGTCTGCGCTGAAGGTAATGCGTCTGCCTTGTCGGACCCCTTGGTGCCCCAGGAAACATCGTGCCAATTACAAAAGGCGTATATCATCAAGATATTGATTGATGTGGTCATGCCGAGAAAGTAGGACCATGAGCTTGTGAGGATATGCCATGGATCCATGTACAGTACGCTGGCAATTATGTAAATGCCATACGTTGACGCCAAAGCAATCAATATGATGCCGCTACCGCTGGAGCTGAAGAATGATGTTAAAAAGGCCCCGATACCGTTGTCGAGGTTGAAGTCGAGGACTTGACCAGTGAAAGCGTTGACAACTAAGTAAAAGGAAAGCACTAAGATGTAGAGCTGGACAATGGAAAAGTAGAGGAAGGAGAGTGTATATGGGATCCTCGTCCTGTAGATCGCGATTAGCATTCGCAATTCCATCCTCATAATATCGATGACTTACGCTTTTGGACGGTTGCCCAGGGCAAGTGCAAATTGCAGCAAGATAACAAAAATATATCCATATTTGAGAAAGTTATTGACAATAGGCGTTGCGGTATTTCCAAATGGCCATCCAACCTCTTTGTTAGTTGTGCTCGGTGTGCCAACAAGGTCCATTATAACAGAGGTTGTGAGCCAGTATGAGCCTGGAAAAGCGAGACTTTAGTAAAGACATTATTTGAAGGGGGTGTCACTCTCGCGAATGAAACATACCCAAAGAAAACCACGTCATAATCAATTGGCAAAAGTTGTATATCATCTGAATATGCAGAAAGAAAAGACGAATGATATTGTGCCCGCTACTATAGATACGACCAAAGTGCATCATAGCATAGAGACCTGCAGCAAAAGAGCCATTGAGCCATCGACGTCTTTGACTGATGAACTCGGCTGCTGACTCTGGTACATCAGTCTCTCCTTTGGATGCTTTGACGTAACTGAGATGCCACTTGAACCCTGCTTTAGCAACAAGCTCGAAGCAGAGAATTCGATCCTCAGCTAAGAACATGTTCTTCTTAAAGATATTCATGCCTTCGATGCCCTTTTTACCTAGTCTTTTTGACAGGGTGTGATCTCCATGAAAGTATTGTTCTAATGGACGACCCATAATTGCGCGATACCGATAAGCCGAAAACGCGCCTGGTAACACACTCACGTATCCAAAGGAGCTCTCCAATGGTTTGTCCAAGATATTCGAAATCTTATACTCGAAGTTTTGCGCTGCCACCAAAGGATTAAGGACTTTCCGCCACCGCGGGCCCAGCATTGCATGGATCTCTCCACAGGCCCCCCCCAAGTTTTTATCATTGTAAAACGCTTGCCATAGAGCAAGAAGGGATTTCGGTCCTGGTTTGGTCCCGGCATCCAAAAGGATGACAACTTCTGGGTTCAAGATACGGCTGAAAGCGTTGAACAGCCAGCGGTGGGAATTGATTTTCTTGCTGTTTTTCTGTTTGAGGCAGAACATCATTTGGACCGGAGGTAGATTGGTCGCGTCGTCCCCGTGTGGGCGGATGAGTTGTTGTGTAGCGGTAACAGAGAGTTGGGTCGTGTATTCAAACTTGGAAAACATCAATTTTGATTAGATATGATCTCAAGGTATACTTTATTCTGAACAAGGGTCATAAAAGAAGCGGAACTTACGATATGAGCAACAGTCTCTCTACCATCAACGTCTTTCTTCATCAAGCCATCTTGGTAAATGCCAATCGTGGCCAAAATATCCAACGTGTTTTTATCACATGGCTCAAAGCCATCAAATATCAGACACACAACAATCTTTTGCCATGCAGGGCCTCCTTTGTTCCAAAATTCCGACCTCTTGAGATTGACGATATCCCTAATATTCTGCATAACACCATGTAGTGTACGCGCTGTTAGGACTTTATCTTCATTGTAGTAGGTTATAGCGATGAGAAGCTCGGTGTGCCTGTTGTAAATTGCTGGACGAAGATTGTAACCGTTCCTCAAAGTGAATTCATCAGGATCACAAGTAGCAGCCGTATCTATATGCCGGCGTGAGCCAAGTCGCAGGCCTTGCGAGGTTCATATTCAATGCCACAAATACTTACAACGCATAAACTTGAATTCATCTTGAGACTCCTCGACGTCGCGGTACTTTGCTTGAATGGCATTCTGAATAGCACTAGGCACCGGGTAGTCGACACTCAGAACTGATCCCTGAACCAATTTGATTTTCCTTGTCCCGTATCGTCTTAGAGCGTCTGTTCGGCTTCCATTCCTGGAAAGAGGGGTTTGAGCGCCCTGTCTATCATGTATGCTTGCCGAGTCGGATTCTTGATAAGGTGGTGCGGCGAAGATTGTTGCCCCGGGATCATTTAAAGTGTACCGCCGCATAGATTCAGTAGGAGTGATGGGGTCATCCAGAGATACGCCATGGTCCCTGGATTCGTAAGGCTGTAGTAGCGCTTGTTCCTGCTCTTTGAGTTAGATGGGTGAACTGAGGGAAGTAGAAAAATAAGAACTAGAGATAGAATGTAAGCTCACGCTTGGAGTAGGAGAAATGGGCGGCCGGACATAATGGCCATTATGACTGTCTAGAGGAGAGTAGGACGCCGGCGAATGCATCTTCGTCGGTAGAATGTGATCGAAGAGGCGTCAAGGTCGGTCTTCGAGAAATACTATTGACCTTCTACGTCAAAAAAGGCCGGGAAAAGTCTACATATATTTTAGGAAAGCTTGCTCAAGCTACGACAGGTAGTGGATAATGCCCAAATATAGAAAGATGGCACCAGGGGCTTGTCTCACTTGATAAAGACTGACTTTTATCTCTGGATCTGCTAGATTAATCGAAAAAAGCTATCTAATAGGCTTGAGTAGTGTCCAAAGCAAAAATGAATTCCCTGCCCCTGAACATGCTTTCGCTGTTCTCAGATGCATATAGACCCGATTTTTCTGCCAAGACCAAGCATACGAATCAGGGACGCAACCCAGAAGTGGCGGTGCATCTAACTAGATGTATTTTTAGAAGATAGTCAATGATAGTGTATATGATATAGGATATTGTTCCGACGTTCGTCATGGTGTGGCTGGGTCCACCTCAGTAGGGTAAAGCTCTTACCCGGCAGGAGTTTAAGCTTTCAAGGCCAAGAAGATGTCCACTACAAACGGACAAACATAGATAGATCACTGCCTTCATTGTGTATAAATTGAAGAAGGAGATGATCGACGAGGTAGTCTGTCGCTTCTGACCTAAGCCCGATCTTCCAAGCGTTATTTTAGCTGTTCACATGCTTGTGAAGAGGAAGGTGATTGCTGTCGTCCCATCATCACAACCACAGGAGCCGTAGCCGATGATAACGTAACGTGCATCATGCCTCGCAAGCATCTGCAAAAAGGAAATTGCGAAAGCCCGGTGTCGTCGTGTCTTTGACCCAGGTCGAAGACAGACAGATTCGCTTAAGTCGGCTGGTGACGCGTCAAGCGGGCCCGCATCAGTTACCTGTTCGTTCGTTGAAGGATTGCACAGAATTATGTTGAATCAGGTGTACGTCAATATGAGAAATATATCACTAGTCATCAAATGACAGCCGTCTTATGGCTGCTAAAAGCTCCTCGAAATTGGTTTTGGATGTTGACTGCACGTAAATAATGAGGTCGTAAGTTTGTCTGATTATCTAGGTATCGTATGAGACTAGTCTAGATGCAGCCTAGTGCCATATACCATTAGCCCTAATCGCTGCCTATTTAGGCACCCTCGGAGATTTTCAGCATGCTACGGAGGGCCATTTTCAGTATGGCCCAGGGAGAAGACTAGACATCTGGCCGCTGGCGTAGGTTTAAAAAATCAAATCGAGATATATACGCCCTTCAAAGCCTTCTCAATGACAATTTAACTTTCGAATGAACCTGGATACTTCTGTAGTCGGTCGAGGTTGAAATGAGCAATGAGTTTACACTATCTATCCTCCGATAAAAGTTGCTGGCGTCAAAATGTCGAGCCAAGGGTTGATCCAACTGCTCAATGGTCAACATTCGATCATGCAGTTATCTGAGTGTAGAGCTTGACTTACCAATCCAGTGCTGCCTCCATGGCTTTGACAGCCATCCATGAAAGAGTACATAGTAGCATTTGAAGTACTTTCCAGGTGAAGAGGAAATTCAGAATGATTTCCATCCATGGCTCTAACTCAGTGCATCCGATGTCGATGAAAGCATTGATAAAAAAGATAACCATCACCCCAAAGTGTACAGTATACGTATTTCTATACATGGCGGTGAGATGAAGGAAGCCAGACAGAAAAAGAAGAAAGACAAGGATATGACCGAAGATGCAGTAAAGGAGATAATGACTACATTCGCCGAATGACTCGGGAGGACTTCGCCCCTCTTCGGCACACATCTTGATGTCGAATTCCTTAGTATAAGAAGTGGAGCAAGATTTAGGATCATAATGGTGAAGAAATGAGAAAAGTAGAGTAGTCAGCTACTTAAGTACTATGGCTTCAGGCAACAACCCAAGACTTTGAAGCAGTAATCTTCATATTTAGGGACGTAGGCAGAAGTCTGATACAAGGCTCCGGACAGCCTATACAGAGGTTCTTTCCTAAGCACGAGAGATGTTTCATCAATCTCTCGACGCAGCGTATGATACGAGAGTCCCATCTAAACCCCATTTGTTCATGCTCAAGAAGAGATGCTGATCAGATGATTCCATTGAGTATGCGAGTAATTCCGATTGTCTTCCATTACAACACTTAATATCTCCTCCATATGCAATGTTTATCGTTGGTTGAAGGCTTGTCCACATCCAACGAAACCTCAGAGTCGTTCAATCATCTATATAACCATGCTCAATATTATATGCTCTACGAGTCCTCCATAGACATGTACCAGTACATCCACGCACTCAAAGACATTTCTATACGATGATATTTGTCGGATGACCGAGCAGGAAATTCATGACATTTTCAGGTGACATTCGTGCATAGTTTTTCGCCGTCTTATCAGCGTTCCATGCCAAATGAGGGCTTGCCGTTAGGTTCAACTCATCCACGCCCTCTGCCAGCAAAGGTGACGTCTCTGCAGATGCAGGTTCGACGGCAAAAACATCTGTTGCCGCGCCATGAATAGTACGGTCTTTGAGCGCTTGCAAAAGAGCAACCTCGTCAACGATTCCTCCACGGGCGACATTAACGAGAACTGTTTTGCATGACATTTTCGCAAACTCGGCTGTTGAGATCATATTCATAGTCTCAGGGATTCGAGGAACGGCAATGACTAGAACCGTGCTCCTTTTGAGAACTTCGTCAAAAGCCGTTCGTTGAATATTGGTATCGCCATTGGTAGGAGGACTTTCCTCGCCTTTTCGACCTGCTACCAAAACCTTCATTCCGAGAGCTTGTGCCATCTGCGCCACTCTTTTACCCACATACCCATACCCCAGAATACCCATAACCTCTTCATCGCATGTCAAACACCAGTTTCCATCTCTATCCGCCATTCCATCTGACAACGACGAACGGAATTTAACCCAAGTGCCAATTTTAGTCGCTCGATCCATGCGGACTATATTTCTCCTTGCAGCAAAGTACAAGGCCATGACATGGTTCGATACTGCTTCCACATTTGATCCCGGACAATTGGTGACTCGAATGCCACGTTTGCGACAAGCTTCCAGATCCACCGAGTCTGTTCCCACGGCAGTGACAGCTATTAATTTGAGTTTGGGAGATACCGCCTCGGACAAGGCCTCTGCGTCAATGCGTGTGTAGCTGAGGATAATGATCGTGGCATCCCGAATACGGGCATGAAGCTGCTCCGGTGTTGTGGTTGGATGGTGTTCTTGGGTAAGTTTTATGCCTGGAGGGGCCGCGAATTGATGGGGGGGATCGAATAGTCCGGCTTGTAGATGAACTAGGTGGTGGTGTTCCGTCATGGTCAATTTTGACTTTTTTTGTACTTTGATATCGAAAGCAAACTCGACGAAAGAAAATCAAAACGGCCCCTCTACATTATATACCCGCTCAATGATATCCACCGAGTGATAAGCGGCGTCGATGTTGGCTGTATCTATTCGGGTACACCAATCGGCAGCCAGAGCTATACGCTGCCCCACGTTGATGGCACGCCCTGGGACAAATTAAGCTATAAACAGTAATTATGTAGCTGTTCTCTACTTACTTACAACGACCGTACATGTTCACATTCTCAATTAGGGTGCAGTTAAAAATTGTTTGTTAAGTTTCAATGGGTTCTGGAATCCTCGGTCTTCCCACGTTTGCATCGCCTGTAGATATAGAACGTATTGCTTTTCTTTGGTGGGCACCTTCTGATCTGCAACACCCCTGGCATGTCGTGACTCGTCGGTCTCGACCATTGTCGCGTCGTCTAAATTATCATCGAACTGATAGGTTCGAAAATCGCAATTTTCCCATGCGCTTGCTGTCGTTCAGTATTGATTATTAGTTTTTATCGAATTGTTCTCTGTGTACCCTTGAAAGGGCGCGAAGTAAAAATCCCATACTCACCGTGTTCTTCAGCTTTGATACCGCTCCAGTCTTGCGTAAGGTAATGCAAGAATCCGCCGTGGCAAATGGCGACTACTTCCTTCTCCGGTCTTTGCCTCAGCCATTGGCGTGCAGCGCGAGCTCGGCTTACGAGGGCGTCGGACGAAGGAGCCCATCTACCGATCTAGTTCTAAGATTTAGCTTAGTGGGTTCATGTACTCCATATAGAAACAAGAGTAGGCACCTTTTTGTTCCAATCCTCTGGGACTAGACTGAGATCCACGACAGGGGTAGCTGGTCCAAGCTGATAGTCATCGAATTCACGCTTCAAGTCTGCCACATCGCTGCCAGTATCACAGGCCACATCACTCGTCTCCTGAAGTTCGGCGAGAGCAACAACTCTAACGCCACGTTTGATCGCAGGCTGAAATGAGTACAATGCTGTTTGCATCGTTCTTCTGAGCGGAGAAGCTACAATCAAGTCGATAGAAGACTGAAAGGGGAAACAAGCTTCAAGAGCCTCACATTCTCTTATTCCTGCTTCTGTGAGTTGAGGATCGGGAATCAGATAGGCGTTACCGCCTTTGTTGTGTTCGCCCTGTTTGACGATACTGTTTCAGTCTTAATTTTGTTCCGGATCAAGAAGTGCATACTTGTGCATGTCGCACGCAGTGCACCCGGGGTGCCATTGTGAAAAGCCTCGACGTTTTGTACATTCGGTTTGACGTCAAAGTAAAGGAGGGGGAAACTTCAAAAAAAAAAAAGGGTTGCTTATCTTATCTGAAAGTGGGCGTATGGACATATGATTGGGCATTTCATGCTAACCCTAGTTCCCTAATAATATCATGATACGCGCATACCTAGTATATATMCCAGCCACACTAAGCTCGTGGTAAACCCTTCAAGAAATCCCCAAACAAACAAACATCATGATAGAACATTCCATTCGTCAAACCCTCGCCGCCCTAGTAGTCTTATCATAAAACTCCAACGTCATCGCCGCCAAAAAACAGGGGATATCCTTCCTCTCCTCAACCCAGAACTTAATCAAGTGTTTAATCTCAAGCGCAAAAAGGCTGTTCGGTCCGCCTGATATCTTCATCGTGCCATTCTCGCCGTCGAATATGATCGAGTTTTCCTCGCCGTTGCCCATACTTCCCGGCCCCGTTGAGGCGGTTGAGCTGGCGCCGTGACGGTAGGCGGGCGAGAGATGGAACATGGATGTCACGCGTACGCGGCCGTTGGGTAGGAAATCGAGTTTGTAACCCAGTACTGAAGCCACTGCTTCACGGAATTCGGACGATTTGGCGGTCCAGATTTCTTTGAGGCGGCGCATGCGTTTTTCTTTCTCGGCGACCGTGCGCTCCATTTCTTGCATCTCGAGTTTGAGGCTGTCAAGCGTGCTGACGGGGACTACACGGGCGACTTTAGCGTTGTCGCCGCGTAGTTGAGCTAACAAATCGCGATTCTCGGCTTGGAGTGTCCGCAAGGTTGACATTTTGAGGTTTTCGGCTTCGGCTGTGGGATTTGCGCGTAATTCAAGAATTCGGGTGCGAGACTGTTCTTGCAGAGAAGAAAGATGGGATTTGGTGGCGTCTAATTCGTGCCGGAGCACTTTGATGCTTTGTTCGGATTTTGATAGAGCTTCTTGTAACGAGCGATTTTTGCGGGTCAATATGGAAATTCGCTCTGACTCTGCGTCGCTGTCTGCTGGTGATAGTGGCCTCTTTATTCCTCGAGATGTTGTAGCGGCGGTTCCTTCTTCGTCCTTCGAAGAGGCCTTTTCAAGAGCCGACAAATCTTCGTGAACTTTGTGCAGCTCGTTCCGATACTCATCAACGAGCTTCTCTAGCTTTTCGATCTGTTGGTTCTTCTGCTCGTCGTAATGACTGCCCTCTTCATGCATCGTTAACTCCTCTGTGTCGAATGCTTTGAGCTGGGCGCGCAGATATTCCACTTCCTTGACAGCCAATGCTCGCTGACGCTCTAGTCTGAGTTTGGCGCGAGTGTCCATAGTACCGCCGGGAGCTGCCGCAGCGCTTCGCAGTTTCTCGATCTCCTGTTTGAACTGCCTCTTCTCGGTTTCGAGCCCCTGAATAATTTCGTCTTTTTCCAGAATTTGCGGCTCCACGCTGCCGAGCTTATCGATCAACGTCAGTTTTTCGATTCGTTCCTCCACAAGAGCTTTCACGACTGCTTCCGGGGAATCGAAATCGGCAAATTCGCCATTTGACTCGAGCATACTGGACCATGATCGCCGCTCATCTTCTAGGACTCGCTTTTGGATCTGCAAATTTCCGAGTTCTGCCTCCAATGTGGACATCAGTTGTAACTGGTTCTCGAGGGATTTCTTCTGCTCTTCGACCACTTCAACGTTTTTCTGCACTTTGCGTAAATGTCGTAGTTCTGTCGATTGTTCGCGATTTGTAGATTCCAAATTTTTGATATGTGCGACCTGTTCTGAAAGTTCTCTTTTGAGAACGGCCAATTCTTCGGCTCCATTGCCCTCTGCCCTCAGACGCAGGTTCTCAGCTTCTAAAGTCGCAACATCATTCTCTAGTCTAGTCACCTGTGCATTCGCGGAGTGTAGAGTAATTTGTACATTTTGCAGATCTTGTTGTACGTCTTGTAATGTCTGGGCCAATGTGATGCGTAACGTGTCGAGTTCGGTGATTTGACGTTTGAATTGTCTTTCCTGATCGGCCCTTTGTGCCTCAACTTCGGTGGCCTCTTCTTGAAGGGATTGATTTTGGTCTTGTAAAGTTCGAATGCGTCGTTCAGAGGAGGCCTTTTCGCTGAGTGCTGATTCTTGAGTCTCTTTTAATTCCTTCGCTAGGGCTTCGCTTTTTTGGTTGGCTCGATTGCTGGCTGCTTCGGCGCCCTGAGTATTGTCAGTTACTCTTTGAAATAAAAAGAATCAAACAGGAAGTGATGCGTACTTGAGCTTTCCTGAAATCTGAATCCGCACGAAGTTGTAGATCGCGCAACTCTTTCTCGTGGCGCAATTCGGTGAGATCTCGCTCCTGTTTGAGATTGTCCAGTTCGTAGCGCAGTGTATTTACTTGTACACGGAGTTCCTCATTCTCTAAGTCTACATCTCTGTCAATATTTCATAGTCAATCTGGTTGCGATTGGTATCTCACCATTCTTGACGGGTTGCGATGGCCGGACAGATTGTCGAAACGCCGGATTCGAGGCCATTGCATTGGACGGTCTGAGCGAACCGCTCAGGCCAAAGGGGAAAAATTCACAAGCAACCTGACGACTTAATCGCTTGACAAACAATCATTCGAGAAGAGAGTGTGTTCAGCGAATGTAGATCTAGAAAGTTGTTGTTTTGCGCAAGACGCGGAAGTTAAGCTTGGAGCCCAACAAGGACTAGCGCGACAAATCGAGCCAAGAAATCTTGGGTGCGGAGAACTAAATTTTTAGACAACATTTTTTTTCTCTGCCGCAAAGCATATCCCATATCGACCAGCCGAATCCACGTCTTTCCTCTTATCAACATATATACCTATTTCTAATTTTCCGGGACAGCCAAAATGGGAAAAGACAAGTCCGAAAAGAAAGACAAGAAGGAGAAGAAGGAGAAGCGCCGCTCCGAAACCGACGGAGTTCACAAGTCCTCCAAGAAGGAAAAGAAGGAAAAGAAGCTGTCCGAAGTCGCCGAGAAGGAACTCACAGCCCAGGTCCTTGAAGGATTGGAGAACAAGGATGCTGTTGAGGAAGCCGTTGCAGTCAATGGCGAAGCCGCAGAGACGCCAATTGGTGCCCTTGTGCCGTTCGCCAACCCATTGGCTGAGGAAAAGACTGCTAAGAAGGTGTTTAAGACTGTGAAGAAGGGTACGTTTTTTTTCTTCAAACAATTCTTAAGTCGTGTCTAATAGTCAACAGCCGCCGTCAACAAATCTCTCAAACGAGGTGTCAAAGAAGTCGTCAAAGCCCTCCGCAAAAGTCCCACCCCAGCAGCAAACGCACCCATCACAGAACCCATTGGCGTCGTCATTCTCGCAGCAGACATCTCGCCCTTGGATGTCATCAGCCACATCCCCGTCCTGTGCGAGGATCACGGTATTCCCTACGTCTTTGTCACATCGCGCGCCGAGCTCGGTGCTGCCGGCGCCACCAAGAGGCCTACAAGTGTTGTTATGGTGACGCCCAAGTCAGGAAAGAAGAGCAAGAAGTCCGAGGACGGTGATGAGGAGGATTTCAGCAAGGTGTATGCGGATCTGGTGAAATTGGCTCTTAAGGAGCAGGAGAAGGTCAAGGTTTGATTTTATCACCTACGCATCTTTTTGTATATTCTCATGTCTTTTTGGCCTCTGTTCCTTCCTCATTACTCATTTTGAGTTTCGCATGATGGAAAGGGTTTTTTGTCTGTCATCTTTTCCCATGGGTGATATCATGAGGCTTGATTTGATCTGATTTTGATCTGATTTTTTTGGGATCTTGGCGTTTTTCGTGGTGTATTTCAGAGGCAGGAAATCAAAATAATATTTTCAAAAACAAATCCAACAAGTTATGTGCAATTGTAAATTTACGATCCATTACGACTGTTAGACTTATTGTCCGAGTCTATGGTTTACTGAAGATTGAAGTCTACGACATACAAGGACAAGTTCGTCGGAAAATGGAAGACATCGCTTATCGTGGTATCATAGAAAAGGATAAAAAATTAATTATCCTGAAGAAATCAAGAACTTTTCGTCATTTAATTCCTTAAGATCTCCCGGATGACTGTTGTTGGGTATACAGAAACATAGTACCGACATGCGACGGAATCCAGGTAGAAACCGAATTGGCATGTTTCACATGAGACCGGCTTTCTCTCACTCATCTCATCGTCGACACCTCCGGAAGGGAGGTTGATGCGCAAAGTCAATTCATGGCATCATTTAAGCCTCCTGGGAGAGAATGTCGGAGTCACCCTGGTCAAGGACGGCCATGGTGGAGCAGCTACAACACAATCAGCGTTCTGTCACAGATTTATGGCAGTCAAAGGAGCAAAACTCACCGGAAAAGTTTACCACAGGCAGTTCCAAGCTCAATCTATTCATCGGAAATTACACAGTTAGAAACAAAGCTCTCCAGAATCCCTTTTGGTGGAAAGGTGATCCCTTCTCCGAGCAAAATCCGCTCTCCGAGGGCTACTCATCGTTTCCTCTTACGAGGAAGAGAGTAGCACTCTTCTCTGAGCAACGGAGATTGCCTCCGAAGTACGATATACTGTATATCTCGGGTTCTTCTAAGGATTGGGTTCGGGGAGGAGACTCACGTTGTTGCCGCTGAAGTGGTGGACGGGAGTCTTGGCGAGCATAGCATAGTCTATTCAAGAAGATTAGCCATGATTTCAATCGATTCAAGTCCTTTGGGGTGACTTACACTCAAGCTCAGACTTGCGGAGAGGAGGGCAGTTTCCAGCGATGAGGATCTGTAGTTTGGGTTAGATCCAATTCTTTTTCTTATCTCGAAAATGTCGACATACAAGCTTGGCCTTGCCGGAGCGGAGGGACTTGAGAGTAGACTTCTGGCCCATGGTGACCTTTCCACTCTTCATGACCAAAGCCAAACGGCTGGAGATGGTGTCACCGGTTTTCTTTGCCTGTACGGAAGTCTTGTTAGCACGAACCATTCCTTTCTTTTTTTTTTCTTTCCACATGATGCAGTTGATGGTATATATACATACCTTGGCCATTGTGATGATGCGCTGGACCTTGTCGTAAAAGGTTATGGGACGATGGTGAGAGTTGAGCGTGAGTGTGTCAAAGAATGAAGTATCTTTCGTTGCAGTCAACGATGTGGACAAAATTGTTGGTGTTGTGGGGCCAATAGCCGAGACTGCAGAGGGTTGCTGACTAACATCAACGCTAGTATATCTCAGAATTAGCGCGAGACTTAGCTTGAATAAGCTTAGGACAGTAGACTAAGACCAAACCGGAAATAATCTATAAAATGCCTCTCAGGGCTGAGTGTCGAGGTGGCTGCCTAGAAATAGACGAGATCTGAGACATTTTCGGTGCAGAGCCGTTTTCGATCACAAAATTTTGAGTTTTTAGAATTGCTGTGCGGTGGATATGCAATACGAATGATCGCCCGACTTACGGCCGTCAAATCGCTGAGATAGGATACTTTGAAACACGCCTGGACCTACCAGGGGAGATCACAAAGCTCGGAAGGCGGCTTGATTAAGATACATGAAATGAAAAATTTCCACATTGAGATAATGCACAGTTTAACCTCGGGAGCCTCCGCGCCTCGATCGATTATAGAAGAGACGCTAGTGTGTTTCCGAGTGCTCGACTGCTCGTGACAAGAAAAAAAAGTTGGTATCATAAGAGTATGTAAGTAGTAATAGTACAGAAGAATCAGGTAAGGAAATAATCGCTGGTCAATGATCGTATACACAATGTATCAACATGTTATGAGGGGTAATAAAATACAGAATGTAACTCAACTTGCGTGTTTCCGGCATGTCAGAGCAAGGGTTTCACGATGTCTTTTCACTTTCATATGCAATAGGAGACTCATACACTGTAACGGTGGGGATCCGGACAGCCCTTGTTCGTAACCGCCTTCTTCTCACTCTGCGGTGCCGATCTTCTTCTTCTTCTTCTTCGTCACGCGACCTTCGTCGGCGTCGATAACAGAAGATGTCGACCATCTCAACGAGCAAAATGGCGATAATCAAGAGTGCCACGAAAGTAAATGTGACTGTTCCCGGAGCGCGATGAAACATATCGCCCAGTCCATCCGAGTGCGCTGCTGCGCTTTGTAGAGCGTTCAGATACCGTGATTGCGAGTGTGTGGCGATATGATGTTTTGGAATATTTGAATGTGGATGTTCGTTTTGTCGGTTATAGGGCGAGCAGTTGACGAGATAACTATAGCGGTTTCCTCCCGAACTGGAGTGGCAGTTTCTATAGAGTTCTTTGAGTTGTTCATAATTGTCGAGTGAGATTTCTTCTTCTTCTTCCTCCACCTCAAATCCTGCATCTTCTTGGATTTCGTCTTGGTCGATTGAATTGGTTTCCATCTTATCGTCTTCTTCCGAAAGTGGTATTTGCTGCCCCTTCGCATTTGTAGCTGTTATAAGAGGATGTTGTTCTTTTGGGACACCGTCTGTTCGTACATGACATCCTGTACGAGAATCGCATTCCCAGCTAACACTCTCATGACTATTTTTTCTTTGTCGAGGGTAATATTCTCCTCGAAGCGCTGACTTGCGGTACGATTGGATGTGCCTCGGCTTCCCCTTTTGTGGTTTGTGATTGTGTTCTTCCATTAAATCTTTTAATATGCTCTGTACACAAGAAAGTTCGAGTTTAGTGAGATGTTCTCGTTGAAATGTCCGAGAGAATCGACATACCGCATCAGTAGAAAGTTTGGTAACGACCTCGGACTGTCTTTCCGATACCATTTCGACGTTGATTCGAGACGGAGCCATTGTAAGGCGTATGTTTGTTCAGAGATGTCGCAGAAACTGATATCAAAGTAGAGGGAATGAAATAATGTCCGTGATTGCAGGCATGTTTGGTATTTAAAGCTCCACAGGCATGGTGTGGGTTGGTGTTGGCTCTCTGGGGTTGGTTGTGGCTAAGCAGTGCAATCCTTCCTCTCGTATTCGGCCCTACGGTGTTTCCTTTCCACAATTTCTTTTTTACACGAGAGAAACTTCACAAAGTTTGGTTTCATCGGAATTTAAGAAGAGCAGAGAAACAAGAGAAAAAGAAAAATGTACGAGAAGAAAAAAAGAAAGGTCCCAAACGCCAACATTCCAATTAAATATGGTTAGGGCGTAACGATCAGAGGGAAATACAGGCCGAAGGGTGCGGTAAGAATAACCGTATGCGAGCGTAACGTTGGCACCGCAGAACAAAGAGGGTCTTGCTCTAGAGGCTGTGATTAGGCGTCGAGGCTGAACAACAGTTGGTTCATTGTCCAACCAATGATAAAAATAGTATGCACCTGACTATCGCGCTATCGAGCTGAAGACTTGATCAAATGTGATACTTGACATTTTCGTCAAGATGGAGTAGGCATTATTGCAGATTGAAGAAGTAACGACTCCGTCTCCTGTACGGAGTTACGGCTGCTGCGGCGTACAACTAAAGTTTAGGTAAAGAACAAAACGGCCCGATCAGGTAGTACGTGCTTTACACGGTGTACTATATACAGGGTCTAACCATCCCCATACTTCTAAACCTCTTTCGACTCTTCGAGGCTGAACCATGTACGGAGTTCCAAGAGGAGTTTAGACAAAGTCAAAATCAGAGACATTAGCTCCGCTTACACGACAAGCTTTCTCTTGGAATTTCCTACTCACACATTTTTGTCTTGGTATTTTTTGTGCCTAGTACATACTACGTACGTTGTAAAAAACCGCGCATGAAGCGCATATCACCTTGTCTCATGATTTAAAATAAGATTTCATGCTGGCTTGAGCCTTGTTCTCGGGAATCGGGGACAAACTTTATGTTTTATTACTTTGGACGGGCCAATGGGATGTTTTGTTTATGCAATGTTCCTGCATTCACTGTCTACATATGTCTGTTCAGCTATAATGATATTGAGACTAAAATCTCACGATTTGAGTCATTTGGCTGACCTTACATCGCTGTCGAGTCAAGGGATAAATAGTGTCGGCTCGTCGCACCCTGTTGGGAATTACTGCTTAGGGCTAGGGCAGCCAACAAGTGTCCAACATCAATGTCCTAGTTACATAGTTACATCTCGCTCCACGTGTCGAGCTGGGTCCCAGTCAGTTACCGAATCGATAGTTTGGTTACTCAGATTCTCGTTAGTCATTGCGCTGTGTGCGGTGTGGTACCGTGGTGTCTGCTGTACGACTTGTAATTGTCACATATAATCGCTGATTCGCTCCCCACGGAAGTCGTAAGATTACCTCAACCGCTCTCAGTTGTGTCTTCCCGTCTGCACGGATCAATGATATATACATCTACAGAGGACCAAGTGTAATTAGAAAAGCTTGGAAGGCTTGTATATGTAAATCGTTCCCTATAACAGCGTCTGAGAGCGTGGGCGATCTATCATAATACGGACGAATGCACGCCCCTTGCTGGTGCCATGAAAGCTTGAAAGTTGAAACCGAATTGTTGAACACATAATAGCCTACATGTATTTCGCGAGTCCCTTGCTTGAATTCATCTCCTAGAGTGAAGATAATCGCTCGTACGTAATGGGCAGGTTCTCTACACAGAACTTTAGATGAGGTCCGATCAATCGACGACCTGCAAATCGTATCGATCGTTCTACTTCGTATACATAGCAGAGGCGAGAATGTATCATCGGTTGTAATCACCCTGAATCGAGTCAGTCCGCAGAACATCCGACCATACAATGGCACCACTCGGCACGTTCCTGTCGCAATCCTTACCATGACCAATGAGATCGATCGCATTTCAAACTCAATAACGACGAAAAAAGAAAGGAAAAAAATTTTCAGCAACAAGTGTGAGGTGGCTGACTGGCGGCTTAAATACAGTCCTTGGCTAGCCGGGCTAGGGCGGTTAGGGCTAATCGCTAACCCCACGTGTAGACACGACAGGCGAGCTTCTTGTCTATGGAGTGGGGAGCACGGGCATTTGAGGCTCATTGCAATTTGCGAACTGTCATTCTAATTAATAAGTGGGTTTTGACGGGTACAATATGGAAGTTAATCACAGGGTCAAGTTATATTGACCACGTGGTGAATGGCGAGTTACTCAGAGTTTGAGCAGGGTTACCGCTAGTATGTATGAATGCTCCGAATCTTTAATATCATTGAAACTAATAATACATTTGCAGACTCAATCCAAGCCCGTCTCAGGAACACCAGACCTTTGATTTATCAAACATAGGTGTAAACACATTTAAATGCGCTGGTCAGACTCTAGATTGCCATAAGGCTGATTCGCATCCATGGTAGGGTTGGTATAAGCAGCATTCGCGCCACTTTCGGCCGTGACTTTCTGGAACTTTTGCTCAGCAAGACGACCGGGATCGTTCTTGGTACCAATATCCGAGTTGAAACTGGCGTTGTTCTTTGAATTGCTGTCGAAGCCGCCTTCTTTGATGTTGACGCCTTTTGGCTTGGTGTTGCCCACGTTCTGGACGACGGGGGTCACGTAGCTTGGTGCAGTGCCGCCGTTATGTTTACTACGGAAACCACCGCTACCACCGGCTGCGGCTCCGGCGGTAGCACGTTCAGTGGTGTGGTATTGATGCTGGTGACCGCCAATACCGAGCTCACGTTTAGCCTGCGTTGAGCCACCTGCGTATCCGGATTCCGGTAGGTGAGCACCAGGATATTTGCCCTGACCTCCTAGAGCATCTGGGTAACGCTCTTTGCGGTCTGTGTCGCGATCTCCGGCATGTGCAGCGGAGCGGAGGGTGTTGGCGCCGGAGGTGTCAGTGTTGTTGAAGGTGGAGTTGGGGCCTGAGACGCCCAGGGGCTCGCTGTTGGGATTTTGGGAGAATGCGCCGCCTTGTCGAACGGATTCCGCGGCTAGAGAGTCGTTAGTCACGGCGCCGGTGCCTTCCTGACGGGGGTTGTTGCTGGCTGGGTCGGTGGTGACCTGTGAAGTCAGTGTGTTTGTCTACCCAGGCCGAGTAAATGGGAGCCAACCTTGGTGCCACCAGTCGAGTTTCCAATGGGCTTTCCTTGCATATCCATTGTGGCGGTTATTTTCTTAAATATAGACGTTATGTGCGTGCTAGGACGGAAGCAGATTTGAGTATTAGTTTGCGATAATATTTGAGTATTTTGTTTTACAGCAGGATGAATGGGAAGTGTCGCCATTATAAAGAGCTGCTGGTTCGATCGATGGATGCATCCATCGAGTCTGTCGAAAGGCCAGGCATGATGTCACAGTTACGGCGCTGCTGGGTCGTATAACGTCAAGTGCCACCGTGATATCCATAGCAACTGCGCGATACTCTTCTCTGGGTGGAACAGTCTAACAGATCACTGCAAGTCGACAAGTGGAGAAGATATGTACGAATATTTGGCCGTGTGAGATGTTCCATATCTCGTGGGTCATGTTCATGTCCAGCTATGACATCATATGAGACTATCATCAAGGGTTCGATGCATATCAGATGCAGCCTGACGCTTAGCGCTTGATAAGAAAACGAGAATAATAATTATGTTGCCACGAAGTAATAATCTAGACTCGCTCGTCTTTTGATCCTGTTCATCGTCTGTCTTGTCGGGCCGCAGGGAGTCGTTAGAGGGTTGGCAATTCCCCGTTACGGCAATTAACCTGTGATGATCTAATATTTTCACTAATATTACTGCAAGGATAGTATATTATTATCTTTAATGCGCAATTTTGGTGATTTTCCAATTCATCATTCATTCAGCTTGAATTTCGCCAATTTTAAGCCATCTACAATCTGATAGCCGATATCCTTCCTGGAATATAGCAAACTCCTATGTACATGATTTATCATAACGTTTCGTAGCTCATCCTGACTGATTTATCGGGAAAGAGCGTCCTTGGGCAAATGATCTAATCCCTCCTGACCCTGTCGTCCAACACCAGATAATGGTTCAGTAGCCTTGTAAAACTCCTCTCCATCAACACGAGCACTGCTAGCTACAGTAGCCGGTCCGCGAAGAGCACTGTTGCCTTCACCCGAAACGGGACCCTCGACGCGACCGGACCCAACGTTGACGGCTCGCTGGTCGGCTGAGTTCCAGTCGCTGGGGACGGGGGGTTGTTCTGGAAGAGGGAGATTTTTTTGGGCTTCTTCGACCTTTTTCTGTTTGTTTGTGCCGGAGTCAAGAACGGACTGTTCATGTTAATCTGGGTTGTTTTATATGCATGTAACATTAAAGGAGAGCTTACCTTCATGAGCGAAACGTCCGAGTCAGCTGGGGTCTTGCCGCCATGAGCGCGGGAGACTTTGGACTCGAGCTTGCGCAATTCTTGGGTGGTGCCGTGGAACTTGGAAGAAGACATAGTGATTGATGTGTTGTTTGGAAGATGTGTAGGCGGATGTGTGGATGTTGTCTTGTTAGTATGATCGATCACGATTAAATCTGCGGATTGAAGTAGAAGCGACTTATATAGGAGCGCTGAGAGAATGTGACGTTGAATGACGTAAACCTAACCTACTAGGACAGAGATGTTCCTTCATTGCCTCATCTTCTCGTAGTCAATACACACTGCCTGATCCATTATGGAGCAGGGCCACTCGTTCTTGTCATCCCAGGTCGATTGTATCCCGATGTATTACATCAGTTCTTCCCGAAGGAGCTTGCCGGCTATAGCTCGACAGGATGCTTTATGCGCTCGTATATACACAGAGAATATGCGACATACTCCATCAAGATAATCGACGTCAGCCGTGGACTCCACTAGAATTGTATTCGTTTTCACTCATGTAGATCCAGCAGCACAGTTGCCAAAGACTCGAGTCGAGTAATGCTGTGTCGCGTGCTTCCGAACGACGTCAAACTGCACCCAATCTCTTGCTAGGGCCACCCAGTTATTTGCCTTGAAGTTACTATGTAAATGCGAATCAACAACTTTCTGTCGTGCTTAGTTGTCAAATATTCGGTCTATCTTGATCAACATAGTACACACAACAGTTGGGTAGTCCCATCTTGGTACAGGAATCAGGAACTTAGCAGCCGTCTCATTGAGGGCATATGCCATCTTCATCATCCAGGTTTCGGATCGATCTCACAATGAACATATTATGGCACATCTGGATTTGTAGAACATTCATGCGTGGCTTTGTGATTATGAAGATGGCGCTGAAGCTTGTTGAGTTTAAAGCTGGAAGCCAGTCAATAATACCATTGTCGACACCTGAGGCATGAACAGCCCACCGTCACCGCCTTCATTCCGAGCGGCAGAAATTGTAGGAATTGTCGCCAAATTCTATCAAGCCTTATCTTTTTTGGATTAAATAGCGACATCATAGCAAGGAGGCTGTCATACAGAGCATCAGGTGACTGAGGTCTTAAGATTTCTGCAGATACACCATCATGCCTCGCGATCCGCTCATAGGCCTTGTTGGCAAAGTATGCTGGACCATATCCACCCCGCAGCATCTCCGCGCTGACCAGACTGGTAACAAAGCCTTCTAGTGGAAAATCGACGACTTTGAATAGTCTAACTGATGCTTCGTCCAAAGTTGGTAAGTAAAATTCATTGCGCCATACCGAAATGTTGGTATTCTAATATGTGAATCAATAATTTCAGGAAACTTCCCGTACGGCGCATCCTCCTCGTCACGAAACTTTTCATAACTGACCCAATCAACGCATAGTTTTACCACCATCGACCCCCAACGAGCAATCGGATACCTCCAAATAGACTGCGCCTGCCAAAGATTCAATTTGACAGATAAATGCCGACCAAACTACGGCGGATGCACAGAAGGACGAAGATCGGTCCCAATCGAACTTCTCGATGTTGCTGGTTTAGTGCCCGGTGCACACGAAGGAAAGGGTCTTGGTAATAAATTTTTGGACGATTTGAGGCATGCCGACGCTTTGATTCATGTGGTCGACGTTAGTGGCACGACGGATGCTGAAGGTTAGAGCCTTGTATCTCTTCTTGGCCCGGCATGTAGCTTATTGAAGAAACAATAGGGAAGGAGACTCGCGGGTACGATCCATCGCAAGATATTGTGTGGTTGAGATCGGAGATTGTGCGATGGGTGCAAGGGAACCTGATGGAGAAATGGTATTTTCTTCCGGTCGTTTCGATTCAACCAGTTTTAACATGATATGCAGGGGGTCTATCAAACGGAGGCATCAAGCTACGAGTATGTATACATTGCATTTTACAAGCCCGCGGTTACTGACAACCTACAGAGGCAAACCCAGTCGAAACACTGCAAGCCCAATTTTCCGGTTACGGAAGTACCTCACAAACAGTGGCTCGCTGTCTCGACCGCCTGAATCTGAAAGAGCCTCTCGAAAATTGGTCAAATGAGACGGTGGAGCAGGTTGTGAATGCATTTGTGGATGAAAAATTCCCCACAGTTTATGCCTTGAACAAGATTGACCACCCAGATGCGGATAAGGTATTATCCCCCGAAACTGTTATGTTACAGGAGGAGCTATCTGACCGTCTACCAGAATATAAGCAAAATTGCCCGAATGCAAGATGCGAAGTCAATCGTGCTCTGCTCGGCAATATCGGAAGTCTTTTTGCGACGACTGGCGAAACAAAAGTACGTCAAATATGTAGAAGGAAGCGAATTCGTGGATACTCGAGAAGATCTCATAGAAATGGGTGATCCTGATGGAGGAGGCTTGAAAGAGATGGATGAAAAATTGAAGCAGTATGTTCCATTCTCAGATTATTCACGGTTCTCTCTGAATACTTACGCACGATAGACGCGTTGAGAATCTGAAAGATATGGTTCTATACCGATTCGGATCCACTGGCGTTGTGCAATGCTTGTCACGGGCTGCAGAGGTTCTGGGTCTTGTCCCGATATTCCCAGTGCGCAATATTCATACATTTGCCTCGGGATCAGGGTCGAATGCAGTCTTCCGTGATTGCGTCTTAGTCAAAAAGTATGTTTTTCTCTTGCGTCTTAGAATCAAGCCACTAACAACCAACAGAAACAGCACAGTTGGGGATGTAGCACGGAAAGTCATGGGTGACGTTCCTATAGCCTACGTTGAAGGAGCCGGTGGAGTACGTGTTTCTGAAGACGAAATGGTTGCTGTCGGGAAACATGATGTACGTACACCTTATGCGGCTTTGAGCATAGTTTGCTGATCTCTTTAATATAGGTACTTTCTTTCCGTGTTGGCCGCTAACATCTACCATGATATAACGAAATGAAATGAGATACTTGATAAAAATCATGCTCTTAATATTACAGTGCTAGGGCTGATGACATACAATCAATGTCCTTTCTGTTTCTCCCACAAGTCAGCAACAATCCTTTTGGAAAAAACTAGGTAAGAAAACTAACCTCCCCCCTCTCATCATTCATCCCAATAATCGGCTCCGGACTCTTGGGATGCTCCTCCTTCGCCCTCTTCGCATTCTGTCCCAAATCTCTCTCCGTCGTAGCACCACTCATCGCAGAATCCGCAATGCCTGAATTTCGCTGCTTCTCTGCTCTGCCAGTTGCTACGCCCTCAACCTCGGGGTCTGTAATGTCGTTTTTGGCGGCGCGATTGACGGCGTGGTCTTCCGTGGAGGAGCCCTTCCATTCCTGGAATTTGTGGCCTTTGACATCTGAGGAGCGGGATGAGCGGGGTTCGGAGGTTGACTGTTGTTGTTGGGTTCGGTCAGAGTTGCTGGAGAATTGGGCGCGGACACTGTGAGGAGTGTGGAAGGAGGCTGGTTGGAGAATTGCGCTGAGAGGGAAGAAGTATGGGCGTGGTGGGTTGGGAATTAGAGACCGGCGCATTGTGATTGTGTCTTTTTAGATGCAACGTTGAAAATATTGATGAAGAATCTGTATACTATGGCTTAAATTGAGTGTCATTTCGTAGTTCCTGATTTATATATTCTCGTTGATGAGGCTCATGACGTCGGGATGCTGCAATGATGCGAAATGCCTCTATCATCGGCTTATCGATAAGGGTTCGCGGGGTGGGTAATTACACAATACGGCATACTGACAACGACGATACACGCTTTGTAGACACAGCATCCTATGCCTGCTCTTTATTCTAAAAATCAACAGTTTCTATCATTACTTTCCTATATTATCCTACCTCTCACGTCTTGCTTGTGAAAATTTCCATTGGAGTCGTCGTGAGATGGACATGATATACAGCTGCTAGCAATACATCTGTAATACCAGAACACATGAGCATCTGATCCTACACAATTTTCTAGGGCTCCACATTCCATCATCACCATCCAAACATCCACAGTACACACACTGGCAGATCAACACAGCCATCCACCACCGATCCGACCACAGTAATCAGCACGCCAAGTACCAAATCTACGCATTGAATTGAACTGACATGCTAAACCGCCCCTTCCTACCCATCGAAGCCCTACCAGCGTGGGCCCGTCTCAATGGCATCAAATTCAACGACATCGAGTTCCAGAAACTCGAATTCGGTTCTGGCATAGTCGCCAAAGCAGATAAAGAATACTCTTCCGCTCAAGAAGCAGAAGATAAACCCGAGATATTAATGACTGTTCCTCCTGATATGGTCTTGTCGATTGATTTAGTGCATGAGTTTGCCAAGTCGGATCCGTATTTGAGGGCGGTGTTGGAGGCTAGTGGTGATTTTGGGTGGGTATGAAATTCTTGCCCACAAGACTAGATAAACATATGAAGGGATGCTAAAGTTTGTATAGACTGCTCGTGGGGCCATCCTCATCTTTCTACTCTGTCATATTACATACGCAAGCAATACACACGCCAAAATAGGCGTTACAAACCCCTGGTCAGAATACATCAAATTCCTCCCCAGTGAAACACTCCTCCCTACACTATGGACAGAAGACGAACTCGTCTTACTCTACGGCACGTCTCTGAAAGATGCAGTGGACCATAAACTATCCGCTCTTGAAGCAGAGTTTGATCGTCTTCGAGACGCCACGCAATCTATCGCTTGGTGCGAGAGAGAATGGTGGGATGAAGAGACCGGTCAATTGATACTGGACGATTGGAAGATTGTGGACGCCATGTATCGGTCTAGAGCGTTGGATTTGCCGGGCTCGGGACATGTGATGGTCCCCTGTGTGGATATGGCTAACCATGCCTCGGGCGAAGAGACGGTTGCGTTGTATGAGACGGATGAGGAGCGGAATGCGGTGTTGCAGCTTCGATGGGGGAAGAAGCTTCAACGGGGGGAGGAAGTCACAATAACGTACGTCAAGTGTATCACTGACTGACAACGCGATCTAACGATGACTAGTTATGGAGATGAAAAAGGAGCGTCTGAAATGATCTTTTCTTACGGCTTTCTCGAAAGCTCAGTCGAGGATGCACGGCAACTATTCTTACCAATCGATATACCGGACAATGATCCGCTGAAAAAGGCCAAGAAGAGAATCTCTGCGAAAAGGACTGCTCCAGGCCTGAGACTTGCTTTAGAAAACGGCAAAACAGTCTGGGAAAGCGACTTCATTTTCTGGGCTTGTGTGAACGAAGAAGACGGCCTCTCCATTGAGATGATGCAGCCCATCGAAGGGCCCGTGGAACTCAAGGCTCTCTGGAAAGGCGAAATCGAGATTGGGCATGTTGTCCCAGGAGCATCATCAAAGTCAAATGTGAAAGAGTTGCGCAATATTCTTTCGCAGGATCCGCTCTGGGATCTATTCCAGTTACGTGCGGCGGTGCTTGTACAGCAATGCTTGCAATCTCGTCTGGAAATGCTGGGTGGCGAAATGGAAATGGCGTTTGAGGGTGTAGAGCATGATGCGGACGGTAGTCAGACGGGTGTCCGGAGTGCTGTTTATGAGATGATTCGGAAACTCAGACAGGGGGAAACTGCGCTCTTACAAGGGGGCCTGAGGGATCTTGCTAATGAGGTGGGTCACCGTGTCGCTTTTCCGAACCAATTTCTAACAATCTACTGTGCACAGATCGAAGAACTGATGACGTCGGAAACAGTGCAGAAATTTCTCAAGCAGCAACAACAACAACAAGAAGAAGAAGAAGACTTTTCTTGAATATGAGTCAAAGCCCGAAAGGTGGCCTGATGTTGCGCCAGAACGCCTACAAAGTAAGAAATATACATAACTAGTACGTAGGCACTCAAAAAGTGTAATGGGCGGGACACGATTGGCCGGGGACGTGGCATCACTCCAGAATGCGTACTCCCTGATTTGAGGCCCCAAATAAAGAGAACTGGGGGAAACCCCACGGCTAGACCTATCTGGGACTAGCACAACCAGGATCATCTGCCGGTGATCGGCGAGTTCGGGCCTTGGCGGAACAACTGAATTTCCGTGCTCTCTGTTGCCCGCCTGCTCTTTCCCTCTCCACTCTTCTCAACAATCCAATCCACTCAACGCTCACACTTCTGATGTTGTACATATCCTCGCCGTGCTACGACCACCGCTACTACGATTACTACGACGTACTACACAACTAATGATTCGCTCTCAGAGCGACTCTGGAAGTTGCTTCACGTGTATATACTCTGCTTGCGCCACCACGACACCCTGATATCGTCCGTGTCAGCCGCCTATTTAGTAGCCGCTTCATCACGACGCATCGCCGCCTGCTTTGGCGGATGACCGACTCGCCATAGTCGTTTTCTCGACAATCTCCAGTATAGAAAGGCATCAGCACCGCCAAAATGCCGGGAATTCTACCAATGAAAGTGATTAAAATGGGCTCCAACGCCCAGAGCCGTATCGCTCAAGCCTGCGATCGCTGTCGCTCCAAGAAAATCCGATGCGATGGCGTTCGACCGTGTTGCACACAATGCAAGAACGTTGGTTTCGAGTGCAAGACCAGCGACAAGTTGAGCCGAAGAGCTTTCCCGCGTGGTTATACTGAGTCATTGGAAGATCGTGTGCGAGCGCTAGAAAGCGAGGTGAGGGATTTGAAGAATTTATTAGACGAACGGGATGAGAAGATTGAAGTACTGTCGCGTATTCATTCGTTCGGTACACCACGTCAGAAGGTGCAGTCTACATCCTCTCCGGCATCTACGTCTGGTTCAGTCTCGGAAACTCCTCGATCTCCGTTGTCAGAAGATGCAACGGCTTCTCCTATTGATACAGAGCGCATCATTAACGTTCAACACCCGACCAAGTCGTCTGGTAGTTCACCTTTCGTGGGCCCATCAAGCGTTCGCGCTTTTTCGTCAACACTGACCAGCAAGCTGGAAGCACGAGGCATATCCTCGTCTTCCTTCTCGACGAAGGCTTTGACGGCTTTCCCAGCGAGAAATTATCAACGCAAGGCCTCATCATTGCAGTCGCCACCGAGACTTGTGTCAGATCAATTAGTCAACATATATTTTCAGGAATGGGCTCCCCTGTACCCAGTGGTGCATCGTTCTACGATTCTCAAGGCTTACGATCGCTATCTGGCCGATCCGTCTCTTTTGAAAGACCAGCCTCTCACCATCATACAGTTGAATCTTATTTTTGGCATAGCTGCCCTTTCTTCAATGGTACGTATTCTAGACATGCCCTATGTGCAAATTCCAAAGCTGACTGTCATTCAGTCAAGGACCAACCAAGACCCCAAGCTCTTCGAGAATAACTGGTACACACCGCTCGAATCCCTCAGTGGCGAGATGTCTGTGCCTGCCGTGCAGTGCATGGTTCTCGCTCAGATGTATTTCTTGACCAAAGGAGACTATCAGTCTTTGCTTCGCTATCGCGCTCTTTCCGTTGGCACCATTCAGTCGCTCGGACTAGATCAAAGCCAGCAGGACTTTGTTCGTGACCCGCTACTCCACGAGACTCGCAAGAAAGTCTTCTGGTGTCAATACATGTTGGACCGGTAAGGATTCACAGCACTTTCCTCATTCATTTGACCCAGCTGACAACTAGTTAGCTTTGCCGCTGCCGCGACTGGTCTACCTGTTATGCTCCGAAATGACCGTATCGGCACTGAGATGCCGGCAGACATCGACGACGAGAATATTACCGAAGAAGGAATACTCCCCGGTTTACCTGATGAGTGCACTCGCATGTCAAGTGCGCTTGCTCTAATAGAAGCTTCCCGAATTTTGGGCAAAGCGCTTGAGATACTTTATCCATCAGCAAATGCTCAAGTCTCAGTGACAAAGCTACATGGCCTGTCCGAAGAGCTGGATACCTGGAATAAGGGTCTCCCAACCCATCTCAAACTGATTTTCATTCAAGATCGGCCAAGTACGAATGTGACAGGCAGCCGGTCTCCACTATTAGTAAGTTCTCATTGTCTTTTCCGAGGCTCTCGCAAACTAACTCAGTCTAGTCTTTGGTGTATTACTATATCCGAATTTTGATTCATCGTCCAGCAGCATGCTTTGGCACCCCCGACATTATGAATCCAGCTTTGTTGACTGTTAGCGACTCAAGCAAACACATCATCCAAATCTTGCAGCTCCTCGACGAACGACGCTTGAGCCTGTCGCTAGCGGTCAATCGTTTAGAGGTAGCTTACCTTTCTGGCCTTGGCATTCTGTGGCAAGATATGACATTGGAACGAGGCAGCAAGCTCGTTCAGGAAAGCCGGAGTTTACTTCTTGATGTAAAAGTACAGCTTGAGCCAGAGTCCAACACAGCTGCGACCGAGTTTAGAATACTTTCTAATCTCATCACCGGCGCCGACAACCAACGGTCTTTGAAGATCAAGAAGGCCCTACAAACGTCGATATCCCGTGCTGAGAGGGGCTCCGAAGCGAAACCGGCAAAAGATGGTATGCTGTCGAGAAGGAACACCATTTCAAATCTCAACGCAGCACATAGATCCTCTCAACAGACGTGCCAACGGCCAGGGACAATGGAGCCTCCCCAGACAATGAGCCGACCCCGATCATTCGATCTATCGTCTGGCGTCAATGTAGATTACTATCCTCTGAATGCAGACTCGCTTCGATCCGTGTCCACTACTGATGTCTCAAAGATGTCATTATCAGCAGCGGAGTGGGAATGCATACTCAGCGACCTCGATCATGGCAATCTGAACATTTTCAATGGGATATATGGCGGACAGGAAGGTGCTGATCAGCCGAGCTCACAAGGCCCGATTGACAATAGCTACTCGCCCCATCAGACTGCGACAGCTTATGCCCCGATCATGCAGCAACACGTACGACTTAGCCCACAGGACACATCATCGGAGGCTTGGTCTGCTTGTAGCAGCGGCGATATATCGTACGTGCACGATGGTGTACCAGGCTACCCTGCCGAAAACGGAATAAACACAGATGATGTTCTTTCCTTCAAGGATTTCGATTTACCGCAATCTCTGCAAATGGCCGAGGCCGTCAGGGGGATAATGATCCCGTCTGCCGACGAGGACTATGTTGATTTGGGTATATTTGACGGCTGGGATCGTTCACTGATTGCTTAGTTCGATGCAATGCTTTCTATGCAGTTTTTTTTTCTATTGTGGGCTAGAGATGGAGTTTATGATATGGTCACGGGAAGGAACGGATAACAGGTTTGGTCTTGTCAATATGGCGCCTGGTGATGGATGTTGGCTTGTTCTTGATGTTCTGACAGTACAGTTTCATGCTGAGATTGATGTATATATGATTTTAGCTCATACTCATATGAACGCCTTACATTTTGTATTCTTAAATAAATCTACCGTATCATGTGTGCGACCCTAGACTTCAACCATCATATATCCATTCGCATTTATCAATCTTCGGTTCGCAGGCAACTATTGACACCAAAAAGCCGAACCAGCAGGGATTTCAAGGGCAGCAGCAAAGCGTGACTCTCACAACACCTCTCGCAGCCAAGCGTCTATCTCCTGGGTCAACCGAAGGGGGTTGCTTCCTTGACAATGAATATCGGCACCCGATTGCGCATCCAGAGTCACGAAGCTCTTCTTGCTGGAAGGAATTGTCTCATGCCATGCCCATGCTTGCTCCTTCCATACTTGCCCTTCTTGCTCTCCGAGTATCGATAGAAATGGTACCTGGACTTTCCCGGGTTCCGCGACCATACCCTCCCATCGCTGAGTAAGCTCTGACAATCCGGATACACCTGCTTTCCACATGATTACCTCCATATTCTTCTCCTCTGCTTGCGATATGGTAGCTTCAGCGGCTCTCTTTCCTACGCTTAAAAATAGCTCAAGCGGGCATGTAAGTGGTGTGGTGGCAATAACCGCTACGAGTCGGGGTTCATGGGCCGCTGCACGACAAGCAAAATAACCCCCGAGACTCATACCAAGAAGAGCCAGTTTGCGTGGTTCTACTCCAAAAGAATTGATCAACTCATCGATCACGGCGGCTATCGGCTTCTCGGCCGCAGGCTCCCAGTGAAGCCCTTGCTCTTGAACCCTTCCCTGTCCCGGTAGATCAACCAAGGCAACTGAATAGCCTCGTTCCAAGAGGTAGCGTCCCTGCGACAAGAACCGGTCTTCGTGACAGGTGTCTGCTCCTCCTATCACAAGCACTGTTGGCGTAGTGGGATCGGCGGCTTGGAAGAAATGACCAGGTAGATTCCCACCTCCATAATTGACGGCAAAACGAGTGACTGGCAAGCCCAGTTCCGTCATGGCTTGATCAAAAAGCTTCTCGTGAGCGCAATACAATGCTATAAAACGCTCGCCTGGGGCAACAAATTGCCAAGCCATTCGGTAGCAAACAAATGCCTTTAGGCGCATCTCACCCGCTGACCGAACTGCGCCGCGTCTCAGCCACTCGTCGGCTTGCCTGCTCTGTGCTATGCCCTGGTTCTCAAATGCTTGTGACCAGGAGTCGGCGTCACCATCGGTGATTTGTGAGGCTACATGGTACGCCTCTCCGATGGATAGCCCGCCTGCCGGGCCCCATCCAAGAGCACCGACTAAGAAGAGATCCATGTTGGAATCGTGGAAATAGTAGCGCTGCCTCAGACGCTGAGTGGAGTAATCCTCGCCTCGAGTGGCGTTGGCCATGTTGTTCAAACTATGTAACACGTCTTTTGTCGTTTCTTGCTTGGTTGAGCACCCAGGACCTCACACGATGAGATAACGGCGGTTCTGTTTTTATACAATAAAAACGGGTGGTTCTGATCAAATTGAACATCGAGATGAAGGTTTCTGTACGCAGCCCTGAAGGCTGCTTTATATACATGGCTGCTGGGTTTGACTGCGGACATTTTTCTGAATCCAAAATCCGTTTGCCCATGATATCGGAGTCTTAGTAAAACCCCGGGGCTAAGGCCTAAATGGGTATAGCAGCTGCGTAGCATCACGTAAGACGATTCTTACAACGACGTCAAGGATTGAACGAAACATCAGAGTTATCACTTTTCACTCTGAATATATTAGGAAGTGTCTGACATAGTCATAAAGAGGCCATGTCGGAAACTGCTGCGGTTCCCCCTTCAGCGCCTTACCCCTTAAAGCAAAAAAGGATACTGGCATGCGTACGCTGTCAACAGCGCAAGATCAAATGCGAACGAAAGTTCCCCTGTGCACAATGCATTGCTGCTCGTGAACAATGTTTGCCGGCGACTCGCAATCGAAATGTGCGGCGGAAACGAAGGTTCCCTGAGCGAGAGCTGTTGGAGCGTATTCGTATGTACGAGGACCTCCTTCGGCAAAATAACATTACTTTCGAGCCTCTTCACAAAGACGAATTGGTGATTGAAAAATCCTCAATAGATTCTACTGATCAACCGTCTCTCATAGCTTTTAGCTCAGAAAGGGGAACCGAAGTGAAGTACGCATTTTCCGAAGTAGTTTTGAGAGCGGAGCTGATCTTACTTAAAGGAGCCTATTGAACTATCTGGCCACAGAGGTTCGTTCATTTTGTCTGCTTCCCGAACGTTTCTAATGAAGAAATAGTATGCAAATATGGGAGACGACAGCGATTCTTCAGAGGATCATCATGTTCGTGATTTCCTCTACAAGAGGGTTTGGGAGAACTTCTGTATCAATAATGACCACTTTGTTTTCGGCTTCCCAGACACTGATGTCGACCTTTCCGCCTTGCATCCAGAATCTGCCGATATGCTCAAACTCTGGCAGATATATTTGGATAATGTCGACCCGCTGCTCAAGGTTACTCATGCTCGTAGTTTACAAAGGCAGGTCATCGATGCTGCAAGCAACAGAAGGAAACTTAAGCCCGCATTTGAAGCTCTCTTATACAGTATTTATTGTGCGGCTCTCAAAAGTCTCGCTCCAGAAGATGATATTGAACCCATTTTTGGGGCTTCGAAATCGGATCTTCTGGCAAGATTCCAATGGGGCTGCCAAAGAGCCCTTGTAAAGTGTGGGTTTTTGCAATCTAAAGATCGTGACTGTCTAACTGCGTTATTCTTATACTTAGTAAGTGTACCAAGTATTTGTTAATATTTCACTAAATGTGACTAACAAAGTCTAGGTCTCGATTGATGACAAAATAGGCCCCTGGTCTACCTCGTCCGTGCTTGGTATTGCAATTCGCATTGCCCAACGTATGGCAATTCATAATGAGTCAGCATTAGTGAAATGCACGGTCTATGAAGCCGAGCTTCGTCGCAGACTATGGTGGGCATTAGCTCTTTTTGATGCTCGTATCAGCGAGATCTCTGGCCACAAGTGTACAACTTTGGAACCAAGTTGGGACTGCAGAATACCTCTCTGCTTGAATGATTCTGACTTTGGGCCTGAGATGAAGGAGATGCCAATTATCCAGAAACCCGTCGCTGAAACGCTGTTCATTGTCATCCGAAGTGAGCTCGGGGATTTTGTTCGCCGCGCAAAGTTTCATCTTGAGTATACTAATCCGGCTCTCAAGCCTATCAGCGATGCACATCACGAGACTGCCCCTGAAAGCACTAAATTGGATGCCCTGGAGAAGGCAATCGGAGGCAAATACCTCGACTCTCTTGATCCGGAAGTTGCAGTTCATTCTTTCACAATCTGCTTCACGCGGTTAATGTTTGCTAGACTGCGTCTTCTGCAGCTTCATTCAACTTTGTCCTCTCGGACAGAGGCTCAAGAGGAGGTTCTCGTTTCTCACTCTCTACAAATGCTTGAAAACGACACAAAAATCGTAACCTCGCCTCTTATACGTGGCTTCGCTTGGCTGACTAATTTATACTTCCCATACATCGCATACGCGCAACTTCTTCTTTACCTGAGAAAACGACCTACTGGGAAGCAAGCCGAGCAAGCTTGGGAAATCATGAGTGCCAACATTGAGGCTCATATGCACACACAAATTGCCCCTTTCGTAGAGACGTTCACCAAGATGGTCCTGTTTGCTTGGAAGGCTCGTGAAGCAGCTCTGCAAGTGCCGCCAGTACCACCAAAAATCATATCCATCATAAGACAGAAAGACACAGAACAATACCACAATGACGCAGATTCTAAAAACTGCGGTCAGAAAACCGAGAATGCATCTTTTAACGTTGCAGTCAATGAATCTGATGGACACAGCCTAGCGAACGAACAAGAGAGACCAAATGATTATACGAACTCGGAATCATACTTTCTCAACATATGTGAACAGTCGCAATTGGACTTCAATAATTTGAGGGAGTTTGATTGGGCTAACTGGGATTGGGGGAATAATGCAGAGATGGGAACTGATGAGTTCGCAAGCTTTTAACGACCTCATTATGCTCTTTGCCCATGCAGTCGGTAACTACTGTTTCTATAGGATAGCAGAGACTAGATCAATGCTCTGTGAGTCTGTACAGTATTTCAGCTATTTTCTACTGAACATCAGATATCTATTTAATTATCTCGTCTTCTTCCACGTTCTGCTCTCAGCCTCTCGTGGTGCGATCATAGTCGAGAGTGAAATCTCCTTGATCCAACCAGTTCTGAATGAATTGCTGCAACAACTTTGAATTGAGAGCAACATATTTGACATCCGGGCTGTCTCTCAGGGCAATACTTGTGTTTCGCGGGTCGTATATAGGCGTGTTCCTGCTAGTTTCCAACCGAGTCATGCCCTCATAGACTGGTTCCTCAATTAATGGCATCATCGCTTCGAGCGGAGTCCCTGGTGACTCTCGGACCTTGTCCACCCAGTCCTGATAGTCGATTTTCTCAACGTGATAGCCTAGATCTTGAAGCATCTGATAAATATCGTTGTAAGTGACTGACTCGGCCCGGTCAGGGGGCACAATGTGATAAGCTCGGCCGAGGTTACCCATGTCAGATGCGATGCGCAAAATGGCCGAGGCGACATAGTCAACGGTCACATACTCCAGGTACTGAGTAGCAAGATCTGGAAAGTACCCTATTTGAATACAACCCATTATCAAGCGGGAAAAATAGTCGTTTGCGTTGGCAATCGCGATTTCACTGTGACCGATGATAAATCCCGGCCTATAGATTGCTGTGGGTAATCCACGGGCTCGTGTCCTCTGGACCAGTTCCTCGGCCACGAACTGGCTGGCGGAGTATCCCGTATCATAAGGGACGGCATTCATATGCGGCATGAGAGGCTCATCTTCATCCACACGATCCACATTGTTGATAAATCCACTGACGCTCCACACGTCGATCGATGAGATGTAGTGCAATGTCTTTCGGCGGCCCAGGGTTGTAGCGCGGATAATGTGGCTTGTTCCAATAACATTAGGTTCATAATGTGCCTCGTAGGGTTCACACCAATTAACGCGCGCACCCACGTGGAATACAATGCTGGCCCAGTTTGTGAGCCAAGTGAACTGTCTCTCCCCAAGGCCCAAATTGGGATCCGTCAGGTCGCCCTCGAGGACCATAATCTTCTCTGTCTTCTCCAGGCGACTGTCCCATATGTTGTATTTCTCAAGTGTTTGCTGGATTCGAGCACTAGCACTGATCCCAGATTGACTACGTGTTAGACAAGCGATCTGTTTCACCCCGGGTAGGTGAAGAAGTTGTTGCAATATATGCGCGCCCAGAAATCCAGTGGCTCCAGTGAGAAATACCCGGCCTTCATCAGCGCCTCGCCAATCTGGAAGCAAGATAGAATTATCCAAATACTGTATATCATGCTTCCAGCTTTTCATACCCGAAGAGTCTGGATTGACTTCAACAGGGGGATCAGCTAAGAATTCTGCGAGGCTTTTTATTGTTGGGTGACTGTAAAGCTGTTCGAGTGTGATCGCTTTGCCTTGGCCACGTCTAATTTGACCGATGAATCGGGCTGCCTGAAGGGAGCCTAGCCCGAGGGAGAAAAAGTTGTCTGACGGGTTTCCACGCCATGAAGGGAGCATTGGTTGGAGGGCCGAAATCAGCCGTGTAGACAAGTCCCCGGTATGCCCATCGTTCTCATCTGGCGTCTCCATATGAGGTGTATTGGTTGTCTCATGGTCACTTTTGGCCGATGCCAAAGCTTCACGATCAACTTTCCCGTTCACAGTTAACGGGATCGTTCGCTTCTTATAGATCTTGCTTGGAACCATGTAAGGAGGGAGCTTGTTCTTTGTCCAGTCAATCAGCTCCTCTGTGTTGATATTCAGCTCCCCGTCGGCGAGTATGACGTATGCTTCCAGGGTTTCGACTTCATTCTCCTGGTGGTAATCTACCACACACGAGTAGACATGCGGGTGTTCCTCGATCACACGCGACACCTCCCCAAGCTCAACACGGTAGCCCGAAATCTTGATTTGATCATCTTCTCGGCCGATGTAGTCCAAACAMCCCCCTMCCTTGTCCCGCCATTGTGCCAGGTCTCCAGTACGGTACATCCGTATGCATGTACCAGCTAGGTCCACCGAAACGAAACTTTTCTTATTTTCTTCTGGTCGGTTCAGGTATCCAGGCGATATTTGAGGCCCAGCAATCCAAAGTTGCCCGGTTACCCTGGGCTCGTGGATGGTTTGCAGATCATCACCAAAAAGAAAGATTCTTGTGTCCCCGAAAGTCTGCCCGATACTGATGCGCGAGCGTTGGACCTCTTGGTGATCCACCCGGGCCATCGTGACAAAGATAGTTGCTTCGGCGGGCCCATATCCATTCCACAGATTCTCTGGTGGCATTTCCCTCAGTACACTATGCATCGCACTGCTACTGACAGCCTCTCCACCGACGATGACATGCCGCATTCCATGAAACGCCGCCGGTGCAGTGAGCGCGATCACCTCGAAAAGGGCAGTGGGTACGATTGTAAAAGTGATCTTTTGCTGCTTTGCAAAGCTTTGTAACGCGAAAGGATCGTTCCGTATGATGTTCGGAACGTGAACGACTGTTGCTCCTTCCAATAACGGTTTCCACATCTCGAGCAGAGAGAGATCAAATCCGGGGTTAAGCATAGTAGTCATTCTATCAGATGAACTAAGTGGCCCCGTAGGTAGGTTTCTCAGCACGTGGAGAATACTACTGCTCAAGACTTGAATTGGTTTAGGTCGACCGGTAGAACCTGATGTGAAGATGATATGGCTTCGGTGAGTCTCTGGGCGATTGGCGCGTATAGAAATCTCCTGATCTTTGTCAATATCGACACGTGCATCCAGAGCTGCTTCAATAGGAACGACGTTCATATTCAGGGCCAACGGTTCAAAATCACCGCTGGTAATTATGAGCGTCGTAGCCAAATCTTCTAGCATCCCCTTTAATCGATCCGTAGGTGTGGCCGGATCAATTGGAACACAGGTCCCTCCAGCACGTAAGACAGCGATTTGTGCCAGGACCTGCGAAAAACCTGTCGGGACGAATGTACAGACAGGCTCTTCTGGTTCTAGAGAATGCTTCTGCAGAAGATCAACCAGGATATCCGCTCTCATTATGAGTTCCCGGTAACTAATGGTATGGGTCTCATCCACTACCGCAATTGCGCTGGGCATTAAGTTGACTTGCTGGATGAGGATTGTCTCCATAGTGCTCGTTATTCAGGTTATTTGTCCAATGTGATCAAGACGGTAGACTTACTGAGGATGGAGAGTCATGTCAGCGCGTGGAAACATCCTTTACTTAAGCACTTCATCCAAATTCCCGCTTCTACGATTGCGGAGCTTATGACATAGTGATTCAAACAAGGCCATCGCAGTCACCGATCTGGAACCGCTTGATGCATACCTAATTCAGGGCTTATGTATCGCGAGGTTAACAGATGAGCTGTCCCGCAACCGCTCCATATATTGATTGGTTTATTGCTTGCGCCAAATTACAGGAAACTTCACATCAGGGAGGTATCAGACGACCATCTCCATGCAGTTATTCTTGCATCAATTGTGACCCAAATCTTGCGAGAACGTAGTGATGGCTTGAATGCCACGTTAGATGAAGTAAGCTTCACCGACTTTCCAAGCAGGATGAGATCATTGAAGACGCATAGAGAGATTTCGTGTTAATCCAAGTCGAAATCGTTCGCACTGATGGTTGAATCAGTTCTGCGCCAATTATTCCTCCACGGTTGGCTCGATGGTTTGATAAAGTACTGAAACCTTGCCCCGTCTACTTGATCGTCCTCCGAAATTATTCTACCACTTCGCGAGAGTGTTTAGCAAGATTGGTGCCACGACATCATCTCACAGCTTCTCTTTGCAAATGCAACCCTGCCATCAAGTGATGTGCATCGCCAGCCATGCGGCCATCAAGGAACATCCGAAGCCTATCCTGGAGATATACCAAATCTGGGTCCTTGACGGAGCTTGGCCTGGTGCCTGGCCACCCTCTGTTGACTAGGAAAAGCCAAAGCTGGAGATCCGAATAGATTGATGACAAGTGAAAGAGACGTCCATCCAACTGGAAGATTGACATTGCCTCTGTGTAGACATTCAGGTTTGCGCTCTGCAAGGTATATTAGCGGGTAAGACTAGCTAAGCACTGTATACGTATGACTGGCCTATACCGTCTCGTAGGTTCTAATGTGATGCTCCCTCGCATTTTTTCTCTCCATTAGCTAGTTCGTATTGCGAGTTCGCTGCCAAGGCTATGATACATCTATAAGTCGACCTATGTTCAAAGCTAGGTGTCATTAGGTACCGTCAAGGCTTCGTCGTCCCATGATTCTAACAAGCTCGTCGTAAACGAGCGAGCAGCAAATAGTGCTCTTTGATAATGTCAATAAACCGGTTTCAGCTGCATCAATATACACAGGTAACGCACAGACGCCCACAAAATAGCGGCCGAATTCAGTAGTATAGGCATGAACGATTGATATCTGCGGCGATGTAGAGGCGCTAAGGTTACAAGAATTAGCAGGTTACATGCATGACTACCCGGTGTCCTCTCAGGCATCTACTGTTTGTGTACGCATGGTCCTCCTGCACGCAAACACTCAGAGGAAAACGATCAATTCCACCAGTTTCTCTTTCGTATTACATGTACACAGCTAATGCTGAGGTTTCTGCATCAGTCTCTACGCTGAGTTTCAAACTAAGTACCAGATATTGATATATGCTTTATCCTCTCCTGTGGCATGCACAGATTCCCTGTAATGATCCGCAAGAGGTCCTCAACGAACGCAGGCCTGGTATCCTAGATCACAATAGAAACTACACAGCAGAATAGGAGGTTTTCTGGACATAACCGTCCATCCAATTCCTAATTCAGCTCCAAACGAGGTAGAGCAACCAACAGACTTGAAAACCAGTAATTTCAAAGCACACATCCATTTGCAATATTGGGCGCCACCCGAGCTGGCATAGTGTGTCAACATTAGCTTAGGACTTGCGTGATCCCGATCAAGAAGTAGTCTATAACTGGTCTAACCACCAGAACTATTCAGGATGCCACATTACACGTCACTAGGTACATTAAGTTCCTGAATGATAAATAACCATATTCAGTCAGCTGGCCTTTCCAAACAAACCCTCGAGAATCATAAATCGACAATAAGCAAACTTTTGCATGGCTCAGAATACTGCAGGGGATTGTTTCCGTTACTTATTAGAACAGAAGGGGGCGTACAGTCCTGCAAAAAAGCAAATTCACAGAATAGGTCAAAGGCGTCATGAGTCATATCAGCCACAGTAGTGACAGTACCCATCTCTCCCTCAATTCTACCATTCCACTATTCAGAAGGGCAGCGTCGGAAACGCATGCGCAGACCTCGGATCAACATGTTTTTTCGGGGCGCCTATTTTCATTTGTTGTATGAAGAATAGGACTTATCACGTATGACTCATGAGATAGCTTCAACTTTAATAAATCTTTCTAATTACTATAAGAAAGGCCTCTCTCTTTCTACATAGATAATTTAGTAATACAGGATTACTGGAGAGTAAATTTGGATACGTATCTATATAAAATTAAACTAAATCATCTTGGGGTATTATTGTTATGTAATTTATATAAGTTCAGCTAGACTTCTAGACCTTCTAGTTCTTTAACTAATTATATACTATTTATTTTGCTGCAGTAGCTGTGGTATTGAAGGACATAAAATAAACCGATATTCTGGTCAAACTAGTAAGTAAATTATTATATATATTTTATATGTAGTTTTGAAACTGAGATGTGAAATCAATATAGAGAGTCTAATGTTAGAAAGGTGGGCGCTTCGCTTACCGATTACGCTAGTTACTACATTGATTAGTTAACTAGTTACATAATTTATATCCAAGAATTTGCCTTCTTTCCGTCCTCTTCAATCATGATCAACATCGGCATCTCATACTCCATATAGATATACGCAAGTCGATTGTCAAGTTTCATTGCAGAGTGCCTATCATAAACGTACAAAGTAGGCGATGGTCATTTAGACCCTGACAGAGCAGCCGATATGGTTCGACATTAATACAATCTATGATCGTCGCATCAGGCATCAACCGACAAACATCAATCAATGTACTCAAGAGTACCAAACCTCACTATCTCAAAAGCCTTGTCAAAATGACAGACTCAAACATCAGCACTACAACACCTACAGGATCAGCGACCGCAAAACATCCCTCATGCATCCTCTGTCGCAAGAGAAAAGTGAAATGTGACCGCAAATACCCATGCTCAAACTGCATTAAGGCCAACGCAGAATGCATCTTTCGCGAGTCTATACCGGCTCGCCATCACAAGCGGAGGGCTGAGCATGCCTTGTTGTCGAGGTTGAGGCATTATGAGAGTCTTTTGCGGCAGCACGGCATCGATCCTGGCGATGATGCTACTACTTCTGGTGGTGCTGGTGGTAGTGAAGTCCAGCATGGGATGAGTGCGCTCAAGTTAATGGAGTCCAAGCCCACATTGGGTACTGTGAGCCATTCGGTGTCCTCCAAGCAACCGCTTACGGGCCAGTTCGTGTCAAAACGAGGGAAATCTCTTTATTTGGAAAAGTAAGATCTGCTCTGGATGAAAATGAGAGAAAGTGTAATATTAACCAGATGTGTTAATAGCGACGTTTGGAATACCCTTGGAGGCGAGGCGCGTATTTATCTCTCTCACCCTTTTGCATGAAGCTTGTCAAACTAATTCAAATACAGCTCGAAGATTCTGATTGTATATCGGATGATAGCGATGCTGAGAATGCAGACTATCTATCTCCAAAGCATGAAAGTGAACCACTCGATCACGGATATAATATACTATTCTCATCACCGTCAAATGAGACTCTGACCAGTCTACATCCTGATCCTGTGCACATTTTCAAACTGTGGCAAGTATTCCTCGAAAACGTGAATCCACTTACGAAGATCATTCATGCACCTATGTTACAACAGCAAATGCTGAATGCGATAGGCGAACTGAACTCCATCGGGAAAGGGATGGAGGCTCTGCTGTTCTCAATCTATAGCTGCGCCCTGCTTTCAATGACAGATGAGGAAGCGTACAAGGAGTTTGGTCGAGAGAAGAGTTCACTACAAGCTAGATTTCGTATGGCGACGCAGAAAGCGCTTGCTAATGCGGGATTACTCAAAACAACGGACTTGGTTCTATTACAAGCCTTTTGTCTATATATCGTAGGTCACGATTATTTGGTGCTCGATTATGATACCATGCTAATCATCCTTAGGTTTCTTGCCGTTCGATATACGATCGACGGACAATATGGTGTCTGAGTGGTATAGCAATGAGAATCGCACAGCAGATGGGCCTACATCGAGATGGCTCCCACTTAGGGTTATCTGTCTTCGAGACTGAGATGAGACGTCGTGTATGGTGGCATATTATATACATGGATAAGACCATCACTCGGTCTTCGGGATTCATATCCGCTCCATTGCCCGCAAATGATACTCATTACCCGCTGAACGTGAACGACAGCGATCTTCACCCCAACATGAAAGAGCCACCGATAGAGAGAAACGATATCTGTACCGACATGATATTCATTCTACTAATACAAGAGCTTGGCAAATGGCAGGAACGTCAACCCAAATTCGTCGAGTCTATGTTCTCAGGACCTGAGGAGAAGGCGAAAATTAGAGAAGAGAAAGCTCAGCGCAGACAGAAAGCAGTCGATGATTTCAGAGCAGTTATCCACGACAAAATCATCAGATTCTGTGATCCGTCTATTCCGTTGCATATTGTTGTCAATGCCTCGGCACACACAATCGTCTCCACGATCCAATTGGTCGCTTTTCGTCCGTTTCCTCTATGGGTGCCGGATCTAAAACTGCCGGCTTTATCTCGTTCTCAAAACGATGAACTCTTTGCTGAATGTCTGGATCTTATCAGGCACAACGGCCGACTACGCAATAGCGATGTTGTTCAACGATTTAGATGGCATCTTGATTGGCATCTCCCCTGGCCTATCTTGTTATTATTGATTTCAGAACTATCCAACCGATCAGTTCTGTCAGAGAACACGCGACAGGCATGGCAAGCTATCGATGATTGTTTTGTACCATACCATCAACGGCTTGAGCCCGAGGCCCGAGGTCCCTTGCACATAGTTTGTCTAAGACTTGCTGCTAAAGCGTGGAATGCTAATTTGAGTGAGTGTCGACGTCTGGGGGTGGCCGTTCCTTCGCGTCCGAGGATTGTCGAGTTACTTGACAAGCACCCGTCTACTTCTTCCAAGGGGCGAAAAAGCACGCCCAGTCGATCAGACCAAGGATCGACTTTGTCGTCTCCTGCTCCTTCGACTGGGAATCGACAGGAAAAACAACCCGCTTCTTCAACGACATACCCTGCTTTCCTTCAAAACACCACTGTTTCCGGAAGCGATAACACAGAAAGCGGACAATTTTTCGCTGCTGATTATCTAAACCTGCCAAATGTATTTGGTGAGGGCCCGGAAATTTTTTCAAACGATGGAATGATGATCGACTGGGCAGACTGGGATCCCCTATTTCAGCATATATCACCATACGGAGTGTCTAATGTGACGCCTTGAATGCGAGAAGACCCGAGCTTTTCTATCGTTCAATTAATTCGCATGTGACAAGATCGGATATCTCTACTCATTGATTGACCACTTCGCTCCAACCGCAACATCGCTCCTCAGAAATAACTCCTGTGTAATATTACTATACATCTCAACTATGAGTCAATCAAAATCATAATATGTGATACGCAGACCTTTGCCTTTGTCAACGTAACAAGTAAGATCTACGATACGCAGACTACTGCTGGCAGCGTCCCCAGCATTAGACTGGAAGTATGAGCTGGCCCAATCAGAGCATGACATGGAAGACATACGTACATAGAAAGACAATATGACTTGGATAGGGTTTGATGTCACGCAGCATTTGATAACATGTGAATTATGCCCTAGATCAATGGCATGAAGGTGAGAAAATTATTACTCTAGTTTCGCTGGAAACTCATAAATGTTCTCCAATTCAAGATCTTTATTTACACTCGGGCTGATCAAAAGCTCGAGTACCCCCAAGAAGCTCCTGGCGAGCCTACAGCGCGACTAAGTCTGCCAAAAGATGTGACTTAGAAGCACTAAGATTTACTAACATGTCGGATATACTCATTTTTTAAGTATGCGTGAATGGACGTAAATATTCTGGGCACCCGGAGCAAGTGGCGGGKGKCCGTATTACTTCTTCCTGATTTAAATACCGCTATACTTTGATGAATTTGAAAGCAAAACCGCGATGTGAACAAAGTATTTGCAATTCTATGTGTAAGTCTCTGGCATCTCCATGGAAAAAAGTTCATTAGCCGGAGGAGTCGAGTCTCCGTCGACTCCGTACGGATGTACGGAGTAGGAGAACTACAAGTCAGCTACTTACCAAAACTCATTAGTAAGGGTTTAGCCCGTGCTTGTATAAGCATTGAATCCAGATTGCCGTATGGATAAATTGAGCTTGATTCTAGCCTCTGGCTTACGGTTGTTGCCAGAAATGAAGAGGTAAAAAGCACACCGGACGACGGTGCCCCGCAATCCCGAAGATGCTGATAACAGAGGGACACGTTGTTTGGGTGATGTACGTGATTAGCATACCTTTTTTTTTTTTCAAGTCGGGTAATTAGGATATTTTGCGCTGTTGTCCAAGGTTTATCCGATCTTTTTTCTTTGTTGCAGATTGCTTGTTGGACGGTGTACTGGGCAGGTATACGGAATACTTTATCCGTGATCCAGATCCGATGCTGCTCAACGTCGGATAAACTTCAACGAAGCGGAATCGCAGCAATGGTCGTAAGATCATGACATGACAATTGCTTTGTCAGTCTAAGGTGTCAGAGACAGAGTGAGTGTGAGAGAGAGTCTTGGTGGGGGGCCTTTATACATCATTGCCCCACCGACTTTTTCCTGCGGCAACTGCTTCGTCACGGGGGTGGTAGCTGGCCCAACGCCTTCCTTCTCGTCTTCCATTTCACCTCCTACTTCTTCTCTTCTCCTCCTCTCCCTTCATCAATCTCATCCATATTTGATCATTTCATACCATCAGAATCCAATACAAAAAGGATCACCTTCTTTTTGTATCGCCTTCTGCCAATTGAACTGTTCTTCTCCTGCTAAATTGTATGACCTAATTGAGTTGCTCCCTCTATTCCGGCCCCGCGATTGCTCTGCCCCTCCTCTCTCACTCATTTCTTGCTTTTAACCGTCCATCATCCCTTTTTCATCGCGACAGATATCCCATTTTTATCAATTACTAAATTATTTGCTTCTATAGATATCGCAATCATGGGCTACACCGAAGTTGATCAGTTGGCCATCAACACGATCCGTGTTCTCGCGGTATGTTTTTTTCCTCTCTTCTCTTTTTACCCGCTCCGTCGGCGTTGCGGCCGTGCTTCTATCAACGCTTTCTCGGAGAAACGCCGTCCGCCAATCGTACACCGGGACGAGATTGGAAGTCGCCATATCTTCTCCCGGTGTGTGCAGCGACGGGGCTGTCTGTGAGAAGGCGTTCGATAGCTGTATACAACACAACAGCTCTGGCGTGATGGCTCAAGAGTCTCGTTTTTGAGCATTGCTAATTACATCATCACACAGGTCGATGCCACATCCAAGGCCAACTCCGGTAAATATTTCATTCTTTTTTCCTGTTCCTGCTTTTCCGCGGGAGCGATGCTCATTTCAATGCTGATCATCAAAAGGTCACCCCGGAGCTCCTATGGGTTTGGCTCCTGCCTCCCACGTCCTCTTCAGCAAGTTCTTGAACTTCAACCCCAAGAACCCTAAGTGGGCCAATCGCGATCGATTCGTTCTCTCGTAAGCATTTTCTGCTGGCTGTAGCTACGCGATCGATGAGGAAATGCGCTAACGAAGGGTCTCAGGAACGGTCACGGATGTATGCTCCAATATGCTCTCCTCCACCTCTTCGGATACGATCTCACTATCGACGACCTGAAGGCTTTCCGTGTAAGTTTACCTGCGTTCAGTTGATCACTCAAGCTGATTTTCGTAGCAACTTGACAGCAAGACCCCTGGTCACCCTGAATCTCACGACACCCCCGGTATTGAGGTCACTACCGGTCCTCTTGGCCAGGGTTTTTCCAACGCCGTTGGTCTCGCCATCGCTCAAGCTCACACTGCCGCCGTCTTCAACAAGCCCGGCTATGACCTTTTCAACAACTACACATACACCATCTTCGGTGATGGCTGTGCTATGGAGGGTGTTGCTAGCGAGGCTGCCAGTACCGCTGGTCACTTGAAGCTCGGTAACCTCATTGCTATCTACGACGACAACCATATTTCCATTGGTAAGTGTTTCCCTCCACAGACTAGTAAGAAGAGAGCCTGACAAGGGTCTAGACGGCGATACCAAGTGCGCTTTCACCGAAGATGTCTTGAAGCGTTTCGAAGCCTATGGCTGGCATACTCTTGAGGTCAAGGACGGTGACCACGACCTCCAAAGTATCGAGGAGGCCATCCACAAGGCCAAGCAGGTCAAGGACAAGCCTACCGTCATCAAGGTCACCACCACTATTGGTTTCGGCTCCAAGCTTCAGGGTACCGGTGGCGTCCACGGTAACCCCCTCAAGGCCGACGACGCCGAGGGTGTCAAGAAGGCTTTCGGCTTCGACCCTTCCCAGAGCTTCGTCGTGCCCCAGGAAGTCTACGACTTGTACAACAAGACTGCCTCCGCAGGTGCTGCCAAGGAACAAGAATGGAACAATCTCCTCCAGAAATATGCTGGAGAATACAAGTCTGAGCACGCCGATTTGACCAGACGTCTTGCTGGCAAGCTTCCCGAGGGCTGGGAGAAGAGCCTCCCTACCTACAAGCCTACCGATGCTGCCGTTGCCTCTCGTAAGCTTTCCGAGACTGTCTTGGAGAAGATCTATAGCGTTCTTCCTGAGCTTCTCTCTGGTTCCGCTGATTTGACTGGATCCAACAACACTCGCTGGAAGGCTGCTGTTGACTTCCAGCCCCCTGAGTACGGCATTGGTGAGTGGAGCGGTCGTTACCTCCGCTACGGTGTCCGTGAGCACTCCATGGGTGCTATCATGAACGGTCTCGCAGCTTACGGTACCGTCATCCCCGCTGGTGGTACTTTCTTGAACTTCGTTTCCTATGCTGCCGGTGCCGTCCGTCTTTCGGCTTTGTCTCAGGTCCGTGTTATCTGGGTCGCCACTCACGACTCCATCGGTCTCGGTGAAGATGGACCTACTCACCAGCCTATTGAAACCCTTGCACACTTCCGTGCTTTGCCTAACCTCATGGTCTGGCGTCCCGCTGACGGCAACGAGACCAGCGCTGCCTACTACTCCGCCCTTACTTCCAAGCACACCCCCTCCATCCTCGCTCTTACCCGTCAGAACCTTCCTCAGCTCCAGAAGTCATCCATTGAGAATGGTCTCAAGGGCGGTTACGTTGCTGTTGACGCTCCTGATGCCGCCGTCGCCATTGTCTCCACTGGTTCTGAGGTCAGCATCGCCATTGACGCTGCTCAGTACTTGAAGGAGAAGCACGGTGTTTCTGCTCGTGTCGTCTCTATTCCTTGCTTTGAGGTCTTTGACGCTCAATCCAAGGAGTACCGTCTCTCTGTCCTCCCTGACGGTATCCCCATCTTGTCCGTTGAGGCTGCTTCCACTCTTGGCTGGGAACGCTACTCTCACGAGCAGTTCGGTATCAACCGCTTTGGTGCCTCTGGCCCCTACAAGAAGGTCTACGAGGTGAGTTCATCTATATCTATTCGTTTTTCATATATACTAATTGTTTGCAGAAATTCGAGATCACACCTGAGGGTATCAGCAAGCGCGCCCTTGCCACCATTGAGTTCTACAAGGGTGTCAAGCCTCGCTCTCCTATCAACCGTGCTTTCCAGCAACTTATCTAGATTATTTCACGGGCTTAAAAACAATGGTTGGATCAGTTATATCTAGACTTTGATGTTATGTATGCGAAATGAACATAATTATTTTGTTATACCCTGTTATTCTTGCGGTAGATTGTATACACTTAGCATATTTTGGCTTTTGACACCGTCCAGCAACATCTAAATTGACTTGGTAAAAAATTTATTATTGTCTTTTCTACCTATCTTGCACCGAAAACCTTTGGTGAAAAGAAGAGATCTACTCAAGAGCCTTGCGAGCAAAGTTGGGCAGAATGAAGCTTGCGCGGTGGATATCGGCATTATAGTATCGGCACAGCTTCTCCTCCTCCTCGCGAGACCAAGAGCGCAGGGGCTCCTTGACGTTGCGTGTAGCGTCCTTGCAGCAGACCATGAAACCGATCTGGCCGGAAGGGTAGGTTGGGATGGTGGTGTAGGCGTATTCGGCGACGGGGAAGACTTCCTTGCATGCCTTCTTGAGGTCGGTGATGAGGGAGAGGTGGAGCCATTGATTTTCAGCTATAAAGTGCAAAGTCAGCAAATCGTCAACCCCCAAATATGTGAATATATAAACAGGGAGTAAAATAGTGTATCGAAAGGAAATGAGTGAGAGAAAATAAGGTGAAAGCAGAGCAAGAAAGGCCACGAACAACCTTGGGTAGTAATAACACCGCCTTCACGCAAAGCACCATTCAATAACTCGAAATAAGGCTTCTGGAAGAGAGACTCTGCGGGTCCCTCGGGGTCAGAGCTGTCGGTGATGATGACATCGAATTCGTTCTTGTAGTCGGCCAAGAACTTAAAGCCGTCGCCAACGTGGACTTTGACGTTGGGATGTTGGAAGCCAATGCTCATGCCGGGGAGGTATTTCTTGGAGACGCGGATGACGGCCTATTTCTCTTAGTTTTTCGGATTATTGCAGATAGGGAAGGAGATATACCTCGTCGATGTCGCAGAGAATAGCCTCCTCGACGGTCTCGTGCTTGACGACCTCGCGGAGGACACCGCCGTCACCACCGCCGATGACGAGGACCTTCTTGGGGTTGGGGTGGGAGTTCATGGCGAGGTGGGTGATCATTTCCTGGTATCTGCAGGAATGATCGTCAGCAACTTCTATTGAAGCTTCCAAAAGGGCAAGTGAGGGTGACCGCACGAGAACTCATCGCGCTCAGTGCACTGAATGACATTGTCCAAGACGAGGACAGTGCCGTGGTCAGTGCTCTCAAAGACGAGGACGTCCTGGTATTGCGATTTCTCGTGGTGGAGGACTTCCTTGACCTTGAGGGTCATGGCTTGGCCGGGCCACATGTTAGAGGTCTCGGAGAACCAGCCATCTACAAAAAATTGGAGCAAGATGTTAGTTCGGTGAGCTCGACAAGACCAGGGAGTTGAGAAGATTGCGCACCCTTGATGGTAGGGTGTGTGATTTCGGACATTGTGGTTGTTGTTGTAAGGATTGATTTATTTCTGAGAGCGAAATGAAGAGGGGTCAATTGGCGGCACGAGAATCGAGTTACTGAATTACCACGAAAAGACAGTAAACAGCGAGGTATCATAAAACAATTTTTATGGACGGGAGGAGAAGAAGAAAGGGAGGAGAGAAAGAACGATGTTCTATTTTCCGCGATTATTTTTTTTTCTTTCTTTCCAATGACATCTGCCCAACTGGTTGTGGCGGGGKCGTCCGAGAGCCCACCAAGAATTGGTCGACCGCCCAGATTGCGCCGGAAGACAATCAGTGGGGGCTCTGTGCGATTATCTACTGCGGCGCATCTTTGACTTAATCGGGAAATTCTCTTCTGTTCGCTTTACGATTGAGTTCGGATGGTCGTTATATAAAAAAATGTTTCAGATCTACTACTTACTTGAATCACTTCCAAGAGTGAATGGCAATAAATATTTCTTGATTAGAATCATATGCTCTGCGGCGGACTTAGGGCAAGCCATCGGGTTAAATTATTCGAATACAAGATTTTGCGAAGCTCCCACCCATTTCCATACCATTTCCAGATTCTCTACCCATGCCAAACCAGTCCGAACACAAACGCCATGAAACTTGAAACCTCGTATTCCCAGATAGTCCCAATGAAACGGTGTGGTCATACCTACTCCTCCCCACCATGAGCAAGTCGACCGGGCTTTGAGTTCAGGTATTCATTCCTATCAGCGCAAACAAAGTTAGCATGTATGACCCCCAAATTCACATGAGACAAAGACACACTCTTCAACAGCCCAATTCATAGCCGCATAAGCAATGATAAACGGCGGCGCGAAGTACAGAACTTGATGGCGGAAGCGGCGGAAAGTGTTGAAAATCGCAGCGTGGAGTGTGCCAGCCAGAGGGTTTTGACGGTTTGGGGAGATGGTGTATGCGGCGATTCCTCGCTGAGGGGTGGGACAGCCTGAAGATCAATTAGTCAGATTAGTCAGATTGGTCCTATGGATTTATTGTCTGAGGAAGTTGGAACTGGAATTGATGTCTTGATTTGGTGCAAATCAAGTGACGGTTCTTGGACGCCGTCAGGACGGAGTGACGGGGTAGGTGAATGAGTTGGTCGAGCATGGGTTGAAGTGGACTAGAGTCCGGATGTTCATACCTAAAGCACCGAATCCGCCGGCAAAGCTACAGTATATTAGCCATCCGCTTATTTACTAATTTCGATGAGTGTAAATAAAGTCTGGGGATAAGTATATCAAGCTAGTCGAACTAGCGATATCGATAACAGCACTAGCCCATGAAGCATCGTGAAGTACTTACATGCCATTCTTTGGGTCTGCTTTTCCAACCATTTTCGAACGGACGCTCAATGAGTATCTTGCAAGGATAAATGACAATGTCTTCAGCAGTTGAAGTTGTACTGAACGATCGAAGGGATGAAGTTGAGCATTTCGTCATGAATCGGAACCGGCCCTTGTTTCTCAATCGGGACTAGCTAACATATAGCGAACTAGTCTGCTTATGGAATAGACAAGCTGCCATAGCGGTGACAACCGGCAGAAGGAGCTCAAACCAGCGATTGTTAATCTTCAACGGTCCAGCTCATCATCCATCAACACCATCACACATCACAAAACAACATAACAAAAATGGCATCACCAAACGCACTCCTGCGATGGTTTGCACTACCCATCGCAGGCGCCCTCGCCATCGACGCCTCCATGTACGATGTCAAGGGCGGCTCTCGCGCCGTTATATTCGACCGTTTGTCCGGAGTTCAGGAAAAAGTGATTGGTGAAGGAACACACTTCCTCATCCCCTGGCTGCAACGGAGTATCATTTTTGATGTGCGCACAAAACCGAGAAACATTTCAACGACGACGGGGTCCAAGGATTTGCAGATGGTTAGCTTGACGTTGCGAGTGCTGCATCGTCCGGAGGTGCCGAATTTGCCTAAAATCTATCAAGTATGTGTATCCTCTCACTCTATTTCAGGTGCTCTGTGTGCTGATAATTGTGTAGTCCTACGGCACAGACTACGACGAGCGAGTTCTCCCCTCTATCGGAAACGAAGTCCTAAAAGCCATCGTCGCCCAATTCGACGCCGCGGAACTCATCACCCAGCGAGAAGCAGTCTCCAACCGCATCCGAACAGACCTCATGCGTCGCGCCGAGCAATTCAACATCGCCCTTGAAGACGTCTCAATCACACACATGACCTTCGGCAAAGAATTCACTCGCGCCGTCGAACAAAAACAAATCGCACAACAAGACGCTGAGCGAGCACGATTCATCGTCGAGCGGGCCGAGCAGGAACGTCAGGCAAACGTTATCCGTGCCGAGGGTGAGGCCGAGAGTGCAGAGATCATTTCCAAGGCTGTCGCAAAGGCTGGTACGGGCTTGATTGAGATTCGACGAATTGATGCTAGTAAAGAGATTGCGGCTACGTTGGCAAGTAATCCCAACGTTACTTATTTGCCGGGTGGTGGTGAAGGGAAAGAGGGCAAAGGCACAAGTCTTTTGCTAGGATTGAGGTCTTAGATCATCCTCTTCTCCTGCTTTTCTACGTTCCAAAATCATGTGCATTAGTCATCACTTGTTCGTTTAAATTCTCCATGTAGCAATATCCTAGGACCTCTTCACTTTTTGTTTATTCCTTCTGATTCGAAGAAGACAGTCTTCGATAGATGTGAATCTGAAATCTCATATCCTCTAATCTGATATATCCCTGTCCACCTTCCAGCTCCACGTTGTAGTGTAATTTGTGGTTGGCGTCTTTCCGGAACCATCTCGAGTCTTGCGAGACGAGTTTTTCCCAGGACCCTTCTGCGACACTCAAAAGGGTATGATCAAGGAGGAATTTCATGGGATATTGTCGTTGCTGTTGCTGTGTCTCTGTGGAGTCATTCTTAGCGAACGACAGAGTTGAGTAACTCCCTGGGCTATCGACGACCATTAATATTGTGCCTGGGCTCGCTATGTCCGTCATTCGTAGGAGTAATTGTGTCGTTCTTGATATAGATGTTGAGAAGAGTTCATTGAGGGTGAACATCAGTGATATCACTCGCTGACGATGAAGGAGGGACTTGAGACCTTCCTCGGAAAGGGACAGGATGTCCATTTTCTGGAATGATATATCGATCCCTTCGTCTTCCTGCCCCGATATCAAAGGCGCCACAAATGTCTTTGTACCAAAAACATCAGGAGAATGTATCCCCGCTGTCAACCTACTGACAACATCGGACCATTCAGCGATATCAATAGCAGTTATACCCATCTTCCTCCTCCTCTTTTGTTTAGGTGACGTCGCTTCATCCAATGATAGATTTTCAACCCCTTCAAGAGGTAACGACTCATCTGTATCCTTTATAATATTTTGCTCGTCTTGCAGCGCCCTCCAAGCACCAGCCAACGCAACAATTTCTGCGCCGGCACCACCTCCGATACACAATACTCCAACATCCTCTTTCCCATCATCCAACCCATGACCAGACTCAAGCGCACAGTCAATAACACCCTTGAACAAACCACAATAAGCCAACGATCTCGACGCAGACCAGCGCAACGCATAAGCCCTCAAAAGCGAAGGCGACGCATCCGTAAACGCAGACTCAAAGTCTCGATTAAACAAATGCGTTTTGAGTTGCTGGATCTGCGTCGATATATCCTTCTCTTCTTCTTCTTCTCCTTCTCCTTCTTCTGTATTATCGACATCTCTATTTACCTGCTCGAGGGAAGAGAAGAGTGCATATTTGAATACATTCAGTAATAATTGTTGCAGGTCCGGCGATATCCTCTTTGCCGATGCCGAGAGATCAATGTGCTCATTCTCATCTTCCATTTTGTGATCATTATTGACTGCTGTGGTGGTATACTCTTTTCTCGATGATGGTGGTGTCTTTTTTGCTGCCTGTTTCTGCCGCTGTGGTGACCCTCGCTTTTTGGTGGGCCCTACTTTCCATTTTTCTTTTCCGTTGCCTCCGCCGCCCATTGTTGGAATGAAATGGAGTCTAGCCTTGTATTGGACTGTCTTTTTATTAGTTATATCGACCTTTGGGATGTATATTTGAGTTGACCGGTCTCTTTGCGCATGTCAGGGTTATATAAAAAAAGTAATTGATAGTGGGGAGCAAGTGCGATGCATGAGCCAATTGTTGCAGAGACAGCTCCACTTTCATTTCCAACCCTACGATTATCAGACTTAATGTACTTTAATTTTATATTGGTGATTCGCATAATTTACGATTCTATAAGAAGATGTGTATAGACAGTGCAGAGATGTCATTGATTCGTCTAAGATGTAATGATGATTGTAAAAGGTGAGAAAAGAAGAAGAGATAGTAATCTGGCTCAAAATGAGGGGGTCTTCTGATGAAGAAAATGAGAAAATGAGTGATGAGAAGTATGGCAGTAACAATGCCAACAAAAAGATACAAAATCATTCGCTCTTCAAGAATGAAAGGTAATGAATGGTGATAGAAGAGACAATGACTCACACAAGACCTCTTGAAACAAAAACAGAAAAGAATAATCGTCCACAATGGCTGTACATCCAGAAATTATGCGCCGACATAAATACATAGACTCAAATAATATGAGAGAAGAGAAATTGTAGTACGGTAAATCGATAGAGAAGACGCCGCCATTACCAATGCCCATCATAATAAGAGATGGGTCATTTCATCAAACAGAAAGCCGTAGAGTGCGCCGAGCCTGCCATGGAGAAAACGCAAACAAGAAAACGAAGTGACGACGAGGGAGATAATTAGGAGTCATTCTGTTTGTCTTTCGACTTCCAAAACATCAATCGGCTGACCCGATTACTCTTCCGTCGGGTCTTTTCGGCCTCGTCTGCAGGTGGTTTCTCTTCGTGGCTCAATTTACTCTTTTCGCCATACGAGGCACCTACCAGTCTGGATAGACTGACCAAACTAGATCGTTTGGCAGAGTTTGAATGGCTCGATCGAGGTGGTAAAGCGTTGAAAGACTCCCGTCGTTCACTCGATGAATGAGGATAGAAGCTAGACGAAATTCGCCCTCGAGGATTCGTACGCGTGGAAGCGCTGCTGCTCAAAGATGGAACATCTTCAAATGAGCTCTGTCTTTGGTCGTGTAGCGACTGGTTGAAAGTGGTGTGGTCGGTCATAGATGATGCTGTCGCCGATCTCGGCCCGTCGAAGGACATGTTGGACGGATCCGGTGATGGGAAAGCAGAACTTGAAGTGTGTCGAGAGGGAAGTGTCAGCTGGGAAAAGCCAGAGTTAAGATCAAGAGGTGACGAGCAAGGTCGCTTGTCAATAGCCAGCATGTGAGGAGATAATTCAGGGCTGTGGTTTGCGTGGTGCGGCACGCGAGGATGTGCCCACTGATCAGCCTCCACTATTTCCACGGAATTCTTGTTCTGCGTCTGATGATGCGAGAGCGTGGTTTCATTCTCTTTCGCTTCTTCTTCTTCTTCCTCTTCGACAGCATCGCCTGGTCCGTCTTCCACAACGGTGTCGTCGGCAACTTGAATGCCAAGGCCATCGTCACGAGAAAGTACAAGAGCGGACTTTGGTCGTTGAACAGCCTGCAAGGTCTCACTGCTTGATGGAAGCATATCACCCTCACTTTCTTCATCAATGACGCTCGAAAGCTCGGCATTGGCTTGCTCAACATCGGCTTGGGCCTGGTCCTTCATCGTAGGAGATTGATGCTCTGCCAAAAATGCATCTTCTTCCTCTTCATAGAAAACGTCCACACTAGCCATAGCGTTATCACTACCCAGCCGAGGAAATCCAATCAGTGCACTGCGATCGAACGGAGGCATCTCCGGTGCGCTTTCAGCTCGTCGATGGTAGCGCATCTCTGGACCAACGAATTCACCACGTCGACCACCACTGTACATGCGCTTGGTTGCCTGCGAAAATGCACTTCCAGCAATTCTACCGGCACCCATTTCAGGAGTATTGAAGGGGCCTAGTGCCGCGTCAAGATCAATGACGGGACTGAAGGTGTCATTTTCAACGCCTTGCTCATAGAAACTGCGTGGTTTCCATGCTTTCTCAAACGCCTTGTCGCTTTCGCCCTCTGTATCCTGAGTAGTCTGCTTTGGTATGTTTGGATTCGTGGGCGTCCGTATAATAACCGTGTTGTCTTCGTCAAAGTTGACTTCGATCGAACCCAAATCGGAATTGGTACGAGTGAGGATGGGAGGTGGTGTCGGGCTTCTTCTGGATAATGGTCGCTTAACATGGGTTCGCTTGTTCTTGAGCGGGAAGATATGGCCGGCCCAATTGCGCACTTTTTTCTGCTTTTTACCGTGACAGTCATCCCCTCTACGAGGATGACTATCTTCAGCCCCCGAGCGCGAATTAAAACTAGATGCTGATTCCCACTTTTCGGCAGAAGGATCCTGTGTAATATCAAGTGTTCGTTCAGTAGACAGTGAATTCCAGCGGCGTTTTTGCTCTTCAAAAGTCGCATTTCCCTCCTCCTTTCTCCTCTTCTTCTTCTTTTTGTTCTTTTTCGAAGAGTGCTTGTCCTTTATAGATTCGGTATCCGACATGTCCACGGTCTCGGATGATTGGCGCCCTAAGCCTAATGGTCCCATGCCCACAGACGACCTCCTTAAGAAAGACATTTCGCTAAAGTGTTCGGATGGTCTCGATAATTTAGACATGAGCACGCCTGCATCCGCTGTCTTCGGTCGGGCTTTGATTGTTTCTGTCGAGGAGGATCCCTCAATTTTGTTGCTTGGTGCTGCGCTACTTACTCGGGAATGGTTTGGCCGGACGGTAGACAGGCTGCTGGACGTTTCCGTGGATATCATCGATACTGGTCGAGGTCTGTCGTGGAAAGTGAAATCCGGACGAAGAGTCATTGGTTGTTTCGCCGGCGAGACTGGTGGACTAGGTTGTGGGAGTAGGTCGACAGCAGAACGAGACATTGGGCGGGACATGTGACCTTGAAAATCGTGCTTGCTATCGGCGGGAGTTGTTGGAGCACTTCCAACTGTTAGGATTTGAGGTGCAATTGGAGGCGCAGCGAGCGTCAGGGCAGTAAGGTCCATGCTTGACATAGCCTGGGAACGGCGATGAGCATGACCCCGCCGGCCGGGACCACGAGACGGTGCGCTCATTCCTGGCGCAGGTACAGTAGCGTTTTCTCCATCAGCAGTTCCAGGACTGGTGCCCATCATTCGAGGACTTGGAGGACCATCTTGCCCAATCAATTCGCTAGGACGTCGTCTGTGGCCGATAGGTCGGGGAGCCGTGACGGTAGATGTGGATGGTGTAGACGCATGTATATTGCCGGGGTTGAAAGAAAAGGCCGGCAGCTGAGCAGGTGTATAGTCGCGCATTGCGTCGGTGGAAGATCGTGGTGGGAATTCAAACGGTGGGTTAGAATGTCGATTATGTATAGTCACGCCGTCGAGATCGTCTGGATTATAATCCATCGTCCCGACAGGGACTCTCAAAGATGATGACATCGACGCCATGAATCATACAATCACTCAACGGGTCGAAAGACAGGACGAAAATTGGCTGATCGTTCAACAACTAAACTCGAACAATGCCTTTGTGAAGCCACAGTCGAATGCAATCATTAAGATAGCCGTCACGATCGCAAAGTCGTAATCCCAATACAGGCCTCCAGACTCCCACAAGACTTCCCTGTGTCGGTTGTCGAAAAGTCGAGAGTCGTTATTGAGCGAGCCGGAGGCCAGTCACCAAAGATAAGGCACCATTAAGATGGTCGGACGCAGACGGGGCGGGTAGGAGGGCGTCGGAATGATGATTTGCGAATGGGGTCGTCCGGTGCTGAAACTAGGCTACAAGGCGAGCTGACGCAGAATATTGAATGGGTTGTGAGATTGCGAAACCCCTGCGGGTGTTGAATAATAAGCGATTCGACTCGTAATGAACGGACGGCCACAAAACTGGGCCAAAGGATTTCACCGTCACGGAACGGGTTTGTTCAGTTGTGGTTTCGGGTCGAGAAAGAAATGCTGCAGCAGAAAATAGAAGGACGAAATCAAAATGAGGGAAACGAATAAATTGAATGAAGGGAAAGCAAAAACAAGAAGGAGAACAGGCCCTACGAAAGGCTATGAGCGGCCGGGGGGGTTAGGGAAGGGGAGGGAGGAGAGAGAGGAAGGAGAAGAGGATGTATTGAATTGGTAGGCGGGAAGAGAAAGCGAGGATTTGTTTGGGGGAGCAGCCAAGACGAATGTGCCAAGGCTGGCCTGAGGGTGACTTTGCCGCCTGAGGCCCGCGTGCGCAAGCCTGAAGACTAAGGCACGTCGCCCAGGCACAGGAGAACCTTGATTGGCCCTCTTCCAGGCTGGTCCACCACGACAACGCCATGTTCATGTTGTGCATTTACTACGTATTAGCATATACTACATACGTGGTAGTAGGTAGTCAATTAACTTTCCCGTAGTAGATTACACAGTCTAGTACGTAATACAGGTTGTCTGAAGGATAGTCAGTAATCTGTTAATGAGTATATTAATTGAGACATCTGGAAGACTCAATGGTAAGGAGATACCAAGTAGGTAGCGAGTAATGGGAGCAAGGATGGTGGCCGACTAGTCGTCCGGAGTGATATTAGCCGTTGCTAGGGGATCCTGATCAGCCGAGATATTGACCGGGACTCCCTGCTGTCGTGCTGTTGATTATTAAATGTTTGACAACACCCAGACAACTCATCGTCGCAAAAGAGTCGTTGTAATGCAATTACATACTATTATGTATGTAACATAGTTGAGTTGTACAGAAAGCAGAGTAATGGCATGCTCCGAATCTGCGTCCTACCCTAGATAGTACAAGTACTTTGACTGCAGGCAACGTCGCACCCAATCAGTATTCAGTTATCTGCACTAATTAGCTACTGCGTAGTAGATTGGTAAGGGCTTGTTTTCAGCTTGGATGTTCTCGACTTCGTAACCGATGAAAACATTTGAATCACGACTCGAACCGTTGATTAATGCATATAACAATCGTCCAATATGCCTATCCTCGACAGGCCTACGTGGTACATACTTCCGCACCCTGGTCAATGATAATATCATAATATAATACTACCCTGCTGGTTCGGAGGAACACTATGAATGTACCGCAGTAAACAAAGTAGACGATAAGTTGAGTTGGGAACTCAGCGGACGATTGGCTCAGTCCTTTGGGATCTTTTGAATCTGAGTCCGGGGGTGGTACGTCTTGGCGGCTGCCCCCACCCAGTCTGCCAATCATCAGTGAAGACGCAATCTCCAATTGCCTCGAAGCGGTAAAGTGCACATTGAAGGGGGGTCTTAAACTTTGGTAATGGCGAGTGATTGGCTGAATATCCGAAGTCTAACTATACTTGTGGGTCTGTTCAATCCATTGTGGAGCTGTTCGTCTGCAAAAGTACGGAGTACTACGGAGTCTGCCTGTCATCCACTGTGTCTTTACAGTGTATCTTCTCAACATCGCAACATCGATTGGGTGAAATCAATTCGCTTACAATGCACCAACTCTGAATGTATGCGACATTGACTGACCGACTTTCTTTTGCCACCATCTAGACCTTTTAGCCAAAGATCATGGAGGGTATCCGACGTGATGACTTGCAGCGGCCACTTGGGCCTCGACTCCAGTTCAAGGTGTGTCGGCTCGACGGGAACAAATGACAATTATAATCCATCCTGTCTTGCGTCAGGTTGCCCATATTCTCGAAGGTTGACCGAAACTCGACTACATCCCATGTTCATTGGGTGAAATACCTCTTCCTTTTCTATCCGCGTATGTGGTACAGGGCATCAATAATTCGCTGAGTCCTATGACCTCATTTTCAGGACCTGGGACTCACAAAATGCGACTCTCTAAGTTCAAGGGAGGGCGAAAAAGGCATTCTGTCGACAGTCGCAGTGCAAACCTGTTGAAACAGCTCAGCCACAGACCACGACAAAATCGTCCTACGTATGCCACAACGGAACAAGGGACTCCACAAACAAGCCCCCGAAACATCCTACCCTTGCAATTTCCACACTCAAATTTCAAACTGCACGAACGGATGGACCAGGCTGTATGTTAATTAATTTGTCCGTCGATCAAACTGATCCTTCCGCATCATTACTACGGATGCCGGATGGAGCCTCCGTCAACATCAGTTTGTGTCTCTAAGATCGGAACACGACTATCCATACTCGACTAAATAGCTCAACTACTAATCCGTCTAAATACATATACGTACTCTTATTAGTGTTTAATCTCCGCCGGAGGCCGATTTGAGACAGTTTAGAGCATACGTAGCAGTGTGGTCCACTTTAGATGGACTTCAGCGGTTGTGTAGCACGTACTAGATCGTAGTTGGCTGGTTGACTATGGAATCAAGTGGATACGGTACGTGGCTGTCCTGAGGTAATTATTGGGGAAGTTTGGGAAGATCGTCGTGGTGATCTGGAATTATTTGCGATCAACTACATCCATGGAGGTATATGGGAAGTCACAATACGTGCTTAGAAAGTTTGCGCCTATTGATAGTGGTACCAACACAATAGGGATAGAACAGTAGACACGGATGCACCTGGAAAAGGTTCACCAATTACATATAACAGAACTAAGCATCAGGCAAAGATTAATCTTCTTTGATTTTACAGAGAAACAAGGCTGTCGCCTCAACTAATTGACCTGTTCAATATCTCAACCGCCGCCGTATAAGCCTCGTCCCTCTTCTTCGCTCGGTGAGTATCCTCCTCACCAATATTCTTATCCCACGCGTGCCCACATCCTTCTACTCGCAGCGAAACAACATGTTTATCTCGAGCCTCCTTCTTTATTCTCTCAGCCAGACCCGTTGCCTCATCAGCTAGATAATCCTGCCCTGCCGTTACAATCAACACATTATCCGGGAAATTCTCAGCTGGCGCATAGAAGGGCGAAATCCGAGGATCGCGAGCGTCTCGATCCAGAAAGTACGACCCATCAAAGACCTTGGCCATCCAGGGCGGTATTTGTTTGTCAGTCGGCTCGGGTGGTGATTTGGCGTCTGGCGGGGTGGCTAGATCGGCAGGKGGATAGAAGGCGATTACGCTTCGGAATGTGTTTGGTGGTAGTATCATTGAGGATGCAGCAAGAGACAGATTTCCGCCGGCGCTAAAACCACCAATGCAGATACGGCTGGGGKCGTATGTGATGCCATTATTGGTGTCGGTAGGTGAGGATTTGATGTACTTGACGACATCTTCAATGTCATGTAGAGGAGCTGGGAAACTATTCTGTGGCGAGAGTCTATATTGGATGTCGAGGACAGTGAATGGGGTTTCTTTGCTGACCCGGCGGCAGTAGAAATCATCACTGCCGTGAAGAGGCATTATGAAGCCAGAGCCATGGAAGTTGAGGAGCACTGGGCTCGGAGTCTGAAGAATGGTAGGACGATATACATGTGCCTTGATGGACCGGCCAGCATCGCGGGAAGGAATTCGAAGGACAAAGTCTGGGTTTGCTTGAGGGCGCTTTTGCGTACGGCGATGTATCAGTCGAAGGAAGAAGACGATAATCGTCAGGCGCAGTTTCCAGAAGAACCCCATGCTTTTGGCTTGCTGTAAGCTGTTGTTGAAAATGAAGGATAATCGTGGTCAATCACCCAGTGATATTAATGTTTCTCTTCGTAAAGATGAGAACTTAGCCTCGGCACCCTTTACTTGAATTGATATGAACGAAGATATCCGCGACTCGGAAATAATTGAATCAATGTGAGGCGGTAAAAGTCATATCCGGCGAGTGTTCCACATTCACATCCAATTCTACTGTTGGTCGAAGATGTCTCCTTGATCAAGAGATGGTATATAGTATGTCTATCGTGTATAGCCGCGTTTATTTACCGTGGAGGGATGCGGGGTTAGGAGCGGTGCTCTTTCGACAACTGGATGAAGTACCAGTTGAATCTACATCAAAAGGATCATTAACTTTGAAATAGCCCTAACTTACAAATCAGAAATCCCGAGTGTTCATGGTGACAGTATCTGAACCTCGGAGCTACTGCAGTGTTTATTGCAGCTAGATGCGAAGGTCCAGCAAGCCGATATCGCAAACGATCGTCAATAAACACTGAGTCAAAATGACGAATATTGATGAGTATAGCGGAGGGGCTTCGTCCTCAAAACGTACCCCGCTTATGGATTAGTCACTTTCTTGAATGAGTCAACTCATTCCTTTTCTCACTTCGTCTTCTTATTACTTGGAATCACTTAATCAACTAATTCCAATCGTCTCATCGTCGAATCAGCCAAAATGCCTCTCATCGCATCAACAGGAAAACCCCGCGTCATCCTTGGGTTGATGACCTACGGCCCGGACCTCAAAACCGGCGCGCGCATCACTAGCCTCGACGAATTCAACCAACATCTGGACTACCTCCAATCGCAGGGATACCATGAAATCGACACCGCTCGTGTCTATGTCGGCGGTCAACAGGAAGCATTCACGCGCGAAGCTCGCTGGAAAGAGCGCGGACTCAAGATCGCCACCAAGGTCTATCCTACAGAGGCAGGACTACACAAGCCCGAGAATCTGCGTCGGTTGTTCGAATTATCACTGAAGGAATTGGGAACGGAACAGGTTGATATCTTCTATCTGCATGCGCCTGATCGATCAGTGCCGTTTGCGGAGACTTTGGAGGAGGTCAATAAGTTGCACAAGGAGGGAAAGTTTGTGGAATTGGGTTTGAGTAACTACACGGCTTTTGAGGTTGCCGAGATTGTGACCATCTGCAATGAGCGAGGATGGGTGCGTCCTACCATCTACCAGGCTATGTACAATGCCATCAGTGAGTGCCCTTGTTCTCGACTATCTGCGAATCGAGTACTAATCGTTGATAGCACGATCAATCGAGACTGAGCTCGTGCACGCCCTCCGCAGATACGGTATCAGCATCGTGATCTACAACCCTCTAGCGGGTGGCCTCTTCTCCGGCAAAATTAAAAGCAAAGATATCAAGCCCGACGAAGGCCGTTTCAGCGACGTCGCCATTTCCGGCCAACGGTATCGCGACCGCTACTTCAAGGACGAGACATTCAGAGCTTTAGAACTCGTCGAGAATGTGGCTGCCAAACACAATCTTACGCTCTTGGAGATTGCGTTCCGCTGGCTCCGACACCACTCCGTGTTGAAATGGGACAACGGTGGTGATGATGGTGTGATTCTCGGTGTTAGCAGTTTTGATCAGTTGAAGAACAATTTGGCAGATCTAGAAAAGGGGCCTTTGCCTCAGGATGTTGTTGATGCTTTGGATGAGGCGTGGTTGATTTGCAAGGCTACAACCGCTCCTTACTGGCACAATGAGCTCAAGTACACATATGATACCCAAGCGGCTTTGTTCAAGAAGTAACCACCTTCATAGCTAGACATATTGTACGTCAACTCAATTGATAGATTGATTTCATATATATCATTGCTGCACCAACTGAAACAAGACATTATTCTTATTATCATTCGCTCCTCCAATACACGTACTCGAAAAAGGGCTATCGCCACAAACAGCTCTCGCCGCGCGCATACACCCTTCCCAACGTCCTTTTGTAATGATAATGTTTGTACCCGTGGTCTCGACTTGAAGGTTTAATTGTGCATCGCCCGAGGCACCCGTGGTCGTTGTGGGTTGTCCCTGGCATTGTTCAATTGTGCCTGCAATACCGCCGCAGATTGAGAGGATGGCGACGTTGATGTCGTGGCTGTTCAGGGTTCTGTAATTGAAAGCTGTCAGCTTGGTTTCTTGCATGTGATGAATAGGTCAAATTGATTGCTTACACTCCCGGAGCAGTACATGTTGTATTGGTGATGGCGGCAGGGTTGACGCTTGTATTAGCTGGCGTGGGTAAAGCCATAGTTTGCGCGGCAAAAAGGATGGTGCTGATGATATAAAGAAGCATTTTGTCGTTTGTTAGAATTATGACGATATGATTCCGAATAAAATAGGTAAGAGATTGTATGTGGTTTGGAGGAATGGCATACGCCAGGTCTTGCAAGTGAGCGAATAGTTCGATTGTGAATGATGAAAAATGGAAACAGCATCCTTGGTCATGTATTCATCGATTATTTATATACTGGTAGCAAAATTGACGCCTTAATGTGTTTATTATCCCAGCGGCAAAAGGACATTTGAAGGATCACAGAAATGCATCAGGTTCCCCTGTTTTGTCTACATCAGGATGACTATATTGCTCCAATTTGCAAATGTGTGGAGCTACAATGTTTGAGATTGTAATATTGATCAGATTATCTCTCCTAGGCATGTACACTGATATTGAAGCCCTAAGCGAGGTGAGACAGTTGCGGTTGCAGCTTATTTCCGGATCGGGTAAATCCGAGACAAGGCACAAAAAGCCCTGTATCAGAGAGAGTACGATATTGGCAGCATTATCAAGTCTCTCTCAGATCTCTCGAATTTTCCTTGCCATCATTTAAATACGAAAAATGTAAAAGCATATACAGACCACAGAGACAAGATAGGAGATTGATAGTAGAACACCGATCTATCTGCGTGATTCGCTCGGAATTATCCGATGCAGCCTTTTCCTTGTTTTGGCAACTTCCAACTTCTTGACCTCGTACCATGACAATCTGAATCACAATATCTACTATAGTAGTATATAACGGGAGCCTCAAATTGCTCAATCGAAGACTCTCCTTGGAGGAAAATATTCCCTGACTCAATATACCTATTTGATAAGCCCAACATGAAGGAACAAGACCCCGCCAGTTCTAGCTCCTTCCGAGTCCTAATCATCAACCCCAACACCTCAACCCAGATGACCTCAGCACTCAAACCCATCATCCAAGGACTCAACTACACCGACATCCACTTTGACTATTTCACCGCACCAAACCAATCCGTCACGCTACCCGACGGCAGAGTCATCGAGCCCGTTCCCAGCATCAATTCGGGCGATGACTCGGTACAATCAGCGCAGCATTGTCGCCCCTTTGTGGAACCACTGATACCCCAATATGACGCTTTTCTGGTAGCATGCTACTCTGCGCATCCACTTGTGGGAATGCTACGATCAACTATAAGGGCTCTTGAGAATAAAGCTCTTCAATCAGACTCGGGCACGTTGCAAGTCTTCGCCGACGGGCAAGAGATCAATCCAAGTAAAGGGAAAAAATATGTTACAGGGATCTTTGAGGCTAGTGTGACTACTTCCCTGATGCTGATAAGTAGTTTCCATTTATTGGCGGATTGGTCTCACCACAAGACGCAGTCGCAAGACACTTTTGGGATTGTAACGACTGGAGCGGTATGGAAGAAGGAGCTTACCAAGGCTGTATCAGCTATGATAAATGGTCCGGATGAGAGTGAAGAGAAGAAGAGGGATTTAATCTCGAATGTTGTCGATACGAGCCCAACGCCATCACCACCGGCACCTGTTTCGGTGCCACGGTTTGCAGGCGTGGAGACGACAGGTCTGACAGCTGTCGAGTTGCATGAGACGCCGCCCGAAGAAGTGCGAAGACGAATGATCGAGGCTACTGAGAAGCTGCTCAAGGGCACTGCGCATCCGGTGCGAGCTGTGTGTATGGGTTGCGCTGGGATGGTAGGCATGGAGGAAGCGGTGCGCGCGGGGTGCGTCAAAGCGTATGGAGAGACTGAAGGTGAGAATGTGCATATAGTTGATGGAGTTGTTGCTGGCGTTGGGCTGCTTGTGAATGCCTGCAAAGCTCGGGTTTAATTCAGTGGTGGTGTACAGGTATAGCCTTCTCGGTTCTGGGATGTGATGATTTATGACCAGTGTTGATATTCCGGTTTTCTCCATTGTATATAATTTGCATAATTTATTTTTATTGTCAATACAATCAATCTATTCTTGAATATCTATCTCTCCTGTATACTTCAATTTCTGCCTAAGGCAGAAGCCATATCGATAAGGCGATAAGGCACCAACCAACCACATCTTTTGACCTCCGCGGCCTAACGCGTTCAATCATCAGACGCGCCATACACAATATTTTCTGGACTTTGAATCGACGACCTGCTCATGATAACGACATATAATGCCCAGGTATTTCGCCTTGACACGATATAAACGTGATTGACTAATTGACTGTTCTGTTGCAGAGAAATTATCACCATTCAAGCCGGCCAGTGCGGCAATAACGGTGCGTTCAAGCCAACCCCGCTACTTCGATTGTCAATTACATCACAAAAGAAAGAGACCTGACTTTTAGTAGTCGGCAGTCAATTCTGGCAGCAGCTCTGTCTCGAACATGGAATAAACCAAGATGGTAATCTGGAGGAATTTGCGACTGAGGGCGGAGATCGGAAAGATGTGTTTTTCTACCAGGTCAGTCAGCCATTCGATCGTTAACGCTCACTGATTGCCGGTTATACTAATTTAGGATGCATGTTATAGAGTGACGATACAAGATATATTCCCCGAGCTATTCTGCTCGACCTCGAGCCTAGAGTTAGTCTTATTCTACCCACGACTGGAGTCTCGTCTGACTTGATAGGTGATCAACGCCATTCAAACCGGACCATACCGACACATCTACAACCCTGAGAACTTTTTCATAGATCCTCAAGGCAGCGGAGCGGGCAACAATTGGGCTGCGGGTTACGCACAGGGGGAACATGTTCACGAGGAGATTTTTGATATGATTGATCGGGAGGCTGATGGGAGTGATTCTCTGGAGGTATGCTCTAGGCACTGTATTACGTACGGACGAGGAATATTAACACGGTCTAGGGCTTCATGCTACTTCATTCCATAGCGGGTGGTACAGGCTCGGGCCTGGGAAGCTACATGCTCGAACGAATGAATGATCGATTTCCCAAGAAACTTATTCACACATACTCGGTGTTTCCAGACGGCCAAGCAGCTGATGTTGTGGTCAACCCTTATAACAGTCTCTTGACCATGCGACGATTGACACAAGATGCCGACTCGGTTGTGGTTTTGGATAATGGCGCGTTGTCGAGAATCGTCGCCGATAGAATGCACGTGCAGGAGCCGTCATTTCAGCAGACGAATCAATTAGTTTCAACTGTCATGTCGGCATCTACCACCACACTCCGCTATCCAGGCTACATGCACAACGATCTCGTCGGCATCATCGCATCGCTCATTCCCACACCTCGAGCCCATTTCCTCACCACATCTTACACCCCCTTCACAAGCGACAACATCGAACAAGCAAAGACCGTCCGCAAAACCACCGTTCTCGACGTCATGCGGCGATTACTCCAACCCAAAAACCGTATGGTCTCCGTCACACCCAGCAAATCGAGCTGCTACATCAGCATCTTGAACATAATCCAGGGCGAAGCCGACCCCACAGATGTACACAAATCACTCCTCCGAATTCGTGAACGACGACTTGCCTCGTTCATCCCCTGGGGTCCCGCAAGTATTCAAGTTGCCTTGACCAAGAAATCACCATACATCCAACACACACACCGCGTCAGCGGCCTCATGCTCGCAAACCACACCTCTGTCGCGACATTATTCAAACGCATCGTACAACAATACGACAGACTACGAAAACGAAATGCGTTCCTGGATCAGTACAAAAAGGAAGCGCCCTTTGCGGAAGGATTGGGCGAGTTTGATGAGGCGAAAGCGGTGGTTGTAGATTTGATCAAGGAGTATGAAGCGGCGGAGAAGGAGAATTATTTGAATCCGGATGCTGGGCAGAAGGAGGCTGTTGCTGCTTGATTTTCTTTCGGCTCATTGCGTTCCAGGCGATGATTTGTTTTAGCGATACCTCCTCAGCTGCGAGGGTACTGTACGGGCGTTCAGTGTGCGGGCGTAAAAGGATCGGCGATAGCATAAACATTTCAAATATGTACTACCCTTATGAGACAAGTAAAATATATACATCCACAAATACTATTAAAAAGTCAAATAGATTACAACTCCGTCGAATTAGGCGCAACAACCAATATCACCACAAAACTCGAAATCACCAATCCAGCCGCGACAAACGACACCAACGCAACACTCCCTCTGCTCGCGGGGAACTTTCCACGCACAATCCAGTATTGAGATTCAAAGTAACGATGAAACCCAATGACCAGAATGAGGATTGCGATGCCGATGAATGTTGCGCCGAGGGGTTTGCCGATATTTCGGTATTGGCCTCTGTTGCCTGTCGTTGTTGTTGCCGAGAGACCTATCGTGTCGAGCGATGATTGATACGAAGGAGGAGTGAGGAGGACTTCGAGGAGAGATGGCGACGATCTTAACGGGTTTTGTAATGGGTTCTGTATTTGATTATTGTTGTTGTAATAATTATCGACATAAGAGGCGGTAGAAGTTGGTTGCGATGGACTGCAGGATACGGAGCTGTTGAGACGGAATAATTGTGTGACTGCGATACCGATGGATGCGAATGAAAGAGATGTTCGAAGCCAGGCGAGGAATGTGCGTTCTGTGTCTGTTAGTTGTATGATCCCAAAAGATTGTGTAAGGGGGAAAGTACCCAAAGCGAGGTGATCTCGTGCAACACTGCCTTTATTCTCCAGTTCCAAAGTACCGTATTTCTCCGCTACACGACGAAACCACGGCTGATGGGCAGCCGCATCTTCTTCCTCAGTTTGATTTTGGGCTTGATTATTATTGTTGTTGTAGCGATCCCCGTTGGAATTGGTATTGTCATTTGTCACTGCAACATTCCGATTGGTGCTGTCGTTGCTTTTTCTATTATTCACCGGTCGTGGTGCTGGATGCTGAGGCTCCTGCTGTGGTCCGTTCTGTCGTGCTTCGTCCCGGTTATATTCATCGTTCCACGAATTTCGAGCGGTGGTTCCGTCCTCCCTGGATAATTGGCCGGTCGATTGATATTGAGTATTTCGAAAGGAGCCATCCATAATGGGTGGCACTCCGTGGGTAGCCATTTCGAGGATTCTTTATTTTTCTATGCTCGGAGGATCGCGTGGGGGCTACTAACATCCGTGACAGACAGCAGATATATTCGTTGCTTTTTGCTAGTCGGCTATGATGTAATTGACTGTTGAAAGAATTGAATTTATTGCGAAATACCAAGCCGATCACGCAAAGATAAGCACGCAGCTATCCATGTATCTGCTGATTCGTTAATCACAAAATGTGACTGATTGGAATTGAGATGGCTGAAATATAGCCGATAAGACAAGGACAGTTCCTACCTCTTCTCTAGACTCGGGGCAGACAGCAGGCGTTATTATTATGAGCACCAAAAACCGAGTCAATTGCCACACAAGCACAGCGATTTCAAATAGGCGGTCTCGTGAAGCGGCGTTTTTTATTGCGGTCATGAGGTTTCTCTCTTAGCGGTATCCGGGGTTGAGCGACGTGAGCCAATGACAGCCAGGATCTGCAGCTGGGCTCCGTTCCCGGGCGGTGACACTGGGCAATATTTATGCTAGCTTGTCTACTGAGGTAATCGATGTTTGCCTTTTGCACATCTCTTTCGCAATATGATAACATCGTTCCGAGTCTTTACATAAAATCTTCGATATGCCCGCCGTCGATATAAAAACCACGGGTGCAAAGCCTGATTTGTCCGCAAAATTAGCTGAACTACGCGCCAGCAAGACAAGACGTTCCCCTCCTACTGTCCGCCAACAACAAGATCCGCCACCAGTAACGCCAGCTCTGCCTTCTCCCATCGATCTCTCTTCGCACACATTCAGCCGACCAGCCCGTCGTATTCTATCTCCTAAAGACCTTGACGCATTCGCATCTTCTCCCGCGTACACCCTTATCCTCGCGTTCATATTCGGTCTATCAGACAAGGTCCGCGGGCGGGCCGTCACAGACGTTCAGAATGATAATGTACCTGATAACATCGAAAATATTCTACGCATAATCGATTTATTGGGCTCTTTAGTAGAGAAGAATCCTGCAGAAGACCAAGGAGGATCCCGATTCGGCAACCCTGCGTTCCGTGCCCTTTTCGACGATACTGCGTCCCAGAGCCCGGAATGGCATCGCGAGATACTAGGAATCCAAAATACAGAGGCCGTGGATGAGATATCAACATATCTGATACATTCCCTTGGGTCACGAGACCGACTCGATTATGGCTCTGGACATGAACTCCATTTCATGATGTGGCTGTTGTGTCTGTACGAGTTGCGAATCGTGTCTATTACAGATTTCCCTATGCTTGTTTTCAAGGTTTATTACAGCTATATGCAACTAATGCGTCGGATACAAACGACGTATTATCTTGAACCGGCTGGGTCGCATGGTGTTTGGGGGCTAGACGATTACCATTTCCTCCCTTTCCTGTTTGGAGCTTCTCAGCTCGTGGAACATCCCTACATCACACCTCGCGCTATTCACAGCAGCGCCGTGCTCGACGAAGAAGGCGACAAGTATCTCTATCTCGACCAGGTGCGATGGGTAGACAGCGTCAAAACCGTCAAGGGTCTTCGATGGCACAGTCCCATGCTAGACGATATCTCGGGCGCAAAGAACTGGAGCAAAGTCGAGAGCGGAATGAAGAAGATGTTTGTCAAGGAAGTCCTTGGCAAATTGCCGATTATGCAGCATTTCTTATTTGGAAGTTTGATTGCGGCGTCGCCGGAGATGGGTCAGTTGTCGGATGAAGCGACATCATCTGGACAGCAGGACCAGCAAGGTCATCCTCACGATCATAATCACACGCATGGTGACGACTTTTGGGGGGATTGCTGCGGTATCAAAGTTCCTAGTACGATAGCAGCAGGTGAGGAGATGAGGAAGCGTATGGGTGGTGGGGGGTTACGACCGATTCCGTTCGATTGATAAGATGCCTTTATGAGTTCACGATAAGACTGGCAGGTTGGCATGATATGTATGTGCTATCACGGCTGTTACTTGCATATCAATTTTTAGGTCTTTAGCTAGGTAGTTCACGCTGAACTAGAGCTGCAATGCCACGTAGTTGAAATATGTACCCAAGCGCAAATGCAAGACTTGGCCGTTGTGTTTTATCAGGTCGATATATTTGCCTAGTACTCTGTACACGGCATGTATATGTACTTGCTACCGAAGTAGTCGACTAATTTTTGTGTATCCCTAGGTGTTAGTTAGTAACCGTTGGCCCAGATAAAGATGAGCGTCACCTGATACTTGCTTGCCACGTAATAGTCTGATGGCTTAAGACGTACCGCTTTTTGTCTGTATTTTGAGTTCCAACTGGCGACTAGTGGCGGTTATGACTATGTTTTAGTAACATTCAAGCAAAGATGGAATGATACCATCTTCGCAAAGTCTGTCGTGTTTTAGGCATGACTCATTGGTACTCTCCACAGGACGCAATTGCAGCCAATTTGCCGAATAGACTCAATTGATTTAAAGTTTTGAACATATGAAAAGTTGAAAACGGATAGCCTACGGTCGATCTCGAAATATCGCCGGCTGAAACGTGTACGGTCAGAGAGTCATAGCCAAGAGAGCCGACTGGCTCGATCTCACTCAGGGCAGGTACCTTTGGTGCCTTGATGCCTGAGGGTACTGATAGGCTGTTCTCCCGGCATCTGCGCTATTTCCGAACCCGGCTGGTCTTGTAGTCATTCGTTCTTTTTGGTATACTTATCATCTCTTTTTTGCTTCAAGGATGACACATTAGTAGCGGGTCCAGCTCCTTAAAAAGTTACATTGAACTTGATTAAGTAGGACATATGGCTCTATTGAGCCATATAAAAAGAAAATAGAAAAAGTAAAATTCAAAAGAAAACCTTGTACCACGCCCTTTCGGACCAGGCTGAGAAGATATATGTCCAGAGGAACTGACCAACAAACAACCTCAAGCTGGACTTAGACTCGCCAGAGGGTGTGAAATGATCGGACAAAACTGCAAATCTAAATTTACATTGGACGAATTGAGCGATCGGACGATGTAAAGGATTGATTGGACAAATTGAAAGGACGGCATGGGATGATTACTCGTGCTCAAACAAGGAATGCCGAAGAGGAGGACTATGGAAACACTGGTTTGTAGAAAATTATCGATTGATGAATCACTAGTTGGTCGCTTTTGTACTCCGCATGTATTTCATAGTCGCTGTTCGTTGACTAGCGTGACTCCTTACCAATCTGCAATGAATTGAATGAATGTTGCCTCGCCTCACCTCGCCTCCACCCGGCACCACCACCTTCTGATGGGTCTGTGGCTGCATTTCTAATGGATCTTATCGCAGTAACTGGCCTGGGTCTACCCCATTTCGGGCTCTCTGCCTGTAGTATGTACGTAGTCTCTTACCGACCTGACTACCCGTATGTAGTATCCGTCGGATCGTCGTTCGCCTCATCAGCTGCGCAGGTCCTGGCGCTCGTGTCCGCCCAGGACAGGTCAACCGCCATAACTCTGGCGGTCCGACCCAAGGTTGTCTTACTAACTGGTTAAGTCTGGAAACTTAACTTAGTACTAACGGAATACGTGGAACAGGTCACGCTCCTCTCTTCTAGTCACTTCTCCTTATTATTAAGGCCACTAACCGCTTACGGAGGGCTAGGTATATAATGCTGCTCTGCCCCATCCCTGTCTACTGCTTCATCCCTAATCACTTCACCCATCTTTGTTGCGTTCTTTCACCGCGCTCGTCCCCCCCAATCCTCGTCCCCTTCCTTCTCCTGTTGCTCGAGAAGATATTTAATCGGATCAATCTCTACTTCAGATTGTGAATCCACCGGGCTGGACTGACTGTCGTTATCTCGGCCGTTATCGGACACATCCCCGAAAGCTCCATACAGCGACGCTATCTTCCTTCTCCGTCTCTGGCACTCCAACATTGCCACCCGTCCTTTATACACCTTCCACTTCTCCAAGTCTTAAAGAGATTTCTTCTTACTCTTTTCTACGACCGCTTCCAACACACCCAACACACCTGCCATCCTCCACCCTCTTCGCCAAACACCTCCCGAAGAATACCTCACCATGCCCGCCCGCAAACCCCGTTGCAACTTCAAGGAGTGCAAGAATGCCGCTCAGCGCATCATCGGTGACTGCACATTCTGCAATGGACATTTCTGCGACAAGCACCGCATGCTGGAATCGCACGCCTGCAGCGGCCTGGAAGATTGCAAGAAGGAGTCGCATGCCCGGAACGCAGATAAACTCAACAGCGAGCGAACGACCGTCATCAAGGGTGTTTAACCCTTTTCTCACCTTCATCTGATATTCATTCGGAATTAGCGATGCGATTCGGTTATCGTATACGAATACCCGGATTTCAGTTTTATCATTTCTCTCTGCGATTTGCGAGCTTTTTTTGCATGGCGTTCCACGGCGTTTACCTCTTCGTCTGAGCTCTACGGTTAGGTCTGGTTTTGGATCTTTCGGTTTATTCGACAGTTGTCGCTCTATCTACACATCGCCTTACTTCGAATGATTATCGATATCTCCCCTTTTTTGGATATTACTGGCGAAGTCACAGGTGTCTGGTTTCGGTTCTGGGATCACAGTGACGGAATTCTTATGATCGGCACCATCTAGTGGTCATTGTACAGGGTGGTTGAGGATCTATTAGGGACTTGAAACAGTACCAGATAATACATATTGGAATCTACATATTCATCTATCATCTATCTCTTCGACATCGTACACATATCGTAGATTCGGCGTGACTCACCCGCATCTACAGACAATTTAGACGGGCCGGAGAGCCGAACTCACCATTGTTCGATGTCACAACCGCTCATCAATTCATGAAGATAGTTTATCATTTCATCCCAAGACTTTGACTCATTGACTGTCGCAAATGAATGCTGAATAAACGGCGCGAAGATCAACGGAGATGGGACGAACCCGCTTCTCTCTTCCGTCCAATCACTACCCGGCTAAACTGAGATCCTTGTCGTCAGCGGCTGTTTCAACGACGTACATTCAATGATGTTCCTATAATTACAGCTCTCGATCTAGATAATTTGAATCAAACTTATACGTAAGTTCCATACAGTACGAAGCTTATGTCATTTTAAAGATGTCATCGGTATAGTGCGATGTAGTTATTGCGTATGTGGATGGGGGATGCTCGGATGTGGATCAATTTCTTTGTGACAAGAATCTAGAGTTACAGCCAGACAAGAAAAGCAAAAGCGGTAATGAAGCAAGAAGTGTTATCCTGGCCCGATTTTTGGCCTGATTTGAACATGTCAGTGAGACCCGTGCCAGAAGGAGATGGAGAACGACATACATGTCATGATGCTCACTGAGTGTACTCAGGTATCGATTTAATTCCTCCACTCGTTCCTTGTGTGTCTTTACGCCTTCCCGGCGCAGTCTGTCGTTTAACTGTTGTCCTGTTAAATTGATTCTCTCTATAGTTTCAAGAATAGGCGAAGAATACACACCCTCTTCTTTCGTTGCTCTTCATGTTTCCTTTCCGCCTCGGTCTTGAAGACCACTCTCTTCTCGCCCGACTCCGATAGCTCATCATCCAGCTTGTCGTCGACAGTATCAAAATGCCGTTCAGAAGCTTCCTGTTTCTCAGGCTCAGCTTCCGTCGATTTTGCCCTTGTCTCTGCGGTAGCACCATCTTGATCGGTCTTCTTCTTCTTCTTTTTCGTCTTGTCTACCCGGCCATCTTTGACTTTGGAGCCTTTTAATTTCAGTTTTCCGCCTCCGCTGATGGCGGAGTATTCATCGCCGGGCATTATCGGAGCTTGGTTTTCAATTCTGAAATTGAAAGGCGATTATACAAGCGAACTCATTTTCCTTGCTTTCGAAAAGACCAACCAGGGCTTTCTCAGATGATGCAGGCGTAGTGCATATACGTATGATAGTAGAACTCGGCAGTAACTTAAAGATGGCGTGGCAGATGGGTATTGGCGGCCTCAGGCATTAGTATCACGTGATGGTGATAATAACGCAAGGGCAAGAATCACCCCGGCTTGAACGATTGGATCGGACGCTTCGGTAACTGAATCATTTCATTCTATACGGAGTACATACCTAGGTACATGCACCCTGTCGCTCTCGCTTCCATGCAATTTTTTCTCAGGAACATTTTTTCAGTCATTTGTCCTATCTCTTGCTGTCATCATCGATCTGAAATCGTCTAGTTGCCCATCTTGTGACAAGCGAACACATTGCACGCGGCCAGATCAGCTCCGCCCAGTCCCATCTCTAGCGTCCCTGACCCAACATACCGGCCAGGCTGGCATATCATTAAACCACTGCTGCAGATGACTCAGACACACCATTGAACTTAACATCGTTAGTTACGCCTTCGACATTATTACATAAGTCACGTAGCTGGTCACGCCCACTGTCACTACCACCCCCCCGCTTCTACCGCTGAAGCAGCCACTCATTGAACATCGTGGCTTACCACGGCTCGCTGATTTACTTATTCATCTGATATCTACTTGGTGATCCGTCATTGTGGCTTCGTTTCCAGCAGACACAGGCCTGGCGAGGCATCCCGACGGACTTGGAGTACATGAAGAATCTTTGCAACAACAACAAAATCAGCATCCAGACCCCGACGACTTCGATGTCTGGGAAGACGACGACGACGTCACTACCGGCACCATGCCTTTCCGCTCACCTTTCCATCGAATGAATGATGCCCATTCGCAACAACCGCTCCTGAAAGAGGATGGACCCCAACGGGAGTCCAATACATTTGCCGAATCCCATGAACGAATCCTCGAAAGACCGCATATGTCTCGTAGATCGACCTTTCGCAGCCGAACACCGGATATCGAAGACAAGAATCTTACCCGTCGGAAATACATACTAGCCTCGGGCTTTTTGCTGCTGAGTTTGATCAGTTTCGTGATTCAGACAGAGACGGCAGTGTATATTCAACACGAGCTTCATTGGGATAAGCCATATTGTATGCTGTACGTCATTTCCATTCCCTACGATGCTCTTCTATCGTCTAATCTATTTCCTGTCCATAGATATCTTACCCACGGCTCCTGGTCGTTACTATGGCCAACACAGCTCTTGATTCTGCGAATTCAAAAACGAAAACTGTCATGGGACGCTTTCTGGCGACGACATGTATTTCTCCTGCGCACAACAGCCCAGATGGTTGAACGGCAGGACCTGCATCTTACCACCCGAGACGATCATCGATCACCGGTCCCTTATATGTTGAAAACCACGGCTTTTATAACCAGCGCCTTGACCATTGCCGGCGGTAGCTGGTATGTCGCAGTGAACATGACGACAGCTAGTGATTTGACCGCTATCTACAATTGCTCGGCGTTTTTTGCTTATGCATTCTCCGTTCCGCTGCTGAAAGATAAACTCCGTTTCGATAAGATCTTTTCTGTGTTGGTGGCAATTATTGGCGTATTGGTCGTAGCATACGGGGACTCTGGTCCAGAGGCTGGCGAGAGCAGTGGTTCGGCTGACAACCGCACACTAGGCAATATCGTTATTGGTGTTGGAAGTGTGTTGTACGGACTATACGAGGTGCTCTATAAGAAACTGGCATGTCCTCCGGAAGGCACTAGTCCGGGAAGAAGCATGATCTTTGCGAATACCGTGGGAAGTTTGATTGGAACATTCACTTTGCTGGTATTGTGGTTTCCATTGCCAATTTTGCATTGGACGGGATTGGAAACGTTTCGTTGGCCCACCGGTGAAGCCGCCTGGATGCTTTTGATTTCTGTTATTGCAAATGCCAGTATGTTTCCTTGTGCGTTTTTTGAAGTTATTGCGGTTGCTAACAACTCGTTTCTAGCGTTCTCCGGTTCCTTCCTGGTTCTGATTTCGTTAACTTCACCAGTCCTCTCGTCTGTGGCAGCGCTATTGACCATCTTTCTAGTCGCCATCGTGGACTGGTTACGGACCGGGAAACCGTTGTCTGTTGCAGCCCTTTCAGGCGGTGTCTTGATTATTGTTGCCTTTCTATTGCTGAGTTATAGTACATACCGAGAGGTTGATGAGGAGCGGAGGCGCCGGTTTGCAGAGGATGGACCTGATTCAGATAGCGATGATTAAATGCTTTCCTTCCTTTATTCAACACTTGGACGCTAGAGGTTTTCGTATGTAACGCATAGGTTGGAGTCATTCTTAGAGGGCGAGTCATTTTTTTTCACTATTTCTTGTATATGCATCCATAGATGATTGACATATCTTTATTACTATCTCTCAACCATGTTTTCTCCTCTTGTTTCATATGTTGTAAGAACACTGTATCATGATAGTGAAAGGTCCTTGTATCGGGCTGTTATCTTTGAATACTGGAAGCAGCATATCAAGCATAATGTCAAGAGAATTCCCTGTAGCAAGCATTAGTATCTCCAATAGTCTAATTCTAAATACATCATTCACGATATCAATCTCTATCACTGAACTTTGTATCATATCTATAAATATTGGAAATACGAATCCTCGCTTAAGCAATATACCTGGAGGACGTGACAGTTGGATGAGGCTCGAGAAGCAAATCTTCAGAGCTAGGGTCCACAGCCCTAGCGATGCCGTATCTGAGAATAACTTCAGCGGTGCCTAATCCGGCCAAAAGCTTTAGACTAACATCTGTCAACAGACTTATTACGTATTCTCCATCACTATCGTGTATCAGTATCAGGTATCAGGTATCTTCGCGTTGTCTATCCCATTAATCTAGCTATTATTATCATCTATGAATCAGAATCTGAATATAAGGTATGTCATCACGAGGCCAGCTCCTTGCCTCTGTCTCCAGCGCTGCGTCACATGGTTAGCACATTTTGGACGAAGGACATTTCCTCGCTTGCCAGGAAAAAAAATCTTTTCTTCTTCCAAGAACACACACACACACACACACACACACACACACACACACACACACACACACAACAATAATAGCGAGAACCACAGAGTATTCTTTGCTGCCACCTCGTGAAAAAGACTATTTTCGTTGCAAGCAAGTAGGGCGTTGGAGCTACTGATGTTCTACCGCCAACTGCTGCATGTGCGGTGAGATGAGACGCGTGCCAATTACCTGTCAGAAGGAGTGTGATATCTGTTTTTGAAGAGAAACCACAAGTCCGAGAGCTGTCGAAAAGAAACGCCATGACCACCACAGAAGGTATTACTACATCACGCTCAAGCATATCTTCTCTTCTCTCTTTTCATGATCGCTAACTCTAGAGAGGAATCGAACTTCTTGGAACGACCAACTAGACCAAAAAGCAGCGCGCAGCGTATAGGTAGCGGGGGCGGAGGACGAGGTTCAAAACAAAACTTCTACAGCAGCCACTGACTAGAACCAAGGAACACCAGAATGGGTTTCATTCAGCACCACGATGAACCGGCCACAGATCTCCGGCATATACTCGCTTCTAGAATTGGTATCAAGAGGTCATTGCCCAAAAACATTGAAAAGTCAATCGGGCATGAATGAGTTGATCAAATTCATGACAGCATGTCTCGCCGACCCGAGAACGTGGGCCAATATCTCTGGGTTTGGAATATGACCTAAATATGAAAGGTATGACTCCATGACTTCATATCACATATCATCGCACGTAATTGTTCAGACATCATTATCCGTTCTACTTACCTCGATTCGTGAGATTATCACAGCTTTTGTTGACAGATTATCGATAGAGTATTGAACGGATCAGGTAATTTCAATATGCCCGCGATTCATTGCAACTTATAGCCAATTCGCTGTGGGGAGCATTGATCCGGAGAAGAGATAAACCGTCTGCCGACGACTGGAGGTGACCAAGCAGTATAAGTAGCCTATTATTGTCACGAGTAGGATTGATGAATTCCGAGAAAGCATGTCCCGTTTGAAGGTTGGAAACATTGACATTATCCTGTGGACAATAATAGAGAGACATTCTGCCGTTCACATAACGGTCAGAGCAAGGAACCAGGCAAAAGGCTTCATCAACATCGCACAGGAGTAAAGGGGAAGAGACAGGACAGACTGCACGGTTGGAGGCAATAACTCCCGCTACTATTCAATCATCTAGGCTTTCAGTCTACCCTGGCATTACCTGCATATCGAGATGTATGTATTGCACCCAACATAGTAATACTAACAATGCTTCAGTAATCTCCAATTTCCACATTCTTTCTCTTCCCCTGGACGAGCGCTGGCCCTCGACATGAGTTCAGATGGCCAGAAATGGGTTAAGGCAAGATGGCCGAGCGGTTAAGGCGATGTGTTCAGGCTATAGACGTTGTATGTTATACAACGTACGTTGGCGAATCGCATTCCGAAAGGGCGTGGGTTCGAATCCCACTCTTGTCAGAATTGTACAATGATTTTTTTTTTCTTTCTGGAATTTCTCGCCTTTAGTCCTGGCCATTGCAGGAAGCGGAAATACCATCATTGTTCATCGCAGAGTGAAAAATTCGGGACAAAACGTATGGAATTGAAAGAATAAGACGGCAAGAAAGAGCATGAAGGGGTAAAAGGCGTCAATGCATTTCAACGAGAGAGCATAGCAGTTCTATTGAGGCTAATGTTCCTAAATACTTAACCTACAATACCGCCCAGCCTTCTTGGCAAAAAAGACCATTCTTATTTCTAAGTGTCTGGAGGGTCGCAGCATGTGGAGTAAACAGCAGCTAGTGTCATTCGGTGGAGGCATCGTCACTCGTATATAACGTATGGTTTACAACTGTCATTAGAGGGGGGATTACCTAGCTGGCCACTCCTTATATACATCCATGGACGATTGTTATTATATTCCATTAACCACGTCTATTGTGTATCATTAATCCTCTTACCCATTCAACCAATCCTGCTATGCTATCCAAGTCAGTATTCAAATTTAAGATGTGTTGTTGTCACAAGATCAACACATGCTACATCCCAGACTGCCCCAAACTCGCTGAGGGAAGTTCCTTGCCAGCAAGAGGCTCCGCCAATTTGACAGCAGATAGGACAGAAAGGCAGGAAAAATTGTAGGAAACTTGCGATACTTACGGCTCACTAGGTGACAAGTGATACAAAAAAGGATTGAAATGAAAAAAGGTGACTATTCAACTCGAACAAGAAAAAAAAATCATGACAAGAGTGGGATTCGAACCCACGCCCTTTCGGACTAGCGTACAATTGTCACTTTATAGTGAATATTTGCCTTAAGCTAGCCTGTATGAATGTTAGAATGAAGAATCACGACGAACAGATGAACAGAAATACATACGCCTTAGACCGCTCGGCCATCTTGCCGTTACTAAAATCTTTCCTAAAATCAATCATTGACCTAAGATCCATTTTTTACCAATCATTTCTCACATCCAAAGCCTACACCATCCGCATTCAATCTATGGTCCGCAGTCGAGCACTGTAGGTAATAAGATTGTGACCAATTCTGACGTTTGAAATCACCTGTATTCTCTCATACTGATGTTTGTCATCGATCATCCTGAAAGACTTGAAAGTCTTTTCAAGGACGGTTACAAAGCGATCAAGCTGTCTGCCAAGGTCCTCCGCGAAAGGCTGATTGTGTATGGAATTTGTTCCAACAGCATCCCAGCAAGCAGCAGATCGAGCGCTACTACATGCGCTGAATATCGTGTAATCAGAAGCGAAGAATGTGTGCTGCAAGACTCGGGACAAGCAGAAGAGTGGGAAACCTACGAAGATATTCCCCATTGACTCTATGAGCATACGAGTGAGTAGGGGCACGTATGACTCTCGAACACTCCTTTTTCTAGTGCATCTACAATAGATGGCCTTTTCATGCCAATGGATACTCATCACTGCCTAGAATGAATACAGATATCCGACATCACAGACTTAGTCACTCTCTGTATTTGCTGCAATAGATGGCCATAATACTGCGTCAAAGGGCCAACTGGATGTGCCTCATTTTGATCGCGTTTTACAAGAGTATATACGTTGACAAGTGTTCCATAAATGAAATCCCCAGTGTTGATTCTGCGCTATCGGTTCTGAACTTCTTTCCATTGAGTGAGTATGATATATTATCCGAAGCTGGAAGGAATTGCGGGAATGCAACGTTGAGGCTCCCTCCATATTTACTGAGAAGCTCTTCATACGTATCATTGTCCAAAATAGGATTAAAGTTCACATTGAAAGAGACGGTCCGGTTGGGCTAGGGTCCCGAAGCACTCAATGGGATAGTCTTGGGAGCTTCGAAAACGGTAGACAGCAAGAGGATAGTTGTAAACTGAATTAGAAGGCTTGTGTACCTGAAATCTGGCACGAAGAAATTATTCAAGGTATAAAAGCCTTAAAAGTGACATCCAGGAGCAAACCTAACGCATGTAAATATTTGCTGATGTAAGACCCTCAAAGCAGAGCTTGTCTTTAATGGCATATGCAGTCTTATTGTTGGAGAGCACAGAAGGAATCAAAACAGGATCATGAAGATTACCACTTATATAAATAGAAAAAGATGCAGGTAGGTACCAATCAGAGTTAATACCAAAATTATAAGGCACCGTCGACGGTCCTACCCGCTACAAAGGATCTAAGCGAGACCCTTGATCTCTCTTCTAATTTCCATACTTATTTTCTTCTCGATACTGCCTGGGATATCTAGCTTGGATGGCGTCACAGGAGGAACTAGTCTGCTTCATCCAAACCATACTTCTCTGCCCTTTCCATTACTGGTTGATTTTGAATCACTGTCGTCGAAGTCATTGGAAATATATTGGAAACGAAAAACATGGGTTTAGATGAGCGGTGACGACTGGACTTCAATGAGAAGCAGTGCTTCCACTCTTACGACGGGAATTTTCAGGAACCTACGTTTACCCAAACAGGCATCGCCATGGGTTAATTTATATGGAGGATTTGGCTCAGAGCAACTTTTTTTTCTTCTTCCGCTCCCGATGCTTATTATTCACGTGAATAGTGCCTCATTCACGTTATATCAGTCTAGGTGAATGTATCAAGTTTGACCGTTGTCACATGAGCCAATTGCGCTAGTAAAGCCGATGACACAGGAACAGCAAGATGTACTGGACCGAATTGGGAGTAGAGATATCAGAAAGAAGTATTACAGGTCCCATAGATTCATACA